GCCCGTTTTGGCCATCGACTCGAGTTAGTGCTCGCTACGCTCAGACCTAGGCACGGCTGCTCCAGCACGAGGGCGATCATCGTCCGGACACTGTCTCAGTTGCCGTTTCTTGACTCGGCGCCGTTCGATAAGCGCGATGCCAACTCATATCCGCATTCAGCCCAAGTGCCTTCACCTTGGAACTAACCGAAGCCACAGCGTGGTCGTTGAGTGCTCGATTCCAGACCCGCAAACCTGTCTCCCACGGTCCACGGCGTGTCCGCCAGTGTCTTCGGTGTCAGAATAGCATTTGGACCGAATACAGTAGTGCACTACCGTTTCCGTCAGCGTTCAACGCCTTTCAGCTTTATCATGTATCCAGTCTCCCGGTCGAGGTCTGTTCGTGCCTTTCATATACACCAGCTTTTCCTCCTAGCTCTTCCCTTCTCTTCCTCATTCCCTCTTTAATACACAATCACTACTCGACATCTCTACTAAGAGTATCCTGCACTACGATCAACGATCCCTCCTTCCCGGATCTGCACTCTAGTATATCGCCTGACACTCGTTTCCACTCACGGTCTATCGTAGACCATAACCCATCATGGGTCTCAAGAACTACTTCAAGGCTGGCAAGAAGGATGAAGAGAAGAAGTCCGATGCCCCTGCCAATGAGATGAGTGAGATCTCAGAGAAGCCTCTCGCCCCTCCTGCACCAGCATTCGCCAGCCAAACACACTCTGGCCTGTCAACCCCCAGAAATGGCCTCCTCTCTTCCGGTGCATCCATTGCACCTTCAACGAGATCAGGATTCATGGATGACATTAAGCATGAGGTCATGGTCAACTACCTTTTCCAACAACAATGTGCCAGACTGTGGGTTGGCGATGGTAGTGGTGAGGTCGAGGGTGTTCTCCTCAGAAAGTTCAAGGGCAGCTACCTGGCTTGCCCTCCTTCTCTCAGCACATCTACCTTCGCCATGGCCTGTGCAGCACTCAATGTGCCGGTAAGCAGACATCGTTTTCAGACCTATCAGATCACATCTAATCATTACTTTAGTGCGCCATGACCGTCAACTCCCGTATCATCAAGACTTTCCTCGCCTGGTCGCCGGATGCCGTCGATGTGCCGCTCATGAACGGTCTCAGAGTTCAGATTCTTCCCACCATGGAAGATCTCCCCAGAGCCCGCAAGCATCAGTTCGCTGCCTTCATTGCCTCTGAGGCACTCCTCGTCGTCTGGGATGACGATGCCAACAACCTCGTCAACCGTGCTAAGTTGATCGAGGGCGAGCTCATGGAGCTCGTCTGGAAGACTGGTGAGCCTGAAGAGGTCACCGACGAGCCTGTGGCCAAGAAGGGCCCTGGCGTCGTCGAGGAGGAGATCGATGCTGAGAGTGGTGAGGTTCTTCCCGAGAACCGCCCAACACATCTCATGAACACCGTCCTCGTCTCCATCACCCTCATCATCATTATCGCTCTTCTCGGAGCTGGTTACCGACAACTCGCCATCGAAGTCAAGGTCGACGGCAGCTACACTCGTATCGCCTTCGTCGCCCTCTCCCCCGTCCAAATCTTCTTTACCCTCTTCTTCGCACAGGTCATCGTCGGTTGTATCGCTCAGATGATCGGTCCCGTCCGCCAAATGACCATGAACTCTCGCTTCTACTCTGCTCTGCTTCCCCGTCGCATCCAGGGCCGCAACCTTCCTCACGTCACTATCCAGTGTCCCGTCTACAAGGAGGGTCTCGCATCCGTCATTGCCCCTACCGTCAAGTCCATTAAGCAGGCCATCTCCACCTACGAGCTTCAGGGTGGTTCCGCCAACATCTTCATCAACGATGACGGCCTTCAGCTCCTCGACGAGGAGGAGCGTGAGGCCAGAATCGAGTTCTACGCCGACAACAGCATTGGTTGGACTGCCCGTCCCAAGCACGGCTCCGAAGGTTTCGTTCGTCGCGGAAAGTTCAAGAAGGCTTCCAACATGAACTTCGGTCTCATGGTTTCCTGCAATGTCGAGGAGAAGCTTCTCCAGATCAACCGTGGCAACGACTGGACTCAAGCTGACGAGGCTCAGGCTTACGAGCGCTGCCTCAGCGAGGTTCTCGAGGAGCACGGTCGCGCCTGGGCTGATGGTAACATTCGTATCGGTGACTACATCCTGCTCATCGACTCCGACACTCGTGTCCCTGCCGACTGTCTTCTCGATGCTGCCTCCGAGATGGAGCAGGGTCCCGAAGTCGGTATCATGCAGTTCAGCTCCGGTGTCATGCAAGTCGTCCACACCTACTTTGAGAACGGTATCACCTTCTTCACCAACCTCATCTACACTGCCATCCGTTACACCGTCTCCAACGGTGATGTCGCCCCCTTCGTCGGTCACAACGCCATCCTCCGCTGGGCTGCCATCCAACAGGTCTCTTACTTCGACGAGGATGGTTACGAGAAGTTCTGGTCCGAGTCTCACGTGTCTGAGGACTTCGATATGTCTCTTCGTCTCCAATGTAACGGCTACATCATCCGTATGGGTGCCTGGGCTGGCGAAGGCTTCAAGGAGGGTGTGTCGCTTACTGTCTACGACGAGCTGGCCCGTTGGGAGAAATATGCTTACGGTTGCAACGAGCTTCTCTTCAACCCCATGCGCATGTGGTTCTACAAGGGTCCCTTCACCCCTCTCTTCCGCCAGTTCCTGTTCTCCAACATTCGTATGACCTCCAAGATCACCATCGTCTCGTACATCGGTACCTACTACGCCATCGGTGCCGCCTGGATTCTCACCACTGTCAACTACTTCGTTATGGGTTGGTTCAACGGTTACCTCGACAAGTACTACCTCGACTCATGGAAGGTCTGGTTCTCGCTCGTCATTGTCTTCAACGGTCTCGGTAACATTTCGCTCGCCATCATGCGTTACCGTATCGGCGACAGATCCTTCTTCGGTGCCCTCTTCGAGAACTTCAAGTGGATTCTCATGCTCGCCATCTTCCTTGGTGGTCTCTCCCTTCACGTCTCCCAAGCTCTTCTCGCTCACATGTTCGAGATCGACATGACCTGGGGTGCCACCGGAAAGGAAGCCGAGTTCTCCAACTTCTTCATCGAGGTGCCCAAGGTTCTCAAGAGCTTCAAGTACTCGCTCTCCTTCTGTGTGGTTTCGGTTGTTGGTATGATCATTCTTGCCACCGCCGACTTCATCCCTTACGACTGGATGATCACCGATTTCGTTGCCATCTTGCCCATGGCCACTGTCGTTGCATCGCATTTCCTGTTGCCCATTGCCCTCAACCCCGCTCTCATGACCTTCTCATGGTAGAGTGGTGGCTTTCCTTCTCTCATTTCCTTCTGTCTACATAACGCTGTCACTTTTGAGATATCACTGATGCTTATTTGTTCGGTTGTGGTACATAAAAGGGTTTTGTGACCACTAAAGCGGGCGTCCATTTTTCTTTCTTTCTTTACTATTTTCCTTTCATAATCTTGCTCTTCACCCAGCTTTTTATAGACTATATTTCCAGATACCACAAAACCTCTTTGGTTCAAGAATCAATTTTTCTTCAAACAATCTTCATACCTTCTTCTCTTCCTTTCTGTGATTGGTTCTTCTTTTCTATCCATCACTTTCTGTGGTAGATCAAAGTCAACCAACTACGACCCTGACCTCGAACCTCCAGAAACAACTCGAAACTCTCTTTTCTATATCCAGCATCACTACTCCATCATATTCTTGAAACACAGTCCAGACCACTTACTATCAAAAATAAGCAATATATATATTTTCCTTCTTCTTCCAAAACTACGGACCTTCTCACATGTCTTGTGGTGTCGTCCAGAAAAAGAAGAAACAAATCTATCGTTTCAAGCTGAAGCACAAGTTCTATTTTTCCTCCTCCTCTCCTGACTCTTCTCACCCGTCACAAAGAAACGCTACCACCACCACTGCTATTCCTGTCCAGCTTTCCACATCTTCAAAAGTGGGATGTTGTCAAGCTCCACATGTGTACACCCTACGAAACCAGCCATGGTGGTCGCACGGGTGATTGCCATCTTCCAGTCGTCCCACCTCCGCCGCACGGGCGAGATCACGCTTTCGTCTCTGTGGAAATTATCACAGCTTGCTTGCTTGCTCGCTGCTCCTCGCGACGACCGCAAGACGCGAAATCTTCTTTTTTATTGTCTCCTTTCAAACTCAAATACTTCTTTCTGATATCTAGCAATAGTTAATTATACGCTCGTGCCATGAGTAAGTTTGTAAAGTCCATGCAGGGTAGTTTGTGTGGCGCTGCTTTTCAGCCCTTCAGCCATTCTGCGAGGCACCGCTCCGTGTCCGCTGCCGCGCTTCGTCGCGTCCCGAACGCACTTCTACAAGTCTATGCTCCACCCAGCTGAAAGAAAGAAAGAAAGAGAGGAAGAAGAACCGAGTCGACCCATAACCCCCTTTTCACACCTTGTCGTCGACTTCGAGACGTCGCCTTCCCCGAGCGCTCAATGACCTTCTTCTTGACCTAGAACGAGGCTTGCTGTTGTTGCGCTTGGGGTGATTCTGGCGAGCTGCATGTTGGCGAGGCAAGCTTGGGTCCCGAATGGCAATGACTCGAGGTACGTCTGCGCTCTATTTCTCGAATGTCAGCAAGTCTGTTGGAGTCAAAGAGTAGGGCATCGCTTACGGCGGGCAGTTCTTCGCTAAGCATAGTAAAGCTGCTTTTTGGTAACTTGACATTGTTGTTGTCAACCGGATACCACAACTTCTGAAAGCGGCGAATAGCCCAAGGAAAGAAAATGGTGAAGAAGAGACTGATGATCAATAGCGGGATTGAGATGTATAGACACAGGATTGCTGGTGCTGTCAAAGTGCTGATCCCAAAGATGCTCTATGGCTTGTCAGATGGGTTGATGCATGGAAAAACAAATGGCTCGTAAGTGATACTCACAGTGAGATACGTGATCGGAAGGTATAGTGCCGCGAGGATACTCAAGAAGCGCGAGTAGTCGGATTGATTAGCATTCTCAATGTTGAACTCCTACAACTCATGTAAGCCTTTGTTCTTGAGTATCAACATGAAGCCTACTGACGAGCTCAATCAGGTTGAGGAAGCGTTCCTTGAGAGTGTCCATGTAGTAAGAGTATTGGTCCAGGTCTTCGACAGCATCGCCTATCTCATCCCATACTGGATCAATGGCATCGTCTGCAGATTTGTGCATCGTATCCTTCAGCTTGAGCAACTTCTTGAAAGATCTCGTATGGAAGCGCATGTATTCGGACAATTCGAAGATTCTGTCAATCTGCTTGTGTGCCAGTCGTGTACGAACTTTAACAGGATACTTTCGACCACGACTGTTGAGCTCCTGTACATAGAAGGTCAGTTAGTCGGCTTAAATGCAGTCATTTGAACACATACAGCTTCCTCAAGCTCTCTCTCGATCTCTCTGATGATATTCTGCCAATCACTGAGAAGCCAGTACAGCCGCAGAAAGGTCCAGCAGACAGATTCCTCGTCCCTGCGTGGCATGTCGTATTCCTCGTCTTCATAAAAGTACGGAAAGAAGAGGTCATGCACGACGTTCTCTGCGAGAAGCTTGGATTGTGTGAAGACAAGAGTAACAGGGACCTCTCGATCGAAGCGACAGGCGCCACGTCCGCAACACCAGGCAGCAATTCGAAAGCGATAATCGTCGACTGTGTGGGAACAACAAGGTTTATGTCAGTTTTTCTGTTGCCGACTCATCTCGCGCAAGATGACTTACTCTCATCAGCGCCTTGCGGTCGGCCTCCTGGACGTTCCTTGCCAAAAGTCCACCAGTATACATCCGGTACGTTCATTTGATCCACGAGGAAGGACCATGGTATCTGAGTCGACCGCTTGTTGCTTCTTTCCGGGAACTTGACGGTATCATCGAATTGCAATGCTCTGTTGAGGTCGGTGAGTTCATCGTAACGATCGTCGATACAGGTCGCAATGACTTGTTCCAGCCAGCTGAGGTACACCATTTAGTTTCAAACCATGAGGGATGGCAGTTCTACCTACGGTTGGTAGCCATTGAACGAACTGAAGCGCACCGGTCAGTTTCGAGCAATGTGACATGGCAACTAACTTGACCTACATCAGCAATGGGTCTCGTGGGTTCATTCGTAGAGTTTCCTGGACCAGAGCAGCAAATCTACTGCCATCTGCGCTGGTGACTTGGATCGAACTGTGATAGCCTGGCGAGCGTCTGTTGCCAATGTGAATTCTAATCGGCACGCCCTCTTGATACCATGATTTGTGCCTAGGAGAACGGCGTTTGCGATGATGTCGAGTGGCATGGGGCGAATCTCCCATGTTTGTTGAATAGCTCGATGGAGTGTATTTGGGTTGTTGAGTCAGATTCACATCTGAGCGTCTGGGATATGGGTTCATCGTGCCTTCCCTTGACCTCGATGCGCGCCAGTGACGGAAACAAATGCATCCATGGTTCCTTCCTCGATTCTTTAATGAAACACTTATAAAATGCGAAGACAGTCATGCACAGGCGCCCAGGCTGAACTATAGCTTGCCTGGTCAGATCGCGTGATGGATCCATCAGCCCCACGTGAACACCTGCATACGAAGGATGACCTTACAACATGCATCGCCAAATTTGCTCTTCTTGGTAGCCATCGTTAGTGTACAGTGACTTGTCAGATTCTCCATAGAATGCGTTTTCATACAGCGTATCCAGAAGGACCACAGCATTGCTACATAAATGCGCCGGAGAAGAGTAAAGAAACCGCCAGTAGAAGCGAAGCCAAACAAGAAGTATAATAATATGCGACTCAAACAGGTCGTGGGTATAGCGCTGAAAGGTAAAGAAGACATCAAGAAGAACAAAAAGGGGGGACATGAATGTGCTCTGGAGGGTATGCTTGTTAGTCGTAATAAACAGGGACAACTTCGTTCTACGGGCTGTTAGGCCGTTCGTCCATTGTGCCCATATCGGTCGAGTCGCCTTCAATGGTCCGACGCCAGTGTTGCGGTAGACACACACAGACCAGTGGAAAGGCCTTCACCGGACCGTATTCCTCGGGACTTGCTTCGCCACTGCTCATACCACTGTCGCGTGGCAGCTTGCCCTTGCTTGCCCAATCTTCTGCACGCATGCTGATACGCACACCTGTGGCCCAACCATCATCCCATATACCAACAACTTTGACCATATCGCCTCGTTCAAGCTCAAACTCGTCCGCAGCACGGGGTTGATAGGCCCACAAAGACGATACAATATCACCTGGATGTATGTCATCTTGTGAATAGTAGTCCTTGAAAAAGTCGAGTCGTTCCGATTCGGAAGTGCCTTCTGGCGAGGAGATACCATCCTGCGCAGGACTGTCGTAGGTGCCAAAGGCAAGAAGCGAACCGCTGGATAAAGAGCCGTTCCGCCTAGGGGGCGGACCTAGTCCACCCGTGCCTGAGTGTGGTGTCCTTTGGGCTTCTGGGCTAGAATCGGGTGCGACCGTCGGCGAGCGCGTATTGCGATCTGACCCGCTCGATACAGCTTCCAAAGCTGTCATGCGAGCAACACGGCCACCAGGGAGAGCTTCGATTCTGTCGTTTTGGCTCCTACTAGCGCCGTCGTGTCGGTATGCCATAGCCGGAGGTGGACCGCCTTGACGCGACCTCACAGGCTGATTAAAGACACTAGTTGCCGGACTGGCCTGTTTGCGACGACGGAGAAAGACACAGGCTAGAATCAAAAGCGCGAGGAGCACAAAAACACCAAGCAGAGACCCAATCACAATGCCCGCAATTGCACCGCCTGAAAGTCCTTTTCGTTTCCGACTGGTTGGAGAAGCTGTTGAAGAAGGAGATCTTGTAGCAGTTGAAGACGTAGCGGACGAAGTCGAGGTGAAAAGAGGCTGCATAGATGAGGTTGCGACTATGGGTAGAACGACGTTGTCGCAACGATTTGTGGTGTTGGAGAAGACACAGCAAGAGTCAGTGGCATTTGGCGAACTTGCAGCGCAGTAAGAGCAGAGATTGACCAGGTTGGAAGAGAAGCCACAATTGTCCGGTTCGTTAGTAACACCTGCAATACATGAGCCGGATAACGAATTTGCAGGTAGTGCACAGTTGGTGAAATCAGCACGAATTTGGCTGATAGCATTCGAGTTTGCATTGCCACAGATGTCGCTTGCAGTGATGGATTGCTCGCTCTCGGCATATTCGGCCTGCAATCAAGGTCAGCAACCATGGGTCAGGCTTCGTCATAGGAAGGTCATACACAAGTGTTGGCACACAGCGGTCGAGTGGCATCGCCGGTCAGGCCACAGGCGGAGATGGAGTTCTGTACAATGGCATTGCAGAGAACACTAGCGGTGTATCGGGCATAGTAGTTGGACGAGTTTGACGAGTCGAAGCTGGAGCAGCCTATCAAGTCGGAGAACCTTTGTTGGATGAAGCCATTTGATATGTATTGTTGAAGTTGTGTGTCGAAAGAAGAAGTGTCGGTAACATTGGCAAGGAATGGGAATAGTCCAGTAAGGGCGCTATTAGTTGAGATAGAGGCCGTGTTGAAAGCACGGCACTCGGACGAGTCTGTCAGAGGAATGCAACTCTGAGCCAGGGTGGTAGGAAGCGTCGCGGCCGTTAGAGCGAGAGCGTACAAGATTTTGAAACGTCCCGCTGCTCTCTTTTCTCTGGTCCGAATGTGTCTTGTCGTCGCTTCTTTTCCCATGCTGTTTCCGCGCAGCGCGCACTCGGTGCCGGTGTTGCTCCTGGATGTGCGCCGCGTAGGGACATTGTTGGACATTGTCTAGACGCTCGACTATTGCATAAAGAAGATGTATTCGAAGATGCCGTTGGAGAAATTGGGTCGTGTCAAACGAAAAGGATTCGAGTCTAGACCGAGGATAGTATTATCGTTGTAGAGTAATCGAGGCGATGGTGGTGAATGAGGCTAGGTCGAAGAAGAAAACGGATCAGGAGGCTGGCAACGAGCGACTGGATAAACAAGAGACAGCAGGAACCGGAACCAGGAGGACGAAATGATTGACGAGAGACAGCGGACGAGGCAAGCGCGCCTCTGCTAAGTTACTCCAAAACAGCAGTCGCGCTGCTGACACAAGACATCGGGTCGGTCAAGGAGATGTGCGACGCCTGACCCTCGGGTCGCCATGCTGCTTCCCGCCGGCATTTGAACCTGATCTCCTCCAATTTTCCACTTTCGGCTTTGGTCTCTGTATTTTTCCTGGTCCACTCTACGACTTTCGTGCGCACCACTGCTTGTCACTGCCGGAGTCGATGTCGAATCTGTTATGGTTGTAGTCAGCTGGAGTGTGTTGTATTAAGCTACCTCTGTGCCGACTAGACCATCTAGCCTGTGGTTGAGAAAGCGTAGTACTGACTCTCCCCTATGACTTGATCTACTCTGTTTCCCACGCATAACAGCCATGTGATTATGGACGCTGAACTCTGATTCAGACTGCCATCCATGATGCCTCACCGCCGACATGACTTGCATCGTGGCTCGTCCCATGAGGGTCCACGCGAGAGTGCAGATCACTTTGATGTCCGGATATGTTCGACTGCAAAAGTCATTCGATTCGCGCTCAGACTTCTGTTCGCTCACTTGGCACGTCGAGTCGATACTTGAAGCCTTTCAGTGTTTCTGTCGGACATGGTATCGGGAAGTATACGAAGCCTCATACTACGTCACACGGAGCCACGTTTCGTCCATCTCGTAGAGCACAGCATGCAGAGAAACTCTCATTGATCAACAAACATACAAATATGAATAATCGACTGCTTCTAGCCTAAACCGAACCCATGCCGTCTGTCCGTCTGTCTTAGGTGTGTCCATGCAGCGTTCATGTACTGTCTGTTCTCATCAGACTCAATTCTTGGTGGTCGTTAAGGTAATCATGAGTGAGCAGGCTTGGGGGCGGTGGTGCTGTCGACCTGGTAGGCGGCAGCGGAGCGCTGCTGGGCACCGGCGCCTGCAGCCTGAGGACCAGCGGCAATCTCGGCAGCGATCTGGTCTTCGGTCTTCTTGTTGCCGTGCGAGATGAGACGATTGAGGAAGGAGCCGGGTCTGCCCTGGGGGTACTTGGAGTCTTCGGCCTCAGCCTCTTCGAGCTGCTTGTGGAGGTGACCAGTAGTCTCCTCGTCGAACTCCTCGTGCTCGTCGAAGTTGGCTGTCGCAAGTGGGGTTAGCGGGGCCGAAACGGTATATGACGGGCACGAGGATGCAACTCACTCTCCTTGTCGTGCATGCTGAGAGCTCTCTTGATCTTCTGTCTGACGGCCTGCATCTTGACGATTGGTGGTACTGTAGATCTCTAAAGCTGGAACGAGGGGATTGTCAGCGGACGGCGCAGACGGGATGGCACGGGAAGGCTTATGTACCTGTGGTGGTGTAGTGGAGGTTGGTATGGGAATCTCTCAATGCAGATAGGCTCGCTGGGGGAAGATGTGGGATGTAGGATGTAGGATGGAGGAAAGAGGAAGTGAGGTTGCTTGAGCGTCAAAGGCAGAACAAAGATAGACGTGACCCAGGGCAGGCAAGTGCCCGCCCTCATCCAATGCCCAATGCCCAGCGCCCGCCATCACCCGTCGTCATTACCCCACATGAGAGCCGATGGCGCTGCTGATGGACCGTGATGGTCCAAAGTCGGAAACGCTTCTACAATATTCCCGCAAAAGGCTGGTGGGTCTGGACCGTGGCTCCCTCAGCACGACTTACGTGTCCCTGGGTTTGAAGATATGCTTTCAGCAGCACTTGGTGCCGCGCAGTTCGAGATGCCCGCCACAGTCCATGGCTCCAGGCTGCCCACTTCCAAAGAGCCACCCACCACTTCCCCAGATCGCTGTCCAAACCGAGGTTCATTTGTAGGATCGCGCGGCGCGGCCCGTGCGAGAGACTGCTCCATCCTGTTTCCTGGGCGCGCGTTGCATGTTGATTTTCCTTCTAGAAAAAGTAAATAATATCCAACTCTGTCCGAGCACCAGCATGTTTGCGACGCTGCGTCGACGATCATCCTGAACCTGAAACCAGAGCTCATGTGTCGTCTTGAGTTGTTGGGTCTGCTGATTCTTTCGCTTCACGCTCGCAAGGCCAAAGCTGGTCGTGACGCGACAGACGACAACCATCTCGCTGCTCGAACTGTGCACCTGCAATGCTCCACGAGGTCCTCCTCGCCCTCAGCGGGCATCCCTCGCCCTTGTTCCCCGCGACTGCACCGCCAGGGAGATTGTCTGACGCCTTTGTAGACAAAGACTTCCCGCTGTTGTCATCATCGGAAGCGGCTTTATTGGCGACGGTTGGCAAGCTCGCCAGTCTGCATCGCCAAATTCGAGACCACGCAACCCGCATTGTTTCGCAACATCATTCGACCATCTGTCGTGCTGTAGCTGCTTCGTTGTTGCAAACCCATCTCGCACGCTTCCGTAAGAAGATTCTTGATGTCGAGAGCCAGATCTTGACCAAGGATACTGCCATAGTGGGTGCATACAACATTGTGCCTCTCTCTGCAGTTGTCGGCGAGTTTGATGAGTGGAGTCGTCGCATGGACTGGTACTGGACTCTTGCATGCTTCATCCAGCCACTAGACACGTCTGCCCAATCTAACCAAGCAACCGGAGCTGGTATTATTGACCGTCTGCGGTCAGAGCTGCAAACCGGTTTTCCTGACATCGAAACTGCAGCAACAGAGTTGAGTTGCATCGCTGACAAGGCCTGGCTGAAACAGGTGTCGGTGTGGCTGCTGTACGGCTTGCTTCCTAGCCATGGCGCAGAAGACTTCTTTGTCTCTGTGCAGGAATCTGCTGAAGGCCCGCCATCATATGTTTTAAGACGCGAACTGCTGCCCAAATTTGTTTCGCAACAGACTGGCAGCTCTTTGCTGTTCATCGGAAAGTCATTACACCAGGTCAAGCAGCATGCACAAGGATCATCGGCGTCGCGGATCGTTCGTGGTAACGAAGATGCTGCACTGCTGGATGCACATCTTCAGTCTCTTTCGTCACTATCATTCCCCCTAATCCCCGCTTCGTTCTCTACCACAATATCCTCAATACGCTCATCTCTATCACAAAAAGTTCTTCAACGCCTACTCCCACCCGACGAGATCAAGCTCGTGCTGAGCACCCTTCGTCAAATCATGCTTCTTGACAGGGGCGAATTTGCTGTCTTCTTAATATCTGAGGCGGCAGAAAGGCTAGACGCAAGACAAGTTGAGCAGGGTCGATACCTGCAGGAGCCCTCTGGAAGGGATCTCCGTGGCGTGATGATGAAAGAGGGTGAAGTCAACGAGTCACTTTCACGCACATGGAAGTCACTGACCTCGCTACAAACCGAGGATCTCGAAGACGTCGTACTCGAGTTTGCTCGCGAGAACATGCGCCTGGAGATCGATACACGGCGAGCTGGAGCACGACCTTCAACCTCAGATGGAACAGCATTGGATATGGCCAGCCTGTCCAGCACCTCGTTCAATGATCTCCTGTTCCCTGTCCCAACCCTACTCACGATGCAAATCTGCTCACCACTGGACCTCTTCGTCTCCCGAGCCGACATGGATCGCTACTCGGCACTCAACGCATATCTGTTGAGTCTCCGGCGAGCACATATGCGATTGTCAAGTCTATGGCGAGAATCAGGCTCGCGCCGTGCAGCTGCGAATCCCGCTCGCTTGAGTGCTGAAGCGAAACAGATCGCGCAAGCTCGCAGCGCCTCGCAACGCAAAGTCTGGGCCACATGCAGTGCAGCTGTCTTCTTGTTATCAGAAACCACAGCATACTTTGAGGGCGAGCTAATCTCAAGCTCATGGGACACCTTCTACTCGTGGGCCACTGCTCAGCATCACGACCCAGAGACGCTAGCAAGAGCCCACCAATCATTCCTCGCAGCGCTCTCCTACGTTATGTTGCTCACCGACGCGGCATACACTCGATCCCTGCGCGACTTGCTCGCCCACGTCGATGCTCTAGTCGCGCTGTTCGGCCGCCTTCAACGCCTTCAACAAACAACCAGTCTTGGTGTTGGTGGCACAGATTTCCTCGATGACGAAGAGACAGAGGTATCGCGCGAACTCGATCGCTCTCGCAAACGTGTGGATGCCGCTCTCAAGGATATTGTCGCCAGGTTGCGTCAGCTGGATCACGAGCGTCTGGGTGCAGCTAGGTATCTCCAAATTGACACTCAAGACACGGACTTTGAGGTGTGGCGCGGTGGAGGCGTGGACAGACTGCTGATGAAACTGGATTTTGGCAGGATGACTGGTGGTGATGAGTATATTGTGTAGGCTGCTGGTGAACGCCTTTCTTTGCAAGGGTAGATTCATATCCTATAGCCATGAATTTCTAATGAGGAAGAAAGTAACATTCTTCCAGACTTGTAGACTCTTCAATGCTTCTGAAGTGTTCATGTGAATCAGGTCATTTTGACCCCTTTAGGTCATGCTTTGGTGGTCGTTATTGGCTAGAGTGAGAGTGGAGACCATTGACCATATGCGTAGAGGGTATATATCGTCATCAAGCACAACCCTTCTTCTACCTCTATGCAAAACATTCTCTCAACCTCTCTTGACCATCTTACCAAATACCCAACCACTTCTTAATCGGCTTCCTCCTGCCTTCAAAATCGGTATACATCTCCTCAGCACCCTCCTTGTCGACCGCCGCAGCCGCCAAAGCCTCACTCTCCTTTCCCACGGCCATCTCATTCCCCACAGCCGCCAGAGCCTCACCTTCCTTGCTCTGAGCCTTTTCTCCTCCACTCTTGTCATCCCTAGCACTCCACCCACCAAACACACCCTCGGCCTCATTCAAGCCATGCGCTTTCCTGAACTCTGCCCTCTTTCTCACATCGTCGACTTTGTTTTTGCGGTATTCGGCTGTTTGGATGGAGATGTATTGAGAATGCAGATTGTAGACTTGAGCGTAGCGAGAGAGGAAGGCGATGGGATGGGAGAAGAACATGTTGTTGGGTGGTAGTTGATCGAGGTAGGGTGTGTTTGCCAGAAAGTTGTTTAGCCAGGTGAAGAAGGCGAGGGAGATGAGGATGGACTAGCAGAAATTAGTTGGTGGTGGAGTTGAGGGGGGGAGCAGAGCTAGAGGGATAGGTACCATGGTGATCCACACATGGATGGTGCGGTTTGTGAGGAACCAGTGGAAAAAGGTTCCTTCGGGTGGCATCATGTGTGGGTATTGCTTCGTCTTTTGCTGTGCCTTTTCCTTGGCGCTCAAAGGTACTGAGAAGGCGGGTTGTCTGTTACGGCGGGGTAGGCGAGCAGGGTGTGATGGTGGGTTGAAGCGTGTGGGCTTCTCGAGTAGTCGGCCCTTGGGCACTGGTTTGGAGCTGCTGCTGGCAGGGCGGGAGAGTGTGAGTTGGCGGAGGAGAAGCGAGGTCTGCGGTGCACGCATAGTGCGCAGTGTGAGCTGTCGCGATAGCTGGAGCGCTGACATTGTCGACATGGTATGCGAGGCTGCAGTGCAAGATGGACATGTCGATGGCGGTGGAAAATCATCATGATCCGGGCCTCGGCAAAAACTTCCCCACCGGATGCGGCCAAACCATGCCACCTCCGAGCGCCGACGACTGCCATCATCGTGCATCATGCTACATATCCAGACCCTTGAATTTTTTGATATGGTTTACATTCGCTTATCAGATCTTGACCTGCAACCACTCAACGCATCCTTGCGAAATGCTTTCATTTCTTTTCTATATCGTACAAGTCTGCGGTGTGAGCACAACGCTTCTAGTCCTGCTTCTTCTCACTCTTGTCAACCTTCACGACCGAAGGGAGCGAGGTCAACAAGCTCGGCCAGACCAGCGTGAACTCGTCTTGACGCCCGTTCAAGCAATGCCGAAGCCACACTCCCCACACAATGTAGAAGTATGCTCCAGTTCCAGTCATGAGATGCCACCATCCATGTCCTTCGAGGAAGATACCCCAAGGCAGTCCAACCTCGTGGCGCCACTTACGTAGCTTAGAGCAGTAAACATTGTCCAGTGTCCAGATGCCAAACCCACCCAGGAAGACGCTCAATCCACATGCGACCATGAGCCACATGGTTTTGATGATCTTGCGATCCCTGTCATCCCGACGTCGTTGTTCTTGCTCGCTGATTCCGTTCTGGAGACGCGCAGCTTCTCTGGCCTTTGGCTTAGGGCGGATGTCGCGTTCCATAACATACATGGATCGGAACAAGACGGTAGCAGTCAGGAGCGCATACATATTCTGGTGGAAGACCGGGTCTCCAAGGTAGTGGTAGTAGCCTGTGATAAAGACCGACAACGACACCAAGAAGAGAGCGAGGAAGATGCGAAAGGTGCGTGTCTGCTTGTGTGCAAAGGTCGCGTAGAACATAAGGCAGGTCGTGTAGATCATTGAGAGTTCGTCAACGAGTTGCATTGGGTCTGCATTATGTTAGTGGAGTTCTGACGCAGGCAGTCTCGGGTACTGACATTTCAAGGTCGTGTGGAAGAGGAAACTGCCAGTTCCGACGACCAGGTAGCCGATGAAGGTGATGAGGAAGATGTGATCATGCCCATTCTGCATACAGTTGGTGATACCACGGAAGGCCAGCCAGACGAAGAGAAGGTTGGTCAAGGTGTTGACGATCTCAGCCGAGTAGACGGTGGCATAGTAGTCCTGGTCCTTGTCAGACTCGAGGGTCGAGTTTTTCAAGGAAGTGTATGACGAACCTCCTCACACCAGTTCAGTGTAGAGGTTACGGGACTCCAGTAGCCCTCTCTCGAGGGAGGGTACGGTATTGAGGGTAACAAGGATGCCATCAAGATGGTGTGGAAGCTGCGGAAGCTTCGGGATTCGGTGCAGCGACTGTAATCAGAGTTGATGGGTTGAGCAGGGCCAGAAACGACAGAAACCGCGAAAAACCGAACCGAGAGACGCGCAAAAGAAGGAAGCAGAGGAGACAGCAGGCACAAACAAGGAAGCAGACTGACTTTGTTCAGACGAACACGCTCATCGACGAAAGAGTGCCAAGACGCGTGTCATCAAGCCGCAAGCCGGCAATCACATGCTGAATGAACTCCTGCCAATCCATCCACCAAATCTTGCTCTCGTACAACAACAGACAGCAAACACTCGCCCGCCATGTCCATGTCTCCGGCAGATATGCAGAAGGTCAGTCCATCTGCCTGTCACAACCCAATAACAACACACGCTGACTCTGTGTCCAGCTCCTGCAAGAAATCGAGCAAAAGGCCCAGTTCTGCCAGCAACAGATGGTCATTGTCAAGCAGCAAATCAATAGCAAGAACCGCGAAAACCGCATGCTTCAGCTCACTGCCGCCGAACTTGACGGCCTGCCATCTGACGCCAACGTCTACGAGGGTGTCGGCAAGATGTGAGCAACCACAACTGATCAGTCTTGAGAGCAACGTTTCTGACATGCCCATTCTAGGTTCGTCGCCAGCCCCACGACCGACGTCAAGGTCCGCCTGACAAAGGATCAAGAAACCATCAAGAAGGATATGGAAGGCCTAGACAAGAAGATGCACTACCTCGAGACAACCTTCAACAACAGCAAGACTCACTTGGATGCCATCTTCAAGAACGGTGGCAGATGAATATCGCATCAAATACACTACTCGCCAAAGACACGTCTCGAGGTCTGAGAACTCTCCGCAGAGTCCATTGCGCTCGCACTGCAGCGCTATCTCAACGGTCACCAAGAAGCTGTGGTCAAAGCTGCAAATCATGATTTACGAACAAAGGTCAGAATGGAAGGACGCTCCCAACGACATCGTCACAGTAGCAGAGACTGCTGAGACGACCTCGAGGAACATACGGCTCTTGTCTCGAAACATCGGAATCTCGAGGACTACCTAGCACGTATGTCGATTTGCACAACGCAGTTTGTACGAATACTGCTCCTTTGTACGCAGTGCCGAGATTAGAAGTTGTGCACCTTTTCGGAGAACACACCTATTGACCTTTCTCCTAAATTGTCTTATCGCATCCTTCAAATATATATGCAATCTACTGCAAGCTACTGCTGCAAATTGCCGCCCATGATCCTCCAGTTCCAACTTTAATCTGCCACGGTATTGCGACAAAGCAGTTCGCTGCAGCACTCCTTGGAGTCTGGTCAATTTCCTCGACAAGATCTTTCCGACCAAGCGCCCAAAAAGAGCTGATTATAGCTGCCACCAGACTACGATCAGAACATAGCAAAAGCGACGCGCCTGTTTCAAGACATGTACACCACGCGCGCGGCTCGTGCAGGAGCTCAGATCGCCAATCGCCGTCTGCAGCAGCTGGCAGCTGCAGTAGTCAGCGGGGTGAACACCACTCTTCTCCCACTTTTGCCAACAATTCGTTCGCGACCTGACCGGTCAGTCACAAACGAGACAGGGCATGGAGCTGCAAGCCGCAACATGTGTCCGATTTTCGTGAATCTCGTCAGCGTTTTTACCAAAAGTAAGTCAGCCAGTGCCCAGAATCCCGGGCTTCAAGAGGCGGTAAGGCGTGGCATCTGCGACAAGCCATGGTAGCCTTCGGCATGCACAAGTCATGACGGCTATTGGTGAGGTTGTTGGTATACAGCACTATACGCGGCGGGTCACGCGCGATCCTTCGCTTGTAGCCCTTTTGTCCTTTTCTGTCAGCAGCCTTGACTCTTGCATCTTTCTCGCCCGAACGTACGGTAGGCTGAGACTCTGTGTCATTGCAATCAGAGTGTGTCTCGTGTCTCTGTCTGATTGCCCCGGCTGTCTCATTTGGTTGCTTTTCGTCTTTCTACTTTCCATTCTTCCAACAAAATCAACACATCCTTATCACATTCCTCTTATCTTGTTGAGGGACGGGCTCGCAAACATCATACGCTCCCTTGCTGTCGGTTCAAGGACATTCACAGCATCATCTCAGCACCGTCAACATGGTCTATTCATACGGAGAGTCGTGGTATGATCGTCAGGATCCTTCGCCACCACCGCATGCACGCTACTACCGTCACTCCTATCGACACAGCGGCCACCTCACGCCTGAACCACAATACTCCAATCTACATCGCTCGTACTCGCAAGGCCACAATGTTCCACACCCCACCAACATCCATATCCACAACAAGATACCCATCAACCAAGAGACGACCAATGCCCAACGCGCAGACTCGAGGCCTCCTCCTCCTCCTATGCCCGCACCCATGCCACCTCAGCCCCATTTCCAGCCAGTACCGATGATGGCACCACCGATGTTCGTCCACCAACAGGTACCCATGATGCAGCCTGCTCCTCCGCCAATGATCGACCCTCATGCCCTGCGAGCCCAACGCCTAGGGGAGCAATTTCTGGCCGACGAATTTGCAGAAATGCACCTCCACCGCCATCGCTCCCACTCTCGCGGCCGACGCTCTCCTGATGATCGTCTCCGCTGGGACCTCGAACAACAACGTCGCGATGCCGCCGCGGCAGAGTCCCTCCGCCGCCATCACGAAGAAACCGCTGCTCTCAAAGCCCGATTCGAGCTCGACCGCCGCCGCGAAGAAGCCGCTGCTGCAGAAGCCAAACGCATCCGCGAGGATGAAGCCACGGCTCTCAAATTGAAACTCGAACTTGAGGCCGAACGTGAAGCAGCAAAACGCGCAAAGCAAGAAGCAGACGCAGCAGCAGAACGAGACCGCGTAATCGCCGAGCACGAGCGCAAACTCACCGCCGATGCCAAAGCCGCCGCCGACGCCGAAGCAGCATTCAAACTAAAGCTCGAACTGCAAGCTGCGGAGGAAAAAGAGCGTGAACGAAAAGCCTACGACGATTTCCTCCGCAGACAACGAGAAAAGGAAGAGGCAGAAGAACAAGCCTACCGCGAAGCCCTACGCAAGCAAAAAGAAAAAGAAGAAGCCAAAGAACGAGAATACCAATCCTTCCTGCGTCTGCAAAAAGAAAAACAAGAAGCAGAAGACCAAGCCAAGAAAGAGGAACAAGCACGTATCGACTCCACCATGCGAGCACGACTGGAAAAGTTGGGAATGTCTCAACACGACATTGAATTGGCTTTGGATCCCGAAAAGGCGGAGAAGGAAAAGAAGAAAAAGAAGAAACACAGGTATTCAGGAGATGTGTATTTGGATGACTATGTCATTGATGTGGGAGGAGGAGCGCCGCCGAGTCTGCCTGATGCACCACCTCTGGGCGTTGGCTTTCCTCAACACCACGTCCCGGTGTATCCGCGCATCAATCGCAGGTATCTGGACATCGAGACCTTGGAGCATTACCATGTACCTTGGGAGTGGGATCGTGTAAGTTTTTTCTTTCTTCCTCCCTTGCGCTTTCTGTTTCCCCTTTCTTCCTCCTACCAATCAACTCCATGAGAAAAGGACAATGCTGACAGATGCAAAACAGGCGAACTCAGACTTCATCATTCTGCTGCGCGAGTTAGACAAGTACGAAACAGATGTGCTGTTCGAGCACACGCGTCGCCGTCGTCAAGGTTCCTCTGCGCCTTTGCTCATTGACAAGGCCAAGGATACAGGACCAAAGTTTGCTTGGGTGAGGCACAAGAGTAAGGAAAGAAGTAAGAGTAGAGGAAGGGACATCAGGGTCACTGAGATTGTGAGGAGATGATATAACGAGAAGTGATGGTCTGTGCGCGAAGGGAAAGAATAGGTATGCAAGAAAGTAAAGATCATAGATTGTGCACGAAATGATGGTGCTGGGATTTGCCTTCTAGGAGGTTGTTGGATCTTGTCTTGAAGATCGTCTTCTCTAGTAATTCTATGGAAGCTCGTTATCATCCTCTTCTTGTTCCATCGTCTCAGCATCCGTGAAGATTGAACGGTGTCTAACCTGACCCTTCCTCAAGGATTTCATTGAGCACCTGAGGGGCTCATCTTGGGAAGCTCGATATGTTGATCTTTTCAAGCAATGCCTTCGGCCACCACTGAACGCGGCTTTCTGATTTCCGCTATGCCGACCTCTGGTAGAAATGGTACTCGATTTGACTCTGGCCCTGTGGGCAGATCAGAGATCAATGTTCAGGAATCGACCTTGTCCAATGCTTGGAGAATTTCCTCGCCCACACCGCCCTTCTCGACGACCATCTTGATCATACGAGCAACAAGGCTGCGGCCAACGCCGCCCCTAGGCGGTCTCCAAACACCGCTGTCCGTTTCCCTTACTGCCAAAGCTTCTGCCTTTGTTGGTGCAGCACCTCCGGTAGCGGTATTGAGGACATCAGGCGTACCTGCACCTGTCAACCTTGATGGCGGGTCCACCATTCTGACGGCCATGACAGCAAGTTGTCTCTCAGCTGCTGGAGCGACACTGACGGCAACAACTGCGTCGGCGACTGCGAGTTCGTCGCCGCTGGGATCGAAGAGGATGTTAGGGCCTATTGAGGCGAGGAGCAATGTGACGGGAGGCTTCTGGCCTGTTGTGTAGAGGGGTACGGCGACGTCCCAGTCGTCGTTGAATAGAGGGTCTTCGTCTTGTTCCGAGATGAGGGCTGGAAGTTGTGTGTGTTGAAGAGCAAGATGTGTCGTCAGCGAGAGGAGAGGCAGAGGGTAGGATAGCGGGGCAGAGAGTAGGAGAATCTGTTGTAGATGTCAGCAATTGTCGCTTTCTTACAAGAAGGTTGGAAAGGTGATGTTACATCAATGTAAAGACGCCAGTGGAAGCGGCGATTGATGTACAGGCGGTCCTTCAGCACTTCTGTGGCCAGCAGACTCTCGCGCAACATGGCGCCCAAGAATACGGGCAGCGGATCGTCGTCTCTGTAGCCAGCCATCTCAATCTGCACCTCGACCCAAGCATCTCTTCCCTTTCTTCCCTCATCTCCCTGACCCATGCCTCCCATCTCAATCTCTGCGCCTCCTGCTGTGCCCAGACCATTGTCTTTTTCCGTCTCGCCAGCATAGTCGCGACCGTAGCCAGCGCTCTTCTCGACTTCAGCCTTGATGCCGACTACTGCTTCTGTGCCATCGGCGAAACAAATGCGCGCCGAACCGTTTGCTGAGGGTAGGATGTCGGATTCGGCGACCAAGGGACGGAATTGAGTGGGACTGCGACCATCGGGGCGGATGGGTGGTGTTTGTGAGAGGGATTTGTGCAGGTAGCTCAGCTCGGCTGGCGAGAGATTTGCGCTTGTCGGCGCCATTGTGTGTTCTGCTGTCTTTTGATGGTGCTGACAAGCGACAGGTCGAGTTGCGACAGGCCAGTTGATTTTCTTTGCAATGGTCTCTACGAATGACGAAGCCAACTGCGCTTCCCGTCATCATGGAAGCTTTTGGCGAGGCCACAACTTAAGTCTTCGTCCGCCTACTGACATACTAAGTCAGTTTTCTGCTCAGGTCAACCTATCTACGTAGTCACGCAATCAATGATTGATGTCTTTGATCAGTTACTAGTAAATGCATGCATTTCCGATAACTCGTCTCGTCGAAAGAACGTGACAAATGTGTTGGCCTCGCTTGAGACTACCTCTTTCCCCAGATCTCCATATGACATTCCTGACTTCACATCCTCACACTCCATCGCTCTCGTACTGTTATCGATCTGCTTGCTGTCTCGCTGCATGTGTTTGCCATGCAGACAGAGTGGTCGGAAGTTTGACATTCACATGGTAGCAGTAAGTGTCCTTCTTGTTTGCTTGTATCAAGAAAGAGCGTGGATCATTTCTACACATGGGTAGAAGAGCATCATATCACATTTGAAAGAGCATGCAACATCATCATGCGCAAGGAGACTACATGTTACACTTTGGCTTCTCTTGTCCACCATGAAGAGCCTGATGTCCTGTATGGATATTCATAGACTGGCAATTCAAGGACACAATCGTTCCAAGACTAGCAGTCTTGTCCACCGACTCTCCGTCACATCGCCATCTCTCAACGGGCATCTCAAGAAGACTCTGCAATTTGATAGCAAGTCGAAGGCATCGCCTACAACGTAGAGTTACTGGCCTCGCACAGGCGTCCATGCCTTCAAAGCCAGCATACACAACCTGGTCCGGGTTGTCTTTGCTTGTCAAGATGTGGCTGGCTATACTTGTGTACCTGTACATCCACATCTATGCAGGGAGAGCACCGTCTAGAGAGAGACATCAAACATGATGCACGAGAGCATTCTTGGAAGAGCGTGATGCTTGGAGAGCCTCTTGGTCTCAACACAAGTATGCTTGTCTCTCTACCTACATATACCGACCTCGCTGTCGCCTCCCCCATCGACCAGGACGGGTGGTTTGGCCGAGTGGTATTGTACAAAAGAGGAAGCCTTGGCCGTGCCGGGTCAAGTCATCCAAACTGTGCACTACTGCGTGCCTGGTGGCCTGAAGATCGCGCGTTCGATTCTCGATAACGTCGTCTGTTAGGGAGGGTTGGGCTCCTTACGGCCACAACACAAGTGAGCCTCCTCAACCTTTCAGTTCCGATGTGAGTTCTCGTGGCCTAGGGGGAAAGTGAATGTTGGCTCCGCAGCATCCATTGCAGAGGGGGTATACTACAGTCACTTGCAACAACGCAGTCCAGCGAGTAAGTGACCTAGGAACCCACAGACACCTCGCCCAGCGGAAAGGTTATACGCTGCGGCTGTTTTTCGGGACAGTTCGTATGTAGTCACTGAATACGTCGCCATCTGTGGAGTCGGGAATCATAATCGCTTGAGCATCAGTAGACGTACAGAGCGCACAATGATTGAGTCCGGAATTTTTTGCTCAAGGTACACCAATCAGTTGCGGGCTTTGATGTTGGTCTGTCATGCACAACAAAGAACCATCTCAACAACAAGCACACAGCGACTCATATACCAATCGATGCAACATAGTATAGCATGCCGAAGACAATGCTTGATTGAGATGGTCTAGATCATACACCACCCTTTCCTGGCTTCTCTCCCACCGCAGGCTTATCTGGTCCTTCTGGTCTCTTCCAGAAACCGCAAACCTCCGCCATACAATCGATACCCAGGACTTCTCCAGCACCGTCGAATTGGACTCTGTTTCCACCTGAGTTCATGTCTTCGACCATCTCATTGACCAACTGGACAAACGTTTGGTTCCCATTCATCTTGGACGCAGTTGGTCCACCTCCGTGGCTGTCCCAGTAGCTGGTCTGCATGTCTTCGCAGAAGTAGTAGCCACCTGGCTTTACGGTCTTCCACAGATGCTCAAGAGATTTGATTTGCTGATCCATCGTGTGGCCACCGTCGTCGATGATGATGTCGAAATTACCACCAGAGTCTGTGATAAACTCTTCGAGAAACGCTTCATCCGCTTGGTCTCCAGTGAAGATGGTCGCTCCGCTCGTCTTGCGAGCCCACTTCCTTGCGCAGCGTTCGTCATACTCGATGAAGTAGAGATCCACGTAGGGGAAATACTCAAGCCAGAGGTTGTAGGACGCTCCAGGACCGTATCCCATGTCGCAACCAAGGCCAATTTCGAGCATCTTGATGCGCTTCATCCGGAATGCCGGCAGGTACTTTTCGTACATGTGGTGGTAGCTGTGCGCTGTGACTTTGTCTGTTCCATATTTGGCAGCGACTTTGTAGAAGCTTGGCCGGCTACGATACCGTGTCGTCAGCGAAGGAAATGGTATCAGATACACGATTTTGTTCTTACCGCCAGAGCTTCTTTGCATTCGGTACTCCTCGCTGATGGAAAGCCGCAATTACGAAAAGCAGCGATGCGACGATACCAAGAACGATCGGTAGACGATGGGGAGTGTGGACGGCCATTGTGGATGCGAAAAAGTTGGCAATCTGAGGTAGGTGCACTCGACCGGAGCTAATATCTCACTCGAGACGCGCTGTCAGGTCGAGGCCGTGCCCAGGTATGTACCTCACTGCAGCCCTGGCTTCTTTCAAATTTTACCCCTTGCATTTCAGCCATGAGGTCGTGCAGTGCGCACCTCTTATCACCTATCATTGTCGACGCTGCTTCTAGATTATTCCCGGTAGAATTCCTCAATATCGGCCCGTAGGACAGACATTACGGGTCGCGTCTTGAGAAATGTTGACCGAACAAAGGCCAAAACATGTAGTTGCCCTCAAATACGATTTGTGATGGATATGCTACATTCTGACGTGTTTTGACAATCTTGGCTTCCGCAATGGCTTTCTACAAGACTAACCTGGCAGTGCTAGCTGCAATCAGTGCTTACTTGCTCTTTCGACAATATCAAACCGAAAAGCAAGATTCGGTAGCAGAGGCTGAGAGTGGAGTGAAAAGTGCACTGGGACAAACTGCCATCAGAAGGTTCAAGAGAGCATTCTTCCCAGCATATGCACTGGTCTGCGCAGCTGACTGGCTTCAGGTGAGAGCAGATTCTCATTCTGTGTCAGGATCTCAGCTGATTTTCGAAAAGGGCCCTCATATCTACGCACTTTACAAATACCACAAACACTTACCTGAAACGACGGTTGCTGCTCTCTATGCTAGTGGGTTTGTTGCTGGTGCTCTCAGTGCCTCTTTCGTCGGACAGTTGGCTGACAAGTACGGTCGACGAAATGCGTGTCTGTTGTATTGCATCATCTACTCGACTGCATGCTTCACAATGCTCTCAGATGACTTGCTTGTCTTGTTCGCTGGTAGGGCTTGTGGTGGCGTCAGCACGACTTTGCTATACAGTGTCTTCGAGACATGGATGATCGCAGAATACCATGACCAAGCATTAGATGCATACGGGTTGAGCCTCGGAAGCATGTTTGGCAAGATGACCACGCTCAGTGGTGTGGTGGCAATCGTCTCCGGTGTGGTTGGTGACGTTTTGGTCAATTCTCTGAACTCAAAGACGAGCCCTTTCATGGCTAGTATCGTTTGCCTGGGTCTGGCTTTCGCCTTCATATCGAAGCGTTGGGTAAGTGTTCACAAAAAGCAGATCTGAGACTGTACTGACATGTGTAGAATGAGAACTATGGAGACAATGCCAGTAGCAAAGACAAGACTGGCGAATCTGTCGATCTCAGCAGCGTACTTCTCGGTATATGCAGTTTCCCAGAAAATCTTGAGAGACCAGCATGGCTGATATCATGCAGATCCGAAGATTATCTCCATTGGTCTCGCCTCCTGTTTTTTCGAAGGCAGCATGTACATGTTCGTCTTTTTCTGGTCAGCCGCTTTGTCTACTGTCCACGCCGCCGTCGATTTCACGAATCCACTTCCTTTCGGAGTGGTCTTCAGCTCTTACATGTGTGCTATGATGGTGGGCTCTATCATGTTCACACTTGTACCGCCATCACAAGACAAAGGACACTACATCCTCAAGATTGTCTTAACCAGCGCCAGCATCTGCCTCCTATGCAGCATCCTACTCAAGAGTGAAGCCCTTGTCTTCTGGGCCTTCTGTCTGTTTGAGGTCTGTGTGGGTGCATATTTTCCGAGCATGGCATCTCTGAAGGGTAGATTGATCCAAGATGGCAGTCGTGGTAGGATATACGGTATCCTCAGACTGCCTTTGAACCTCTTTGTCATTGCAGCGCATAGTCTTGCTGAAGAAGGTACGTATTGCATATGTCATGGCTGTATCTTCTTGACTCACACGGTACAGGCGATCAGCATCGTAACAATGTGTTCTTGACCTGTGGTGGCCTTTTGGTGGTCGCTTTCGCTGTTGTGCACCGATACCTTACATCTGGACCATGATGAGTTGGGACGAGACTTGAGGTGGTTACCAAGACCTAAGGTTCACAATGTGGCCATGTGCAATGTACGAGTTGGCCTTGAGAGGCCACAGACAGCGTCATGAAGCTTCACATCCTCTGGGCGACCGTCTGATGTGAAGTGTATTCCTCACACGAACTGAATTCCTCACACGAGCTGAAGCTCCCTGATTACCTTGGGTGGAGCGCATATAAACTATTGGTGAGCGTCTCTCAATGTCATATCAAAGCGAAGGGATGAGGGTATGGAGTTTGGAAGGTGCGTTCTTGAACTCGAAACCAAGACTTCACATCGACAGGCAGGCACGATTCGCTGACTTGACTTCCTTCCCGTTGAGCCAACAACATCGTCGTCGCTGCCTCGTCGTCGCTGCCGAGGATCGCATCGATTACTAAGGTCACTGTCGGGTTTCGTCCCCCTCCAGCCTATTTATTCTGCTTTCTTCTACCCTTTTTCCATCCTCCTCCCTCATCAACCTCAAAGCACATCGCCCGCGAGCATCCCTTCCCTCTACCACTCACTCTCTTCTTCAAAGACTTATACGTTTCACACATACCACAGTCCACAACAGCCACATCCCAATCATGCCTCAATCCAACCAGAACGTTGAACGCGAATGCTCACTCTGTGGCAAGGTCCGCGGTCTCTACGAGTTCTCGGCCAGTCAGCGCCGTAAGGGCGACGATGCTGCCTGCTTGAGATGCATTCCTGAAATCCAGAGTGTCAAGCCTGGCCAGCAGAAGCATGACATGGACACCAGCGATGCCAAGTACATTGCCGTAAGTACAGACTTATCATGAATGTCACTGTAATCTTACTAATCGTATCTGCACAGCACACTGGCACTACCGCCTCCAAAACCAGTGGCTCCCTAGTCAACAAGACCGGTGGTGTTCGTCTTCCTACCTCCGCCTTGTCTTCTGCTATCACTGCTGGCTCTGGCAATGCTTCTGTCATCAGCACTGGCGCTTACACTCGCAACGGCGCTGCTTCATTTGCTGCTCCCTCCACTCGCTACTCTTCGGCCACCAACGGCAACGAGCCCGCCCCCACCTACGATGTCGGCGAGAACGGATGGGTTCGCATTCGCAAAGTAAGACGCATATTGAATCCTTTTCTGTTTCTCCATGCGACTGACGAGTATCTTCTAGGGACACCGTGAGGAGAATGTTCCCGAGCTGGCTGACGACGATGTCGAGACCTTCAAGGACGATGACGATGGCGAAGATTACAACATGTAAACAGGGCCAAAGACTACAACTCTGATTGCTTGAGCGGGGTCGATGAAGGAAAGAAAAAACGACTGATTGACTGGTCCTTTATAGTTTTTCAGTCTCGGGAGGAGGTTCAGTTGTGATCGAGATGGCTTTTTCCGCAGTCTCTCACAAACTCTTTATGATAATGCTTTTGCTTCAATTTCATTCTACTCTTTATGCTCCTGAAAGTCTTTTACTGTGGTGACATCGTGACCTTGTCAAATTTTCCGAAACTATACTCAAGTCATCTTCCCAGGCTTCGGGGAATGTAGAGAGCCAGATTTTAGTATCCTTCCTACGTGTCCATCGTCGAATGGCAATCAAGTCTGGCAATCATAGCTCACGAAAGAGATATTGCTAACGAGACTTTATTTTGTTGACAGTTGTCTCCCCTGACAGCACTTCCTGCTGTTTGATCAGTCATGTGGTTTACCGAACATAGAAAAACATACGAAAAAAGGCAACGAGAGGTCGGGATATAGAGTGATACATCCAAGTCCGTAATGGGAACACACCCCCGACTTGTGCTTGAAACTTATAGCATCGAGACCTGAAAAGAGACTGACACAAACAACTGTTGGTCTTCAAGATATGAATGGGCTAGAACGATCAATAGCAAACTACAGACCAACCGTGGTACTGCACCTTTGCTAGAATGGCAGACAGCGGAGTAGGAACATGGCAACACACACACACACATACTTTCCTTGACCATGCATAGTTCAACGAGGCACTAGACCCTACTGGCTCGCCAAAGTCCATGAGGAGTTGAAAATCAAGACATGTGAACTCTCAAACCATAGAACATTCAAAGCGAATAATAGTATATTCTGAACTCTATGCTCTAAGTATATAACTTCTATGGAACCAAGTTCACGTATATCTTCTCTAATCCAAAATCCGTCTATAATCTATAGTCTAGCCTTGAACCTCGCATTCTCCTCCTGCAACGGCTCAGCAATACCATCCCCAGCAGCCTTCGGCTTACCAGGCTTGCCCGACTTCTTCGGCGCAGCATGATAACCACCTTTGACGTTATCCGTGTTTGTAATGTTACCATTGGCATCTCTCTGGATGCCCAATTCCAGAAGTTTGCCGAATGCCTTTGCAAAGTGATCGAAGAAGAGATCTTTGTCGGCAGCATACTTCTTGACCCAAGGGCCAAAGGACTCGTCAGTGACGAGCGCGAGATCGGTGGGCAGCATGGCGAGTTCTTCGTCCAGGTCTTCGTCCATGTAGACGAATTGCTTGACGCCGTTTTCGAGTATCTTTTCCTTCCACTCGTATTCGGTCATGATTCTGTAGTAGGTGTTGTTGAAGCGAGTACCGTTTGGCACCCACGGACCGTGAAACCCAGAGCGATCCATGTGCATTCTTCCCAGATTGTGAGCGCCACTCAGCGCAACAATCTCTTGATCCGTAAAGCCCATTCGGTAGAAGATGAAGCGGATGTGATCGGCGCCTTGAGCTCCGTCCGGCAGACGACCACGAGGAGGCAGTTTACTGTCGTCCACAAAGTCTGTTCTACCAGGCAGCCATTTGATCTGAGGCCCTCCCATCTCTTTCAATGCAACAACGGCAGCCAAGGTCCATAGGTCGGCGTAGGAAATCCAGGTGTGCTTCTCTTTGATGGGTTCCAAGAATACGCGTGCGTGTTGGAGTCCAGCGTTTGCTTCGTCGCCGCCTTCGGCCTTTGCAAAGATGTTAGTTGATAGGTACGAGACTTGGATGTGGGATAATAGCAATCATACCTCGTATCGCATGCCTGCTCCATTGCTACCGCCCGTATCGGTTTCCGAACAATACGTGCCCGAAGCATGCCACGCCAGACGCACTAGCACCGGACCAGCACTGCCATCATCATATTCCGGTTGGTGCAGAATCTTTCTTATGTCTGCGGCGACGGCTTCAAAGTCTCCGGATTTGCTCATTGTTGTGCTGGATTTGGAGAAAGGGATTGACGAGCGGGAAAAGAAAAAAGACCAGAAATGTTTGCTGCATACACGAAGAGAACCCGGGATATATAAAGCAAAAGGTGGCAATGACTATTACTTACATACCTCGAGATATCATCTCGGTCGGCTATTGATAACAGGGTGATTGGAATAAAAACAATGCGCCGAGGCTCGCTCTTTCGTCATATCGGAAACAACGTTTATTGGACGCACGGGGCTTTCTTACAGGGCATCTAGATCTGTGTCTTCTCAGACAACGAAGCAGAAGAAAACCGTGCCAATACAGCTATACTTGAGAATCTATCTTTACTTTACTTTACAATGCGAGTCTCAGCCATTTGATCCTGAGCCCACGCCGCTGCTCTCAGAATGCAACCTACATCGGGCGCGTAGGGTCGGAAGTATCTATGAGCATAGATGGATGTGAGTGGCCTTGGAGAAACCATGTGCGTTCCGTATCGCACCTGCCCTTGCATAGGGTACCGAGGTACCTGGTCGGAAACGCGGCTGACATGTGAACATCAATAAGTGTCTTCGAATTCTTTGGAAGACGCAAAAATATGCAAAACTTTCGAGATCGAATTTAGAAATACACAAGGCGCTGCTATTTGCTAACGCCTTCGATTAAACTCCATAGGCCGACTATGTACGAAGAAAACCAAACCATGACAATGAAAGAGTGGACGCTATGCTTACTCGCCCTTGAGCTTGTCTTGCTTCACGTTGAAAGCGGTTTCCAATAGGTCTTGCTCTTCCTTCATGTGGCTGCTCTTGAGACCAGTGGCGACACTGGCGCTGGGGTTTCTACCAGCGTAGAGAACGTGTCTTCTGTTGTGGTGCTCGGTCTCGTTCAACAACGTCTCGATACGGGGTTGTGTGAAGGTCCATGAACCTGCGTTAAGAGGCTCCTCCTGGGCCCAGACAATGTTCTTGGCGTTGGGGTAGGAGTCGAGGTTCTCCTTGAGCTGAGCCCAGGGGAAGGGGTTGAGCTGCTCAATACGGGTGATGGCGGTGTTGGTGATGCCGTTCTGCTGGCGGTACTTGTGCAGAGCAGCGTAAACTTGACCGGTACAGAGAATGACGCGCTCAATCTCCTCCTTGGGCTGGATCTGGTGCTCGCCTTCGGTGTGAGCAGGGTCGGTGATGATCCACTGGAAGTGGGAGTCGCCAGTGAACTCCTCGATGGATGAGCGGGCCAGAGGGTGACGGAGAAGAGACTTTGAGAAGAAGAGGATAAGAGCTAGGAGACTGTCAGGACGGATGCAACGTGAAAAGAGGCGCAACAACTTACGCTTTCTGAACTGTCTGTTCATCTGTCTACGGAGAATGTGGAAGAGGTTGGCAGGGGTTGTGCAGTATGCGATCTGCATGTTGCAGTCCTGGTGCTGGCGGTCGAGCTTGTTGGGTGCAGGGAAGATACGGGGATCCTAAGATATTGTTAGTAAATGGCTCAAATCTCCAGGGTGGCTAATCGCTTACCTCGTTGCACAATTGCAAGAATCTCTCCATTCTACCCGAACTGTGCTCGGGGCCCTGACCGTCGTAACCGTGAGGCATGCTCATGACGAGACCAGATCTCTGGAGCCACTTGACCTCACCAGAAGCGATGAACTGGTCAATGATACATTGTGCGTTGTTGGCAAAGTCACCAAACTGAGCCTCCCACATGACAAGGGCAGAGGGAGATGAGAGCGAGTAACCGTACTCGAATCCGAGGACACCGAACTCACTCAAACTCGAGTTGGAGACCACGAAGCTACCCTGGTCCTTGCCGAGGTCTTGGAGAGGGGTGTAGGTGCTCTCACTCTCTTGGTCGTGGACAACGGCGTGTCTCTGAGAGAAGGTACCACGCTCAACATCCTGACCCGAAACTCTGACGTGATGACCCTCCATGCAGAGAGAACCGAAGGCAAGAGCCTCAGCAGTGCTCATGTCGATGTTTTTGCCCTCGTTGACGGTCTTGGTGCGGTTGTTGAGAATACGCTTCAGATTACGGTGGACGTTGAAGCCATCCGGAGGAGTTCCGATCTTGTCACCAATGTGCTTGAGTGTGTCGGCCTCGACAGCAGTGGGAAGATGAGGCAGAACCTCAGTGGCGAGCTCCTTGGGACTCTTGAATCCGTTCCATGCACTGGTCAACCATTCCTTGGCGGTGGGCTGGTAGTCCTTGCTGCGGGCAAAGGACTCCTCGAGCATGCCCCAAACCCACTTCTTGTGCTCCTCAACGTCATCCTGGGTGAAAGTCTTGTCCTCGATGAGCTGGTTAATGTACTTGTCGATGGTAGGCTTCTGCTCGCCGATGCGCTTGTACATCAAAGGCTGGGTGAATGAGGGCTGATCAGTCTCGTTGTGACCTTGCTTACGGTAGCAGACGATGTCAATAACAACGTCCTTCTTGAACTCAGCACGCCAGTCAGCAGCAAGTTGGCAAACAAAGTTGACAGCCTCGACATCGTCACCGTTGACGTGGAAGACAGGGGCATCGATGGCCTTGGCGATATCGGAACAGTATGGGGTAGAGCGCGAGAAACGAGGGTCAGTGGTGAAACCAATCTGGTTGTTGACGACAATGTGGATGGTACCACCGGTCTGGTAGGAGGGAAGAGCGTAGAAGCCCATGGTTTCGTAGACAATACCCTGTCCAGCAAAGGCAGCATCACCGTGGAGCAAGACACCCATGGCTGAGTTGGCCTCCTTCTCATCACCGTTGTAGTGGAGAATGGCTCTGGTCTTGCCAAGAACAACGGGGTCCTCGGCCTCCAAATGCGAAGGGTTGGCGACCAGAGACAACTGCACGCGCTTGCCAGAAGGAGTGGGGCGCTCGAAGTTCATACCAAGATGGTACTTGACATCACCAGATCCCTCATCAGCAGCCTCAGCAGAACCGGCAAACTCACTGAAGATGGACTCGTTGGGCTTGCGAACGACGTTGGACAGGACGTTGAGACGACCACGATGAGGCATACCGATAACAATGTCCTTGACACCGTAATCGACACTGCGGTCGATCAGGGCCTTCATTCCGGGGATTAGGGATTCACCACCCTCGAGACCGAAACGCTTGTCGTTGGGGTATTTTGTGGCAAGGAAGCTCTCGAAGCTGGAACTCCAGATCAGACGGTCCAGAATGCGTCTCTTCTCGTCGACAGAGTACTTGTAGGGCTGAGGAACCTCAATGCGGGCACGAAGCCAATCGCACTGCTCACGGTCGGGAATGTGGATGTACTCGATACCGTAGCTGCCGCAGTAGAGACGCTCGCATGCGGCGATAATGTCCTTGAGCTTCATCTTGTTTTGGCCTTCGGTAGCAAAGCGGGGCAGAATACCAGGTCCAAGGCTGAACTCTTGCTCCATGTCGGCCTCGGTGAAGTTGTAGTGGTCAAGGTTGAGCTCGGGAGGGTTGCTGTAGCCGAATTGACTGGCCTCGTTGCGAATACCAAGAGGATCGATCTTGGCCTTGTGGTGACCTCTGGCCTGGTAGGCGCGTACCAAGAGCTGGACCTTGAGATGGTTGGTCAGGTCGGAGCTGGTGCCAACGCCAGCGGCGGCGGTAGGAGAAAATCCAGGAGCTCCACCTTCAGGAGCGGGAACAATGGTAGGTGGGGGTTGGAAAGCCTGGGACATGGGCATGTCGCCCTTCTCCATGTTGCGGAAGTAGACCTGCCATGAGACGTGGACCGACTTGGGATCGCGCTTCCACTCCATGTACATTTCGTCGATGTAGTTGGCCGTGTTTCCCTGGAGGAAAGAGTCGTTGGGGTCCTGCAGGCACTGGTCAGATGGCTCGACAAGAATCTCGGATCGCGAACAAGCATACAACGCCTTTGTTGGTGTCCTCAGCAGCGACAGCATAGCTGCGGAAATGGCTCACACCAGCATCTCTCTTTGCCTGGGTCAGAGCAACGGCAGGTCTGCTTCTAGCGACGGTGGAGAAGCTGGTGCGGCTCCCGGCAGTGGCCAGGCGTTTGCCGCACTGTGAAAAAGAAGCTCTCAACATGATGAGGGCTCGCCAGTAGGGGATGAAGAGTGCGAGTAGAAGCTTCGCTTCATAGGACGGCGATTTGAGGTATGCGAAGGAAACGGGAGTTGCGAAAGCCCCGGCTCTATCCGCACCCCTCGGCTTCCAGCTTTCGCCCAAACAACTTTTTCGTAACATCAGCGAGCGTCACATCCTGCTGCAAGTACCGAAACACCCCGTCACCTGCTCATCTCCCTCATTCATGCTGTCGATACATGCGCCATTTTCGACCACTCACACCAAAAGCATCAACCAGGCATGATGCATTCATGAAGAGTTGTTTGCCAGAAGCAGTTGTCCAACTCTTGTTGATCACCACGCCAAGGAAGGTACCTAGCTGCTGTATATCGCTCGCTCCGCGTGAGGCTTCCACGATCCTCGCAGTGCTTGTTATGCTCCATTCCTTGCCTACCGAGCGATCCGACCTGTATTCAGTCTGCCGCTTGATACTCTGCGAGTATGCCAGACTTTAGTGTCGAGCCTCATTGGTCATAGGTCAGCAAGCTGTGAGAGAAATCACGTTTTAATTCTGACTACCGATATACCACCAAGAGTACTCCTTTTCTATGCTTTCCTTGCCCAACGCCGCGCTAAAATCATGAGAACAAAAAAGATAGAAAACACGACTACTTTTTTGTCGCATTGTAGTCCTTGAGAATGCCGACCATGTGAGTGTTGGTGTATCTGCCCACCTTTTTCGAGGTGCGCTTCTTCTTGTCTTTTCCGCCAGAAACCTTGATGACTTCCTTGACCTGACTGGTAGGAGTGATACCAGCTTTCTCAAGCTCGATTCTCAAATCACCGGGGTTGGCAGGCAAGGTAGTCTTCAACCAGTAGTCCTTGAAATCCTGGTCGATGCGTTGATCAAGAGAAGGGTCGTTCGGCCAGACCATCTTTGGAACATTGTCCTTCTTTTGCCTCACGACCAAGAGTTCGCCCTTTGATTCAAGGCGCTCAATCTCAATAACAGCATCGGGCCAGCCTTCTTTGAGTTCCTTGACACTGATGCCTTGAGCGGTATGCTGGCGCTGCAGGTACGCTTTTAGATCATCGGCAGAGCGAACGTTGTGAACAGGACGGAAGCGGAAAGAGGGGTGCTGTCCATCCAGGCCTTTGGGGTCATAGTCGACTTTGGGGTGCTCCATAAGCGCCCTACGTAGAACTTGACGGTGCTGCTGCTGGTTGGCAGGAATGGACAGATAGTTCCAGATGTCGGTGAAGCTGATGGGACGATCCTTGGATTTGAGATAGTCGATGGCGTAGACGACCTGGGTCATGACCTCTCTGCCTGAGCCCGTGTCGGCGGGCTGAGAATAGGCGGCATTTTGTGGGAGATCTTGACGTTTGCGCTTGAGATCTGTAGGCTGGGTCGAGGGAGTGGAGGGGCGCTGTACGGGGGTAGGAACGGCAGAGGTAGGTCGCTTCTGTTGAGTGTTGCGAGTAGTAGCGGCCGAGAACTCGCTGTTGAAGCTATTGAAAGAAGCCTTGAGAGACATGGTGGTGAAAGTGTCGGCCGAACAAGGCGGCGACGATGTTGTGAGGGTGTTGCTGATGAGAGTAGTACGGCAGGCAGGGAGTCGAGGTGATATGGGATATGTGAGAATGGGTGGGAGTGCTCGCACGTGTTGTCACGGCGTGGTTGATGGAGTGGATGCGACTATAAATGTCAAGGTTCAAAGCGTGAGTGAGTGAGCGCAAGGCGGCCGCAAACGGCACGGTCAGTGCGTCAACAACCAGCTCGGCCTTGATCCGCTGCACTTTCCCATTCTTTGTACCAAAGGTCTTGCAACTGCCAGCATTTCAGCATCCAAGACACCGCAGGAGCCAGTCTCAATTGCGTGTCACTTCATTGCTTTTGTCGATTGCTGTTCTCACTCACACCGTCACCGTCGCGCGTCTTGTCCGACCCCGACGCGTTCGTTTCGATCCAAAGCTTCATGACATTCGACTAGCCGGTACTTCATTGCGACAATGAGGACGCGCGCCCAGGCCGGCGCCGTCGACACGGCTCTCATTGCCCAAGCCTTTTCAATCGACGAGCCTCAGCTTGATTCTCTACTGGACGCTCCCACACAAGACTTGATCAAGGACTTCCTGTCGGCCCTTACTGAACGGGCAAAGGACTTTGACAACCTCAAGGCCGACAAACTCAGATCCGACCTAGAACTCGAAAACACCCTCCGCGCTGGAGAGTCAAAGGTCAAGGCCCTCAAGGCTACCCTCAACAAGAATTCTCAGGAAATCCAGGACCTCCGCAAATCGCTCGATGATCAACGTGTGTACCTCGACCTCCACTACCTTGCTCTTCAACCCACTGACTCCACTTGGTAGAAAATGCTCGCGCCGAGCTTCAAACCGAGCTCGACGCTGTAAAGGCTTCATCAACACATTCAACCTCCGAGCTCGACACTCTGCGTGCCCGCATCGCCTCGCTCGAAACCTCCAATCGCGACACCCTCAACGTCCTCGAATCGAAGTCGACTGCTCATGACGACCTCGCTCAGGAACTTGCCACCCAACACCAGAAGATAATTTCTCTGCGTCGCGACATCTCCGCATTGGAGGAGAAGAACCAGTCCTTGGAAAATGCCGCATCCAGTGCAAAGTTCAAGGAGCAAGCTCTTCAGCAGGAGGTTGATTTGCTCAAGCGCAACAACGACTGGCACGAGTCTGAGCTAAAGACGCGTACTACCGAGCACACAAAGTTTCGCAAGGAGAAAAATGCTCGCATTTCCGAACTGCAGCGCGCCAACGAGGATGCGAATGCCACGGTAGACGCTCTGAAGCGTACAGAGACGACTCTTCGCCAACGTTTGGAAGAGCTAGGCCAAAAAGCAGACGACGCCTTCGCCAAGATTCAGCAGATGCAGGAAGGTGCTTCCAAGGCCGAAGAGTCCTTCCGTATCGAATTGGACAGCGCCCGTAGACTCGCTGAACTGCAGAAGCAGAGTTCGGACACCGCCAAGGCGCGTCTACTGGATCTTCAGAACAACATCGACCAAATCAAGGAGAATGCTGCAGAAGAAGTTGGACAGCTTCAAGCCGAGATCGAGACCGAACGAGCCGACCGTGAGGCTGTAGAAGCTAAGCTTGCCGAACTGGAGCTCGAAGTCGAACGCCTCCAAGCTGCGGCTTCCGAGGCACAGAACAATGCTTCCGTCATGGCCACTCCCAAACGCAACTCCAATGGCTTAGCACCAGCCACTCCTGGACGGGATGGATCGCCTGCCGCCTTCACACCCGGATCTGCACGTATGAAGGGCAACATGAACTTCACCCAACTTTACAGCGAGTACAGCACCATGAAGGCAGACCTTGAGGCAGAGAAGCGTAGAAACTACCTTCTGAGCAACGAGCTCGATGAGATGATTCGCGATCTTGAAAACAGAGGTCCTGAGCAGGAGGAGCTACGTGAGGAGAAGGAGCGCGTTGAGGCTGAGATTCTGGAAATGTCCTCGATGCTCGATGCAGCTTCGACAGAACGTGATGAAGCACGCAAAGAAGCACGTAATCTCAAGGGTCAGACTGAGGGGCTTTCGAGAGAAGGTGATATTCTTCGTCAGCAGCTCCGCGACCTCAGTGCACAGATCAAGATTCTTTTGGTTGAGATGCAAGCTCGCGACCAAGGTCTGGAGGCTCTCGACACAGCAGGTCAAATGCAACTGCAGATGATCGCCAATGGTGAACTCGACGACCAATCCTCTGCGGCAGACGAAACCTCTGCAGGAGCTCTGATCAGCCAAAGACTGTTGCTCTTCAGAAACGTTCAAGAGCTTCAGGAGCAAAACGTCCAGCTGTTGAAGCTCAACCGTGGTCTTGCTGATCGCATGGAAGGTGAAGCTGCAAAGGCCAAACAATCGGAAACCGAACAGGCTCTGCAGGAGCTCGACGAGCTTCGTGATCGCGTTCAGAGACATCAAGACGAGATCAAGTCCATGACCACGCAATGTGAGAGCATCATGCGCGAGCGTGACATGTTCAGACGTATGCTCTCTCACCGTGGACAGCTGCCAGCTGGTACCGACCTCCAAGCTGCCTTTGGACGTTCCGTCGGCCCAATCCCGTCAACTCCTCCACCAAGGGGCTCTGTACGAGAGATCGAAGATACACCCCGTTCCAAGGAGTTGTCCGACTATTCCAGGCTTCTAAAGGAGATGCAAACTCACTTCGATGCTTACAGGCAGGAGGCTGCAACAGATCACAGCACTCTCAAACAGCAAGTCGACAAGCTTGCTCGCGAAAAGGGCGAACTGCAAGGAGAGGTAGCTCGTACTGGCGGTCAGATCACGCTTGCTCATGAACGTTACGGGATGCTTCAGGCCAACTACGACATGCTTAAATCGGAAAACTCGGAACTGCAAAAGCGATCTCAGTCTTTAGCCGAAGTGGCAGCCAAGCAAGACCTTCGCACACAACAGGTCGCCGAAGAACTGGTAGAGGCCCGCTCCCTTGCCGACAGCATGCGTAATGACACTGCCAACCTCAGAGCCGAGCGAGAGCTTTGGAAGAAGATTGAGGCTCGCATGACGGAGGACAACCAATCACTGTTGAACGAGCGTAGCCGCCTCAACAAGATGATTGCGGATCTTCAAAGTTTGCAAAACGAGCGCGAGTTGGCCGAGTCAGAAACTCGTCGTAGACTCCAGAACAGAGTCGAGACCCTCGAGGCCGATATTGATGCTACAAAGAAGAAGCTGGAAACCGAGGTCGAGGAGAGCAAGAAGGCGGCTCTCAGAAGAGAGTATGATCAGGACCAGAGCAGGACGAGAATTGATGATCTGGTCAAGAGTCTGTCAAGTGTCCGCGAGGAACTTGTCGCAGCCAAGACTACACGCGACCAACTTTCATCCAGGGTGGAAGAGCTCAAGATCGAACTCCGCACATCAGAAGAACGTGTACAAGCACTCCAGCCCCGTCCTACTCCTCAGGCAGAGCAAACATCGGAGACCAACGCTGAGGACGCCCTGTCTCGTGAGCAAGAGCTCGCTCTCGAAGTCGCTGATCTCAAGCATGATCTCGAGTTGGCCCGTAGCGATCTCGAGAACGCCAAGATTCAAGTCGAGCAGTACAAGAACATCAGTCAAGCATCGGAGGAAGAACTGCAGAGCCTCAACGAGACTAATGACCAATACCGCGACGAGATGGACCGTATCATTGCAGAGAAGGACGAGAAGATCAAGGACTTGGAAGGAAGAGTCGAGGAACTTGGTACTGAACTCTCTACCACCAACAGTGAGCTCTCAACCCTGCGCACTCAACACGAGGAAAGCGCCATCCAATTGGACGACCAGAAGCGATCGCTTGAGGCAGAGATCGCTCGCCTCCGTGACGAGTCTGAGCGCTATGCCGAAACCGCCAAGCTTCACCAGGAGGACCTCAAGGCACAGGCAGAGATCGCACAACAAGCCCAACAAAGCTACGAGAACGAGCTGGTCAAGCATGCAGATGCCGCGAAGAATCTTCAGTCAGTCCGTACTGAATATAACCAACTCAGAACCGAAGTTGCTGCCATCAAGGCCGAGGCCGAAGCTGCAAAGGCCACACTGAGCCAGAGTGAAGAGAGCTGGGCAGAAGTAAGGGAAAGATATGAGCACGAACTGAGCGAGGTCAGACTCGGACGCGAAGATCTCAAGTCTCAAAACAAGCTCCTTCACGAGCAGCTCGAATCTGTCAGCAGTCAGATCTCTGATTTGCAACAGAAGAAGACCTCGTCCGAGGAGCAACACGACTCGGAGCAAACACATGGCTCCGAGTTCGAGAATCTCCAAGAAGTCATCAAGTACCTCCGTCGTGAGAAGGAGATTGTGGATGTTCAGTATGAGCTCTCTACTCAGGAAAGCAAGCGTCTTCAGCAACAGCTCCAATACACGCAGACACAACTCGACGAAACTCGCCAGAAGCTCGGCGAGGAACGTCAACAACATGCCGATCACGAAGCAAACACGGTCAGCCACAACAAACTTATGCAAACCATCAACGAACTCAACGTCTTCCGCGAGAGCAGCACCACTCTCCGTCAAGAGGCGAGACAAGCGCAGACGCAGTTGGCAGAGAAGATCAAGGAAGTCGAAAGCTTAACCAGCCAGATTGAGCCTCTACAGACTCGCATCCAAGAGGTCGAGAATGAATTGGAGACAAAGGAAGGCGAAATGAAGCTTATGCAGGAGGATCGTGATCGCTGGCGGGACCGAACCCAAAACATCATCTCCAAATACGACAGAGTCGACCCTGCCGAAATGGAGGCGATGAAGACCCAAATCTCTGATCTCCAGACCGAACGCGATCAACTGACCACCGAGAGACAAGAATTGCAGGCTAGAGTTGATGCAATTCCAGCAGAGTTGCAGCAGACCAAAGACGATGCTGAGAAACAATGGAAGGAACAGAAGGCCAGGTTTGTCGAGCAGGCAAAGGCAAGATCTCGTGAGCAAAGCGCAAAGATCAGAGAACTGGAGAAAGAGCTCGAAGACATTAAGGAGGAAAAGAACCAAATCAGTCAGGAACTTACTCAAGTCAACGAGGAGCTCGAGTCCACCAAGACTTCGAGAGACGAAGCCGTGGCTAACGCCGAGGCCGCATCTCAGCAGTTGTCAGCTCAGTCACAAGCCGAGGAGGGTCAGATCCAAGAAGACGGTCAACAAAGCTCATTAGCGCAGTTGCTGGAGCAGTCGGAAGCTAGAGCATCCGAGGAGGCCGCCAAAGCTGCTGGTCTGTCCGCTCAGGTTGCGTCGTTGCAGGCCAGAGTCTCCGAGCTCGAGACTCAAGTAGTAAGTTCTCGCATCTTCGCGAAAGCGAGAAGATTGACTAACGCATACCAGAACGATCTCCAGCAACAACTCGAGACCAGTGCAGCCAGTCTCTCAGAGCTTCAAACCCAAGAGCAACCGAGCCAAGAGACGGCACCTCAATCTGGCGACAACACCGAGCATCTGGAGAAGCTGAGACAAGAGCTAGCTACTGCACGGGAAGAAGTCGAAACGCTCAAGGCTGCTGCAGCCGCCAACGCCACTCAAGAAACATCGGCTCAGGAAACGTCGGCTCAGCCTTCAAATGTTACCGCTACTGATGCAGGTGCTGATGCCACATCTGTTGCCGAACAAGTCGAGGAACAGGTCGCCAAACTTCGTGCCCAGCTTGAAGAGCAGCACAACCTCAGCAAAGAGCAGCTGGAAACTTTGTACAACAACAGAACCAACCTTATGAAGCAGAAGCTCAACCAGAAGCTCCGAGACGATAAGGAGAAGACCAAGGAGGAAGGTCGTCAAGAAGCTCTGGTCAAGCACAGCGAGGAGCTCCAGAAACTTCGCCAAGAGCATGAAGCTGCTATTGCACAACTCAAGGAAGAGCACCGTCTTGAGATTGAACGTCTCACCAAGGAAGGTCAGCTTGCAGTAAATCAGGCACAAGTCAAGGAACAATCCACTGCCACTTCAGACGAAGCGCCAGCTCAACCACCTGTTGACAATGCCGCCGACTCGACTGTGGCTCAAGCTCCGGCGTCTGACATTGATCCGGCACAGCTGGTCTTCACAGACGAGCAAGCTCGTACACTGGTCGGTAAGAATACCGTTATTCGAAGCATTGTGGCCAGAAACATTCAGAACAAGATTGCTCAAGAAGCTGCCAGGCTCAAGCAAGAGCACGAGAACGTCTTGCAGCAGAAGGCGGAAGAGGCCAAGAAGGAGAGGGAACAGGCGCTCCAAGAAAAGGCCGAAGAGGCTAAGAAGGAGAGAGAGCAGGCCTTGACCAAGGCCGTGAACATGGAGACCATCAAGCAAAAGGCGAAACTTGGCATGGCCGAAGGTCAGACAAGAGCCGCCAAAGCCAAACTCGATGTCGTCGAGAAGGCTGCAGCTGACACACCTCAGCGACCAGTTGTCGAAGTGTGGGAGATTGCCAAAATTACCAAGCCCGCTCCTGTTGCTGCTCCACTGCCTCCTCAAGTCAACAAGCCAGCTCAGTCTCCCATGAGCTCTCCATTCAAGGCTGCTGGTCCCGGTCTTCCCCAGTCGCCAGGTATGGCCCCTCCTCAGGGTTCTCAGTCCAATCAACCAACCCCCGGCAGTCAAGCCCCACAAGACAAGATGCAGGCAAGGATGCAGAAGTTTGGAGCTCAGACTCAGCAGCCACAAGCGGGCACTGCGTTTGGTCAGCCAAGCTTCGTCCCGAACCAAGCTCCATCTGATGCTGCTTCTCAAGTCATCAACAATGCGCAGTCTCAGGCAGCAGCTGGTACACCACCTCAAACACCAGGGGCACCATTGAGAGCAGTTCCTCCAGGTCAACAGGCTGCAGGACCTGGCCCCGGAAGGGTCCCTTCGATCAGTGGCATTCCATCAGGAATTCCCACAGGCATCCCTACTGGCATACCCAGAGGAGGTGGAAGCATGCTACCACGCGGTGGTGGTGCGTTCCGCGGCAGGGGTGGGCTCGCACAGCCTGGGGCGCAGAACGCTCAAGGTCAGGGAATCAGCGTCCAAGGCGCTGCTGGTCAAGCTCAACGTGGTGGGCTACCTCGTGGTGGCATGGGTAGAGGACGGGGCGGTGGAGGTAGAGGAGGTATGAACCCTGGAGCACAACAATTTGCGCCAGGAACAAATGGGGCTCAAGGCAATAAGCGTCCACACGAGGGCGGTGACGAGGGTGCTGGCAAGAGGATGAGGGGCGGAGCTGGAGGAGGTGCCTAGAAGGTGCCTCGTCAGGAGAAGTCTCCTCGAAAATAATGCATTGCGAAGGATGTTTGCTTTCATTTGTCGAGAAAACAATTTTGCTCAAGAATCGATACAATATTTCTACATCACAAATACATCGTCTGCGTCTCAGTTAAAGATTCTTGCGAATAGCAAAGAAGTAGTTGCCCCAACCCTCACTGCCCTGGATTTCCTTCCAGCCATAGCCAGGTATGTAGACAACGCCCATGGTCATGGGATTACTCCAACCTGGCTGCTTGGCCGCCCAAGCCTTCATCTCGTCGACATTGATATACTGGTTCCAATCGTGGGTGCCTGGGGGAACGATGCGCATAATATCCTCGGCGACAAGCTTTGTAGTGAACCAGCTCGCCCAGGTCCTGCTGATGGTACTGAGAACCAACCAACCGCCAGGCTTGACATGAGGCATGCAATTCGCCAGGAAAGGAGCGGGGTGAGTGACGTGCTCGATAACCTCAAAGACGGACAAGACATCCACACCTTGCTGCGGTGTCGCTGGTAACGGCAAGTTCTCGATAGCAGTATTGATGTAGTTCAATCTTCCGGGTTCACACAGCAGGGGATCGCTTCTCTGGTGCTTCTTTGCGACAGCCAGCACCTCTTTTGTCGGGTCGATTGCCGTCACTGACTCCGTGTCCACAAGTCTTGCTGCCGACTCTGCGAATATGCCTCCACCGCAGCCAACGTCGAGGTATCGGCGCTTTGCTTGCGGTTTTGTGACGTCTCTTGGGTACAGCGACTGGCAGCGTTGGATGAAGACGTGACGGAGAGGATTCATCTCGTGGAGGATGCGAGAGGGGCCTTCTGGGTCCCACCATGACGAGGCGAGGGCGGAGAAGTGGGACATTTCGGTCTCTGAGACGGACGACTTTGGCGGCGGAGGCGGCGGGGATGCTTGTGAGGGTGTGGAGTGGGACATTCTGCGAGGAGCGGTGAGCAACTGGCGGATGCCTGACGGCAGAGCCATGGGTCGTAACGTTCGTAGAGCTGCCATGTCTTGTGTTTGGTGTCAAGAAAAGTAGATAGGCAGGCTGAAGCATGGCGATGATCTGTAGAGAGAAGCTGCTGATTAGATCGACGCTAGGCGGCGGATCTATCCGAGCTGTCGCTCTCGAGCCTCCAAACAGGTGGAGCTCGAGCTCTCAATGCCTTTTACATCATGGTCTTCTTCTCTCGTTCAATGACTTGAGCGACAGCTTGTAGTTGGCTGTTCCGGCAGTCGATGTCTGGATTCTCGAAATTGTAGCTAGCTCCCAAACTGCCCGCGAGACGTTATAGGTTACTCAGTGCTTCTGCTTGGTAAGCTTTGTTACTGTTGAAGACAACAACGCAGCTATCCAACCTCTCAATGATATAACCGGATACCACATGCTTCGCGCAGCCGCCATAGTAATGCTCTCGTCATAGGCTATAATATCATAGAGTCTCGTTGCAAGAGTGTTCTGGTCTCACACAATTAACATGGCGATGACGATATGCGGTCGCGGCGTTAACGGAGCTTACACGCAAAGCACGGCATAGCTGAGGGGTATGTGGATACGGAGGTGTGCAGTCCGTCTCTTTATGGAAGGTGATGTGCTGGCTACAAAACCGAGCAATTCCTCCACCGGACTCTTCTCATTTGATACTCCTCGTACACTTTCGCAACACACCTCGTATTGCATCTATCAATCTGCTACAATGGCTGCTGTCGAATCAAAGTTTGATCCCAAGGACATGGTGTTCCGTCACCTCGGCCCCACTGGTCTCAAGGTCTCTGTCTTCTCTCTTGGGTGCGTGATGTGATCTCTTCGGTTGAGCCAAGTGCCATAGTTGACATCAATGTTTCAGTGGTTGGTTGACCTACGGTGGTACCCAGAAGGGTGACGTCGTCAAGGAGTGTATCCAGAAGGCCTTTGACCATGGTATCATCCTCCGAGATTCTCCAACAAGTCCAGCAATCTAATCATAACATAGGTTGCAACTTCTTCGACACTGCTGAGGTCTACGCCAATGGCCAGTCTGAGATCGAGATGGGGTAAGTCAATAATGTCTTGCCAGTGTTTCCTTGAAATTACCATGTGAGACTTGACCTTGAACCAAAGCAGAAACTGATGCATGATAAATAGACGTGCCCTCAACGAGCTCGCCTACCCCAGAGACGAATATGTCATCTCGACCAAGATCTTCTTCGGTACTGGCCGCAAGGAGCCCAACACCCGTGGTCTTTCCAAGAAGCACGTCATTGAGGGCTTGAAGAGCTCCCTCAAGAGACTGAACCACGACTACGTCGATATCGTCCTGGCCCACCGTCCCGACCACGCAACTCCCATGAAGGAGATTGTTGAGGGTTTCACCCAGGCCATCCGCAACCTCAACCTGGCCTACTACTGTTCGTGACAATCGACACTGCTCGTGAGAATAAATCAAGCTAATTTTATCGTTCGCAGGGGGTACATCCGAGTGGTCTGCCACTCAGATTATGGAAGCTACTCAGATTGCTGAGAAGTACAACCTGATTGCTCCCATTGCTGAGCAGCCCCAGTACAATGCATTCCACAGAGAGCGTTTCGAGGTCGAGTACGCTCCTCTCTACAACCAGTACAAGTACGGTACTACCATCTGGTCGCCTCTCGCTTCCGGTCTTTTGACCGGCAAGTACAACGACGGTATCCCCGAGGACTCCCGCTTTGCCACTAACAAGGCATTCTTCGAGAACACTGTCAAGCAGCTCAAGAGTCCTGAGGGCCAAGCCAAGATCGAGAAGGTATTTGAGCACAGCCGCAACGTCTCTTGTCTGATCGAATACTTACACAAATGGAACAGGTCAAGAAGCTCACCGCCATCGCTGAGAAGCTCGGTGGTACCGTCACCCAGCTCAGTTTGGCATGGGCAGCAAAGAACCCCAACGTCTCGACTGTCATCCTTGGTGCTACCAAGGTCGAGCAATTGGAGGACAACTTCGGCGCCTTGAAGTTGCTTGAGAAGTTGACTCCCGAGCTTATGGAGGAGATTGAGAAGATTCTCGACAACAAGCCTTCGCCTCCCGCCACTTTCGGCCGCGACAGATAGGCGAAGGAGTAATGATTACGGCCGCAAGACTAGCTTAGAGAGCTTGACTGTACCTGCTCAGTATATATACGCTGCTGCTATTTACCAATTGATAATGTCAAACAAGCCACGAAATGTAATCATTCCCAATCCCCCCCCCCCCAGGTCTAGCATTGCTTGATGAAAAATGTTACCACTATCTTTGTGGATGCATTTCGAAAGCCGTGCTGCTTCCAATGAAGCAAACAGCTCATTCGGTCGCGTACTGATCTGAGCGAATCTTCACCATGGCCTCGGTTCCTTCGACAGCCTCGTGTTTCAGATCGTATTGGCTTTCGGTTCCTCAGCCGCTAGCCAAAATCAGAGGCGCATGCAATGAAGATCGACATGTTATACGTTCCTGTTCATGTCCGAGGCCATGGTATGAAGGTACAGCAGGCATCTTGAGGAAAGCCACAGCTTCTCCGCCCATGGTAATGGACAAGTCTTCTAAAGTATAGCAACAGATAGCTCATGGATCTGATCAAAAACGAACACCGGAAGATCTCTCCGCTCCTTGAAGCTCAAGCGTGCCGAGATTGCTTGTTTAACACGTTCGTTCAACTCCAATATCTGAACATGCACTTTTGTACCACGAGCATGTCGTAGAAGCCCTTCGTATGACTCGTGGAGCAGTCGACAAGATTTCGCGTACCCACTCGACTCCATACTCGATTACTCCAAAATACATCGCTCGCTCATGGCAGTCCCATTCCGGAGGATAAGAAAATAGCGACGTGGAGCGCAAGACTACAACTGGCCAAGCCACAGTAAACGTTTGCAGCAGCAAGACATTCTAAGCTCAAGAGAGAGAAATTTGGCTTCACTGCTAGTCAAGAACTTCAAGCCAATTCAACCAAGCTTTGACTCGATCGTATCGCTGGTAGACACAAAAAACAGCACCTCTTCCAGCGATGGTTGGAAGCCACATGTGTCTCGCGTGGTCACGAAGGATTCCTTGGTTGAAGCATGCACTGTCGATCACTAGGGCTGAGTTGATGGTCGGCAGAACAGCCGAGCGACGGGCTGTTTGATGGAAGTCTTCTTCGTGTCTCCAGCTTTCTGCCATCTCACAACTCGTCGATTTTTCGCCAGAGTCGAGAGTTTCTACTCAACAGCATCACACATGTTCGTTGGTTCGGGTCGCGCATCCTAAACTTGTGGCGCGATGGCGAGCACCATTCCCCGATTCTCCATGTGTTTGTCCGGCTGGCTCTGGACCCTAGGTTCACGGTCCAGTTTCTGTTAGCTCAAAAGTCCACAAGCGCGTTATACTGAAGAAGCTAAGCGTAGGTAACCCCTGCGCGCGGCCGCAAGGGCAATGACTTCGAGGGTCAGGTTTGGTGCACCGCTCACCCGTTCCGAATTGTGGTGTTGAAGACTACTGGCGAAGGTTTTCGGTTTGTAGCTTAATAGTCGAAGGCTGAATTAGGGGCTCTGATGACCCTTATGAGGTCTTTTGCCGTCTTGGTGGTGGTTGCTGCTCATTTATATCGTACATGGCTGCCGTGGAACTATTTTTTCTGCCCTCGTTCCTTGCCCTTGGTCACTGTCTCGATCTGGTGTAGGCCTTGCAAAACACACGAGGCAAGCGTTCCTTCACGATGCCAGAAGTGAGTATCAAACGACTGTCCATTACGCTCTCTCCTCAATTCTGACTCAACATTAGACTCGTGCACCTTATATCTTGCTAGGAAACATCCTTCCGTTTCTGTTGGCAACAATATTCTACGCTGGAAGAGTCTATAGTCGAGCATTAATTTTGAGAACCTTCGGCTGGGATGACTGGCTTCTCACATTGGGATGGGTACGTTATCTATATGCCAGGCTTGAAAGAACGAACTCTGACGCAATCACAGGTTGCCGCCCTCGCCAACTGTATCATGGCTTGCTTGTTGACAAACTTTGGCGGCGGTCTACACGAAGCCGATGCTGCACCATCCACCATCGTTCCTTCCCTCAAACTACTCTACGGCACCCTCATCGCCTATCAAATCTCGCTCTGCGCCACCAAGCTATCTCTCTGTGCACTATATCTCAAGGTGTTCACGACAAGTCGCTCCAGTCGGATATTCCTCTACGGCATCTTTATATTTGTTACGGTAGCCACCATCATCCTCGAATGCGTCTCCATCTTCCAGTGCAACCCTGTCAGAGGTGTCTGGGACATCACCATCGACAAGAAATGCATTGATACCATACCGGCATTCTACGCTTCGACGGTGGAAAACGTTCTGGTGGATATACTCCTGATAGCCTTTGCGGCACCGAAGATTATGAGACTCAATTTACATGCACGCCAGAAGAACGCGCTTCTCTTCACCATCTGTCTGGGCGGCATCCCTATCATCGCCAGTATCGTCAGAGCGGTAAGAGTCAGCAGCATCCTACATGCAGAGGACAAGACGTGGGTCTCGTTCGACTCATCCATCTGGAGTGCAGTAGACGCCAATGTCTCCATCATCTGCGCAGCCGTACCGTCTCTCAAACCTCTGCTCCGACAAATCGCTCCTGGTTTCATGGGTTCGACATTCGGCACATCCCAGCCGGGAGCCAGCAATCAACATCCAACCACCAGAAAGTCATGGCTCACAAAGTCATTCGGCAACATGGGTTATGAGTTGCACAGTGCAGGTCAATCCGGTGTGCACAATGGCAGTCAACTGGAGCTGGCCAAGAACGGTGGAACGAACGATTGGACGATCAGAAAGGGTGTGCAAGATGACGACGAGGCTAGAGAAGAAGACCATCAAGGCGCTGCAATCATCACGAAGAGTGTGACTGTTGCGGTCACCAGAGTCGAACCTTTGTCGGCTTAGAGGTGCATCAGTTGATGACGATATGACTTTTTAATCCAATTCTGTATATACATCAATCAAGATACCCTGTTTGTTCATCACGATGATAGTCGTCTCCTCTCTCGTGGCAAGACATAGTGAATAAGTATACTATCGAAGTACACAGGGATCTTTTTAATCACAAGTATGTCCAAGGAAATACCTCGAGATCACTTCTCTCTGCGGATATCACTCTATTTTGAGAACACTTTGCATTTCTGTAGCGAGTTACAACATCTTCCGCATTCGGGTGAGTGTCTCCTCTCTCATGGTATCATCAAACTGCACAATAGCCACAAAAATACAAGTGTATCTTTGCTTTGGACAATACCTGGTTGTCTGAAACACCACGCAGTTTAATAGTGAGTCTCAATAGCCCTTTGTACAACTGTGATGTGAGTGCTATAGGCTCGAGCATACATCACATAATAGGAGAGATAGAGAGCACAGAAGATGACGTCTTATTTGATTCATATCGAGCAAAGCAAATACAGGTAACTCTGGGTATCAGACATGATGTCGCATCCCATGCCGTCCATCGGCCACATCAGATACAGATTGTAAAGAACTGCAGAGAGATTGTCACATCGTGAGCGTTCGGGTCACTGAACATCTCTGCGCTGTCTTGCTCCGCCTGCACCATATACAGTGGTGATCTACTAGCTGATTAGTGGCAGAGTACACACGTGTTGATGTGAAACATGACAACACAGAGATCTGCACACCGGGTTCGAGCTCCGAAGTGGTGGTCGAGAACTTGACACACTCTCGCGAGAAACTCGTCCGTTGCGTTCCGTTACGCTGACTCTGTTGGCGATTATACTGATGTCGTAGCATGTACCTGTGGTTGGTGTGAGATTGAAAACCTGAGGGTCCGCACATAGGGTCGAGCTTCGAAGTGGTGATCGAGGGCTCATCTCGGGTCGAGACTCGAGGGTTTGATACACTCTCGTAGAACTCTATCCCATTACGTTCCGACACGCTGACTCTACTGGTAGGCATACTGCTATTAGAGCATATACACGTTGTTTATGCAAGAGTCACTAACCAGGTGTTCGCCCAGGAGGTTTGAGCGACGGATTGTTTTCTTCGTACAGCGTCCTTCCCTAGCGTTCCGCCACGCTGACTGTCGACGACAATATTGCCGCTACGGCATGTACGTACTGCTTGAGTGAGAGTGTAAACTCAGGGGGTCCGCACACTGAGGTCGAGTGACAGTCTGTCTGAAGTCGAGAATTGATCTCTAACGCAGGAGACTCGTCCATTGTGTTCCGTCACGGTGGCTCTATAAGCAAACCATCTGACATCGGAGCATAGACGTGTTGTTGGTGTGAGAGTAAACAACAAGGGGTTTGCGCATGAGGTTCGAGCGACGTGTTGGGTTGACAATTCGTTCACTTTCGCGTGACTTGCTTCCAGCATGTTCGCCGCGTTGAGGGTTGACACTGACACTAGAGTATGTACGTGTTGATTGTGTGAAAGTCAACATCGAGGAGGACGCGTACCGGGTTCGAGCGACCTCGTTGCTGGGTCGACGATTCGCGCACTCTTTCGGAACCTTCTCCCATCACATTCGCCGCGCTGATTATCGACAAGCATATTGTCATCAGAAGCACCACTGCCTCTGCCGCGCCTTTCCACGTCAGCCTTCAGGAAAGATTAGCAAGATGGCGCCGCCAAAGAAACTCACGTTTAACTTCTCAAGTGAAGCAGCACCTAACAATTACATCCGTGGACCCATCACGGGTAGACGACGCAAAAAAGAGAAGGTTGTAGAGAATGCTGCAGTTGTGGTTGACGACGACGACTCACCTCTCTTTGAGCCCCTCGCGGACCAAAGTCCCGACCGAACTGAAGTAAGTAATCATTCCCGCCTCACTCGTCCTGTCTCTTGCACTCATCATCGTGTCGTGCGACAGAAAACACCTCAACCCGTGAACACCAATGAAGCACGGATGTCGTTGACAAACGCAAATGTGAGCATCTAGTTGGATACCTACCTGTGACTTACGTCCGAGTCGTTGACTAGTCATAGATGAAGCATCGAGCAGACCCACCAAGGACTCCAGCTCGTCGGTTGGTAAGCGGTCGCAACGCACAAGTCCGAGCCAGCACCTACCAGGTCGTCCCGCGAACACCACTCCGAACTGGTGCTCGGGTCTATCGTGACGATGGAGGTGCCGATCGTATGATCTGGCAACCTGGCGATGGCGATGGTGTGAGAGACAGCGAATTTCCCAACAAGTCGTTGTTCAAGGAAAGATACCGCTTCTTCCAAACTGAGATTGGTCCTATCGAGCGCGGCATCAACTCGCCTCCGCATTTCGTAGTCCTCGATGACAAAGCTGTCTGGGATGTTATGCGATCCAAGAAATACACCGCAGAGGAAAGAGCTACATACTGGCCTTTTGACTTTGGATGTAATGGAGTCGTCAGAGCCAACAGGCGTCATAAAGGAAGAGCGGCATTGATCGGTGGTGATGCCAGCGATGGTGAGGAAGGACATGTGCCCTGGATCGCAATAGGGCCTAAGAAAAACTCGACGAAATACTACCTTGCGGGGGAGAACGGTGGTTACGAAGAAGTTGTCTTCAACTCCTCCACCGTCAGACCCAGTCTTGCAAATCATATGACAACGTCCACAGGAGGCCGTAAGTATGGAAACCCAACGAAGGTCCCGACGGCAGAGGCCACTCCAACCCTCAACAACGGAAGCAAGACAGAGTATACAACCAAACGAAAGGCAAACCAACCCCTAAACCCTCGACACAGTCGTCCGAAGGTCGGGAAATACCTACATTCGACACCATCTCCTGGATGGCCTGGCGGCCCGACACGCCTGTTGAACAAGACTCCTGTGACGAGTGCAAGAGCCGATCATGAGAACTATGCCAACCAGCATGATGGCTCAGAATTGTCACCTTCGACAAGAGTTGGCGGACAAACAGTCTATGCCCGCTACGACTACGGCGACGAACAACCCGAACGCAAGAGGGGTCGCCTCGTGACATCAAATGTTCGAAACTCGTATGCTCGGACACCGTACGCGGATGATGCAAAGACTCCGTTGGTGGGCGCAGAGACTCCAAACCAGGGATACCCGTATGAAGCGAGAACTCCAGGTCGTATGGGTCCTATGGGTGGACCGATGTCCTCCCACGGGGCCAGTGAAGCTTTGCCCAATCAACAACCACCAGATTGGCAGACCGTTCAAAGCTTGTTGCAAGAGCTTGAACAGACGCGGAAGAACTTCGCACAGGTTGAGGGGAAGTTCGCACAGGTTGATGAAGAGCTTCAGTGGACAAGAACAGAGCGCGAACAGGAGAGGAGAGAGCTTCAACAGGCCTTGGCGAAAATCGCACAGTTGGAGGGAAAGTGCGAACAGACGCAATGGAAGAGCGCACAGATGGATGACACGCTACGCAAGCATGATGAGGAGATTTTGTACCTCATGGAGCATGAGAGACAAAAGTCGCACATGCCAGGCAACTGATGCTCCCAGAAGCCAGAGATGGAGGGAGAGAATGGTTGTGAAGCGGTTCCGGGGTTAGGTTTGAACCGCACAGAGTCGCATAGTTAGGCATCCGAGCCTCCTGGAGGCGCAACGAATTGATAGTCGAGTCAATCAGGATGTGAGAATCTCACCTGCTGTCTATTGGAATTGCCAGCTGCGTTAGGCTTTCCATTCTGTGATCATCTTGCAGCTCTACGCGATTGTATACAAATGATTGTCCAATCGGGTGGCATACTCAAAAGGGACTTCCGGATACAGAATAAGGAGAACTCGGGCACGTCAACGAACACACTCCGGTGCTATTCATGCTCACCAAGTACACCACGCTGGATACAATCCGTACTAGTGGTCACAGGGGCGAACACTTCGAGAAAGCTCTTCGTCTTTGCGTCGGTGCCTGAGCATCGGCGTCGGCGATGATGCCGGGCCAATGACAAGATCAAACTCGAGAGTTTTGTGACGTGTCCGTAGATGGCTGTCTTGCCTGTGGTTGCCAGACACTCAGACTTTCGATTTGTTGCGTCTGATCAGAGTCTACAGCCCGGGGTGACCTGGTTTTGTAGAGCGAAAAGTCTTCATATGACCTAAAGAGAGTGACGATTCTTCAAATACTAGAAGCCAGTCGTCGCTAGTGACTGGCTTCGTGCGATGCGACAGGCTGCTCATCAACTAATCGGGAAGGAATCAAGGATTACAACTTCTCAGATCGAATGACAGCTTTCGCACTAAACCGTGCCTCTCTTCCGAACATGAAGCTGCTTTGTTTGTGAGATGCTTACGCGTTGTTGCTGACTCAGCAACATCCGACCTCACCCCATCATGAAGCGACTCTTGCATCCTCATCGCTTGGCATCATCTTCCAGTATCCTTGGCCCTGCGCGATTGACACACTTCATCATGAGAGCTAGTTTCTCTGCTTCTGATGTCCCTCTGAATTCTCCTCACGGAGCTAAGGAGAGGCGCTTCTCTTCCACCAAGGAGCCCACTGACAGCGGTATTTGTTTATTTACCGACAACATACATATGAAAATAGCAGCTGACTATCAGCAGAATTGACTTCGTCTGTCCACCGCCACTTTCGCAATGCTCATGAAGGACACAAACCTCACGCTGGTCTGGATCCTTCGCGTGCATCTACTGGAGTCGTCTGGACTACTGAGAGAGCCTACGAGCATGGTTTCGCCGAACACCCAGAGAAATGGGCCAATCTCGGTCAAGGCGCGCCAGAAGTCGATGATGAAATTGAGGGCTGTTTTGAAAGGCCGCACCATATCGATGTCTCCATGTCTGGCCGTGAATACGTAGGTTCCTCTTTCTTTGGACCTGAGAACCATCACGTTAACATTCTCATCAAGGGCCCCACTGCCGGTATCAAGCCGCTGAGAGAGGCCGTGGCCAATCTCTACAACAGCCATCACCGTGTAGGCAAGGAGAGTCAATACACTTGGGAGAATGTCTGCATCGTCCCTGGAGGCCGAGCCGGTCTCATCAGAATTGCCGCTGTCATAGGTACTTTTATCTTTACTTTGTCAAGCGCAAAACTAACTAAATATAGGCAATGCTTATCTTGGCTTCTTCGTAAGTAAAGCTAGGGTACAGAAAGCAGGTCAATAGCCGTCAGGTCGCCTTTTGGCTGCTTCATGTACCATACGCGCGTGGGAGACATGCTAACAGCGTCCCTTGCCTTCAGATTCCAGATTACACCGCCTACAACGAGATGCTGTCTCTGTTCCGTAACTTCAGCGCAATTCCTATTCCTCTCTCTCAACAAGACGGATACCATATGCATCCAGACAAAATCGCCGAGGAGATCGCTCGTGGTACGAGTGTTATCCTGACATCAAATCCTCGCAATCCTACAGGTCAAGTCCTGACAAATCCTGAGCTTGCCCAGATCCAAGACATCTGTAAGTTTGCACGACAGATCTTGAAATGCCAAGACTAACAAAGCATCATAGGCAGAGATCGTGCAACACTGATCATGGATGAGTTCTACGGCGGATACAACTACACTAGCGACTGCGATGGTACTGTTGTTTCTGCTGCCGACAACATTGAAGACGTGGACGAAGATGGTATGTAGCAAGCAGTGGATGATAGCCACACAGTCTTGTACTAACGCTGGGTAGATGTTCTGATCATCGATGGTCTCACAAAGCGCTTCCGTCTTCCTGGTTGGAGAGTTGCCTGGATTGTCGGACCCAAGGAGTTCATCAAGGCCATCGGATCTTGTGGTTCTTACCTCGACGGAGGTACCAACGTACCTTTCCAGGAAGCTGCTATCCCCATGCTCGAGCCCACTAAAGTCAAGCACGAGATGCGCGCCTTGCAACATCACTTCCGCGAGAAGAGAGATTACGTCATTGACAGGCTGACTTCGATGGGCTTCAAGATCCCATTGATTCCCAACAGCACCTTCTACCTGTGGCTGGATCTGTCTTCATTGCCTGAGGGCGTCAACGATGGCCTGAACTTCTTCGAGGCTTGTCTGAAAGAGAAGGTCATTGTTGTCCCCGGTATCTTCTTCGACCTCAATCCCAGCAAGAGAAGAGATCTGTTCGACTCTCCTTGCCACAAGCACGTCAGATTGAGCTACGGCCCCCGAATGGACGTGTTGAAGATGGGTCTCGATGCTATCGAGAGAGTTGTTAAGAAGTAAGTTTTGCCTTTGAACTACGGATTGTCTAGCAATGTCTAGGACTAACACAAAAACAGGCACCGCAATGATTCTGCCCCTGCTAAGCAGGAAGGTCCTACCGAGCACGTCAACAGCGGTCATGGCGAGCATGTGTGAGCCTTTGAGCTATGAAGGATTTCAAATCCAGTGTTAGATAGGTCGCTTTACGAATTGAATCTGCATTGTCTTCTTTGCTTGTGATCCAGTACAGTGGTTTGGTCTTGTGAGCTGGGATAATATGTCTTTCCATGAGCGTGACTGGGTGTGATCGATGATACAAAGTGCCTGATGTCCATCCTCTTCCCAAGGTGATAGCGTGCAGATGGCGATGATGCACGGCTGAATCCAGATGACTGAAACACTCGACGATAGCTGTTGACACAACGCATCTCAATGAATCCATCGTGACCCCGCAGACCATCATGTGTTTAATTCGCCATGATGGATCTCCGTAGGTCCATCGTGTTCTCATAAACTCTCGTGCACTTCATCCACGCTAAACTGCCACGCATCTCGTTGAGACCCTCCGTGATCTCACAGGTCCTTGTGCGTCTCATCCGCCGAGATCTTCTATGCACCTCAATAAGTACATTGTAATCGCAAAAATCTTCGTGTCCTACATCCGCCATAAGATAGCATACATCTCAGTGAGACCAGTGTGAAGTCACAGACCATCGTGAGCGTTTCATCTGCCATGACTAGAGAGAGTCGCTTGAAAGAGAGATCTTACTGCTCCTGATTACCCTCGGAAACTCTTTTTGACTTTCACTGCAAGGTCGAAACGTACGTGATACTCTGAAAATAACACGATGGGATGTTGATTCGTATCTGTTCCATCGTGGTCTCACAATCTCTCGTGCGTTTCACCCGCCATGACTTACATACAGACACTTGAGGAGATAAACTTACTGCTCCTGATGCACCGTGTAATAGTCTCAACTCCCAAGTCCGAGGTTGGGATTAATATGGTCTCGTAAAGCTACGCGCTGATGGTAGGATTATTCTTACGGCAGTGACGCAGCGTGGACTGATCGACGATCGTTTTCGAGATGAAGACGAATCGCAACGACTATAGCCTACCGACCAACGATTGCGGTGCTTGGTGTTGTAACGGCCTTATCAATGTCTCATGCGTTTCATTAGCAATAATCAAGAGGAAGTCACTCGAGAGAGAGAAACTCCACTGCTCCTGAGATTTTCGGATACTACTTTTGGCGCCTAGTATTGACGGCGAAGTGAACGTGGCACTCGTGAAGCTACGCAATGGTCGTTCGATTGGCCCCAGGAGAGGTCTCGTGCTCATCTTCTGGCATTAACGTAGAGTGAGCTGATGCACGGCTGTCTCTGGATTGGATATGGGTTACACCGATCAATGCCTACTAAATAAAGAATCTCAGGTGGCGGTACTGGGTTCTGTAGATTCTGGTGTGTTTTTGGAATCAAGTGTTCTGATACTCATCGCTAATGGACAGATGCCATAACCTGCTCCATCCAGGGGTAGACATAACTATTGGCCTCAGGATAACCTAGAATCGAACCATATATTAGTACAAGTTTCTCCAGACATCGCGATCATGGTTGATAACTTACCCATATGCAAGCGTTGACTGATAAGTCTCATCTCCTTGGGCGAGCCAAACTCGCTCAAAAGCATAGAGTCCTCGATAGGCATCAAACCATCGATAGTTCCATTGATGAGCAACAAACGACAACTCTTCATGTTTACAACACCGGTTTTTACCAAAGACCAAGTATCCTGAGCGTTATCCATAAAGTCATCATGGTCCTTGTAGCCAAACTTTTCTGTCAGAGCAGGTAGAGCGTTCCAGGGGTATTCCTTGTTCTGTGCCTTTTCGAGCCATTCGCGGGAGAAGAAGTGGTGGGTTCCTGCACCTTGGCCGATGGCGCCTGCGAGTCTGTCGGAGTGGGTGTGTGCTGCACGAACCTGTGTAGGAGTCAGTACTCAGTACTTGCGTGGAGGGGGATCCATTATACATACCGCATTGTAGCCACCGGCACTCAAGCCCCAAGTGATGATACGCTTCATGTCATAGACACCTTCTCCTGCTAACCAGTCCAGGATGCTTGTCCATAGTCTCTCAGCGGCTTCTGGGTCCTTTCTGTCGGCAGGGCAGTCTGCGGTGCCAGGAATATCGACGATGATCGAGGCCCAGCCTCGAGCAAGGAACTCATCGCTGCGGGTAGTGTTGTCTGGTCTGTGTCCATCGAGCCCGCACATGAGCAGAACAGTAGGACAAGGCTTGGACTTGGAGGCGTCTTTTGGTAGACGAACGTAGAGAGGTACAGAATCGGCGTCGGACGAGGTCGCTGCTGTGTGAGGGATAGTAACATCTTCAATGGGGCAGGCCCAAAGGCTGGCAGCCTTGATGTATGCCTTCTTTTGTGCTTCGTAGATTTCGCGTTTGTAGTCCGAGTTGATGTAGGGGAAGCGAGCGATGCGGTAGACGGTGCAGGCACGGAGGTAGAGGGCTGAAGCAGCGTCCTTGTCGGAAGGCACGAGTTTGTCTGCCTCGTGGATGAGACGTTCGGCGGTGGGGACGAATTCGCGAGTGTATTCGTCAGTGTAGCCCGAGTTGATATTCTTCGAGATCAGAGACTTGAAGACAGGTTCGAAGTCTTCGAACTTGCCATCGTGAAAGGGATAAAGGGACTTTGAGCAAGGGAAAGCCCACTTCTTCTCCCACAAAGCTTGGATGCTTTCGAGATGAGGGTATACTTGGTCGAACTTGTCACCAAGGATCCATTTGTGTTCCGTGGGAGTAGTCAAGGACATGGTAGGTAGGATGAGAGATGCAAAGAATCAGAACCAGGAAGAACAGCGATGAGTTGCATGGTTTATATACTGCGAGCAAGAGACTAGACATGATGCCGTATCAAAAAGTCCGTCGGGCATTGAGGGGAGAGCCGTAGAGTGGGCGAGAGCGAGATATGGATACAAGGCACGGTGTTACGGCAGTTGCATGTAAGCAGGAGATGGGAAGCACAGAGGAGACAAGTGCAGGAGCCGGGTGAGAGAGAGCATGTGTTTGAAAACAGTCGGGTATGCAATGGGTCGGAGAATTGATGATGCAGGGAAAGATGGTGAATAATGAGGCTTTGTGGATGTAGCCATGGTTGGAGCTTGGAGCCGAGGAAGACAGAGCGGAAGGTTTACGAGGGTCGGCCCCGCATAAACAAACGTCTCGGTGTTGGCCATGACGAAAGAGTGCAAGCAGCTCTGGGCACGCCAATACCAAGCAGTTATGATCTGCTCATGCGTCCATGCGCCCCTTCATCAGCGCCTCAAGAGGCTGTCGCCGTGTACAGCAGCATCCATCTCTGTTCCGACACCAACCCTGTATTTTTGTCCTTCTGCCATCGTCGCGACGATACAAACAACAACCTGGACGTCGATCGGCCCAAACACGACCGAGGACCCACATCTGAAGCATCCGAGATAGGCTAGGTGGAAGCGGCTACCGGCCCATCAACAAAGGCCCTCTATCAAAAGTCATCATGTCGCTATCAGCAGCAATCGACGCGGAGGCTAAGGAGCTGCGACGCGATTTCGAGCAGAGCACCACGCGCAGGAAGTCGGCCTTGCCCCCACTCCCACCTCCTCCTCCAGGCTCCATCGTCACTCCCACGAGTCCTGTCTTAGCCCACCGCACCATGCCTGGTGCCCGCGGAAAGCCTGCATTCCCTGGCGACTTGGGTCCCGGTGACCCACGACGTAGCAACAGACTGCCCGGCGATCTTGGCCCAGGAGACCCAAGACACAGCTCCAACAGATCCGCAAACTCAGACGGCACCCGTTCAGCAGCTCGCAGTCTGAGTCCCACCCGCAGCAGCCTCAATACCCTGCACCCGAACGACAAGTCTCCCTCGCATCGCAGATTGTCAGACGCTGGCTCCATCCGTCCTCAGCTTGGGAACGGAGGCGCGCGCCTGCAAAAAGACTACGACAACGAGTCAGCCAGCAGCGACGAAGAAAGCAGCGATGAACAAGACACCGACCACGAATCCTCCAGAGGCAGAGTTCGCGCAAGAGTTGGCAATGCTGTCGGCGCCAGTCAAGACAGCGACAACGATGAACCTTCGCCTCCTCTGAACGCAGATCCCACCATCACTGTCACTCCGCCGGCGACAGATCAACCCTCCAACCAGTCCCGAAAGCCCGACGTCCATCCTAGCACCGCCTTCGACTTTGCTGCATCATCAACCTCTACCCCTGTACATTCCGACGACGAAGAACATCTCTCCGACTTGCGCCGTGCCCAGCGTCTCGCCCTCAACATCTCTCCCATTCACAGCACCCCTTCGGCTCATCGCGTCATTCGTCAGATCATCCGTGGTGACTACCTCTACTTTCAGCGTCAAGCTGAAGAAGGCCGTAGGAGGCAAAGAGTTTACCTTGTCGCTACCGATCTGTCTGCCGAAGCCGAGTATGCCCTTGAATGGACCATCGGCACTGTTTTGCGCGATGGCGATACCCTGCTGGCAGTCTATGCAGTCGACGAGGAATCTGGTACTGGTGGAGCTTCCGAGGGTGTCGAGATTGGACACGGTGCCGACGTCGTCAAGGATACAGCTACTATCGTACGCAGCATGACTGCAGAGAGTATGACTCCCGCAACCCTGCCGCGCGACAGCAGCACCGCAAGGATGGCCTTCACCGAGAGGAAGGACATGCCCAAGGCCGAGCAGGACCGTTTCCGTGCCGCTGAGGACATCAGTCAGCGTTGTGTAAAGCTGCTCCGCAAGACTAGACTTCAGGTTCGTGTCGTGGTTGAGGTCTTCCACTGCAAGAGTCCTAGACATATGATCACCGAAGTGGTGAGTATAAGCCAACCCATAGTCTCCTCACACCATGCTGACTTTCGTACAGATTGACTTCCTATCCCCCACGCTTACCATTCTTGGGTCAAGGGGCCGGTCCCAACTGAAAGGTGTTTTGCTCGGCTCGTTCAGCAACTACCTCGTTACTAAGTCCAGCGTGCCAGTCATGGTTGCCAGAAAACGGTTCGTCGAACAGCACACGCAGGGATATCCCAAGGACACCCAGACTGATACTCTTGCCAGACTTAGGAAACACTCCAAACAACGCCTCCACAAGGATGGACTTCCCGTGGCCCAAGCTGGTGATGGAAGAATGCGCTACATCAGAATGTCCAACGTTCTGGAGGCACCCGGTACCAAGCCCAGAGCTAGAGGCCTTGCTGGAGCCAAGATCGATTGAGTGTGTTTATTCTTGCCTGACTGATTGTCCCGGGTTCGCCGGTGAGGTTTGGGGCGACACTTTCTTTTCTTGCGATGCACATAAAAATGTTGACACGAAGTGTTACGCGACCACGACAAATTCATTAAGCATTAATTCAAACTACACTCTTCTTCGAAGCAACGCGTCTTCTTAGTTGTGTTCACATATCTTGATATCATGGTGTGGTGGAAGAAGTCGCTCGTCTTTCAAGGAGATCGAGGGCCAGGGTCCCTCCCTGCCATGGTTCGGAATGACATATAATTCTCCTGCTGCATCCAAACGTCTAGACAAGCATGTGATTGTTGATGGCTTCCAACTTTGAGTGAATTTAGAGCTTAGGGATGAACATGGGAGTGTTCTGTTCGAGGTTAGCAAGTGGCATAGCCATCATGCAGGACACATGAAACATACCTTCTTCCACTCTTGGTAGTCCTTGCGGTCGCCGTACCGCTTGTCGTACTTGTTCTCGCTGAGAGGAATGCCCGAGACCTAGTCAAGCTGTTAGCACTCGGAACAGCATCCCATCAAATCATTTCCCAAAAAAACAAACCTTGAGCAACAAGAAAGTGACAAAAGCAGGGCTAACACCAGCCATGGCCAAAGCACCCAATCTAGCACCAGCACTGCCACTGAATCCCATACCAGCCTGCCCAATTTTGGTCACCAAAACACCAGCAGCGACAGTCGCAATACCAGTCCACAGAGTGCTTTCGCCAAAGTAGTTGGGATGTCTGGACTTTGACCACAAGCCTCTGGTCAGAAAGTCTTCATTGTGTTTCTTGTTCTTCTTTTCTTCCATCCATTGGGATTTTTGCTTGTCGGCTGTGGCTTCGAAGGTGATGCCGCCAATGTAGAGGAGTACGCCGATGACGTCGGTGAGGGTGAGGAAGGGCAGGGCGGAGAGGGTGGTTGTGGGGACGGAGTTGAGGGCGAGGACGGGCAGCAGACAGAGCGATACCCAGGTTGCTTGGGCGAAGAAGGCGCCGAGGAATTTGGGAGGCGAGGTTCTGATGGAGTCGAAGCGGGAGTCGCGGCCGTCTTCGGAGGTTATGCGGGAGAAGAGGAAGGTACCGACTGCTGATGTGTTAGTCGAGCTATCTTGCTTCAAGCAGATATGATACGCACGTCTAGTGGCCCAGATGGCTACGGCAGCACTGAGAACAACCTGTCTCCAGTTCCAGGCCTGGACACCGCCTTTGCTCGCCAAACTAGCCAACAAGCTAGGGAATGCAGGAAGAGCTGCAGTACCAGCCGAAGCAGTGGCAGCAGCAGCTCTAGCTCTCAGAGTAGGCAAGTAGAGAGACAGTGCCGTGCATGACAGATACGTCAATGATCCACTCAGATCATAGAAGCGTTCAGACTGCAATGCGATACTAGGCACTGCAACGCCAGCTTGAATGGCATACGCAAGTCCAATACTAGGCACCAATGTGCGAAGGAATGGAGATCTGAAGTTGGTCAGGGCTAGAAAGGTGTTTAACAAAGTCATTGTTTGAATTGGCGATGGCTAAAACAGCCTGTGTACGTATGGAACGAAGTGAGAGAAGCCTACATTCAACAGACAGCGTTACAGCCCATATATAACTAGTTGTCTACGTCCCAAAGCCAAGAATCCTTCTGCCTTCGATTGTGAGTTTAGATGCAGTGGTGAGATCGAACTGGAAGCCTCCGGCATAACGAAGATGACGACATTTCAGGGTCCGAGTGTTCGAAGGGGTCCCTCTCGGGGTTTGTTGATCTCCCGAGTCCGAGGAGAGATCGATAACACTTCCGTTCTCATGATACTGGACCTGAGGACAAAAGGCTATGTCATGTTGTCAGGAAATCACGTTCGCTGTTGGGAGGAGTTGGGCATACTGCTCTTGTGGGGGTGAGCGTTGTGAGAAGACGACATCGAGCAGTCGGAAAATTCTATGCTGAAAGTCGAGCGTATGACCCTGGTATGAATATAGCTCTTCTTTTTACAGCACTATGCATGTTCAGATCGGTCGTGGAGTACCTTTGGTGGGTCAAAATACTCTTTCTCGTCGTCTGTCGAGATGCCGAGTTCTGTGGGCGCAGTGTCAGTCGTTTCTTTGCAATTGGTGGTCGAGGCAACGAGCTTATCCACACTATCTTCAAATTTAACGGATCCAACCAGAAGTTGTGGCCTTCAACGTTGTACATCTACATGAAACGATACATGGGCAGCGATGGAGACCGAACAACAAGTCACGAAGGAGGCTAGACCTATCTAGAATGACGGCAAGGAAGGTCGTATATCTGAGCATAAGATTACAGACTGTACAGAAAAGTGAGCTTCTCATCTCCACGCCGTAGTCTATCGACTCCGAGCCATTCGCGTAAATTATTCAGCCTGCAGATTCGTGTGAAGAATGCCCAAAAGCCCTTCTCCTCTACAGCGCTGTCTCCGAACATGGCTTCATGTCGGACCTCCTCATCGTTCCATTCTGCCACAATCCGTGTTCGTCGACCATTCTCTGCGACAATCAAGGCCCTAAAAGCAAGGTATCCCACGAATGCAGTCAACACACAGACTAGAGTAACATAGAAGGGGACGATGTAGCCGTCATTGGCGTATTTGGGAGCGAACAGCATGCTTGAGATCACGCCAGCGAGATTTCCCCATCCGTTAATTCCAAGGACGATCGCGCGTTTTCCAGGCTCGGGTATGTTGTTGCTCAGCCATGTTACTGTAAGAGGTGAGGCTACAAACGAGCCGGACAAGAGAACAGTCAAGGCAAAATAGCGGAGTTTGTATGCATGCGTGGGTAGCGCGACCGTGGCGGCGAGACCGCCGAGTAAGATGCCCAATCCGTATAAGATTGGAATCAGACGAATCCGGTGTTTGTCAGACCACCAAGTAAAGATCCACAGGATTACTGCGCCTGCCAGGAACGGGGGTATCACCAGGAGATTTATGGCAGCCGGGCCCAGGTCGTCTCGCCCGGCGATGCCTTTTATAACGAGTGGGAGGAAGACTGCAAACGCAGTGGCCGGAATAGCAGATAAGATGTTGCAGAACAGAAGATACCAGACCTTCCAATCAGCTATAGCAGAGAAGATGTCTTCGCGAGACACACCACTATCAGCAGTGACGGGCGTGACTGAAGCGTGACTGGCTCGACGTGGCGATGGCCGTGTGATCTCGGCACCAGGGAGCAGATAATCAGCTTCCTCGTCCTCGAGTGTCAAAGATGGACGCGACTCTGATACGTTAGATGCCCTTCGCTCCTGGATATCGGCTTCTGATTGATGTTTTGGATGGGACCACGAGATGGCTGCAGCAAGCTGATCACTACGAATCCGCTCTTCTGCAACAAAGCGTTCGTCAGTGGTGAGAAACCAGGCTGTGTTTGCACTGTGTGGGAGCCAAAAGAATCCAACGAATGCAACCAAGATCGTCAAACAGCCTTCAATCAGGAACAGAACCTCCCAACTTCTCCATCTCGCCGCAGCTACGTGTGGAGTAGGGTCCTCATGGGGGAAGTAACTGAAGACGGCCCAAGACAGGAGGCCGCCAAAGCATCCGGCGAGAGCAGCTTGACCGTAGAAAAAAGCCAAGCGCTTGCCAAACTCGTAACGTGTATACCAGAGACTCAAATCTGAGCGATGGCACGTTAGCTGACGGAAACGGCCTAGCAGTCTCGATATACCGACTTACAGCTAACTGTGGTAGGATAGAAGCCAGATTCTAGAGCTGCGATGAGTACTCTCAAGGCCACCAGTTGTGTCTGAGACTGCACAGCGATATGAAGAGCAGTGCACACTCCCCAAAGGCTCATAACCGCTGGTACGTATCGAGCCATACCATATTTGCGACCAAAGTAGGCACCAATGGGCTGACAAGAGACGAAGACAGCAAAGAACCAAGCCACGGATACGTTCAAGGCGGACTTGGGCAACCCCAGGTCTTCGGTGAAATGACCAGATTCTGCATTCCCAACGTTGGACTTGTCTAGAGAGTTGAGCAAGAACAGTAAACACAGAAATGGCAGAAGCAGGAGGTCGAGCTTTCGTACAACACGCTTGCTGAGGCGCGCAAAATCGTCAGCATCAAGATGACGAGGAAGACCCCTTTCCATGGGCGACGTAGAGACGAGTTCAATATCGCTTCCAATGTTCATAGTCGACGGGAGCCGCTGTCCGTCATCGCTGAGCCTGGAGAAGGCTGGTTCTTTGGCGAGTCAAGGAACCCACACCGACGGAAGATCAAGCTTCACGTCACAGCGCACGACCCGAGCGGCTGTTGTCATGGTGATAGAGTGCAAGACGAAAACAAATTGGATTTTTGGATGCGTTGTTCGATTTTGAGTGGGCAGCTTTGCAAAGGCACAGATCAACCACTCGTACTACTTTCGACAGGTAAGGAGCATGTGTTGAGTTGTGCTGTGATTCTCAGTAAAGAAGAAGAGATAAACACTGTGCTTGAGAGACAAGCACAGAGTCAGACTAAGTTTTTGCTGGATCGCTGACAACTTGTCCTGAGCAGCGGCACCAAGACCTATCACGGTAAAGCAAAGGCCAGCAGACGGCGTACCTAATATCAATCCGGGGATCAGCGGGCCGCACTTTGACAGTGTGCTTGTTAGCGACCTAAGGGTGCTGCGCCTGTCGTGCTTTTGCCCAGCGGCAACCTGCTTGCTCGCTCTGCGTCTGGTGAGCTGGACCAAGTCTGGTCGGCGCATCTGACTTGAAGGTCCAAAGTTTCTTGTCGAACAACGACGTTACCGCTCGATTGAGAGTCGACTCTACGGGCTGCAAGAAGGTTGCTTCCCCGCTGGTGCAACAGCAGGTGCAATCGACAGGTCAGAAACGGCGTCAACGGTGCTTGCCCGACTTGAATAATGGCCGACGCACCCCCTCCTCCTCCTCCACCTCACGGAGCCAACCCACGATCAACATCTGGTGGTCTGCCTGAGGGAAACTACGACATATTCATCATCCCGCCTCACAGCTCAGGTTCCGGATTTCTGTACCTGCCTTCTCTCCAGCCACAGCGCAACTCGTTTATTGCTGGCTTTGCATGCGCCGTCTTTTGCTACCTGATATGGATAACAGCCGTGCCAGTCCTGCGACAATGCTTGTCAAACATTGCTGCCAGCGGGAGTGCTGGCGTGCTTCTGCTTGTCGCTGCTGTTGGTGCCGCAGCATGGGTCTTCGGAAAGACTCAAGGTGAAAGTAAGAACCAGGGTCCACACAGCCCACCGCCCTCAGGAAACAGTGGAGCACAAGGAAGCTCAGGTACAGGGGGAGGGAGCAACCACAGCAGAAGTTATAGTGGCCCTCACAATGCTTCGCATTCCTCAGGCTCAGACCATGCACATTCCGCGCCACCTCCACGCACCCCTCGACAAGACTACTCAACTCCTCCAGGGCAGGAATACAGACCCCCTCCACCACCACCACAGTCAGAGTACTACTCACAACCCCCGCCCGAACATCATGCTCCACCTCGATACACCGCTCCGCCGCCACCGCCGCCGCCTCCTCCTCAAGCACCGCCAAAACCCGCCCCTCCGCCTCAGCCGAGACCCGCTCCTACCTCACAGCCAAAAGCGGCCCCTATGCCACAGCATAAACCTGCTCCACCACCGCCTACTTCACCAGATACTCCAACAAGATCTGCTTCCGATGCTGCAGCCAGTTGGGAGAAGGCCCGGGAAGAGACTCGCAAGCGAGAGGAGGCAAGAAAGAAGGCAGATGAGTTGAAAAAATTACGCGAGGAAGCACTACGCAAGAAGGAAGAAGCCGAACGACAAGCGAGAGCAGCTGCTGAAAAGCTCAAATGGGAGCAAGCTAGAGCCCGTGAAAAGGAAGCCCGCGAACGAGAAGCAAGAGAGCTCGGAGCCAAGGATAAGGATACTAAAGACAAGGACGCTCGGGAGAAGGAGAAGCGCGAGCGCGAAGCCCGGGAGCGAATTGCAAAAGATAAGAGGGAGAAGGCTGCAGAAGCGGCAAAGTCACCACTCAAACCCACCACACCCGCTGCCAAAAAGTACGAGCGACCTAGTGCGCAAAGCTATGCCAGCACCGAGACGACCAGTGCTTATGACGCTCGCACAGTCACATCGTCCTCAACCGCGTCATCCTACACAGAGACACTGTCCTCATATGCGCCCTCGACCTCTACCGCCCGAACCAGTCCGCCTCCAGAGTATCGTGGACCATACAACACATCTGATCCAGACAAGATAGTCATAAAGGCCGTCTACATGTACAACAACACAACACCAAAGAAGCCCATAAGCCAACTCGTCAGTGGGGAAGCCAATGTCACCGACGGCCTCGTCTTGAGGATTAGCACCGAAGGCTTGTTTATTGATGACGATGTACGCCGTGTTCCACAGCGTGAGTGGGACATTAAAGCTTGGAATCTTAAGGGCATCGAGAGAGGAAATCTGAATCCTCACTACATGCTACGCGCCACGATCAGAGACACAGAAGGCAAACACTACATTTTCGTCATCCCGTCAGACCAAGAATGGAAGGTTGACACCGGACTGGGTCGCCTGCGCAAAGGCAACTTGGTCCGTAGCTTGGGAATGAGCACCATCAAGGCACCAGAGATGAAAGGCTTGCTCAGCGATCTTGGTTGGGTTTGATTGTTGTCGCGCCGGGCGGGCAGAGATGCGACACTATCTGCCAATCTGCCATGTTACAGAGGTTCTGTGACCCGTTGGCCTAGAAAGATTTCGTGTGTTTCACTGCATCATGCATCAGCGACTGGCGTATTTCTTTTCTGCTTTGAGCTTACAGCTCTCGTTTTCGCCCTTTTGCTCGTCTTGGACATACACTCTCGCTACGATGGAACGACTATTGAAAATTGCGGATACCACCTTGTGCTTTTACTCCATACGGAGTGTCACATACCATGTTAATAGAGAATAATTGATTGCGACGTTGCCTTCTTGTGTTTGATGATTGTGTCCCGAGTACGTGGATGATTGGTTCTGAATCGGCGTACGCTGGAAGTTATCTTTAGCAACATTCCTCGGTCAACGGACCGATATGCCTTCCTCGTATAGACGTAATCATGCTACCTCTGGTGACATTAGAATCCATGAAACACTCTATCACCAAAGTGTCGCAAACCGGCTTCGTCGTGAGAGAGCGTACACCGCTCTTGTTGCACATATCCAGTGAACCTATCAACAACTTATTTGTTTGTGGAAGATGCTCCCGATGTCACACCCTCCGCAAGCAGCAATCCGGAAGACACTGTTTGCGTACTTGCGGGCTGGGGTTTGGATCGACTCCTTTTCGATATAAAAGGCCCTGAGGTCTGTGGCTGGATGTGTTCCCCAAATTCGAAGAACCGAGAACACAGAAGAAGAAATCATCCTACCTTGTTGAATCAGAACTCGGCATCTGCCCTTCTGGAACACCACTTCGATCAATCATTCCAGAAAAAAAAGAACAAGATGGCATCGTCAGTCACCATATTAGCAGCAATGCTGTATGCCTCGACAGCACTCGCACACCCACAACCCGTCATCGAGGCCAGCCTTTCTCCAAGCAACCTCGCAGTCACTTGGTATCAAGCACCTCTGGCTTTCAGCACAGCAATCTCGACCGACACGACTTGTGGCTGGGCTGTCTCCACAGGACAATTGAACACCACCCAGTGCTACGTCTTGCACACATATGCTCTTGGGTTGCAGCAGAATGAGCAGCACAGGTGTACCTTGAAGGTGTGGGATGGTGTTTCTGATTGTTCTGGAAATGGTACTTGGACCACGTATGCCATACCTAGCGGCAGAGGCACGAAATGTGTCGAGACTGGTGTCTTGGATGGCGGCAATTTCCAACATAAGAGTTGTGTTCTGACATGCTCTTGAGAGGGCTGAGATGTTATGGCGTTGGTATCCACTTTCGGTCTACCTTCTCACGCGAGACAATTTCCTAGGTTTAGTGGCAGGCATGTCTTATGTTTGTTTTACTGCTGGTGGACGAGAATGTAGAAGAATGATGAGACTCACCTCAACCGGGCCTTCGAGTGTCATACACACTGTGACCGTCAACGGGTATCATCTTAAATGTCGGAGCAGACCGATAGCATTCGATGGTGGACCTGTGGATCTGTATGTCGAGCTGTGAGCATTGCACGTACCGTCCTGTCTTACCACGGCAAAGGTGCCGCGTAGATGATGGCGCTGAGATCTCTGGGTCTCGGCTTCTTTTGAAGCTCGGAACGCCCGATGTTGAAGCCCTTTGCGGCAATAACCTTTATCACCTTTATGTGGGATTCGGACCGCTAGAGGTCACAAGTCATCGGAGCCATGTTTACGGAGGAGGGCTTCCCCAGTGATCGCATGTTCCGAGCAGAAAAAGGACCGATAGCATTGCTAATGGGCCCGAAATTGTGCACGCCGTTGATTGGTCCGTACGCTCCCCATACCGTCCAGTTCCCAGTGGAGTTGCGGGGGTCATGATGGGGCGTTCATTAGCTCCACAGTTGATCTCTGTGTGACTGTTGACACACCGGGGCTGCCTGGGATACTGCCTTGTGTTGTTGGGGGAGAAAATGGATTGACATTTGCATCGAACACTCACTCCTCATGTGCAAGGTGCTCAACGCAGAGCGGATAAATAGATTCGGCTGAGAGGTGAAGGTGATGGGTTAGATGGTCGCCGGCAGAGCTGGGGTGATGCGGCGGCGGAGCTGCACAAGTTTCTAGCCGAGCGCCTGCACCAACTTTTGGCTAAAAAACGTCACTGTTCAGTTAGACGATTTGTCCCAGCCTGAGGCTTCAATCGTTGAGAGGAGCGCGTCTGTGCAGTTCACCGTAGCCGCGTCGTCGCAATTGATTTCCAAGAGACGTCCAGGTTCACCTCGATTTGATCTTCCAGCTCGAACATCTCAGAGGCACAAAGCGATTGCAATTGACCAAGCAAAGACTTGCCCTGCTCGGCTGCAAGCAAAAAACCACAAAACGTCATTGGCGGCGCTTCGTTTCTGACCATTTCCAGGTGAGTACCCCACAGCTCGTCGATCTCTGGCTCTGGACACGGAGCTAAACCGACAGCTCTCTGCTCCTTCCTTCGACCCTACTTTAGCTCGCTCCTCCCACTTTCCTGCCGTCATTGCTCGACGCTTCTCCTGTCACCTCCCCCCCAGTCACATCACACAATGGCTACCACAAAGCGCGACGTGAGAAACCACGTCCTCTTCGAGGTCGCTACCGAAGTCGCCAATCGAGGTTTGTTTCAGCTCACAATGCTTTGTTCGCGCCACCGCCGTCGCTAATGTCTTGCCAGTCGGTGGCATCTACTCGGTGCTCAAGTCCAAGGCCCAGGTCACGACGGCAGAGTATGGCTCGGCATACACACTGATCGGTCCTCTGAACCGCAACTCGGTAAGCTTCCAAGTGCCAATACACTCGTCGCTTAGTTCGTGAATTGACTCGAGTCCAGGCAGCTGTCGAGGTTGAAGAGCTCGAGCCCAAGGATCCCGCCATGGTAGCGACCATCAAGTCCATGAACGAGCGTGGCATCAAGACGCTATATGGAAGATGGCTGATCGACGGTGCTCCGAGAGTGCTGCTGTTCGACACTGGCACCGGTTACTACAAGCTCGACGAGTGGAAGGGCGACCTCTGGGCGACTGCTGGCATTCCCTCGCCTGCTGACGATCACGAGACTAACGAGGCCATTGTCTTTGGTTACCTCGTTGCGTGGTTCCTTGGAGAGGTAAGTGGTTGATCCGGCCTTGTGTCTTCCAGACAATTCTGACTGACACGTCATTAGTACGTCTACCACGAAAAGGAGCGCGCCGTTGTCGCACAGTTCCATGAGTGGCTCGCTGGTGTTGCTCTCCCTCTGTGTAAGAAGCGCAGAATCGACGTCACCACCATCTTCACCACTCACGCGACCCTCCTTGGTCGTTACCTCTGTGCCGGCTCTGTCGACTTTTACAACAACCTGCAGTACTTTGACTGCGACGCTGAGGCTGGAAAGAGAGGCATTTACCACCGTTACTGCATAGAACGCGGTGCTGCCCACGCCGCCGATGTCTTCACAACCGTCTCGCATATCACTGCTTACGAGAGTGAGCATCTGCTCAAACGCAAGCCCGACGGTGTCTTGCCCAACGGCCTGAACGTCAAGAAGTTCTCGGCAACCCACGAGTTCCAAAACTTGCATCAAGTAAACAAAGAGCGCATCAATGACTTTGTTCGTGGCCACTTCTACGGCCACAACGACTTCGACCCCGACAAGACCCTGTACTTCTTCACCGCTGGTCGTTACGAGTACCGTAATAAAGGTGTTGACATGTTCATCGAGTCCCTGGCCCGTCTCAACCACCGCCTCAAGGCAGCCGGCTCTGACATGACTGTTGTCGCTTTTATCATCATGCCCGCTCAAACCACCTCGCTCGCCGTCGAGGCCCTCAAGGGTCAAGCCGTTCTCAAGTCTCTCCACGATACCGTCAGCTCTATTGAGAAGAACATTGGCAAGAAGCTCTTTGAGCGCTCTCTTGCATGGCACGAGGGCCAGAACCCTCCTGATGAGACCGGTCTCCTGACCGCAGAAGACAAGGTTTTGCTCCGCCGTCGTCTCTTTGCCATGAAGCGCTCCAACCTGCCTCCTATTGTTACTCACAACATGGTCAACGACCAGGAAGACCCCATCCTGAACCAGATCCGCCGCTGCCAGCTCTTCAACCACCCTACCGATCGCGTCAAGGTCGTTTTCCACCCCGAGTTCTTGAGCTCTGGTAACCCAGTTCTCCCAATGGATTACGATGACTTTGTTCGTGGTACCCACTTGGGTGTCTTCTCTTCCTACTACGAGCCCTGGGGCTACACTCCCGCCGAGTGTACCGTCATGGGTGTTCCTTCTATCACCACCAACCTTTCAGGTTTCGGATGCTACATGGAAGAGCTGATTGAAAACGCTCAAGATTACGGTATCTACATTGTGGATAGACGCATGAAGGGTGTCGATGACAGCGTCAACCAGCTCACCGAGTACATGTTCGATTTCGTCGGAAAGAGCCGCAGACAACGCATCAACCAACGTAACCGTACCGAGAGATTGAGCGACCTCTTGGACTGGAAGCGCATGGGTATGGAGTACGTCAAGGCCAGACAGCTGGCTCTCCGAAGAGCATACCCTGCTTCATTCGAGGGCGACGAGGAACCTGGCTTCTTCGACGGCACCGAGATCAAGATTTCTCGTCCTCTTTCTGCACCTGGCTCGCCAAGAGACCGCTCAGGCATGATGACTCCTGGTGATTTCGCGTCTCTGCAAGAAGGCAGAGAAGGCCTGAGCACCGAGGACTACATCGCTTGGAAGCTTCCGTAAGTTCTCCATCTTCGCACAACACCCTGACGAGATCAGTATACTAACGTGTTTCAATAGTGAGGAGGAAGATGTAGACGAATACCCATTCCCGCTCACCCTTCGAAGCAAGTCATCGTCGACGAATGGCACTGGCACCACGACACCTACCAACGGTACTGCAAGCAACCTGACTAGCAACACTAGCGGTGCTGCCTTTTAAGAGTGGATTTGAAACTAGGAAAGAAAGAGAAGAATGATGAAACGATCATAGGCGCAACAAAGGGGACTGGTGCTGATGATAGGCACGAAACCCTTGTAATCGTTGCACATTTTTTGTACATTACCATGTAATTTGCGGATTGCTGTTCCAAGAGTGTTTTGTCCCGTCTTGAATCTCGCGTAATGATGGGGTCCCGTTTAAGGTTGTGAATTCTATTCTAATTGCTCAGACGTCAGTTCGTGCACTTGCATGTCTCTTGCCAGATTTCGCGTCAGAGCAAGAGACGGCAGACATGGGATTTGCGAAAAAAAAGCAAAACAAGGGATATGAAGACATTGAGCAGCGACGAGGTCATCAAAGAGGGCACCTGCACCTCGCACCGGCAAGAAGGAAAGCGAGGCATGAATGAGGTTAGAGCTGAAGCCAAGGCGTTGGAGGCGGCTGTGGGTTGGAGATCGTCCACGCGCGCTCGGGATCAAGTTGCGATTATTGTCTCCTTCTCCATGACTGCATTCTGATTCCGCCATGCCTCCTGTCCACTCGACGTAGCCTTCGACCTGTATATCCCGCTTCGCTTGACACTGGCATCTTTCCCCTTGACCCTTCGACAAGTCACGCAATCTGTCCCCCGTCCCGTAGTGCACCACCTCGACTCGACCGACTTCGACTCTCGATGATGGCGATCGCGCCTCAAGACCAATTCTGAGAAGCTTCGCTGGCGACAATTCTCCCATTACGGCCAACACAGGAATCCCTCCAGACGTACTCCGTTCCTCTGAAGACACCTGATACAACCGATTTTCAGCCAAATTTTTACCTTCTTCGACCTCTCCCGCTTTTCGTACCGCTCGTCAGCAATACTTTCAAAAGATGGAACGCCTGATGGGTACTTGGGCATGGGTGAAGAACCGCTTACCCAATCCCTTCAAAAAGGGGAAACCACACTTCAACTTCATTACGACTCACTGTAAGAAGCCTTGGTCGACCATACGCAAAAGGACTCGAGCTGAAACGTCATGAACATAGACACATATATGCTGGGATTGACCATACTGGGCTCTATTCTGATATATCCCGCCGGCGTAACACCATATATCGATGCTCTATTCTTTGCTGCAGGTGCAGCCACCCAGAGTGGTCTCAATACGTCCGTAATTCGTATGCACCCACCTTTTCTGTTCGCTGACATAGCATAGCATTGATACCAATAAGTTACACACCTATCAGCAGGTAGTTCATTCCTTTCTTGCGTTTTATAGCATGGTGCTAACCTTTTCGCAGGTCGTGCTTTACTTCATGGCATGTATCGCTAACCCAATTTTCATCAACACATGTGTCGTCTTTATCCGACTCTACTGGTTTGAGCAGCGCTTCGACCACATCGTCAAGGAAGCCCGAAATCAACGCCGCACCCGGACAAGGTCACGAACAGTCAGCGAATCTAGAGAGGATCCGGATCCCGGACGTGTTGAGATGGGAGTCAACGGCCGCAAAATCACCGTCTTGCACCACACTACGAAACCAAATGGCATGAGCGCCAGAAGTGCCGACGCCAAAGTCCACGGAATGAACGAGAAAGAACGAATGGAGCATCTCAACCGCAGCTTGGCCAACAACCATGGTAGCACGTCGGAAAGTGCTGGTTCCAGTGAGAATCGAGAGTCTGGATCTGGCAGTGATGTTGAGATGGATGACCTCGATAGAGATGAGGAAGTGGCTCCGGAAGTTGTAGTGAACCGAGAGGAGAGTGATGAGTCAGAGGAAGAACTGGATGAGAAGCCTGCCGAGAAAACTTGGCTCGGCCGAAACCCATCTCTGAAACGAGAAATCACATTCGCGGATCAAGTCAGACCTTCTGAACACAGACGACAAGCTTCGAATCTAGACGCCGTACCGGAAAGACCGAAACCAGCTCGCCTGGAATCAGAACACCATATAGCATTTCTGGAGAGGCAGCGGAATGTTAGAGACCAGCAAACTCTGCGCATTCCTAATCCTAGGGAATTTGATCGTGGTGATCAGCCTCACGAAGTCGACTCCGATGAAGAGGTCGAGGGTCTTGACCGTCAAATGACACGAAACACCATCCCATCGTCGCCTCCCTTACGCGCACGTACCCTTTTCAACGCTCCATCAGCCGGATTGAACGGCGATGATCATCCGGTCAGACGTGGCATCATTATCGATGAACCAGAACGCCCGCAGCGCGATCGCCAACCGTCTACAACTTCAAGTACCAGCCGCTCGCATCGCTTTAACATCCTTGCACCTCTACGCAACTTCCGCAGCAGACAGCGTGGAGAGAATACCACATTTGGCCGCTCCTTGAGTGGCTTTACCAACAGGACTTTCAGCTTTACTAAAAGTCAAGATAGAGATATGCAAGACCCCATGCCATATCTGAGTTGGCAACCGACGATCGGTCGTAACTCTCAGTTTGTGGACCTCAGCGAGGAACAGCGAGAGGAGTTGGGTGGCATTGAGTACAGAGCACTAAAGACTTTGGCGCTGGTGCTCGTGTGCTATTTCATCGGCTTTCATGTCCTCGGTGTCATTGTCTTCGTTCCCTGGATCAACGAGAGCAAGAAATATGGCAACGTTGTCATTTCTGATGGCCAGAACAGGACGTGGTGGGGCATCTTCACCTCTGCTTCGATGTTCAACGATCTTGGCTTCACGCTCACTCCGGACAGCATGATCTCCTTCCAGACAACTGTGATGCCTTTGCTGTTTGGTTCGTTCCTAATCATCATTGGTAACACTGGCTTCCCGTGCATGCTTCGATTCGTCATCTGGTTCGTTTCAAAATTCGTCCCTCGCGGCAGCGGTATCTGGGAGGAGCTTCGTTTCTTGCTAGATCATCCTCGTCGTTGTTTCACTCTCCTATTCCCGTCAAAGGCAAACTGGTGGCTTTTCGCAGTCCTTGTGGGTCTCAACGCTGTCGACCTGATCTTCTTCATTATTCTGGATCTCAATGATGAAACTGTTACTTCTCTGTCTCCAGGATTTAGAGTACTGAACGGCTGGTTCCAGGCTGCTTCCACTCGAACAGCTGGGTTCGCTTCCGTTAATCTTGCAGACCTACATCCAGCCATTCAGGTCTCTTACCTGGTCATGATGTACATTTCTGTCTTCCCTGTGGCTATCTCAGTTCGCAGGACCAACGTCTACGAAGAAAAGTCCCTTGGTATCTTTGCTGGTGAGGAAGAGGATGATGAGGAGAATCGCAGCTACGTCGGTCAGCATTTGCGTCGACAGCTGAGTTTCGACTTGTGGTACATCTTCTTGGGTTTCTTCATCATCACCATTGTTGAAGGCCACCGACTTGAGGATACCAACGCCTACGCATTCACCATGTTTTCCGTCCTTTTCGAGATCGTGTCTGCATACGGTACTGTCGGTCTTTCTCTCGGGTATCCAACCATCAATGCCTCTTTCAGTGCCGAATTCGCAACATTGAGTAAACTCATCATCATCGCCATGATGATTCGCGGACGGCACCGTGGTCTACCATACGCCTTGGATCGTGCCATCTTGCTACCTTCAGAAAATCTTAACAAGAACGAAGCCGAGCGTCCGACAAGTGCTCGTGACAGCTCTGAAGAGCCTCGCCCATATTCACGCACCTCGAGCAACAGAGACAGTAATGTGCCTCCTGAAGCCAGTGGCACATCTCTAGACTTCAGCCCTAGCGGAATGAGACAGATGCGCCGTGGTAGTCAAGTCAGCACCAGATCTGCTGGAGCCAGAAGCCAAGCTCCTGCAAGACGCATGTCTAAGCTCATTATGAGTGGCTTGAGTGCAGGGCCGACAATGGGCAGAAAGTACGACTGATTGAAGTAGATATTGTACAGTTGTTGTTGATATTATAAATGGATTTAGCCAGGTGTTGGATTGGTTGCTTTTGTAGCGCTTTGCTTCGTTCATATGATGTGTGCGAATAGCGTGTATAATAGTTATAACTATGATACACAATATAGTAGTAGTCAATAGTGATTTAGTAACAGCAGAGAGGGAAGGCGACCTAGCGAAGTAGCAGCAACATGGCTGAGAGGCTAAGAGGCTGAGAAGCCGAATCGCTAAAGCGCTAAGATCAATATAAATGCGGAGTGGCCGCATTGACCGACCGTCGTTACTCCTTCCTGCTCCAGAATTGAAGCCATGAGATTGCACAGACCTTTCGAGATTTGACACAATCCCACAGAGAGTCGACAATAGCACGGCTCTCGACAGATGCTTCGCATCTGCTATAGCCACTGTGCATCGTTACATATACTTGTACATAGGGAGTCTCAGAGCAGGAGTGAATGTCAAAGCTTTCTAGCCAGAACCCCATGTACTCCCCATGGCCATGGATAATTTACCAGGCTCCACACCAGATTTTTAGTGGCACTGAAGCTGGCAACTTTGCTTTATACCGATCAACTTTGAACCAACGTAGCACCACGCATAATTGTTCTAATCCTTTAAATCGACTGCTCAAATAAAAAACATATACTATAGATATACTGGGTATTTTTTCTAAGAGGATAAAGTTCACTCTAAGCATTGTATTGCGCGTGCGAAGTTAACACAGCTTTGTATGCGTCCCAAAAACTGGTACCAGGGTGACCTCACAAGCATTTAGCGCACGGAGCCTGGTAAATTATCCATGGCCGCATAATTATTAATGCAGATGGCTAGACCGATGGCGTCGGCCGTTGTCACCAGAAAATAATTACTGCGAGTGTTCGTTCTGACGCAGGAACCATTAACGAAAATGTTGCCCCGAGCGGCGTGAGTTCTGTACATGTCACTTGCGCATCTCCTGTCCCATCGCCACCCAATTTTCGCATTCTTCATCAAAGGTTGGCTTCCTGCACGTTGGCATCCGTGTTAGAATGTGCCCTTCGATACACACAAACGGCGCCGTCGCCTCACAGAAACACGAAGCGGCGCAAAGGATTACCAAATTATCAACTGATGGCCAAGCGACGCCGAAGCGATCACTATCGTGGAGAGGCTCGGTAGAAGAACTACTGGGCTTCCACCTCAAGGACATTCCATCAGAAGAAAGTTGGTGGCTGGCAAGAATCCACCCAGAAGACCTTTTTGATGTGGTCAATTCTCTTTCTCGGATACTGGCTCCAGCTCCCAACAAACCATACGCATCTGAGGCCAGAATCTGGGCACACGATTATCGCTTCAAACATGCAAATGGAGAGTTTTTTGTCATATCGGAAAGATCAATTGTGGATAGAGACAAGAGTGGCAATGTGCTGAGCATGACGAGCACCATTTTTGATGCCGAGAAACGAAGAATTGAACGCAAAGCACACAGGGAGTTTCTGGACTCGAGGAACCAGTTTGCTCTTATCGCGAACAATACACCGTCAGGAATCTGGATGATGGACCATATGGGCCGAACTACATATATGAACCACGCTGCGGAATCGATCACAGGTTTCAAATTTCAGGAAATTGCAGGATGGACTTTCCATGCAGCGGTACACAGCTGTAGGCCAGATGGTAGCCCGTACCCGGTAGCAGAGTGTCCTATTTTCCGCCATCAGCAGAGCGAAACGGAGGCCATCAACGAGTCGGAAGTGTTTGTGCACAAGAATGGAAGCTTCTACGACATTGTGTACAGCGTCTCACCGATAGGTGATTATGCAAGTGGTGGCGCCGTCATCGAGTTCCGAGACGTGACTGCACAGAAGAAGCTGGAGCAGGAACGATTAGCAGCGATTGTTCAGAATGAGCAACAATCAGTGCTAATCAAGGCATCAGAGGAGCACAAAGCCAACATGTCCTCATTTGTGTCTTTTGTATGCCATGAATTGCGAAACCCGCTCCAAGGCATCTCGAGTGCGACGGAGTTTCTATCTGAGACACTAGAGAAATTGGACACCCTGACCAACAGCGTCGATCCCAAAAACTCGACAGTCAATGCCAAAGCGAATGGACTCACGAATGGCGGCACCGATTCGCAATCGAGAAGCGCATCAAATCCGACAGACGAATCGACCGTCGAAACAATGCGTGGTCTGGTTAGATATGCTCGGGAGCTTGTCAACAATGTCGCTGTTTGCGCCTCGCACCAGGCCCTCATCACAAACAACGTTCTGGATCTGAGCAGACTCGACGCTGGCAAGGTGGAGCCATCATACGACATCGTGGATCTTCGTGCGCTATCAAATGAAGCTGTGGGTATGATGGTCTCGAGAGCACGCGTAAAGTCCATAGATCTGCGACTGGCGAACAACCATGCTCCACCTCTATATCTGAAGGCAGATTCAACACTCATGTCGCAAATCATGTTGAATCTGATAGGCAATGCTGTCAAGTTTACCCCCGAGAACGGCAATATCGTGGTCGACATATCCTCAGACTCTCCAGATCGAGATGGTCGAGTCGTCTTCCACGGCTCGGTGACCGACGATGGTGTAGGAATGACCGAAGCCGAGCAAGAAAGATTGTTCAAACGATTCTCTCAAGCCAACAAACGAGTTGCTCAGACTTACAAGGGCTCAGGGCTTGGCCTCAGCATTAGCAAAGAGCTCGTCAAGGTGCTAGGTGGTGATATGGCTGTGAAGAGTACTGCAGGAGTTGGAAGCACTTTCAGCTTCACTACCGCACACGACTACCCGACCGCGGATGAACTGAACTCGTTCTTGCAATCAGGCAACGGGGTCACCGCGGTTGCTACAGATTTGGAAAAGTTCGAGATCACCAACTCTGTACTGACGGTACCGATCCCTAGATTCAAAAAGATTTGCGTGGCGGAAGATAACCCGTAAGTGCATGCATCTGATAATGAGAACGATGTGCCAGAGCTGACTAGAGACAGGATCAATCTTCGTCATCTGTCAAAGACTTTGGAAGCCTTGGGCTATGATTATGTCCTCTGCAACAATGGCAAAGAAGCACTGGAAATCTTTACGCGACCAGGATCGGATATTGATGCCGTAATTATCGTAAGTAGATACCAAGTTCCTCAGCAGAGGTATCAACTAACTTATCCTCAGGACATGCACATGCCCGTAATGGACGGCCTCGAGGCCACTCATCTTATGCGCCAACACGAAGAATCACACTCGAATAGCGATCCCCACCGCACGCGTATACCGATCATCGCTCTATCAGGCAATGCCATGAAAGAGCAGGTCGAAGAAGCCATGGCGGCAGGCACGAGCGACTACATGATCAAGCCTTGCAAAAGAGCTCAGCTAAAACTCATGCTCGAGCATTGGGAGCGAATCATGCATGATGGGTCTGCTCACACACCGCTGGTTGTCAAGTGACGAGAGGCTCGTCTTTGTCAGCTTACAAAATAAACCACCCGCGCCATCAGACAAGAATGTCATTAACCAGTACCATCGGCTCGAGCTTTTTCCTAATAGCCTGTTATAGCGGCGTATTCGAGTAGATGCCAAACACGAGGCATTTGGGGCTTACAGTGATCTCAACCATTCAGGAGGCCACATAGCCTTTTTTGGATGGGAAAACTTGGCTCTGGCACAGGCTTCGCAGCAATATGTCCAGAGGCAATACGCTGGGCCAGCGAGGACAGCACGACTAGAACATAGGAAAGAATGTCAGGAGCGCAAGAACATGGAGTACTGATAGACTTTTGACACAGTCTGGTCGACTTCAATGAAAATGCGGCATGGCAGCTCCTCCGACTGCCTCATGTAAATGCTAGATCGCTTTCGCTCGCGCCAACCCATGATAATGCTATAATAGTAAACGCCATCCCGGGAAATAAACAATTGAATGCAACATAAAAAAGCAAAACGACAGCCCAGACTGACCCAACATTTGAACTTCATAGCCACATATTCGAATGGGGTATCCTTGTCATCTTCAATGTCGTGGAGAAAGTGCTTCTAGGTCTCAAGTCCAGTGAGACACTCAAGCGGACGTCATAGGTTCCAAGAAGATGCTGTTACCCAAGGCAAGCAAATCGCGCTTGGTCGTGGTATTGGAGAACTGCAAGTTACCAACGTCACACCAGTTGTTGACATCCTTCACGTTTTGTCAGCGTTGCGTACTAAGAAGATTGAGAAAGGATTACTTACGATACAACTCAAGTACTTGCACCAGGTGCAGCCAGTGCGCCAGACGTAGAAGTTTTTAAGAAGGACAATGAAACCGATTAGAACACCCAACAGGGCCAGAGCACGCACGATCCACCATACCCACCACATAGCACGACGACCCTTGAAGAAGCCTGCAGGTTGCTTGATGAACACGCGCAAGCCCTGGCTGGCGGCATCCTGAGTAGCGGCGGGAGCTCCAACGCTGCTGTAGGGAGGTTCGTCTTCGCCAGTGCGTCGTCGCAGAGCATTGGGCGAGCGTAAGAGACAGATTCCGAGAACAAGACCCATGAGGAAGCCGCCAATGTGCGAGAAGTTGTCCAGACCAGGCAAGAGACCGAGGACGAAAGAGATGATGACATCGACAAGGATAAACAAAAGATCCTTGATGGGACTCTGACGCTCGCGCCAGGTGTACAGTAACTCAAGGAGAGTCAGAGCCATGATACCGAAGAGACTGCCAGAGCAGCCAGTAGAAGCAATGCCAGTAGCGGCGAAGTTCCCACCAAGAACAAATCCAAAGATACCGGCGCTGAAGTAGACAAGAGTAAAACGGATGCTGCCAATGGAACGTTCCATGTCACGACCCAGAGTCATCTGTAGCAGCATATTGAAGCCGATGTGGATGATTCCGGCATGCAGGAAGATGGGGATGATGAAACGATACCATTGGTTTGGGTAAGGAGAGTCGGTGATGGAGCCTCCAGCATGTGGCTCAGGGACACCACCAAAGCCGCATAGCTGAGAAAGGGTACACTTTGCATCATCACCAGTGTTGGAAGTGGCCCAGGGACAAGGCCAGGAGATGTTGCCCGAGGCGCGGTCCTGGACGTTGTGCATGTTGTGCATGCAGGGCTGGTAGCGAGCGCCCATGTTGATCAGAACGTAAGGCGAGGGACCGATCATGGGATTGAATTGTGGGTGAATTTCGATAGGAGACTTTGTCAGGACGGCATTCTTGACAATCTCAACGATGAAGACGATGATCTGAACCAGAGTCAAAAAGTAGCAGACCCAGGTAACGCGACCTGTGAAGTAGCGACGCCATCCCTTGACAGGGGGAGCACGAGGCTGTCTTGAACGCGAGGACGGCTTTGCATCTCTTACAAAGGGGTCTTTGTATTCAGGGGTGACGACGGGAGCAATGACGGGAGCCAGACTGGATTGCGAAGAATGTTTTGGGCGGTATGTGTGCATGGGGACGGCGTTGTCGTCCTGGAAGGGATCACGATCACGGGCATCGCTAGGGGTGGGGTGGTTGCTCAGACTGGTGTATGAGGACGAGTACTCGGGGTATTGGTTGTCGTCGAATGGAGAAGGATGGGTTGTGTAGCTGTTGTAGCCGGGATGGTTGTTGTTGGTCGTACTCTTGTTGTAGTAGTCGCGAGAAGCCATCTGGACGGCGCTTGTCAAGGCAGGAACGAGTGCTAGTCGAATGCACTTGGGAGGGCAGGAACGTGTGGGCGTTGGCTGTTGACGCTTGACAGTCGATGATCGGCAAGGCAATTGGCAGTCCAGACAGAAGACAAAGGTCACCACCAGGGCGAAGATGCCAGGGTCCGAGGCTTTAGTAAGATGGAATCACAGAGAGGCTGGCGTCAGCGTAGTCAGAGCGCTGTTGAGGCGCAAGCGCAGTTGGATGTCAGAAGTATAAAGCATACCGATTCTCCTGCCTCAAGCGACGCGCAACTGCTCCGCCAGCCGAGCGCCTCTGAGCTTCTGACAGTCTTCCCGCCCTGCCAAGCCCTCGCTGCTGCTGCTTTGGACGCTTTTCGTAACATTTCAAGCAGTAGCACCGGCCGAAGTAGTCGTCGTCCTTGTTTCTCTTCCCTCTTGTCCATGCACAAGTCATAGCCGCCGTATTCGCACCGACTCGCTGCTCGGTTTGCTGGGTGGGATATGCATCCGCCGCCGTCGCAGGCTCGCAAGCGCATTTGATCCGAGGCGGCTGCTCTGTTCGAGTGCAGCCCTCCTGCCTGCATATAGACTTCCACTCTGCTGGGTCGCCCGCTCGCCCTATATCCTATTCCTCGTCTTCGCTCCACTTCTGCCTCGCTTCTTTTCTCACCAGACTCCTGCTTGCTGTTCTTGCTCTTTCCCTCGAATTTCTCTTCCCGTCGCTCTCCCCTCCCGCCAATCCCAAGAGTAGCTTTTCCAAGGTCATGACCTGCGCCGCACCTCGACTCTGCTCCTGCTGATTGACTGCCCATCGCCATGTCTCACTCCCCAATATACATGCCAACCTCTTACTCAGCCCACCAGCCTGCACACTCACGTCCCTCACCCCAACCAATGGACAGTCGCGCCCTCTCAAATGACTCGCGCCGCAACGATCACCCCCCACCTCCGCCTCCACACTATGACCCGCCCACCGCCGCCCAACAGAGTGAAGCCTTCCAACAGGCCTTGAACACCATCGAAGTCCAGGGCTCCTCCGATGATGACACATACTCTGACTCGGGCTACGAGGAGAGCATAAACTCGGCCCTTTCCACCTCGACTTCCATGACCTCTTCTGTGCGCCATTGGGACTATGAAAATGGCCGTCGTTATCATGCCTATCGCCAAGGTCACTATTTGCTACCCAACGACGACGCCGAGCAAGAGCGCGAGGACATCAAGCATGCTACCGTCTTGATAGTCTGCGGCGGCAAGCTGCACTTTGCGCCTATACCCGAAAACGAACCCGACACGCGTGTTCTTGACATCGGCACTGGCACTGGCATCTGGTGCGTTGAAATGGGCGATCGCTATCCATCTGCTCAGATCACCGGTGTAGATCTCAGTCCCATACAGCCAGACTGGGTACCCCCGAATGTAGGTTTCATCGTCGACGACATCGCGAGTGAGTGGCTATATCCAGAGAACCACTTCGACATGGTCCACGCCAGACACATGGGCGTCGCCATCAAGGATTGGGACCACGTCCTCGCTTCGGCATACACACATCTCAAACCAGGTGCATGGCTCGAGACGTGTGAGTTCGACTATTGGCCAAGTTGCGACGATGGAACCATGACCGAAGACAATTTGCATTACAAATGGCACGTTCTTTTGACCGAGGGTATGAAGAAGAACGATGTCGACTTGCATGCCGCCTTGCTCTTGAGAGAGAAGATAGAACGTGCTGGCTTCCAAAATGTGACTGAGAAAATCATGAAGGTACCTCTTGGTAACTGGCCCAAGAATTCTCTTCTCAAGAAGGTCGGCAGCTACATGCATGCTGTCCTCTACGACGGTCTCCAAGGTATGCAGTTTTCCCACGTTCGTCGTTAGTATAACTCTGACAAAATTCTTATAGGCATCTGTATGGGTCCTCTAACAAGAGGTCTGGGGTGGTCAAGGGACCAGGTTGAACTCTACCTCCCTGGAGTACGGAGAGATCTAAATGACATGAGCGTGCATACTTATTACAGTCTGCACGTAGTCACTGCTCAGAAGCCATACCATTGATGGAAGGGTACCAGATGTACCGCTGCCCATCCACTCACATTCTTGCCTCCCTTTGCTTCGACACAGCGGCTGAATACGCCATTGTTGCAATAAACTTCTTTGAGATAGCATTATACCCCAATTCATTTTTCTGCTTTGTTGTACCTGTCGGTGTGCCCTCCTGTTGATCGCCTTGTTCACCACACCCATGCGGGGATGCTCGTTCACGTCCTGTACGAACGATTGGCTGCAAGACACGACCGATCCTGCCAATTTGTCTCGTTGCTGCATCACGCACGCGACAACCCCCTCGGCACTCGGGGTTTAGCGGAAGTCGCATCCTGTCTGGCTCACAAGGGTGTTTCGGCAGTCACCTCTGCTTCCGAGCATTCTACATGCCGTACATCATTTTTTGGCCGCATTTCTGTACTTGAGGTATCGACTTCTCATACCTTCATATTGACTTTAAGATGCTAGTATTCTGGACGCTTCGACCTTCCTCTCAACGTGTTGGGCAACAACGAGGCCGAGCGTCTCCCATGGCCTGAGCAAACAAAACACAACCGAGCGTTGGCCCTCCGAGGAGAGCTGGACAAGGTTTCGCCTTCCCATTGGGTCTCCTAATACTCTCCAACCATACCGCCGGTAACATGTGCTTGTCAGAGACTCAGTATCAGCCCCGCTCGCTTCTGTGAATCCTCCGCCAACCCCCGGAATATTTTTCGAAAAGGACTGGAGCGCGGGCCATACTCTAGAAGAAGAACGAGGCAACGATACCGATGGCACATGTGGTACGAGGAACGGTATGCAAGGGAGAGAGAGGAAGACCGAGCTGAGCTGAACTCCAACGGCAATTCTGTAAGCAGGTCAAGCCGCCGCGGCAAGCGACGGCAAGATCCTTTGGCAACTTTTCCAGCTTTCGAGATTCTTTGGTGGGCTAGTTCTATCCCCATGGCTAGTCTCACTCGGCTGACCATTGTACTGGTAACAGCTCTGTGTTGATGTTCGCTTGGAGTCCTTCTGGCCGAGAGGCATCAGAGGTTAGGGCAGGGCTGGTAAACGCTGTCTGTCGATTGAACATTCTTTCCCCATGCGCGTACTGACTGTCACTTATCAAAGCTCAGAAGAGTTTTTCAGAAAAGTCGACTCTCAAGCGAGGAAAGAAATGGTTAAGAGACGACTGGCCTCCGCCAGGATACGTTGAGGATCTGTGACTTCCTGATCTGCCCAGGTCTCGCAGTCAGGGCCGCTTTTACCAGCTGAGCATCACGGTGTCACCACATGCTCTTGTTCCAGTACCGGAGAACCAGTCTTCTCGCCTGCTGCACATTCCTCTCGATGAGATTCATTGTACAGATACTATCACAACTCATCTGAGCAGGGCATGGCTCCGTATCGTCTGCTGCTATCTCGATTGGCTCGGCTGATGAGATGAGCACATGCAAACGTGCATATATTTCCGAGCGACAGGGCCTGGTGGGAGGGCCGGCCGTAAGTCGTACACTGGAACTTCATGTAGGCTTGACAGACACGTGTCTTTGCATGAGAGGCATTAGCCGACAGTGGTCTGACTGGATCGTAGCCTGCTTATATTGAACCCCATCTACTTCGAACGCGTGGGTGACCGAAGTCTTTTGGGCCTGCGGCAATACGATCATTCCACTCGTTAAGTTTTGTAGACGCTTTTCCATTCGTCTAACTACCAATTTGAATGATCAACTCCAGAGGTATTCGCTCTTAGATCATGTCGACTGGAATACATTGTAGGTCTGGAGTATACTTTTCTCCCTTCCGGTTCTTCCCTGAAGCATATCCTTCCTTGTTTTGCCACGATTATTCCTGCGGTTCTTTCAGTTTCTCCAAATAGGAACTCGAGTAGGAGATATGGCTCTGTAGTCGTAGTCCTTGACGCCTGTTTTACCAGAGCGCCACTGAACATCCTCAGTGTTGGTCTTCTGCGCAGGTCGGGCAGGACCAACACCAGGCTCTAGCTTGTGGCCGTAGATGGGCTCCTCCAACGTCTTGTGAGCCTTGACCAGGCCTCCGGTCATCTCGAAGAGCACTGTGCCGTAGCCCTCGCGACGAGCAATATCACACTTTGCTCCGGAAGAACTTGCCTCGAAGTGAGCGACAAGGGCACTGAGCTTGTGGAAGTCTTTGAGACAAACTGGACACAGATTGCGCTGTGAAGCGTGTGATTCGCGCATGTGGTCGCCAACCCTCTGAGGTGTGTAGAAGCGTTTCTTGCAGCTCTCGAAGGGACATCTGTAGGGCGGAGCAGCATCGTTGGTGCTGTCTGGGCAGTAGAAGAAGTCAGGCTTGAAGTCAGTATGGGAAGGGTCCCAGAAGTGTGAGACAAAGATGTTGTTGTTGTCATCTTCTTCCTTGTTACGCTGATGAGCGGCATTGATAGCATCCCAGTTGGCGATGGCCTTGACCTTGGAACGTCCGAAGAGTTTTTGAGGAATGTTTGGAGCAGACCATGCTCTGGTAGCGGCAGCGGGGGCGTCACTGTCTTCTCCATTGTCGTTGTATGTGGTTGCGGCGTTGCTATAGAGACTGAAAGTATCGTCGCTTTCGCTCACGGTAGAGTCATCGGAAGACAACTCGCTGTTGCTTGCTGAGTTGTGTGCTGAGTCGACTGAGTCGATTGAGAGGTTGGCTACCGATTGGCTTAGTTGACTGACTCCAGAGCTCAGCAACTCAGACCACTCGACTTCAGATTGGCTTGCAGTCGAAGACAATTGCGGGCTGAGAGGCGGTTGGCCATTGATCTGGCTGTAATCACTCTCGCTGAGCAAATCGACAGTGACACCACCGCTCGTGCTGTCAGACTCGCTTGGCATTGGCTGGATGGTATCATCAGGCAGGCCCATCATGTTTCTCTTGAAGCCTTCGGGGTCATCCAAGATCAGTTTGACCATGCGCTTGTGTTCACGGTCCTGTTTGAGTGCCATAGGCTTGATGTAGGCACAGAAACCTCCCTCGATATGGCTGATAAGCTGGCTGGCGCGGCCGAAGATATTGCCGCATCCTTCACGATGGTCGTTTCCGTCCTCATCACGGACGATGAGATAGCCTTTGCACACGACGTGTTGATCAGCTTGGTGCATCTATCGTAGTCTGTCAGCATCAATATAGTAAGCCTGCTGCGAAAAGTCTCAAGACAACGTACCTGTTTGCGATGCATCTCTCTGCCAGCAAGGCTCTCAAAGTCCACACCACAGAACTCACAGACGATGTGGTTCAGCATCTTCGGCTTCGCAAATCTGCGCTCGCCGACGATCCATGGAAGCATAGTCTCGACTTTGTGTGCAACAAGTTCATCCCAGGTCTTGCCATGGAAGTCACACTTCACAAAGCCTCTTTGAATTCTCTCGTAACCAGGATCCTTGCCACAGTAGTAGGGGTGGCGATTCTTGTCCTTGAGATGAGCTTTCATCTCGCGCTCCGTGTCAAAGGAGTGAAAGCAATCATCATAGCTGCACTTGAGGGCTTTGAGTGGGGTCAGTGGTACTGCCATGATGATGGGTGGCGATGCTTGAAGCTGAATGCGCCAGTGATAGAGACGAATGTGGGTCAGAGTCAGATGGAATGGAGAGGGCGGGTATTGAAGGAAGGACGTTGATTGTGGGAAGAAGAAAGTAAGGAAAGAGGGTAGATGGATCGAGGTAGAAGAGCTGAAGATATAAGGTCGAGGACGGTGTGAAAGATGGAAGCAATGTCGAGGCTGAGAGGTGAAGGGATGTCAGACGGGGAGGCGAAGGTAGCAGCCTTCAAACAGGTTAGTCCTGAGGGAAATTGCGATGGTTAGCTGATAGGCTGTTGCAGCGGACGAAGCGGCGTTGTGAAGAAGTGACGAGTGATCAACGCAGGCAGTAAGATGTTTGGAGCCTGCCGATTTGCCTATCACTAGGCGAGTGCGAGAGGCACTGATAGTCACAATGACAAGGAAATGTTTTGCCGTTGGGTGTTTGCCTATATTGAGGACGATGATTGTTTGTGGGAAGGTGCAACTCTCGGTGTGAAAATGATTGGTTTGTGAAAGACGAACGATTTGTGAAGAAGGCAAGAGGTACTGGCTCCTTTCGAGCAGGGATCAAGATGTTTCGCGTCTCTACCTCGCGTCGAACAAGAATTAGGTCGCTGCGCATAGCATTGAAGAGATGAAACAACCAAATATCCTTTGTATTCAAATACCGAAACATCCAAGGCGTGCACCACGCTTCTTGGATCTTTTTCTACCGGAGGTCTTGGCCGAGTCCTTTGCCGAGTCCTTCTTGCGTCGGTTACCTCTTGCCATCTCCTGCTCCTTCCTAACCTTCTCTTTCGCCTGCTCAATTTTCTCTTGCCTCTCGCGGACGCTCAGGGGGCGATCTTCCCTGAGGTTGTACGTGCTGCCAGTAAGCATGTTGCCGCTAGGACTCCTGACTTGCAGGCTGTCGAGTTGAGTAGGATCGAGGAGTTCCGAGTAGCGGCGGATGAGAGGTCTTGCGGGTTTAGGGTGCGTAATACCGGACTCGGGCTCGTCGCCAGCAAACGACGTGACTGTGACTTCCCTTGGACCACGGGAGTCTTGCTGGGGGTTGTAGGCAGTGAGGTCATGGATTCCGGGGCTGCGAGGGAAACTCGTTTGCGAAGGAGCATGAACCTCCATGCTGAGAGATGTACCTGAGTCGTTCAAGTCGCAAGATGCAGATCTTGAAATAATGTTGCCCATTTTGACTGTCGTGAATTAGCAAATACATTGATGTCGTTTGCGCTCTGCTGTACCTCGTAGCCGTTGTTGGTGTGATTAACGAGGTGTTGGACGTTCTTGTTAGGGAGTAGATGCACTTTGACGAGGATGAGGATGAGGACGTGGATGTGGATGAGGATGATGACAGGCGATAGGATAGGTGGCTGCAGATTTGTCACGCGAGTGAGAGGTGTTGTTGCGGCGTTGATATTCAGACACGCTTCTCGAACGCATCACGTCTCCGCGACTCGACGATCCGTACAACCGGTATCTCGTGCGGTCAATGCTTTTCGGTTCACGGCTTCAATGTGTATCAGAAACAATGTTGTCGTTCAGTTCGTAAGTAGTAGACTATTTGTGGTTTAGAATCTAGAGAATGGTAGCCTGAAGGGTGTAGGTTAGTAAAGGCTGCTGCCAGGGATGAAGTCTGGATCAAACTTACCACTTTCCCCTGAGGGTAATGACAGCCCATTCACCCTTCTCATCTGTCTCCTTCTCCACCTTGGTGCTGAAGCTGATGGCACTCATGATACCGTCACCGAACTTCTCGTTCAAGACGGCCTTGTACGCATAACCGTAGTTTTGAATGATCTCATAGAGTCTGTAGACCAAAGGCTCCTTTGGTGGCATCTCCATCTGGCGTCCGCGGTCCGGGTAACCAGAGAGTTGCGATTCAAGCAATGACTCGTCGAGTTCGAGGATCTTGGCCAGGTTCTTGACATCCTCTGGAGAGGCTCTGGCTTGGCCGTAGAACAGTGCTGCAACAGCGACTTCCTCACGGCCGAGAGCTTTGGCAATGGTCTCGAAAGAAAGGTTCTTGTTCTTCTTGGCCTCAAACAGAGTAGGCGATGAGGCCGGGAGGCGAGGCACAATTGAGGTCTGAGCGTGGATTGTCAATAGCGTCTTGAGAAGATACTTGTTACTGGCATACATCAAGAGTAGCAATAGGGTGACCTGACGAAGTTCCGGAGGCCGACATTTTGGTCTTGGATGAAGCTGCAGCTTTGGTTCGGAGAGATTGCTGAGCTAGAGTTACAGAGGGACGAAAGACGGCTGAAGCGCGAGGGGTTGCACGGGATGCAAGTCTGGCTGAGAGCGGGAACATGGTGAGTTAAATACTTATCAGACAGACGTTGGACCGAGCCTCTTCTCAAACGGGAAGCTCAGCCTTTTGAAGCTCGGCGGACATGTCTCGGCCTTGGATCTGGCTGCGTCACTGCGACTTTTACCTTGATTACAACTGTTGTTGTCATTGATGCGGGGCATCTTGATAGGTAACGAGCCCCGTACTTGTGCTTCTCCGGCAGACATGCATTTATGCTTTTGCCGACCAGATATGGGTCATATAGGTTATGATGGAGCATTTCAAATCTCCAGCCTTCTCCAATGCAAATCTGTTCCTCATGGGTCCCTCCATCGACTGTTTACCCTGACCAACCTCTTGCTTCTCCAAGCATGGGCGTATCTACCAGCCCCATACACATGGGGTGGGACCTTAAGTCCGGAAAGACCGGTGTGGAGCTGGCAAAGCAGAGTTCGGCTTACAGAACTTAATTCAAATCAGATCCCTCAGGACGTAGGAGTATCGTAGCCTGCATCTGTTTGTATTCTTACATAGAGCCACTGATATCTGCTTGAATTCCTCTTCCTCGACGAGACGACAGATTGCAGCCGTGTTGGTACTTGTGGGCGAAAGCTTCTTGACGACCCAGGTGAAGGAGGAGAGCTTCGTGGGTTTCAACGACCACCTGGTGCTTGATTCAGACCTGCACCTGATCCAGAAAGTCCGAAGTTGTGTATGCTACCATCTTCGGACGGTTGCGACAACGAGCTTCTGTATGGTTTGAAGCTCTGGAGGTCCATCAGTACAAACACGACAGATGCAGGGCCATGGAGGCGGTCTGAGTGTCACGACGTAATCTTGGCGACCTCAGCTCGTTTCAGGAGCTATCATATCTAAGACTTGACTTCCCACAAACTCGGCCAAGGCTGACCAACGACTGAAAATGGCCTTCCTTTTCGACAAAGTGCACAAAGCAGTGCACGAACTCGGCAACGACCTCAAAGACAAGTTCTCCGAACATGGGCAGACCCAAGGCGCAGGCGCAAGCGAGCAATATGACCAGAGCGGCTACGATGAGCAGCACGAGACCCATCGCTTCCAGAGCTTTGCGCCACACAGAATTGGCAATGAAGCCAAATGGTACGTCGACGGTGCCGGGTATATGCACGCTGTAAGTATGGCTCTGGAGAGAGCTCGCGAGTCTATCTGGATCATGGACTGGTGGCTGTCTCCAGAGCTGTACCTGCGCCGTCCTCCTGCTCAGAACGAACAATATCGCGTTGATCGTATGCTGCAAGCTGCAGCTGAAAGGGGTATTCAGGTGAGTGTTATCGGCTTGTTTTTCTTGTCCAGTTGCCCTTTCTTCTTCCTTAGTGCTGCGTTGTATACTCTCTTCGTCTCGAAAATCTGTACGAATTGATCGCTGATAAGGACTAGGTCAACGTACTCATCTACAAGGAAGTCACTCAAGCCCTAACACGTAAGTGTCTCAATCCAGTTCTCCCCGACTATATACATTCGCTTCTTCCTCGATCGGTCGACCGCGTCTCTTCATCTCTGGTCCGATTTGGATTGGATGTGACTTTCAAGTCGTTAGAATACCTCGAAGAGACTAACCCACTAATTAATCCTCCTATCACAGTGTCAAGTGCACACACAAAGCATGCACTTGAACAGCTACATCCCAACATCCGTGTCTTTCGCCATCCCGATCATCTTCCAGACACAAAGGTTATGACATCATCTTTCCTGTCATCTATACAAGGTTTGAAGATGACCGCCGCCAATTTGACAAAGTTGCCCGGCGACGCTATCAAATCTATATATGGTATGAACGAGGACACTGTGCTCTAGTAAGTTGGCCGAACAACTATACAGGTCTTTGCTAACCATGGGAAAGCTGGGCGCATCACGAAAAGTTATGCCTCGTCGACAGCCACATAGCGTTCATGGGCGGTCTGGATCTTTGTTATGGCCGATGGGACACTAACCAGCACTCGATTGCCGACGCTCACCCCGGCGATCTGAATCAGATCGTCTTCCCAGGTCAGGACTACAACAATGCCCGTATCCTGGACTTTAGTGATGTGGCGCACTGGGATCAAAACAAGCTTGATCGTCGTTACAACTCACGCATGGGTTGGTCTGACATGTCAATCTCTTTGATGGGACCCGTCGTGGAGGACCTCCGGAGGCACTTTGCTGAGCGCTGGAACTTCATCTACCAGGAAAAGTACAGCTCCAAGAACCAAGACGACAGATACGCGCCTCTCCATGTTCCAGAATCGAGAACTGGAATCGTTCATCACGAATATCCTTCCGGTCCCGACGCTCCGCTTCCCGAACATATGCGCGAACGCATGATGGAGCACTGGGAAGAGAGTCGTGAACGCATGGAAGGGTTCAGGGACCAAGTCAGACATCACTTCCCAAACAGCAGTCACCCCTCAGCACCGCCTCCTGGTATGCCCTGTCAAATCATGAGATCCTGCTCGAAGTGGTCTCACGGGACCAGAACCGAGCACTCGATCCAGAACGCCTACATTAAGGTGATCCGAAACAGCCATCACTTTATCTACATCGAGAACCAGTTCTTCATCACTGCCACTGGAAACTCACAACGCCCTATCAAGAATCAGATTGGTGCTGCTATTGTTGAGCGTATTGTTCGTGCCGCACGCGAAGGTGAACCTTACCAGGTCATTGTCATTATGCCTGCCATTCCCGCCTTTGCTGGTGATTTGAAGAGCGATGAAGCACTGGGCACGAGAGAGATCTTGGAGCTTCAATACGACAGCATCAACAGAGGCGGCCACAGCATTATGGAGAGCATTGCACAAGAAGGCATTGATCCGACTGAATACATCCGCTTCTACAATCTCCGAAACTACGACCGCATAAACTCAAGCGGAGCCATGCGCGAGGCAGAGCAGCAGAGTGGTGTGAGCTACGATGATGCAAGACAAGAGTACGACCAGCGTTATGGCGGTCAGAGTGATCAATATGCGCAAGAAGGCGCCTACGACGATCAATATAAGCAATACGACGGAGAACAGTCCAACAGGTTTCAGCGTTACCAACAAGCCACCCAAAATATGGGTAACCATTCAGGTCTCGGCAGTGGACGCTGGGACTCGGTTGCAGAGTGCTACATGCTCAATGGCGAAGACATTCGCAACGTACCTTGGGAGGATGGCACTACCGATGAGATGGATGCATTTGTGTCTGAGCTGCTCTACGTACACAGCAAGCTCTTGATCGCTGACGATCGGGTGGTCATCTGCGGTTCGGCAAACTTGAACGACCGCTCTCAGCTCGGTGACCATGATAGCGAAATCGCAATCTGCATCGAAGATCCTCGTGAAGTCCAGTCTTACATGGCTGGTCGTCCCTGGAGAGCAACTGAGTTCGCTGCCAGTCTCCGTCGACAAATCTTCCGCAAGCACCTTGGCTTGTTGCCCTCTCAAGATGTCACCAGGCCTAACCGCAACTTCGAGCCTATCGGAGTGCCGAATGCGTACGACTGGGGAAGTCGTGAAGACGAGGCTGTCATTGATCCGCTGAGCGGTGATTTCCTATCTCTATGGAACAGCACCGCCCGCACGAACACCGAGGCATTCGAGCGTGTCTTCCACCCCGTACCCTCAGACAAGGTCCGCAACTGGAAGGAGTACGACGAATACTTCTCGAGGTTCTTCCCTACCGGTAAGGACGCCAAGGAAGAAAAAGGCAAGGATGCAGAGAAGCCCAGCCAGTGGAAGCTCGGTCACGTTGTAGCAGAGGAATTCCCTGGCGGCGTTGCAGAGGTCAAGGATGTGTTGAGCCAGATTCGTGGTACCCTGGTCGAGATGCCTCTGCTCTTCCTCAAGGAAGAGGACATTGCAAAGGAAGGCCTCACGCTCAACGCCATGACCGAAGAGATTTATACTTGAAGGAGAGGCTAGTATAGTGAGCAGAAGACAAATGACATTATGACAATGACGAAGTTCGCTGCTCCACTACAGTGACGTCTCGCCATGAAATGAGCTTGGTCGTGTTGGTGCAGCAGAGACATGAGTGAGGAGAAGAGCAGGAGCGCAAAACAAGCCGTGTGATCGGATGAAGTGTATATGCATCGTGAGTTTCTCGAGTTTATGTCTATTTCTTCGACACCTGCTGGATCAACCTCTCAACGTCCGTAGCAGCCTGACCTGTGGCCTTCTCACGAAGCGACTCAAGTAATCTGAGGTTACGAGCTTTGGCCGCTTCTTCGGCTGCACGAACTATCAGTCCACACTTTGTCCACAGCTCCACACGTTCTTCTACTGTAAGACTCGTGCATTTAGGAATGAACAGAGACGCCAGCTTTGGGTTACCAGCAGACAGGATCTCATTGACGAACGGCTGGAGACATGGTTAGCGATGTTATTGATCGAAGAAGAGTGTTCTAGATCTTACCTCCCAGCCGATGGGGCTCTTGCGAGTTTTTAACAAGTCCTCAAGCTCGCGCCAGTCACGACGTGACACGAGTGCACGCAAGCGTATCCACCAATAGACCTTGTCCGAGACCTTGAACTCGGACTGAACCTTGAGACTCCGCTTCACATTGCCCAATCGGATGAGCCTGTAGATCGTCTCGTTGATACTAAGGCCGCTAAAGTCCTCATCGAGATCACGCTTGAATGTGTCTTGAAACTTGAGCAGCTTCTGCTCTTCGTCGATGGCTCGTACTTGTACTGATTGGTCCTTTGACTCTTGCAGGATTTTCGATGCCATTTTGAGTTTGTCGTTTCGAGCGTTCGCATCTGCAGCATTGAGCGAATCCGACAACAGTAGATTTGAACTGTCGAGTCTTCGGTCATCCTGGTAGAATAGATCTTTTAGCAATTCCTGGTCTTGGTCCCATGCGGATGCTTCAACGAGTGCAGTCGCGACCGGGCGACCGTTGATCGTGCGGAAGAATGTGGCAAGTGGCAACTTCTTTTTCAGGTGTAACAACACATGATACACCAGATCTGTATCTCCACTTTCGATGGCTTTGTCCAAAGCAAGCGAATCCTCCTCTACATTCAGCAGAAGCGGCACTTGCTTTCCAGCTCGTGGTTCGTGTTCGAGCAGCTCCGTTGCTAGTTTACCACGACCTTCCTCGTATGCTGTCTGTGCAATCTCTTCGAACGAAATACCTCGCTTTCCTTGCAATCTCTCGACAATCTCGGCACAGATATCTTCCTCGTCACTAGTGGAGCTACGCACTTTTTGACGTGCCCAGTGAACATAGATTTTGTCAAGGGGCAGGTCGAGATGCTCAGAGATCTTGATCGCTAGCAAATATTCCTTGCGATTGATCAATCTCTGAACCAAGTTTGCAGGCGTCAAACGGGTATACTGGTCGAAACTGAGAGGCAGACCAATCTCAAAGAAGCGAATAGCATTGAGCACGCGTAGTGTCTCACACATGTCGACAAATTCGTCGCTGTTGTATAGGTCAAGTACTGACTTGCCAAACGAGGCGGCCTTCAGAAGCTGTTTCTGCCAATGTATGCTGAATTCGTGTCCAGCTGCTCTAATACAAGTGTCGACGGCTTCATCCAGATTCGGTCGAATGAGTTGTATGTTCTCATCGGCTTTGGGAGATTTTCTGTCGAGTTGCTCGGCTGCATCGAGTAAGACGGAGGCTGGTGAGGTAGAACCCAGCCTGAAAGTCTCTTCGGAGACCTCTGGCACTTTCTGGATGAACTCGCAGACGTCATTTGTGAAGATTCGGATGCCATCAACGTCGGGCGATAGGTGAACCCAGGAGTCGTAGTAATGTTTTGAAGCGGCTCCGTTGGGGCCAACTAGATGTACCTCATCTTCCCAGGCCAGTACAACAGCGTTGTTACCACACCACTGCAAATCTTTCGGAGGAGTCTTGACACGCGAATCGTACTCGGTCAGGCGGTTCTCAAAGTCGCTGCTGATGACCCAGACCTTGGCATCCTGTGTGTAGAGAGCGATGAATTTGGCGTTGGGAGCTACCGAGACGAGCTTGAAGGGACCGTTTTGTAGCTTGCGATCCTGAGCTTCGGAGGCATCAACAATGACGATGGTGTCGTCGATTGCCAGGATGGCTTCGACGGAGCGAGACAGAGTAAAGGCGGGAGGGATGACAGCCCATGACAAGATTTCACCTTGGGGAGGAGTGGCCAGGAGAGTCGGACGAGGCTCGTCGTAGCGTGAGACACAGACCAGTTGGTTGTTACCGAGGAGGGCAACGAAGCCCGATGACCAGAAGCGACACGAGACGACACCATGCTCGTCGGCGCCGTGACCAAGGCTGAAGGGGATGAAGTCACCGCTGAGGCCGTGATATATCCTCACAGTTCCATCGTTGGTAACGACGATCAGTCTCTCGTCTTCAGACCAAGCACAGCCTTGGATTGCGCCCTTGTCCCAGTTGATGCGGTGGATCAGCTTGCCTGAGCATGTGTAGAGGTCGATGGAGGGGCGGGCAGCCTGGGTGCTGCGGTAGGCGTATAGCTTGGAGTCGTCGCGGTAGAGAGCTATCTATCTGGCACTGTCAATGTCGTCCTTGATGTCGTGACTGCCTTGTCTACGTACAGCACCGGCTAGTGGAGCGCCGACTAGCACATGGTTCTCGAGTTCCAGCTCCGGGTCGAAGACGGATGTGTAGAGTTGGGTCTTCCGGTAGAAGCGATCGCCGACTCGTTCCCAGTCCGCCGTGGCCTTGGACATTTCAGCAGCAGTTCGTGCCTGCCTGTCGCGCTCGCGCTCGCTGTCGCTACCGCTACCGCATCGAGGAGCCCATTGCGTAGCTGCTGGTCTGTGCGCGTCCTGGCTAATTGCTCCATCGGGAGCCTCAACTCCATACACAACCAGCATCCGCATCTTTCCATGTCGTTTCCTATAATTTCCATCCACATTCCAAACAGACTGGATCCCATCTGGCTATAGGTGGCTCCGTCGAGGTTTTCCGTTGTCCAACATGGACTCGACTGCTGCCAAAATCCAGGCTTTGGGTGATCTGGAGTTGGCTGTCTTGCTCTGTCTGGTAGCCCAACAACACTGTATAATATCAACCCAGAATCTTTTGCTCGACACTCTGGCACGGGAACTCCAACTGGTCCGTCCACGTGCGCCTGATTCTATCCCATCAAGACTAATCGGATAAAGATTGCTACCAATATTTTTGGTCTCTCGTGTGCCTTGGTCAACTGTTCAGCCACAACTACTCTCGATGACTTTAGAGCGTCTGTTCTGGTCGATGCTCCAAACACCGTAGATGATCACCTTGCTTCCTCCACCCATCTCTCACTCCCCTCCTTCAAGCACCCCACTTCTAGGCAGACCTTCCTCCGGAATCAGTCTGGCGCCAGCAACGAACTCGATGACCGTAAAATCGCCGACATCATCATCGCAAAGGATCTGAACATGGCAAACACCAATGTTCAGACCCAAGCTCTCGAGGTAGTCATGTGCGAAACTGCATCAGGAGTAACTTTTCTGACCATTTTTACAGCTTATGCGAACCAAAAGATTGTTCAGTCATACCGCCATGCACAGCACATCCAAACACTTCCTCTTCATTGCCCTACAAGCATCAGAGTCCACGTCCAAACTCGCTTTCCACCTTGTGAGTATGTGTCAAAACTTTTGTAGTGACTTGCTCGCTAAAAAATCATCTGTAGAATGATATGTTTGCCATCTCACATTTCCATACCCAAGACGATGGCTTTCCGAATCTCGAAGAGCAAGACTTCAAGGAACAATCCCATTCTAATGATGCTGCATCCATCTCTTCAGTCGTCAAGCATCAGCTTTCCAACGAGGAGCCCCTCTCTGGATCTCCCACCATCACGCCAGAAGACATACAGGATATGCGTGCTTCCTCGAAAGCCGTTCGAGTGAGCGCCGAGGTTGCTGCATATCTTCACAACATTGTCATCTTCATGCGTTTGAACCGCTTTGTTGCGGGCGGTGTCTCTGCCTATGCTACTCGACACTTCAGAGCTATTGTCTACGCTCTTGCACCTTTGCATGGCCTCGAGTATGTTCCTCCGTCGTTGGTTGATCTGGCGGCAAGAAAAGTCTATGCGCATCGCTTGATCCTGGCTACTCCAAGTACCGAAAGGAGCATGCAATGGGGAAGCGACTTTCGTGCGGTCGAGCAAGTCTTGAAAGATGTCACGGTTGCAGATGCCATCGAGTCGGTTCTCTCCAGTGTGGAAGCCCCGCTTTGAAGACGCTCGAATCTTGATGTTTATTGATTCTACCGCTTGGTCCGGATTCTCATTTTGTACACCAGGGCCTGTCGCAATGGCATCATCGACGGAGCACACCCCAAGCTCTAATGCCGCCCAAACATCGGCGCGTTTTCCTGCCATTCTCTCAGCAACACGGAAACCTCTATTCTCAGATCCTCGATGACGTCGTCCATCTTGATGTCTGCCTTGTCATAGCCAAACGGCTCTTCCAGCTGATATGCTATGGCTTCTATGCCGTACAAGGTGAAGGTGATGAGAGAGACGATCACGACAGTCCACCACTGCATGCTTTCGACAAAAGCGAACGGCAGGACGCCGCCGTAGAGTGCCAATACCTGTCTGGTATGGATAAGATAGGCAACCGGAATAGGTGTCAAGCGAATTGTCTCCATGGTTCCATACGCTGCCACCAACGAGTTGAGTTGCACCGAGAGTTGTGATGCCTGCGGGCTGTGGAACCATCCCCGGTCATGGGAACGCTTAATGTATGCTTCGATCGACATCGTGAGCTGGATTGGAAGACCAAGACCCTCGAACTCATAGGTTTGAGACATTTTGGGGCCCAGCAGCTCTCTCAGCTCTGGTTTCAGAGATCCAGATCCGCTGTCTTCGAGGTCAGGAGCACCCACGCTATGCTCCCACTCCCATTGGAGCGTGTTTTTGACCGCGTATATTATGGCAAGTAGAGTGTGGATGGCAGCTTCTGTTTCTGCTCGCTCAGCTGGCGTAGGCCCAGGGCCTTTCGAGTTGTAGTTGCAGGTCAAAAACGACCGAGTCAGATTGCGGATGTTGGTACAAATGGTAGTCAAGTCGTTCTGGCCTGACCAAAACCGAGCATATGAGCTCTGGTTGCGGAAGACGAGGAGTAAACCCACGACGATAGATAGAGATGAAGTAATTGATCCAGGAAGATGCGGCGTGTATGGCGTGAAATCGTCAACATATACGATCAGTGCAGCAAACAAGGCGTGGATTATGACTGGCAGCAAGATGTCGCCATGGATTGAGCCCTTGATGAATCTCAAGACGAGTGGCATGCGACGGGGCTTCTTCCTCGCCCTGTTCATCAGCGGCTTCGTTGGTCGACGAGCGGGTCGAGCTCGCATTATGGATGACAGATGGTTTGAGTTGGATCTTGAGAAGAAGAGATTGTCACGCGATGGGAAGAAACAAACTGTTGCTGTTTCTGAACTCTTCTTGTTTTGAATTGGAAAAGGGGGAAAGCTGAAACGCCTGTCGAGATGCGGTGAAGTCAAGTCAGGGTCGTCCCCAATACAACTCTCTAAAGACTAAGAAACCCAATCGCCATTGAACAGCATACCCAATTGCCATGTTGAACACCTTGTGACTCTCTCCGAATATGCTCTTATCCATTCGTGCTACTATTGCGTGGAATACCACGACGTGTCGAGCTAGTTGACGAAGGCAGACCGAATCTGAATTCGAGTCTCAATCGTCATGGACCTGCGTACCTCCCCGAAAGTGTCGACGGCGACTTCTTGCAAAACACCCAAAAACGGAACTCGGTTCAGGCTCAAAAGTATGACAAAGTTCAGCACGACAACAGGAGAAGAACCATCTAGTGTCCAATGGAGTGGTGATTCAAGCTATGTATATCTATATATACTCGTTGTACCATCAAATATTGAATCACCATGGTTGCGAGTTTCCACTATCTGACGAGGCCTGAGCGAGCTCAATAATTCTTAGTACATTCGTGGCATCATCTCCACTGACAGGTACCTCGCCCTCGCCTTTCACCGCCTTTGCAAGGGTGCGGTAATACTCGATATAAGTAGGTGGAGGCTCGATGGAAGGAATAGTCTCGCGCTCGAACTTGCCATCAGTAGCCACGGTCAGTGTGCCGTGAGAGGATGAAGGCTCAACTCCAAATTCAGGACTGTCCAATTTGACGCCAGCAAGAAGCTGAGGTTCTTGCACGTCCAGATGTGACTTCTTGAACGAGCCCTTGGTTCCGCGGACCCAGAATCTTAGCTGTTCTTGCTCTGAACTGATGGCGGAGCTCTTGACTGTAACCAGCATCTCGTCCTCGGGGGATCCGTACTTGAGCAGTACTGTGCATGCATCTGGCGCACAGTCGCCTGTCTTGAGCCCCTTTCGTTGCACTTGGACGAAGCCGGTGACCGAGTTTGGCGCACCGAATAGATGGTACACCTGATCGAGCAAATGACTTCCGAGATCATAGAGCGCGCCGCTTGCGGGCGTGGCCAGGGTTTTCCATGTCGTGCGAGTTGGAGGATCAGGACGGAAGCGATCAAAGTGCGTCTCAAATTCAGCAATCTCGCCCAGCTTTCCTGAAGCCAAGAGTTGCTTCAGGGTGACAAAGTCCTGATCCCATCGCCTGTTCTGGTAGACTGCTAGCAAGCGATTGTTCTCCTTGGCCAGTGCGGTCAATTCTCTGGCTTCCTTTGAGGTTGGGACAAATGGCTTCTCGACAACGACGTGCTTGCCGCTCTCGATGGCCCTCTTTGTGAATTCGTAATGTGTGTCTGGGATGCTGGTGACGATGACCAGATCGACGGTCTTGTCAGCAAACAAGTCGTCGACATTGCGGAACAGCTTGGTGTCGGGGTGATGGGCAGAAGCGTCATCGCCTGACTTTGGACTACGCTGTACGATAGCATACAGGTTGTAGTCGGGAAGGGCCTGGATGAATGGAATGTGGAAGACTTTTGCGCTCAGGCCATAGCCGATGACACCGACGTTGATCTTCTTGTCCGCAGACATCTTAACGAACAGTAAGCAAGATGAGATTGAGACGAGTAGTTGTAAGCAGAATGATGGACGTGTTAGCAAAAAAGAAGTCTTTATAGTCGATTACAAAAGCTAGCTGTCCTTATCCTAAGTGGAGCATAGTACTAGGGCTGCGGGTAGCCCTAAAGAATGGTATGAGCAGGTGAGTCACGGAAGGAGTTACGCGGAAGGTGGTTGCGTGCTTTGGACGCGATGCTTACGAGCCACTCGTCGCATCGGCCGAATGTGGAGTTTGGCCGACAATCTCACCCAACCCACACATGAGAATAACACGGACATTTTACTACCTAATCCATCCATCACCATCCTTACTGCCATCGCGCTCGCTGCGAGTCCAACTCGACAGACATAGCCCAAGGTAGCCGTTCGCCCAAGTCGCCGGGCCACCAAGGTTACGTCGGCGCGCGCTCACGACTAGAAGCAACGCCGCGCCCCTCTCGCCATCGCAAACATGCCTCTTACCGAGACGGAGCTCAAGCTCGTTGAATCCATGTTCATGAACAATCATAGCGTGAAAACCGTCCTCCAAATCATGCCCCACGCTGTCATGTCGACCCTGTACAGACAGAAAAAGACCTTCGACACCTATGGCTCCATACATAAGCCAGGGACCACAAGCAAAAGAAGACTAAGGAAGCCCACTGTACCTGATGCAGAAGCCGATGCCTCGCCAGCCGATTCCGAAAGCCCCCAGCCCAAGGACCATTTGTCAGAAAGTGACCGCACCGTAGAGATGTTGTTCTCGCAGGGTTGCTCCGTTCGTGTCGTGCAATCCTGGTTCCCTAACAAGCCCAAGAGCAGCCTCTACCGAATGCAAAAGAACTTCCAGGCCTATGGCTCCGTCAGGAAGCCAGAGCTCATGTACAAGAAGAAGGGAAGACCGTCTGCTGTTACACCAGAGATGAAAGAATGGCTGATGGAGCTGGTCAAGGATGGCAAAGAGATGTGGCAGAGAGACCTTGTCTACGAGCTATTTACAAAGTTCGGCGTCTTCGTGTCTGCCTCCACCATTTCACGCCTCCTCAAGGAGCAAAACGTTGTCAAGAAAATGGGCTCCGTAGAAAGTGTAGATACAGACATGGCTTCAGACGATGAAGAAGACGAGGATGAGGATACGCCAGTCACTAACCCAAATCTGGATCCCCTTCTCCGATGGGCCTGACGACTTCTACAAGGCCCTTCGAACAACAAGCTATGGACAACATCGAACCTCAAGACCAAGTGATAATGGGCTTCACCGTCTCGCCTGTATGCATTTCATGCACACCCTTCTCAAAATTCTCCGCCGGCATGAGCTTCACCAGCTTATCGAAAGGAAATCTTCCCTCCCGGTACCAACCTATCATCTTTGGAATGAATTCCGATGATACGCTGTTGCCTTCGATCGCTCCCATGAAAGCTTTACCGCTGTTCATGAAGGGAAACACTGGAATTTCGACCTGGAAGTCTGGTGGTGTTGATCCCACTTGGATGATCTTGCCTCCCTTTCTTGTCATCTCGATAGCGGCTTTGACGAGGACTGGCACGCCTGTCGTGTCGATGGTGATTGCGGGACCCGCATCTTCACAAAGTTCCTGTACCGCTTTAACGACAGTCTTGCCGTCTGGGAGCTTGGATGTGTCAATCACATGTGTCGCACCTAGAGACTTTGCCGTCTCCATTCGGCTGTCCACACGATCAACTCCGATGATAGTTCGGCAACCAGAGATCTTTGCTGCCATGATAGCGCTCAAGCCAACGCCTCCCAAACCAAGCACGACAACCGAGTCATTGGGTGTCGCTTTTGCGACGTTGACCACAGTGCCAGCTCCGGTCTGGAAGCCACAGCCCAAGGGTGCGAAGGTCTGCAATTCTTCCTTGCTCCTGATCAGGCTGGTCACATTGACAACGCTGTTCTGTTTTGCCACACTATAGTGGGCAAAACTAGATTGGCCGAAGAACTTACCGGCTATCTCGCTCGTGTCTTTTGTATCGGCAGACACGAAAGCGGCCTTATTGCCGAAATTCAGTGGCATGCTCTCATAGCACAGCGATGGAAGACCACTTTTGCAGGACTCGCAACGACCGCACCAATCGAATGACAACAATACAGCATCTCCTGGCTTTGCAATTTGAACTTTTGAGCCGACGGCTTTGACATAGCCCGACCCTGTGATGATTGTCAGCATTGCCATGCCATCCAGTTCTTGTATATAGTATGTACCTTCGTGACCCAGTACGCGAGGGTAATAGAACAAATCCGAGTTGCCGCTTCCCGAACCACACATGATGTCTGTATGGCAGATACCACTCGCTACCAATTCTACGAGCAATTCATCCTCTTGGATCTCGCGTGTTGTGACCTCTTCCATCTTCCAGCCATTGTCAGCAAGCGTATCGCGAGCCACTATGGCTTTGCCAGTCCAAGTTTTCTGTTCTTCAGCCATCGTTGTGTTTCTTGTCGTCCAAACGGTGTCGAATGTTTGATTAGAGCTGGGAGGGATGGTATCAAAGGTCGAGGAGACGTCGTATTCGATTTGCCAGTTTTGATATGTGACTGACCCACTTCGTCGTCCTGGATAGGACATAGCATCAAGTGCGGGGCGCCTCCGAGCTCGGTATTTACCTGCGGCTCGTCATGACGGTACGAAACAAGATCGAGTCTCGACACATTTCTTGTTTGGGTTTACTACTGATACATTTGTCACGTCTGCATCTCAGTGTCCCATTGATCGTAGCACAGTCGAGACCAGTGCAATACATGTTTTTCGATAGCTTCATGTTTACAGAGTGATCATTTGAATATCATGATGACTGAGAAGCATTATGTGGAGATTCGTGGGGTGCGTATGACGGTTTAGATTGAGCATGGGTACGTGTTCAGAATGGATGGTGACAGTTGACAACAAGCTTTGACCTTCAGTTACCTTCCATCAATCGCCTGCACTAGCCACGAGTTGAAAAACACAATTCAGAGGTTGGGTCATCTGCTCATCAGACAATATCCATTTATAAACTTCTCAATCTCGATGTTCATAGATCACAGACGATGCGACCTATGCGTTAACCTAATTCAGACGAGCAACACCAGCTGTGACTTTCTCCAAAGTCACATCGAGTAGGCCAAGTTCAGCCATGTGAACATCATTGTCACCTGTATCCTCCCAGACGCTAGCCAACTCGCCATTAGCCTTGCCTTCCTTGAAACGAGCCGACGCGACTCTAAGAGGTTGCAAGAACGATCCTGCTACATCGTTGTTCGAGTGCAGGTCGCCGATAGACAATGGCTCGTGTAGATGCTGTGCCGACAGGAGAAGATAGTAGAAGTTAAGCGAAGCCAGATAGAAGTGCAAACTCTGTTGGAAAACGAGCCATGATTCAGTAATGCTCTTGGTCGTGAGGTCGTGAGTCAAGTCAGGGAACAAGTAGGGCGCCAAACTGTCCAGAGCCACTGGTGTTGAGAACACCGAAGTCTCATACTTGTTATCGTGAACTGATCCCTGATGCTGAGACTCGTGCGAAGAATTTGGAGTAGGAGGATTGGCTTCGATGGTCTCGCCTTTGACCCAGCTGATAGCTGCGACCTTCAGATTGTCGAAAGGACAATGCTCGAGTGTGTCCCTGATGAAGGCAAGTCTCTCAGCGTCGGAGGGATTCGATCGCAAGATGGTGGATGCCAAATAGAATGCATGGTAACGGATGCTAGGCGAAGGAGAATTCGATGAGATCAGAGAGAGATATTGCAGATACTGGCTGAACTGTTCGCTGTCTGCAGGCTCGCCGACATGGTCTTCTTCGATAGCAAGGATGGCCAGCGCCAAAATAGCGTCAAGCACGGCTTCAGGCTCTGTACCAATGGTCTCTCCCATGTCGGATGAGCCTGCGATATAATTCTGCAGAACTTTTTGATGTTCGGGGAAGATGCTGAACATGTCCTTGGGCTTTGGTGTAGAGTAGAGGACAGTTGCTACGTTTGCAGCAGCGAACATGAACAACGAGCCCACCTTTGACAAAGGAATGTCATTTGCAGTCTTGGGAAACTCTTCTTCGTTATCAGGTACAAGAGATGGACCTGGATCGGGATTCTCCATGGCGGGGAGAAGGTCTTTTCTTTCCATACCAAGATCGCGAGCCAATGCGACTATACCGCCAACAGCAGTCAAGCGGGCTGCAAGCTCCTCATCCAAGATGAACTTATCAGTCATCGAAGGCCTGCCAGGAACAGTACGTTCAGGGTGCAGCTTCTCTTGTAAACGACTACACCAAGCTAGGCCGGGTGCATCGCGGTCAGAAGTCAAGGAGAGCATGTAATCCTCAAAGACGTGAGTGATGAAGGATTGAAGGAGTCGCTTCTGTATATCGGCCTCACTTGCTGATGGCGCCTTCGCAGCTGTATCGGACTCTGGGTCAGGGGCTGACGCTTGAGATTTCGCGCTCAAGATCTGAGTACTGCTCTTACGAGGAGGCAGATGGGGGCGCTTGCTTCCAGACACGCTCGTGACAAACCGGACGATGGCCGAGATCAACTCCTCCTTGTGATTTACCGCATTGTTAAAAGACACCAGAATAGCTTGAAGTGATGTTGACAAAAAGCGGCTGGGATACTGCGTCTTTATGCGCGTGTGTAAGGTTGACAGCATGGACAACAAGCTGGCGAATTGAAGCACAGGGAGGGGCAGAGGAGCAGGTGTCTCGACCGCCTGAGTGGTTTTACCATCATTGCTTTCGACGGGTGCAGTCTTAGCGGGGTGATAAGCAGGATTGGTCTCTTCACCAGCAATAGGCTCGTCGTCATCTGTGTCCGGCTCAAGGCCCTGGAAGTCTATCAAGCGCAGCGACTCGGTCACTTTGAGGATAACCTCGCGTGGGTTTCCAAGACGCGCAATGTCCTGCAAGCATTCGTCCGAGTTCGGCAGAAGAGGAACAAGCAGATGAACAAGATCCCAACCGATGTTAGTAGTCAGCTTTGTGTCTTGAAGCACTTGATGCAGTGTCGGTAGGGACTCCGGATTGAGGTTGTATTCGATAATGGTGAGATAGCTGAGGTAATCAGTTGCGGGTGGCAAGGCCTCGAGAAGAGGGTTCCTTTCGGCCATGATGATTTGCCTCGTTGATAGGTATGTGAGCACGAAGTAGAAGATGCAGTGCAGTCTCGAAAGGGTTGTCAAAGCACCGAGGGGGAGTGAATGTGGTGGGGGTGGACCTTGGCGGATGCTTGTTTGCGATTCCGGCAACGATCGGCGTTCACGCGTTTGCTACGAAACGCGAAAGGCTATTTATGAGACGTTGGCTGCTTCGTACAGCTTCCTCGAGACAGGCTGGCCGTGACAGAAGCAGGTATGAGACTGCAAGATCCGTGCAAACAAGAGTTCCGTTGCGTGAACGTAACAGAAGGTCGCTCTCAAGCGACGGCTATCTGAATTATGTGCAGTTTGACAGTTTCAAATGACAACAAGCATTTGAACGTGAAGATTGATACCAGAAACAAACAACTGCCTACGATGGGGATTCATGTACGTATTGTGTCCAACAGACATGTAAAGTGGCTCCTCTTCTGAGTTCAACATTTCAGACCGAGAATGCATATGGGCGGCGTGTTTCGATGTATGACCTGCACAAGCCTGAGATGGATGCAAGTAGGTTAACACAACAGCTACCCCAACTTGACTCCCGGTACTTCAAGCCCCGAGTGACTTGCTGCGGTTGATTGCAGGTGTCTGTTCTGAGAAGCTAGTGATGGCATCTTTTTGGTAACCCATGGTGATGCCAAGTGACGTTCAGTGACTGTAGAAGCTGGGAAGAGGCTGGGATCAAAAGAAAACAGAGATGACAGCGATATGAGGACATGAACGACGCGTCCAAGCCTTGTTTCCGAGCGAGGCCGAGCAAATGAGGCATCTGGGTCGACGTGGTCCCACTCAGGGGCTCGGATAGATGTAGATTGATAAGTTAAGAAGCCCAATGATCCGATAAAAAGCTATGATTGGCTCTGTTGTCCGAGAAACGAGATCGAAGGATGTGCGAGAGCGGAACGCGGGACAGAAACGCGTTCTCTACACGTACGACAACAAAGTGCATTTCAGGGGGTCAGACTGGCCGAGCATGAGAGAGAAATTTATGAGGCAATTGAGACATCAACATGATTTTTATGAGGAGACGGGTGATTTGGAAAGTTCAGTAAGTTTTGTGACGATATGTGAAGCACATCGGGACTCGTCGAGCAATAGAAAGTCGTTTTCGATTCGAGCAGATCGATGAAATCATTCCGAGCCTCGCAATCGCGCGCGGGTCGCGTTGTCGTGCACGGTTGCCAAGCTCTCGACACGCGATTGTTATATCTTTCTCGACGCGCTCTTGCTTCCATTCAATCTACCCACCACTTACAACATCAAGCATCTTCTCTTGAACGCAGCATCAATTGGTCTGCTTATTTGTTCGGCTGCTTCTCTACATACACATCCATCACCATGTCTGCGCCACTGATCACTCCCTCAAAGAAGGTGAGAATTATCTTTGTCCTCGAACCTTCTGAACCAATTTAGCTAACGCGTCTCTGCAGGCCGCCGAGGCCCTCGACAACTTCAACATCGAGTCACCAATGAAGCAGCCCCTCTTCACTGCTGTATCAGAAGAGAAGGAGAACATTATTTCAGATGAGGTCGCTGTCCCCGTCAAGGGCATTCCTATGCCCGATGACCTTCCCGAGCCCGAAGCACCCAAGCCCAGTGCGGCCCCTGGTCTCAAGGGTGACGAGGTGAACGAGCCTATTCTCCAAGAGAACCCCAATAGATTCGTTCTCTTCCCTATCAAGTACCACGAGGTAAGTTTTTACTCAATTGACGCGTACGCGACGCGTCATATCGTACCAATCTAATGCTAACTTTCTATACAGATCTGGAACATGTACAAGAAGGCCGAAGCCTCATTCTGGACCGCCGAGGAGATTGATCTGTCCAAGGATCTTCACGACTGGAACAGACGTCTCAACGACGACGAGCGTTTCTTCATCTCTCACGTCCTCGCTTTCTTCGCTGCCTCTGACGGTATCGTCAACGAGAACCTCGTCGAGCGTTTCAGCTCCGAGGTACAGATTCCTGAGGCCAGATGCTTCTACGGCTTCCAGATCATGATGGAGAACATCCACTCCGAGACATACTCATTGCTCATCGACACATATATCAGCGAGCCCAAGCAGCGCACCTACCTCTTCAACGCCATCGAGAACATTCCTTGCATCAAGAAGAAGGCCGACTGGGCCCTCAAGTGGATCTGCGACAAGGACTCTACCTTCGGTTGCCGTTTGATCGCCTTCGCTGCCGTCGAGGGTATCTTCTTCTCGGGTTCCTTCGCTTCCATCTTCTGGCTCAAGAAGCGTGGTCTCATGCCCGGCCTCACATTCTCCAACGAGCTCATCTCGCGTGACGAGGGCATGCACACCGACTTTGCTTGTCTGCTCCACTCGCACCTCAAGAACAAGCCTTCGGCCGCCCTCGTCCGCGAGATCATCACCGAGGCCGTTGCTATCGAGCAGGAGTTCCTGTCAGATGCCCTTCCCTGTGCTCTCCTCGGCATGAACGCAAAGCTCATGTGCCAATACATCGAGTTTGTCGCCGACCGCCTACTCCTCGCTCTCGGCGAGCCCAAGATCTACCAGGCCACCAACCCCTTTGACTTCATGGAGAACATCTCGCTGGCTGGCAAGACCAACTTCTTTGAGAAGAGAGTTGGTGACTACCAGAAGGCTGGTGTCATGAACAGCACAAAGAAGGAGGAGAGCAAGACGACCGAGGGCCTGGCTGCCACCGTCAGTGGTGACTTCGCCTTCGATGAGGACTTCTAGTTGAGTCGTCGAGTAACAGGATCATTTTATGGGTGGGAGTTATTAATGGCTATTGCAGCGGCTGCATAATGTGGCGTTCTGGGTAATGGGCATATCCTTGGGATCGGTTTTTTTTTGGTTGGGTAAAGGCTTTGTTCGACTCAATTTGACAAAGAGACGACGACCTGTCGGTCGCGTAGAAGTTTTGTAGTATAGTAAATCAAATCGAAATACGATAAACATCAAGCATCTGTCTTCCTTCTCCCATCCCGACTGAGCAGTAGCGCATTACTCATACCTGGTGACCGTATTCACACCGGCAATACGCGGTGTTGTATCAAGCACTGGCCAAGAATAGCATGACGTAGGGCAGATCGGAGTGAACGGACGATGGGCGTTGTCAAGCAGACGGGGCGCATGTTTGGCTATCGACGGTGATACGCAGCCAATCTGTCGCACCACAACACAATGACCTCGAATACCACACTCCAGCATAGGCTACCAGCACTCGCTATCCATATCTATCACTATCGCATATGACGGACCAGATTCCTGCCATCCGTGTGACGGATCCGCAGAGCCGAGATACGGTACCAGAAAGCATAGGACCAAACAGAAGCGAAGGATTGGACCATGCTGCGGGCAACAGAAGCGCATCGCCAAAAGATGGTAGGCACAAGGAGGGTGAGCGGAGAGAAAAGAGTCCAAGGCTGACAGGAGGCGGCTCAGGCAGCAGACCATCAACATCCGGAGGACTCGCAAACCCTGGCAAACTGCTTCGTTCGCTGTCAGGCACCTTGTCGAACCAAGAAGAGCCGGTCGCAAACGACAGAGATCCTCTGTCGCAGGTGAGGAATCGCGTCGCCAACCCTGGGCCACGTGGAATGTTGACTGATGGCTGGCACAAGCACCTATTCCGCCGCGTACGCCCAACCTCGTCCGGTGCGAGTGTCCCCTCCGAAGATCGATCCGACGAAAATGCCGTTTCCAGGTCAAACACGACCGTGACTTCTGCCGGTCGCGAGAAGAAGTGAGTCTTCGGGCTGTATCCTCTGCTTCCACGAACAATTGGGCTGACGCTGGCATCGTATCGTAGGAAGGGCGCCTCATTCCTCGGACGACTGCTGGGAAATAAGAAGAAAGAGACTGGCGACAATGTCACTGACGACGCTGCTTCCGAGTTCAGCAACCTGCGACCTGAAGGCATGGAGGCCAACGTCTTTTCCCAGCCCGTCGACAATTTCGAGTTCAACCCAAGACATCCACCACCCCCCGAGTACATCCGAGTCAGAGCCCGTGACAAGAAGGACAAGGACTTTGATCATCTGTTCTTAGCCCAAGAACTTCTCGCTTCAAACATTCATCACGATGAGACGCCGATATGGGCCATGCAGTTCAGCAGGGATGGAAGGTATCTGGCTGCCGCAGGACAAGACAAGATCATCCGCATTTGGGAGGTAATCAAAACTTCAGAAGACCGCAAGTCGCACGCCGAGCAGTCCGACATCCATCAACGTCCGCGATTGAGCGCCCCTGTCTTTCGTCAAGAGCCAATCAGGGAGTATGAGGGCCACACGTCGACCATTCTCGACTTGAGCTGGAGCAAGAACAATTTTCTCCTCTCTTCATCTATGGACAAGAATGTGCGCTTGTGGCATGTCAGCAGGGACGAATGCCTTTGTACTTTCAAACATAGCGATTTTGTCACTTCAATCGCTTTCCACCCTAAAGACGATCGCTTCTTCTTGGCCGGCTCACTCGACTCGAAATTGAGACTATGGAGCATCCCCGACAAAACAGTCGCTTACTGGAGTCAATTACCAGATATGATCACCGCAGTCGCTTTCACGCCGGATGGAAAATATGCAATGGCTGGCTGCTTCACTGGTCTGTGCATGTTCTACGAGACTGAAGGTCTCAAGTATCAGACTCAGATCCATGCTCGCTCTAGGAACGGTAAGAATGCAAAGGGAAGCAAAATCACAGGCATCCAGTCATTCTATACCGGCGGAGAAACCAAAGTCCTAATCAGCAGTAACGACTCCCGCATACGCCTGTATAATTTCCGCGACAAGAGCTTGGAGATCAAGTTTAAAGGCAATATCAACGACAGCAGCCAACTCCGAGCGGCGATCAGCGACGATGCCAAGTACATCTTCTGTGGGAGTGAGGATCACAAGGTCTACATCTGGCCAACAGACTCTGATCAAAGTGACAAGAAGCAGAAGCGACCGATGGAAACCTTTGACGCTAGTAATACGGTCGTCACCTGCGTTGCATTTGCTCCTCCAAAGAGCAAACAGCTACTGGGCAGATCAGAGGATCCCATATACGATTTATGCAATCCTCCTCCAGTGATGCTGATGAGCTCTGCCGAGCGTGCTGGTTCACGTCCTCCTTCTCGAGCACCCACGGAAGACGGCCTCGAAGCAGAACCACAACCTCACAAACGCCCAGAAGAGTCACCTGCCTACCTCGCCCGCTCCACGCATGCCACTGGTAACATCATCGTGACTGCAGATCTGGCTGGCAGGATCAAAGTGTTCAGGCAAGATTGTGCTTGGAATAAGCGCAAGACAGACAGCTGGGAAACCTCGTCAGTGTTCTCGAAACGAAAAATCGGCCGCACCGCATCGATAGCCACAAAAGGCAGCAGTCGCAGTTTGCGTAGCTCGCATGGACGACACGAAGGTCCAGCAGATAGAATCTTGTCGTGGCGCCAGGGCATTTCGAGCACGTCAAACGTCACCAACGGATCGATTCGCAGCCAGTCACCGCGGAAATCAACCGTCAGTGCTCAGGCCCGTCCAGACACCAAGACATCCATGGCACCCCCTCCGCTCCCCAAAAATGAGCATCGCGGCGGTGCTGGTGGTGAAGAGGACGCCGATCCACTATTCCTACAAGGCGATCAGTCCATGCTATACTGGAAGCTCGCACTAAACTCTGCGCGAAACCACCAGCAAGCACCACCGTCGCTATCGCCTCCATCGCAACAAACACCACAGAACGGCAGACCTTCCTCTAGTCGAACAGGAAGCTACAACTTCGATCTTCCGCATCCACTACAACGCAACCATACTGCTACTAGTAAACTCAGTATCGAGCAAGAGAGTGTCGCCGAGGATAGCGGCTCGGATGCTGCAAGTTTCAAGGATGCACTGCAAGGGCATGAGGAAGAGGTGCATTGCAAAGAGTGTGGGAGTGCTAGTTTCCATGTCAAGGCCGTGAAAGGTGGTGGCACGAAATTGTGCTGTTCGGCCTGCGGTGCGCCTGCATGAGTATTTACCCAGCGTTGAGTTTTTCTTGTGATTTAGTTGTATACCAGGAGCCGTCGTTTGACCGCATGTGTGAGCTTGTAACTTCTTCTCTTCCCTCCCGTTTCGCTCACGCATCTACAGCGCCTCAATGCACATTCCACGTGAACTTGACACACAATATCGTAATGTCTATAGACAAGTCTTGAGTTGTCAACAATGATCGAGGCAGGACAAAAATCAACGCAGCTAGGTATCGAAGAAAGACAGGCGCAACAAAAACGACCAAATCAAATGTATCCCGAATGAGCAGCAGAGCGTACCAAACACGTCTGGCAATGGGATAATAGTAAAACGCTCGAACAAACCATTCATCATGTTCATTCCAATCCACTCCTCATAATGCATGCTTCCTCTTTCATATGCTTAGCCTGTTCCCTACTTCTTTCAAGTGGCAGCCATCTCTCTCACGCTCTTCTTGCGAGCAAGCCAACTGCCGAGCAGGCCATCGAGTTCGTCCTGCAAACCCGCTAGCCTGCGGCTCTCGTTGTCAAAGAGACCCGCCATGAGTGGGTGATCTCGTGCAACCGGCACCACCGAACTTTTATCGTGGATGATGACAAGCATGTCACGTACATCATTCTCGGCTCCGTCGAGCCATGCCCGAAGGCTTGCGTCAGACCACGTGTTCAGCGTACCTGCAGTCGATGCAGGACTGCGTGTAGATGCGGGAGATGGAGACAACCTTGCCGAAGAACCATTGGATGGAGTCGCCGAGCTCGCTCTTTGGGGAGGAGACGGTGCTCGTCGGAAAGGTGGGTTGGCTGGCGGTTGCTGAGGTGTCGAGGCTCCACTGACCACCGTTGACTGGCGTTTTGATGCCAGCGGCGTTTGGTCGTCGTCTGCCGTGTCTGAAATACTTTGGGTATGTTTTTCGGTTTCACGTAGGCCATCCAGAGGTGCATCGGGTGTGCCGACCATGCTCGGGGAACTGGTCCGCTCTGAGCTTTCTTCACCTCTTTCCTCATTCGTATCGTGGTCATCTGGCGAAGTAGAGTCGTCTCCAAGATTGACGGGAATGTGCACCATCTCGGTGCCATGCATGAATGCATCACTCGGGCCATCCTCGAATTCCTTTACTCCATTCTCCTTGTGGTCCTCTTCGTCAGTGATCTCGTCGAAATCGTCGAGTTCCACGCGAGCCTTGGCCTTTTTCACCTTCTTTGGCTTGATGCTATCCTGCGAATCCGAGTGTCGCATCTTGTTCGTGATCGATGACAGTGTGTGCGATCCAAGCAAGGTCTCGCTCGTGGATCTTTGCTCTGGCTGGCGCACTTCGACGTTGCGTTGTACAGGTGCCTCGACAGTCGAACCCTCAAGTTCAGCAACAAAGCTTAATGGTGGTTGCTCGTCTCTTTGATGTTGTGGAGTGGATGCGACAGATGTCGGGTTGAGAGGAGCAGGAGCAGCCACCGGAGCAGGAGCGGGCGCCGGCGCGGGTGCCGGCGCAGGTGCCGGGGTAGTGGCTTGCGGAGCGATAGCAGCGACGGGGGCTGCTCCAACTTGCGGCTTCTGTAGCTTGCCTCTAGACTTGGAATCCGCGGGCGAGAACTGGGTAGAGCGTTCGACGGGTGAGCTCTTGTTGGAGTCGGACGATGTGGACTGCCTGGCGAGCTCACTCGACAGCTTCTCCATGTCGCTGTCCTCGTCGACCGAATTCTTGTTCCGCTTATCCTTCTTCTTGCTCTTGAATAGACCGCTCAGCATGCCTGGCTTCTTTTCCTTCTTTTTCTTGTCATCCTTTGACTTGTCTGGCGGGGAGGCTGTCTTCTCCAGGCCATCCATACTAGAGCCATTACTCTCAAGCGAGCGACTTCCGTTGCTGTTATCCCGCAGCAGATTAGGTGTGAGAGAGATCTTGAGCGGTTCTGCCCCATCATCTTTGAGGTAGGAATCGGCGTTCCGAGGTGTGCCTTTTCTGGACGATTTGAGCGGTGCTGCTTCTGTGATAAGGTCAGCACGGCGTCGAGGTTTGAGCGTTTTATCAAAGTCACCTGTTTTGTCAACCAGGGTGGGACTACTCAGCGGTTCTTCAACGGGAGCCTTGATATCCTTGGCGGGGCTGGCCAGATCAGGAGATTCTGCTCGTGCAGCCTCAACAACTGTTGTAGAGATATCTGCACCTGAAGATGATTTGTCTTCTGTAGACTTGGAGTCCTCGTGCTGGTCCTGTTGGTTGCCGTTACCGTACAGAGGTTCAGGCATCAAGCCGTCCTCTTCGTCGGATGAGTAGTCATAGTCGGATGCCTCGACAAACGTTGGAGCGGTAAATTGTACCGTCTTTGCCTTGCGTCTTTTCATAGCCTTCTTCAACGGGTTTTTGGAATCCCCGGCAGTGTCTCCAAGCATTGCAGCAGACAGCTGTTCACCCATGTCAGCAAAAGCCAAGCTGAAACCACAAGTCAGTACTAACATCAACATTTCTATGCTTGTTCAGACGCGCCAGGCGTTCTGTCGGAGTCTCAATGTGCTCGGCTGGGAGATAACCTGCAAACTCATCAGTCTATGTGCATGCTGGACAGAAAGGAAAACAAACCAATGCTGTTGTCCTTTACAATTCTAACAAGCCACCAGTAGCTGTTGCTGTCGTCAAGAAGTACCATAGTATCACCCTTGCCAGCATTGGCCTGACCTTCTACCGTGGCCACGAAGGTATGCAGGGCATAGACGAAGTCGAAATCGATGTCTTCTGTTTCACGTAAGCATTCGCCGCCCCAACCGGAATCAACAAAACGCTCGTCTGAGTAAAAGTAAATGTCCATGTCATCATCATTGTTGTGTTTGTTTTGTAGTCCCAGGTCTTTCAGAGTCGAAGTAGCAGAGGCGTCGCTTACGGTGCTCCAAGAGGAAGGGGATGCGGCCCCTCGATCAGATGTCGTGTCCATGCCGTGTGGATACAAACCGTCCGTGTCGTACCCCTCTTCGTCGTGTTCCTCGGGTATTGCTGTAAGATCTTCGACGGGTTCACGGTGCGACAAGTTGTAGTCCAGATACTCATCTTGCGAGCCGGATGGCTTTTGGTGGGACTCATGGTACTCGTTGTCGTATTCGTTCGTGTGTTGATCGTGGTCGTAATCGCTATGATACTCACCATGATACTCACCAGTATGATGATGACGGGTGGAGAGAGGGAAGGCCGATAGCGGTAGATGCTTCGGAGAAACAGTGAAAGGAGAAGACGAGTGCAAAGACGAAGCAGGCGAAGCTGCCGAGTCCGCACTCGACTGGTTGGATAGAGGCAGGTGGACGGGAGTGAGAACAAAGGGCGATGAGTCGGGAGAGTCAATTGCCGCACAGTTGAGTGTTTGGCGGGGAGGAGTTAAGGAGGAAGAGCGGTGTGGCCAAGCAAAAGTAGCAGCAGCAGCAGCAGCAGGGTACGCACCATCGTCGATAGAGGGAGAGCTGGAGATTCGATCGTCCAGCATGTCGTCGTCCAAGTCATCGTCGTCGGGCGAGTCGGCGTTCTCATGATTGTGGGCTTGTAGTTGGTCGTCAGCCAACTCATTGACTTGTTGATCTTGGTGAGCGCGACCCCAGGCATCTTGCAGATGCTCCTCTTCTTCGTGTCTCTCTTGGCGGACATGGCGGATCTCGGAGGCCTGATGTTTGCCGACGTCTGATGGTTGCAACGAGGTCGAGTGGTGATCTTGGGTGGTAGGGGCGTCTTGGTTTTGGAGATCGATCGTGTCTGGCACGAGAGGGCAGCGTGTCAGTCAATGGCTACTCCTGGCAAAAAGATTGGCGAGCCTCACCAGCTCTGACGAGTCCGGGGCGCGTCATGATTGTTGATATCCAGGAGACAGCAACGATGGCGACGGCGGTGGTGTTGAGAGACAATGGAAGGCTATGGGGACATTGCAGGATTCGCAGTTGTGGTTGTGCGCGATTGCAGAGTCGGGATGGTCGCGAGTGGATGGGCTGGGTACAAGGACTAAAGTTGGATGTCGGTGGTTCAAAGTCGTTGGCAGGTACAAATCTAGGTTGAGCTTTGCAACGGTTCCCGGTGCTCAAACAATCTTCATGGCCGTCGTGTCAGGACGTCTTTCAGAAGTTGGCATGTACGGCGCCGCTACCATGGATCCGCGACAAGTCGAGATTCTGATTGATGGCTTGTCGCAACTTGCAACTCGCAACCACAGGGGCCGCGAAGCACAGACAACCTGGCTGCAGGTAGCGAGAGTGATGGCCAGCCCGAGCCAGCCTAGTCTCAGATTTGCCGGCCACTGCATGCACATCAATCATCCGGCAACTTTGTCTTCGATCTCGTCCGATACACATCTTCTGTTACAATGCTTGCTACAGTACACCCTCATCTACGCGCTTCTCAAACCTTGCTGCAACACGACCAATTCAAACGCCTCAGTTCGGCTTTGGTCCTGCATCCAACGCCAGCCACAGCTAAAGTAGCACCCGTAAACGCCCCGCAATTCAATTTTCCAATCAAACATCCCACTTCCAGGTCATCCGCCATTCATTGATATCGTACAAGCCGTAAAATGCTCTCAAAAAAACAACAACAGGCACCAGTCACAAGACTTGGCTTGCTCCTGTCCCTGCTCGCTGTATGCCCCCAGCCATTTCTTTTCTCTTGACTAGCAGGCTCTTCACCGCTCCCAACCACCGAGCCAGCCCATCATCATCGGGGGCACACATCCGATAGTTGCGCTCTTCGGTAATCAGCTGCAGGCAGAATTTCTTGCTTCTGCTGATGGGATTGATTTCAACCGCGTCGATGATGTTGTGGAATGGCACCAGAAGAACTGCTGCGTACTCTTCTTCGTTTTTGTACAAGGTCAACGATTTGGGCCTCAATACCATCCATGACTTTTTCCATTGTCGCACTCCCGACTTTGATTTGAGCATGTAGATCCATCCCTGGCAGATGACTCTCTCCTCGTCTTGTTTCACTGTCTGTATACCAGATGTTTGACTGACATTGCGTGGTGCCAGTGGGGTCCGAGCATTGCCACCATAGATTGTGTTGACACCAGCCGGTGGAGGCATTTGTTGTGATTGATTTTCCGCCAGAGTGAGGGACAAGGATGACATGCGAGCCGAAGGAATTTGAGAGTCTGAAAAGTCAGAGTAGGAAGCGTTTTCAGGGCCTGAGTAGTCGAGCGTGTGCGAAGGTCTGCGTTTGCTGTGCAAAGCTTGTTTGGGTCGACGTGTCGGAGGGTTGTAGACAGGGGTTTCTGCTTCCGAGGAACTGTAACCCTGAGGGATGTCCTGGTTGACCGAGGGGTGGGTGTGCCTCTCGAAGCCACGGTAGGTGGATTTTGCACCGCCAGGACTTGACAAGACCATCTCTTCTTCATTCTGATCAATGCGAGCCTCGCGTCTGATGAGCTGGACCCAGTCTTGAGCGTCCTGGTCCGAGGCGGCCTCCAGGTGGTAGTTCCGCGAAGGGGAGAAGAGGGCAAAGACATGCTTGGCTTTTGCCTTGGGATCCTTTTGTCGAGCAATGGCAGTCAGGTCGGAGAGAGATATTTGGTGACGGAGTTTTGTTTCGGCCTTGTCACGATAGATGGAAAGGAGATTGGGCCTCAGGACAATGTATATAGGTTTCCATGACTTTGTTTTGCGGGTTCGTTTCGAGACTTGGCCGGACTTGATGATGCGGTCGAATTCGAAACTGCCATTTTGGTTGACGGGCGAGAAGGTGTCGAGAGTTAGTTGACCGCCACGGAGAGCGTGGATTGAGGCGGGTAGGGATTGTTGGTTGGGAGGAGTGATTTTGATGTTGTTGGCTTGGCTGTCGATTGGACGAGGGGTGGAATGATGATGTGGAGGATGCGACATGACGGCGGCCATTGCGACTCGGGCGATGGAGGCAAGGCGACGAAAGGTCACATGTGTGATTTGGAGTTTGCTCGGTGGACAAGGACGATTACAGAAAGATAGTTCGGCGGTCAGGACGGCGGGGGTGCAGGGAGGATAAATAAGACTCTCGGGAATGAGCCTCGCGCTGCCGATCGATGGTGACGTCCAGACGATGTCCAGTCAAATGTCAAGAGGCATCTGCAAACAACGAGAGAGCGGCCTGCGAAGACTCTCTTTGCACACCCACGTCTCGCTCGCTTGTTGACATTGTCCCTCCCAATACAACAAACACAGGCCAACACTGCTTCATCTCGCCTGTCGCCTGTCCCGTCGGCAGAGCTCAACCTGAAACCCGTGCTTCTGATCATCGCCATTACCCAGCTGCCCAAAATTATCGACAAGACGAAACTCCGAACCACCATCCCGCCTGTCGCATCTCCGTCCCGCCATGCCCGTCGTCCCACCAGAGAAGCTCATCAAGCTTCAGCATGCCGCTGATGGCATAAGAAACATTTGCATTCTCGCTCACGTCGACCATGGCAAGACTTCGCTGTCAGATGCTCTCATCGCCACAAATGGCATCATTTCACCAAAGCTGGCTGGCAGGATACGCTACCTCGACTCTAGGCCCGATGAGCAGCTCAGAGGAATCACAATGGAGTCTTCGGCCATCTCCCTCTACTTTTCCCTCTTGAAACGCTCTGCGCCAGATGCCGCTCCCGAGCAAAAAGAATACCTCGTCAACCTCATAGACTCTCCCGGCCACATCGACTTCAGCTCAGAGGTCTCTACCGCTTCAAGACTATGTGACGGTGCCGTTGTTCTAGTAGACGCCATCGAAGGTGTTTGTAGTCAGACTGTTACCGTCTTGCGACAATGTTGGAACGAAAAGCTCAAGCCTCTGCTTGTCATCAACAAGATGGATCGTCTGATCACTGAATGGAAGATGGGCCCCCACGAAGCCTACATACACTTGAACAAGACCATCGAACAAGTAAACGCTGTCATGGGCAGCTTTTTCCAAGGTGAGCGCATGGAGGATGATTTGCGTTGGCGCGAGAGGGTCGAGGAGCGCGTCAGCGCAAAATCCACAACCGACACTGTCGTCGGCGATGATGCAAATCTTCCCACCTCTGATGTGCCGGCCGATTTTGAGGAGAAGAGTGACGAGGACATCTACTTTGCTCCCGAAAACAACAATGTCATCTTTAGTAGTGCCATCGACGGATGGGCCTTTACCCCTCGCCAATTTGCTGCCATCTATGACAAGAAACTCGGTATGAAGAGAGAGATTCTAGAAAAGACCCTTTGGGGTGACTTCTATCTCGATCCCAAGACCAAACGTGTGCTCGGAAGCAAGCACCTGAAAGGTAGAAACTTGAAGCCCATGTTTGTCCAACTCGTTCTTGAGCCTATCTGGGCTGTCTACGAAGCGACTACTGGGGGCGACCAAGGAAAGGGGTATGTCATTGTATCTTGCCCGCAATACGAGACAGTCAACTAATCCGAATAGCGACCCGGCCCTCCTGGAGAAGATCACAAAGTCATTGAATTTGACCATCCCTCAACACATCAAGCGATCACGCGACCCTCGTGCTCTGCTGACTACAGTCTTCGCGAGCTGGCTACCCCTTTCTACTGCTCTTCTTGTGTCTGTGATAGAACACCTGCCATCTCCTCCCAAGGCTCAAGCAGCCCGTATCCCACCGCTCCTGGAAGCTTCACCTGGCTCTGATCATATTGACCCCAAAGTGACAACCGCCATGACGGAGTCCAGAAAGTCAACAGAAGAGCCGGTTGTCGCATATGTCAGTAAAATGGTGTCGGTGCCTGAGAGTGAGCTTCCGATCAACAAGCGACGCGGCGGTGCACTCACGGCAGAGGAGGCACGCGAGTTGGGCCGCAAGAAGAGAGCCGAGATCGCCAAGGCACAAGCACTTGCGAATGGTGAAAACGCAGATGTTGATTCGGTCGCTGATGCTCTCAGTACCGTGGCCATCGGAGAGGACGACGATGAGGATTCTGCACCCAAAGACGAAGAAGCAGAGCAGGAAGACCGAGAGCATCTCATTGGCTTTGCACGTCTGTATTCTGGTACCCTGACAGTTGGCCAAGAAGTCTACGTCCTTCCGCCCAAGTTTACTCCGGCTAACCCGAGGGCTTCTCCCGAGCCCAAGAAGGTCACAATCACCGCTTTGTACCTCCTGATGGGCCGTAGTCTGGAAGCTCTTAACTCGGTTCCTGCAGGCTCCATCGTTGGTATCGGCGGCCTCGAGGGTGCCATCCTGAAATCGGGCACACTCTGTTCTCAGCTCGATGGCGCACCTAACCTTTCATCGTCATCTGCTATCAGCACCAATGCTCCCATCGTCCGTGTTGCCGTCGAACCTGCATGGCCAGCAGATCTAGACAAGATGGTCAAGGGCTTGCGTTTGCTAGAACAAGCTGACCCTGCAGTCTTGTACGAGCAACTGGAGAGTGGTGAGCATGTCATTTTGACTGCTGGCGAGTTGCATCTGGAACGCTGCTTGAAGGATCTTCGTGAACGTTTTGCAAAATGCGATGTCCAAGCCGGAGAAGTCATCGTGCCGTACAGAGAAGGCATCACCAACTACGTCGCCTCATCGACCACAGAACAACAGGAAGAGATGAACCCACCCAAGTATCCTGAACTAGGAAGAGGTAGAATTGATGTTGTCACCACCAGTAAGCAAATCACTGTCCGTCTCAGTGTACGCCCACTACCGGAATCTGTCACACACTTTCTTGTCAAGAACACAGCTGCAGTCAAGAGACTGTATTCAGAAAAGAAAGCGGTACAACAAGATTCCGCTGCTGCGGCCGAGAACACCGAGGAACAAGATGGTGAACACGAAGCCGGCAACGATGTTGGTATCGTCGAATCGGGTCGAGTACTGTCGATGGATGAGTTCAAAGCTCAACTGAGTACAGCATTTGCTGATGTCAAGGGTGACAAAGACATTTGGCAGGATGCGGCTGAGAAGATCACAGCATTCGGACCCCGCAGAGTAGGACCCAATGTTCTCATTGATGCCACCCAGAATGGTATCTGCGGCAAGTTGTAAGTGTCGAGCTCATCTTGATGATGTCCAAGTACTGACTTCTTCCAGCCTGCGTGACGTACAAGATGACAAGGAGAGCACCGACGAGACAGACGTTCGGCCCGATCAACTACGAGCTCGGGACTTTGTCGACAAGGTCACATACGCCTTCCAACTTGCCACGAACCAAGGCCCCCTCTGCAACGAACCCATGCAAGGTGTTGCCGTCTTCGTCGAGGACATCACGATCAACAAGACCGATGACGAGCAACAGAACATGGGACGTTTGACTGGCGAAGTGATCAAGTCCACGCGAGACAGCATCCGTCAAGGCTTCTTGGACTGGAGTCCACGTCTGCTGCTGGCCATGTACAGTTGCGAGATCCAAGCTTCCGCCGAAGTCCTGGGTCGTGTATATGCAGTCATTACAAGACGTCGCGGCAGGATCATCTCAGAGTCTCTTCTCGAGCCTTCGCCCAATTTTACCATCTTGGCCTTGCTGCCCGTTGCAGAGAGTTTCGGTTTCTCAGACGAGATCCGCAAGCGAACCTCGGGTGCTGCCAGTCCTCAACTCATCTTCGAAGGCTTTGAGATGCTGGATGAAGACCCCTTCTGGGTGCCTCGTACCGAGGAAGAGATTGAAGACCTCGGTGAAAAGGGTGACAGAGACAATGTTGCCAAGCGCTATGTTGATACTGTCAGAGAGCGCAAGGGTCTGTTCGTCCAACGCAAGGTTGTCGAGCACGGAGAGAAGCAAAAGACATTGAAGCGTTAATAACTCCAACACGCCAAATGAGTACTGTAATCTGAGCGCATCATGTACGGAAGATGCATATTGGAACCGAAGTTAGATACATGTTGATATATACGAGCTCACGATTGTACTTCATCCATGTGTTTAGACCTTTTTTTGCAGTGCAGAGTAATTCGATTCTGCTCGCGAGAGGCTTCTTATTACCAGCTTACTACATTTGGCTAGTCTCTGGTGCTCCTGCCTGATCTGGACTCCGCTTGCCTCATGAGGGCGGTGAAGGTCTAGAGCGAGATAGCGGCTGCCTTGAAAGGTTGGGTACTGTGAAAGGAAGAAAAAGTCTATATTGGTTATAATTACATCATGCCCTCATGCCTTCCACTGGCGTGTATTCCCTATCCATCTGACCACATACACCAAACCCAACAGCACCGGCACTTCAATCAGAGGGCCTACAGTCGCTGCGAGCGCTTGATCACTGTTGGCACCATACGTAGCCGTCGCAACAGCAATCGCCAACTCGAAATTGTTACTCGCAGCCGTAAAGCTCTGTGTTGCGGCCAACTTGTATCCAAAGCCAAGTTTATGCGTGATCCACAAGGTAATGCTGAAAATGGCGAAGAAATATACGATCAAGGGTGCTGCTACTCGTACGACTGAAACGATTTGGTGCACCACGCGGTGGCCTTGGGATGCGAATAGCACGATGATGGTGTAGAGGAGTCCGATCAGGGACCAGGGTGCAATCCATTTGATAAACGTTTGATCGTACCATGTTGGCGAGATCTTTCGGATGGCGAAGCGAGTGATGATGGCTGCGGCTAAAGGGATGCCCAGAAACGCGGCGACGCTGGTGGCTACTGTCGAGTATGAGGGCGAAATTGTCGAGTGAGAGTGGCTGATGACGTTGATGAAGAAGATGGCTAAGGGCGCGAATAAGACCATCTGCAGGATCGAGTTGATGGCGACCAGGATAGCGCAATACTACTCTCACGTTAAACATTGCAAGGACTTGAGTAGACGTTGTTGACATACCTGAGAATCCCCTCCAGCAAGACCAGTCCAGATCAACACCATAGCGATACATCGAGCAATGCCAACCAGAATCAGACCTTCACGGAGGCCAGGCTCGTCTGGAAGGAACGCCCATGATAGTGCCAGCATCAAGAACGGGGCAATGAGCCAATTCACCAGTATGCTAAAACCGACTTGGATCCAGAGTTCCTTGGTCTTGAATGCAAGATGCAATGTCTCGTATTGTACCTTGCACAGAATCGGATACATCATGACTAACAAGCCAATTGCTTTGCAAAGGTTAGTATAAGCCATGTCCAAGGGTTGAATCAAAACTGACCAATTGGTGCTGAAACGCCGACAAACTGTCCTTTTTCGAGAGCCGGGCCTGTACTAGGCACAAAGTTGCCCAATAGAATACCTGAATTGTTATGTTAGGTTATCTGATGGATACCTTCATGTTCGATCTGCTCACCTATTGCCATGGCGAGAATAATCCACACAGCTAGGAAACGATCCAGCCAGCCAAGTCCCTTGAATGCAGAGACCTTATCCGGCATGATATCCTTTTCAATCTGTTGCCTCTCCATATCGTCAGGAACTACAGAGGGCGGTGCCGTAGACATGTCGCCTTCGGTAGATGACTTGGTCGTCGGCCATTTCGACATTTTAGCCAATTATCAGTGTTGCCCAAGGATGTTCTGTTTTGTGGCGGGGCGAGTGTATAGATAGATTGTTGAATATTTTCGACTTCTTTCTCAATGCAAGGACTTGCCTCGACAAACATGAAGACGATATGCTCATGTTTTATTATCAGATCGGACCAAGGAGGCTGCTTTTGCCTCGTCCAATCAATCAACGGTAATGACACTTCCCCACACTGGGGTAGAAAATCCATCAACAATAAGAGCCAATCAGTACATCGCAATGACACTATTCGAAGACCTGCGGATTGTCGTGTATGAGGTGTGGTTATCGCGGATTCTTCAAACGGAGCACGACTTACTATCTTGGAACCGTCAACGATTACTAGACGAATTGCAATCCTTCCTGCACGCACGTTCAGTGACGTCTTCCTCTCTATGCACAGCAGTGACATGCTCTTGTACGAGGTTGCTTGGAACTCGGATATCTTTACCCTCAAACACAAAGGTGATAGCGCTTGTTTACAGTGATGACATGCACCTCTCAACTCGTGCACTTCCAGGCAGAATGTCACTTGCCCGACAGAATCTGGCTCGCTTCACTCTTGCAGCTGCGGCAATACTCTGCGAATCCATCTCCTAGTCCATCGCTCTCGTCGCTAGCTCCTGCTTGCGTAGATTGACTGCCTTTGTTGCGTTCACGCAGCATGGTCTCAACCTTCTTACACTTCCTTTCCTCTTCAATCACCCAATCTTGCCACTCGGCATGAACAACTTCCTCTTCAACACGGTTGATGACACGAAGCGCTACCATCAGATCATGTCGATAGTTCGCAAGGGAGTGTCGCGTATGCTGTAATCTCTGTTGTGAGCGTCTTCCCGAGCCTTTGGAGACCTTTGTTGTGGACTCGGGTTCAGACGAAGCGAGCATATCGCGGAATGTACCATGGCACGTGTTCCACGCTGGATTAGTGTCATCCAATGTTGTAGAGTTCAAACCGATGGTGTCCATGAGTGTAGGAGCCACGAGCTCTTCGATGTCACTCAAGTAGACCGCTCTGGTGATGGTAGGGTCTGGTTTGATACCTAGCCTGGCCATGAATTTCCCTGCCCTTCGTTCGTCGTACCACGCAAGCCCATCTCGATATCCATACCAGGTATTGTAGGCAGTGCTGCAGGCGAGAATCAGGACGAGAATCTTGTGCGCGGTAACAACACCTGCAATAGACTTTGCGATCGCAATGAGCAGATCTATCAACATGGTCAACAGACGGAATGCTTGAGCGAGCACTTCATCAGCATAAAGGTTAGCAAGAGTACGAATTCTGACTGTTCGTCTTCTGCGAACGATCGAAGTGGTCGGCAAATCTGATGTCGAAACCTGACTCGTCTGTGTACTCTGACCGACGGAGCCAAAGATTTGTGCAGCTTTGTTAGTACTGTGTGCACCGAGCTTGGACACTTGATCTGTGATGACAGCAGCTAGATCAACAGCGTCATCTTGATAGTCACGTAGAGCTTGCTTCTGTACCAGGCGCTGCGATAGTGAAAGCCTCTGGTCAGGCTGAGCTTCTCCATTCCACACCACTTTGTTGAAAATGGCAAGCTTGCATTTGGACTTTGCCGAGTGAGTGATGACGAACTTGCTAAGCAAGAGGAAGTTTTTGGACATTGGTAGTTGCCATGGTGATTGTGTCTGAGTCACGACATAGCAGAGGTGATCGTTGCACACATCCAATGTCTGCCTATCGGTCTCTTGCTCATGGCCAATGGTGCAGATCAATTGTCTCGAGAGTTGTCCATCTTTTGGTCGTGTCCATGGAGTTAATAGAATACCTAGAACGATTAGCACAAAGTGAGCTTTTGAAGAAGGGCGGGTATACACACTGTCAATCGGTCGGTTGTTGTACAGCATTTGGAAAACTGCACTCCTGTCACCGAACATGACGTGGAAGAGCGCCTTGGCACTGATGCCAAAGTCTTGTGCAAGAACCGCGTCTCCCATGTCCTTTGGTCTGTATAACACAGGCTGGGAAGGCAACTTGAACTTGGTTACTTCTCTGCCTGTTCGTGCGACTGACTCTCCGTAGAGTGTGCCATCTATGCGCAAGTTTGCCCTGAGATCTCTCGAACGGCGTCTAGTGACTCTGGCATCACTCTCTGTAGGAGAATGTACGTCCTCGTCCCAATCCTGTGATTGATCCTGAGAATCTGCTGTTGCTATCCTCGAGAATGATGCAAAGACCTCTTCTAGAGATGTGGGGATTTCAGAGTTTGCAGACTGCACAAGGTAATCAAGCCTGCGTTGAAGTGGTCTCAGAGCATCCAAGAAGGTTTTGACAGTGATGCGCCTGAAAGCCGTCTTACTCTCTTTGAGATGCAGGAACAGATAGTCACATTCGCTTTCTCGACCTGGAGCAGCGGTGACCTCGGTGATTGACGACAGGCTGATCTCCGCGACAAGAACCATGCCAAAGTGATTACTGTAGAAGTATATCTTTTCGGTCGTCACGTAGATGCGACCCGGGAATTCTTGCTGCTCGTTAGGATTCCACATGGCAGTGAAAACAAGAACGATCTTTTCGGAGCGTGGAACGGAGGAGAACAGGACATGGAACTCTGCATCATGTTCCTTGAGCACAAGCACATCATCTGTCTTCAGTGAGACTGGGTATTCGGTTTGAATGTCTTCGGTGGGGGCGATCGGTAGTCGGCTTTGTGAAGGCGAGTCCAGAGCATCGCCTGCGCTGATTGTTTTGCGATGGGTAATACGGCTTGGAGTCATGTTTGATCCAACTTCTGCCATTTTCAAATCTTTAGGCGGTTCCATACCCTCCATGATGGCCATGTCATCATGATACTGGCCAAGTGGTTTCGCAGCAGGTCTCGACATGAGGACAGGCTTGGGCTCATCGCGACCAAGTCGATTGATACTTACCCAATTAGAGGAGCCCCAAAGGTTCGCCATCAAACTGCTAGGCATAGCTGATGTATCAGATTTCCCGCTCGAAGCACGTTGACCACTTACTGCCACGGCTCTTCGGCTGAGATTTGTGGGAGCCGGAGGATTTGCAAGCGTGACAGGGGCAAAGCTACTGGTAGCAGGCATGGTGAACGATCGGTGATGTTCTCCTGGCTTCGGAGCGTTGGGAGCCGGGCCAGGGCCAATCGGGAGGATACTGTGACTGGCTGAGAGCAAACTAGCGATACCGCCAGCCGGGGCAGGCTGGTTTGCCGAAGATAGCGCCGTAGCCCTCCTGTGCAGATCGAGCTTTTGTATGATTCTGTTGGCCGTATCACGCCCACCTTCAGCGTCCAACATGGTCGATCTTCTGGAAGGGTTGACATCGAAACTACTCCTGGTAGCCAAAGCGAATTCGGGTGGGGACAAGGATGCACCAAATTCGTCCGTCGAGTGAGCCAGGCTATCAGTCAATTTCGCAGCAAAGGATGGATCGACCGGTGGGCTGATGGCAAAGGCTGGATCAGATCCAGGGGCCGGTGCGGAAGAGTTTCCTCGAGGTTCTTCGAGAGCTCTGCGCTTCGCACTTTCGAAAGCATTGATCCATTCCAGAAGTTCGCCTTGGGTCTCTGCCTGTAAAATGATACTCGTGTCTTTAGTTTTGATCTCGAAGCAGAATCTGCGTTCTTCTTGAACGGCCGGACGGACGCTGCAGAGTAAAACACCAATCTTTTCACTTTCCTCGACACCACCCGAAATGCTACCTTGGACCAGCCAACCGAAAATGCCATTCTTGACAATGAACCAGCGTCGCAACCATGATGGTCGGGCGGGCTTGGGAGGAACAGTCTTTACGAACAGCCAGCCTTGTTTTTCAGGCTTTGTAAAGGCAGGCTTGACGGGCGAAGTGGGAGCCCCAGAGCCGAGATATGGCACGGTAGATACAGCATAATCGTCCATCTCACGCGAGGGACGAGCTTTGGTCTCGGCTGAATCTTCAAGCTGACGACGTGCCAGCATCAACTCACGCTTGAAAGCTGACTCGGACTCGTGCATGACTTTACTCCAACCCCTGATACGCTCCAATTCCGAGCCCCATTTCTGAAAGTTGGCAGAGGTGGCGTCGCGGTAACCACGAAAGTCCTTCCAGCGATCGGAGAAGACCTTGATTAGCAGTTGGTCGAGCGAGTTGCGAAGATTCGGGGCCATGATACAATAGTCCATGGAAGCTCGGAGATAGGCCTTGCGGTCCTCGTGAAGCTTGAAGGCGTCCTCACGCAAGGATGAAGCCTCCTTTGTCTTTGCTTGAGCGAGATACCTGGTCATTTCAGCGTCGAATATGGCCTGGGTTCGTTCCAGAGCCTTGCGAGCTTGGTTGAATTGGCGAAGAGGGCTGTCAGCACCGTCGATGAAGCGCAACAGAGGTTCGATCAGGGTCTGACGTGAGCGAGCAACATTATTAAAGACCCAACGCAGGTACTGGGTAGTGTTTTGGCTGTAGCGGGTAATGGCCAGCAAGGTGTAGTCATGGTCTAGGGCAGCCTGGCTGAGGTTCACTGGAGGGGGAGGTGGGAAATGATCAAAGTTGTCAAAGTCTTTTTGGATGCTGGCGAAGCGGTCGGCAAACTTTTGGGATTGCTTGACATAATCGCGGAGCCATTTCTCGATAGACTCGACCTGGTTGGCATAGTGGACGGCGATGGCACGGAAGGTGGGCGAGTCGAGAGCAGCCTCCTTGAGCTGGACGGGGACGAGGTCTAATGGGCGACCGACAGGTTGCAAGCTGGGTTGGAGGCCGTTGTCAGCATCGTCTGGGGTGGCCATGGCAGACAACTCAGTCAACGAGGAACGAGATCATGAGATGGATAGGTCGAGGACAAGGACGGATTTGTGCGGAGGGAGTGACGGGGAGAGGAGCAAGCGTATTGGAATACGGCTATAGCTACGGAGACAGTAGATTACGGTGAGGGAGTGGCCCTGCTTTGGGCACGGGTGTTTTTGACGACAGCAGCGTCATGTTCGCACCTGCCTCGACACAGCTGCGCCGGTTACGTTTCGCGTGCGGAGCGGGAGTGCTCGGGCCTTCCTTTCCCTCCCCACGCGTATTCTCCAGCCTGGCGTGACTGCATATTTCCATCCGCCGTCAAAAGTCTTTTGTCCGGGTAGACCCTACCAAATTCCAGCTCGCCGTCAGCTGTCCTACTTTTCCTCACACAACCCGCTGTCGCCAACATGCCTCGCAAGATGAAGAACAAGGCCGTCGTGCCTGCCGAAGAGCCCCCAACCAAGCGTACAAAGCTCTTCGACGAAGATGCTGTCTCTGATGACGAAGCTGTCAATCTCACCATCAACGAGGAATTTGCTAAACGCTTCGAGCACAATAAGAAGCGCGAGGAGAAGCAAAGACGTAAATCAACCCTCTCCGTCCGTTGTCCGCCTACTAACATCCTCCAGTCGAGGAAAAGTACAAGGACGAAGACTCTGAAGAAGACTCATCTACCGACGAGGATGAAGATGACGCCGCCGAACTAGCCACTGCTGATCTGGACAACGAAATATTTGCTACCCTCAATGCCATCAAGAAGAAGGACCCGCGAGTTTACGACCCCAACATTACTTTCTACACTCCATTCGATGCCGACCAACAGACCGATCCCGCTTCCAACAAGGAGAAGCCTCTGTACTTGGCCGACTACCATCGTCAAAATCTTTTGAATGGCAATGCCGAGGTTGATGAGGAGGAAGATGCCCCACCACAGACATATGCTCAAGAGCAACAAGCCCTCAAAGACGACCTGATCAACCAAATGCACGCTACTGCCGATGATCAAGGCGATGATGAGGACGACTTCCTCGTGAGAAAGCCTGGCCAGGCTCCTGCTACTGGTAACAGCCGCCCCCAGATTACCGAACGCGATATACAGGTTGCCGACAAGGATCCCGAGACCTTCCTTTCCAACTTCATGCAATCCCGTGCATGGGTTCCTGATGAAAAGTCACGCTTTGATGCATTCGATTCTGACGATTCCGAGGACGAAAGACGTGCCGAGATGTTCGAGGAGGCTTACAACATGCGTTTCGAGGACCCCACCAAGTCCAACGAGAAACTCATGACTTTCTCTCGTGATGTCGCCAAGTTAAGTGCTCGTAGAGAAGAGAAGAGTGGCAGAAAGAAGCAGCGTGAGAAGGAGCGCGAAAAGAAGGATTCAGAGAAGCGCGAACGCACAGAAGAAAAGGCCAGACTGAGGAAGCTCAAGATCGATGAGGTTGAAGAGAAGGTCAAGAAGATCAAGGAGGCTGCTGGTCTCAAGAACCAGGCACTTGACCTTGCCGAGTGGAAGCAAGTGCTGGATGAAGACTTTGACGACGATCAATGGGAGCAAGAAATGACGCGTCGCTTTGGCGACAATTACTACGCCGATAAGGAAGCCATTGATGAGGAAGACGAGGAAGCAAAGAAGCCGCACAAGCCCAAGTGGGACGACGACATTGACATCAACGATCTTGTGCCCGAATTCGACGAGGAGGCCGAGGCAGCCAAGCTCAGAGGTGAAATCGCTGGATCGGATGAAGAAGAGGAGGCAGGAGAGAATGACGACGACAACATTATCGCTCCTGATGGTGTCCAACGCAAGACCAAGAAGGATAGACTCAAGGAGGCTGCAGATAAGCGTCGTGTGGCCCGCAAGGAACGCATGGCCATCGAAGAACTCGTAGACGCAGACTTGACTGGCGATCTTCCTACTTCGACAAAGACTGCTGGATTCCGTTACCGCGAGACCTCACCAACTTCATTCGGCTTGACGGCCCGAGATATTCTCTTTGCCGACGACAATGCACTGAACGAGTATGCCGGCCTCAAGAAATTGGCTACATGGCGTGACGAGGACAAGAAGAAGAAGGATAAGAAGAAGCTCGGTAAGAAGGCCCGTCTACGACAATGGCGCAAGGAGACCTTTGGCAACGAAGAAGGTTTCACTGGTGGCTTCAAGGAGTTTTTGGGTGAAGAAGCGCTTGCACAGGGCAATGAAGACGCTCAAGGTGGAAGCAGAAAGAGAAGAGGAAAGAAGCGCAAGGCTGAAGCTTGATTTTTCCTAATAATACCCAATCTTGTATATCAAACGATTTTGTCCTTCATGGTCTGTGGACTTGGTCTTGTGTCCTGGAAACTAGGTCTCTCTTCCAGCATCTGCCAATGTTTCTTCAAGGCGGGATAAGTATCGGCCCAGCCATGTGAAGGCCAGCGACAGGCTAGGTATCCGCAAAGAGAGCCGACGGCTATATCTGCCAGGCTTAGTCGGTCTCCAACCAGATAGCCTCCCTGCTTCTGCTCTGCCCATTCTCCCAACGCCCTCAGTCCTCCTTCGACTTTCCTCATTTGTCTGTCAACCCATGGTTGCGATTTCTTCTCAGGTTCCCTCATGTTTTCGAAAAAGGCGAGCACGAGAGCATCGCAAACGCCATCTGCCACGACCTCGATCTTCCTTGCAAACAGCCTATCATCGACTTGAGTATGGCTAGGGAGAAGAGGTGTATCGGGGTATTTTGCTTCCAGCCATTCTAGGATGTAGCTAGACTCGTAGACGGCAGATTTTCCATCCTCGAGAATCAATACTGGAAGCTTTTCCAGTGGATTGTATTGTGGAGTCTTTGTCGTATTGTCCCAAGGTACCTCTGTTTGAAGAGTGAAGGGTAGGTTTTTCTCGGCGAGCGCAATGCGGACCTTGCGAGCATAAGGTGATGGTGTTGCACTGATGAGGGTGAACATGACGGACGCAGAGTGAGGACAAGAATGAACAAATACCTGTCTATAAGTTTATATCTACCATTTAAGAGCCGAGGGCGTCATTGATTGCGGGGCTTCTCGAGGGACGAGCGGATCGGCGTTGGTGGGAGAGTCAAATATTCTCATCCTAAGGGTGCAAGAACCAACACAGTCCAATTGCATTCTATCACCATGCTCAGCCTCACAGAACTGATTCGAGAGATACCAGCCACCGAAGAAGACTCACCCGAAGACATTTTCGTATCAGCACCTGGATTCTTGTTCAGTGACGACCTACGCAACATACATGGCGACCCAGGCTCCGTCATTGTATACACGAGCAAACGCTTTGGCGAGATCTCAATGACCCCGGCCATCCCCGATAGCGAGGAAGAAAGAACGCTTTTCAGCCACTATCTCTGGAATGCCGGCATCTTGATGGCCGAGAGGGTCAGTGGACAACGGCTGGTAAACGACGAGGAAGAGAGACAATGGAGCGTGCAAGGACATGATGTGCTCGAACTCGGTGCAGGTGCGGGTTGAAAGACACATACAGAACAAGAGCAAGGACTGATGGACCATTATACGGCAGGCGTGGGACTCGCCGGCATCGTCAGTACTCTTGCTGGCGCCAGCGGCGTGTGCATAACCGACTATCCCGCCAAAAGCACACTCGACAACATCAAACGCAATGTCAAGCACAACATCCCACAAGAGATTGCATGCAGAGCAAGAGTAGAAGGCCATGCGTGGGGCGTCTTTGACGATGACTTTGCCAAAGCCAATGGTCGCAAGTTCGACCGAGTACTGGCAGCAGATTGCTTTTGGATGCCATGGCAGCACGAGAATTTGGCATTGTCGATGCTTCACTTCCTTTCGGACGACTCGGACGCTCGAGTGCTTGCAATTGGAGGTTTCCACACAGGTCGGGCAAAGCTCGCAGCTTTCTTTGACGTGGCATCCGAAAAAGGACTCGAAGTTCAGGACATGTATGAAGAAGACGCCGAAGGCACGAGGAGAGAATGGGTCAAGGAGAAGGATGGAGGAAGAGAGAATGTCACAGAGCGCAAGAAGTGGCTCACCATAGCCATTCTACGACGTGCAAATCAGAAAGGACTCTGAAACCAAGGCTCTTGTACGAAGGATCAGCTTGGCCGGCAGATGGATGTTGGGCAGGCATGCGCCGATTGACAACCAGGTTTATAGACCAGGTTGTCGCTATCAGACATGGCTGGTGCCATCTATAACAAGAATCAAGAGAGACTAGGATTCGGTAGAGTGATGATGATCAAGATATCCGAGAGGCTGGGATGTGTTGACGCTTGGACGAGTGGCTCGCTGGGGCAACGGTGCGGACGAAAGTGGAGACGACGCTGAACGGCGGGCGACAACGAGGATAGCACAACGCGAATCCATCTCTGTGTGCAGGAAGCATGCTGCAAGCGTTTGTTGTGTGCGACCAGCGCATCGTCGTAACGAATAAACACATGTATCATACAGACCAAGTGTACGGGGTATAAGGTAGTGTCTGTCCTTCCCAGCCTGCGTCTTTTCTGGCGGCGTGACAATCTGCACCATCTGACCAACCACCTCGCGTTGAAAAGCCACTACTGCTTGGTTATTAACTACTACTCGCCTTCCTGTTTGTTCCTGCACTTATCATAAGCCGCCGTTTGCTTTTATCCAATCCACGTCCTCTCACTTTCCAGCCGCCCACCATGTTCTTCAAGCGCCTCTCGCGCTCTCGTAGCAATTCGCAGAGCTATATTGACACAAACTACTCGCACGACAACAACGACGAATACGATTCTCGCCCCGACTCGGCGCGCGGTCCCCCGACAAAATCAGCATCACTCAACGACGGTCCCATGTTTGCCCAACAACAGCCCCAATCCATCGACAACTTCAATGCACCTCCCATGTCTCGATCCGGTCCTCAGCACATGTCCAATGGCTTTGGTCCTGCAAAGCCAGCATCCGTCTCTGCTCCCATCCAGCCTGAACCCATGCCCGATCTCCTGACGCGTGCCTTTAACGAAGCTGTGCGTCCCTATACCAATCGTGTCGAAGAGCTTGAGAATGAAGTCGCCGACCTCAAGGCCTGGGTCGAGCAGCTGGAAGCCCAGCGAAGAGAGGTTCACGCATGGATTGACAAGCGTGGCCTGAGACCTGGTATGCTTTCCATTCCCTCCGTCTCTTATGCACCTTGACTGATTATTTCCAGACGTGCCTCCAAGCATTGCTCAACAGATGGACGCATCCAACCCGCACAACCCAACCGCCGCAGCCTCGACCTTGAACGCTCAGCTGGACCGCAAGATCACCATTGTCAACTTTGATCTGCACCGTCTTCAGGACGATCTCAATGACTCGTTGCCCACTCCCTCCTTCAGCGCCTGCATGCTCAAGTTCCTGCCCGATATCAGTCGTCTGGCTGCTCTGCCATCAGGCCCTAAATTTGCCTTTGACCTGCTACTCAAACTGGGCGGTAACCTCAACTCTCACGGTGGCCTCGAAAACGGCGACGAGGAAGACTTGCGTGAGCGCAGGTCCTTCTATGCTCGCCTCGATGAAGCCATGGTCGATATCGTGCGTGGCCGTTTCAGAGAAGAGGGCGAGGGCTGGGGTGTTGCCAGAGAGATCAAGCGCATCGAAAAGACTGGCGCCTACCTCCGCAACTGGGGTGTTGAACCCTACTTCCCTCAAACGCTTGATGTTATGAGAGAAGGCTCTGGTGCTGCTGGCGCTGGCGTATATCACGGCGGTGGCACCCCTCCTGCTTACCAATGAGCACATTCTTCTACTTGAGAGATGTTACATGGCGTTGCTGATTTCTCTTTTATGCTGATAATACCCCTTTCTGTTTCAAACTATGCTCCAAATTGATGGCATGACCTTTTTCTACTGTAAATCCTTTCTTCCAAATTGTCCTCGTGCGATTTGGACAACCAACCTCGATAGCTTCTTCTCTTTATAGTGGAATCAAAAACAATCACAAACAATGTCTCCAGAAAGTCATATGGAGGAATTACATTGATGTACATATGAACATTTCATGTCGAGCATGTCTATTCTGTCTTGACCCCATTGATGTTGCCACTGCTCACCGAGACATCCTGGACTTCGTCATCAAACTCGATGCCACGAACAAAGGCCTCACTAACCATTTCAAGCCCAGCAACAAAGACGCAAAGTGCGCTTGCAATGACAAAGACAGTAATGCTCTCACCAATCTCAAGCCAACTGCCCTCGTCACGCACACTCCAGAAGAACCTCAGCGTCAACCAATCTCCCATCGCGATTACCAGTGCGAACAACGCCCCAGACTTTAATTTGAGGCGACGAGTCAACAGGCCAAGGTTTGCCGACACGAGAGCAAATGGTGCAACGATTTTCATCATGAGCAGTGCGCCTTGGGAGAAAGGATCAAAGACGGGGATGAGGCGAGACACTGCGTCCAGACTGAATGAAGATATCGAAGCGATATTGCCAGTGCTGAAGAAGGCGGATTGTAGCAAATACAGGAAGAAGAGGGCGATGCGTGCATCGGCCAAAGTCAAGGAGCGATATTCGTGCTTCTCGGGAGTGGTCACACGATCTGTAGAGGTCATCTCGGACACTCCACTTGTGCGTGTGGTGAAGGAGCGATAGATGCGGTGCTCGAGTCTGACCCAGGTGATCAGGGTACAGCTCAATGCAAAGTAAAAGAGACCCTCGTAGCTGATGGTAAGGATGATGAACATTGGTGCAAATGCAAGGAAAATGACCAACAATCGATGGAGATAGTGGTTATTGGGCGAGAACGAGTGGGCAAAGGGCAGTACCAGAGACGAGACCAGCACTACCCAGCCAGTAACCTGAGCACCTAGTGGTAAACCAGCCTTTGCTTGCAACGAGGTGACACTGGAACGTGTGACAATCATTGCCAAGGCAATAAGCCCGGTTTGGACGCCTGTAAGGATTCTCGAGGTTTGGTCAACTTTTGGCGCAGCGAGACCTGCTGTTGGAACGAGTAGACTTTTCTCAAAAGCAATGTACAGGACACCGATCAAGAGCATGAGCGCACCACCCAAAAGTATCTGACCTATACTCTCAACCTTGATGGCAGGCAACACTGTAAATATGCTCATGGAAGCGCAAGCCAAGGCCCACGTAGCAGAGACGATCCAGTTTTGACGCACGAACCCGAGTCCGTAAGAAGCTGGCCAAAGGATGGCCAAGAGGTAACAAAGTGTGTACATCTCGCGATGGTAGTAGCTTTGAACCATGATCTCGAGGATTCCAACAAAGACGAGCAGATTAAGCCCGAGACCCAGCATATCCCTGCCAGACAATTGCTTGAAAAATATTGCCTTGGCCTGTGAGAGTGCTTTACGACGAGCGAACACCTCTTCCCAGAACATGACGGGGAAGATTGTATACGCGTAGTAGGTCCACGGGGAAGACTGGACAAGTAACAGGGCAAGAAGCGCAACAAAGACGCTGGAAAATATAGTCGTGGTCGTGGTGGATCGAATCGCATCAATCTTGCCGTCAAAGACGTGCTGATCCAGAGCATATGTAAGGGCAAAGGCCATCCAGCCCAGGTAGCCTAATGTCACCAGAGCACGTAGGAAGAGCCAATCGTAGGTCTGTAGGTACCTCAAGCCTTGCAGGCCCATCTTGATGAGAGCATCCGAGTCTTGAATTGCCTGCTCAAAGTGTCCTTGGGAGATGGACTTTTCAATGGCGTCAATGCGATGATCAGGAGAGTGCTGGTCATCGGCAAAGCCTGGGAAAGGTCTGTAGCGAAGCACAGTGTTCTTCTTGTCATGTTCTTTGATGCGATACATTTCCAGGATTTCTTGGGCATTGACCAGCATCGCTTGAGCCTTGGTCTGCTGGTCGGCCGACAAGAAGGCCAAAGGCAATTCACCTACCGAGTTGACTGGGAAGGCAAGACCGGCAAGATATGCCATGAGGGTGGCGATATCTGCTTGAGCGACATCGTTGCGCTGGACATGATCCAGGTGCCAATCAGACGAGAAGCCATCCTCGTGACCAGGAGCCAGACCGGTAGACACAGTGACCGGTTTGGCGACTCCAGAGCCCCAGGCAATCAAAGGTGTCCTGGTATTGTCCGGGTGTCCGTCGCCGTGACTTCCCCAATCGCTCATGCCATGATCGGCAGTGAAGACGTAGGCTGTCTTGTCGTCGTTGTAGAAGCGGTCAATCAGGGCAGTAATTTTCTCGACACCTTGATCGACGACTTTGATGTTGTGCAGATACTCGCGAGAGTAGGGGCGGTACGAGTGACCAGTGGTATCCAAGCCCAAGAGGTGCAAAAAGAAGACATTCTTGTCCTGTCTCAGACGCGCATTCAATTCTGGGTCTTGACCGGCGCGTGTGAACAGCTCTTCAACTCTGTCAAAGACCCAGGTGTCCAAATGAGTAGCGTCCTTGCTAAAGTCCTCCTCTTCTGCACCATACATGTCGGCATCGACGCGACCAGGAACTGCGCCCTCTTGGAACATAGGCAGGATATCGGGACTACCCCAACTCCATGTATGACGACTGCGATTGAAGACGCTGTCGAAGTGGACGGGGTTCAGCTTCCAGCCAGTGGTGACGGCCGAAACATCTTCATACAAGCCGGCAATCAAGGCGACGTGACCGGGTCGAGATTCGGTAGGGACTCGAGTATGCGACACGCCGAACGTGCCATGCTCGAGGACGCGCGATCGAAGAAAGGGAGCAAGCGGACGCGGTTCTTGCCAGTCGGCCTCCTGTTCGGCGCCAGGGGAAGGGTCGGCAAAGTATTGGAAAGCCTTGTCTGCGCGCAGACCGTCGCCTGTGGTGATCGTGTCAATCTTGAACCAATTCGCGACAACAGTGCTCGCACAAACATACCAACAAACAGGACGAGTCGTTTGGCTGGAGCTTCTTCTCGATGGGCCACGCTGTACTCGCGCATGCCACTGACGATCGGACTGACAAAGTATATGTCAAAGATCGAGTAGGCATAGATGAGGTGAAAGGCGACCGCCACGGCTAGAAAGCCCAACCTCCCCATGCGAGCCATTGTGCAATGTGCAATACTTGATGGTCTGGATTGACTGTCGACGGGGGATGCGTGCGGCTTTCAAAAGGGCGGCGGTTTTAAAGACCGACCTTGATTCACAACGAATGCGATATAAACCACCTTGATGTCCATTTGTTGCTAATGACATGATTCTTCCAGTCGCTCAGCCATTTCTTTGTGCTTGTTGAGTTGTATCTCGCGATTCGCCTCTACCCATCACTATCCAACTTCCGACCGACTTCACCACGACAATTCATCAAATCTAGCAGAGCAACCAAAAAGACCAACAACCATCGCAACTAACCAAAATCGAAAGACAATGTAGGACAGCAAAGCATCAGAGCTCGATAATAACTCTTGAGTTTAACACCAAGCACATTCGAGATGCTGTATACATTCTTGTTCAATTCGCCAGTCACGATCAGGGTCGTCCCCCTTACATGATTTTTGCCGCCGGTTATGTGGTCTCAACCACGTGGGACTTTTCTGAGGATGCGCATCTTGTCTTCTGAATATGTGGGATGCACTATCTATTGCTCGATCATCGAAACTGCCTGCCTTTGCGGTCAAGGCTAGATTTACGACGAGTTTGACATGCTTGCCGCAGCGCAAGTGTTTATGCTTCGGGAATGGACGTTGTCTGCGACCTCGGGCTTGTACCTTCCAGCTTTGAAATTCGGCAGCAAGCCACTCATGTTCTGCCTTTTTCTTCGTCCTGGTCTCTGCAAAGCAAACAACCCTAACCATAACCTCAAGCAGCGCGAGCCCCGAGTGCGCGCCGCGAGCTTTTGCTTGTCATACGATTATCGACCGAGTCTTCCACTGAGAATCAGCTATTCAACAGCAGCATCGACACTTACTAGAATTGGATTTCGCTCAGTCTCTTCCCGCCCATGTTCGACGAACTCCGAGTGATGTCTGGTTCGCCCAAGAACGCCAGGTTTTGGCTCCTCGACAGATGGCCAGACCAGAGTGCTTTCTTGGTGTCATTGTTGCTAATGATCATGTTCCTAGCGCGTACTCCTGCAAGATAATCAGATCTGATAGCATGGGCGAGAGACCGCTTCTATGAAGAGACCATGGCACGCAGTAATCTAACCCTGACCATAAATGCAACAACCGACCCTAACCATAGCCCGAGGGCCTCAATCACCAATCCTGACCTCGTTCTACACGATATAGCCACAAATCTTCAGCCGCGCCGCGAGCTTGTCTTACAATGCGATCGTCACCCGAATCTCCTGCACACCTACTGGATGTAAACTTCGTCAAGCTGACATTGTACCTCGGCAAGAGTCTCACTCAAGCTGTCGCTCTTGCTAGAAGGACTTCTCATTGCCTGGACGATGTTTAATACTACACCTCATTTCAGCATGAGGACCGAGGACGAGTAGGAACATGCTCGTGTCTAGTCTCAATCTCGGCCTCTTACTAGCCATATTCGACGAATACCGAGTGATCTTTGACTCGACAGAGATCGTCGGGTTTGGCTCTAGACCTGGGCAGTTTGTACAGACCAGAGTGCTCTTTTCAGTGTCGTTATAGCTGCTGATGGTGTTTAAGCTACGTATACGAAGGAACTCTGTTGATGAAGTGAAGTTGAAAAACAGACAACTTTGCAAACAATAAATCGTTTCGTATCCTTCACTAATAATTGCTACTTGCAACCTTGCCCAACGCCAGCTTCAAAAAGTGTTAACCGCACCATATCTGCAGCGAGTACTGACTGTGGCTTGCTAGTGCCATTAGCGTTGAGAATGGAAATGATATTGATGTAAGACTAGTTGTCGAATAAGTGTGGAAGGCAAGCTACTTGTGCTTGCGAATCAGGCGGTAGGCGGTTTTGAAACTCATATTCTCGATGCCGGCTCCGATGGTGGAAACATGATTGAAGAAATGGATGGACTGGAATGAGAATGAAAGGAACAGAGATGGATGTACAGTGTGCGTCTGCCATTCCGAGGCTTCTGAACGACAGAGGACTTGCACGCGACTGGCATCTGCATTTTATTCACTTGAACTTTCCTTTACATGATGCGACATGCTTTGAACGCGAGAAGTCCAAGTCTTGTACTCGATGGACAGAGTCTGATCAACCATGAGGCAAGTCAGATTGAGCTTGTGGTAGACGGCTCGACTGCCCTTTCGACCAGATTTTTGCAAACAGCTACCCTGGCGGTATCGAAGGCACGCTCTTTGCTATGCTCAATCGCTGCATCACACGCGCACCCGATCATCTCGAACCCCTCACGAGTGCCGAAGCCACCTTTCTAGACCAATGTGTCTACTGTCCCCAGCCTCGCTGTCTCGTCAACTTCAGCGAACCCGCTCCTGACGAGCGTTGAGTGCGCCGAACATTTTGCCTATGTCTACTAAGCATCTACATCTAATAGCACAACCTGTGCAACCCAATTCGTGACTACCAGTCCTGGCACGGCGTTTGCCACGAGACGAAATGTGTTATGCACGAGAATGGAGATTCTGATGTCAAATGTCATAAATCCGTTCCTGTTGTCCTGTTACATTGCATTTCGTTGCCATGTTGACGTCTGCGGACAGCGGCACCAAGCATGCTGTAACACCTTGTTGGAACGATACGGAGTGTTCACTCTTTGAGCTCCAGTCTTACAACCCAAGTCGTCGAGGTTGGTATTGGATGGCTTTGATTTACTCGTGACGCTGAAAGCATACAAATATGCATCATGGCTGATTTTTGGTGGAGGCTGAAGGCTCAAAATATACCGAATTTTCGAAACCTTGCAGCTTTGGCAACTGGATCAGAAAAGTGGTTTGGTCGATTGTGGACGCGGGCTGTTTCATGCCAACTTAGTGCGCCCGCCGAACTGCAGGGTCAGAAAGCAACACAGAACCGCTGCAAAGATGTCATACAAAATCTCGTCCAGGAGTACACGTATGAAAACGTTGTAGACATGGTATTTGTGCTTGTAGCTGATGTTCAGGAACCAAGATCTAGTGCACTGTGAGCTGATCCCCTGATCAATAGAGTGAACAAACAAAATTGAGCTGGAACAGACCTTTAATTTCGAATTGGCGCAGGAGACCCCAGGACAAGCGTTGACCACAGTGAGAGAGCCTGGAGATACTAACCTGGAAATGGATTGGTTCGTACTTTGGTGTCTCGGCTTGATCGAGTGGCTTGCAAGGGCTTGGAGAAGTGGAGACTTGTCAGTACACTAATGTGTATCAAACGGGGATTACATGGCGGGAGATCTTCTTGTGCTTGCGCACGCGTCTCGGCTGCAAGAGACTGTGATGACAACGAGGCCTTCGTCACGATCTGAATAATCTCCGTGGCGAAATAGCACACAGGCGCGCGGCTGTATCAGGTGTTGTGGTATAGAAACTTGATAGACGAGAAGGAGAACGAGGAGATGCATCCAGATGATGGTGCTATTTTGAGCGCGACCGAGTGTGCCATGATTGGTATGGCTTTCATTAGTGTCTGCGGATGGCCATGCAGGCGTCTCAGGTACTTTGTGCCAATTCGGAAAATATCGACGGTCGGAGACTTCTGGCAGCCATAGCCGGGAGGGCAATCTCTTGTTCCCCTACCTTTGCTCGCATTGTTTTCGAGTCTCGACGTCGTTCGCTGCCGCACCATCATTTCCTACCTCTTTGACGGTGCCATACTACCGCGCATTGCGAGCCTCTTGTACAAACGCGCGCGCACGACTGCCCGTTGACCTTTCGACTCTTTTCCCCCTTTCGCCAGCGCTACTCAACAACGGCTTCGCAGCCCCTCCAGCGCTCTTTCCTCAGTCCTACCTACTACTTTCTCTTTTACGATTCACTTTTGAATCGGTCTACCCTCGCTTAATCAACCACCGCTGGCCTTTTGATTGTCCTCGTCTAGACATCGCGGCTGATCAGAGTCGTCAACCTTGTTTGATCATCCTTTCACTCATTCACACCCTTCTTTATCCATTCTCTTCTCCTGCTGGCACAGCGGTATTGTCCATCAACCCTTGCCGTCGTCTTGAATCACGGTGCGCATAATTTCCACCACCCCAGGACATTACATTGTGCCTCTTGCTTTCTTTGTCGGCACGTCGATTCCTTCTTTGTTGACGAGCGCGCCGTCGTGACCGTTGACACATCGTTGTTTCCCGCCCACGCCACTCGCAAACTGCCCTTTGCGACGCCTCTTTGTCTGCCAACGCCGACCCCTTACGCTCATTTCATCACGATTGGCTTGAGGGAAAACGATGTTCTAGTGTTTCAGACACCTTCATCTTCACGTCCCCTCTATCCTCTTGTTGCCAAAACACCACGGCCGTTTGCCTGGTCTTGTTCAATATCCTGTAAGTCTCATCTGCTATTCCCATCCACCGCGACACCCTGGTCCCCCCTTGCATAGCAGCCCGGTGCTGACAGGACGTCTGCAGAATATTCTCCCTTTTTTGACCATTGTCAAGTCCACTCGTTTAAACACGCGCTTCTTACACAAGTCAGACTGCTTGCAGATCACTGCTTGTCGCGACTTATTTCCAATCGACAGCTAACCACAGCCCAACATGAGGACATCTTCTGCTGTCTGGGCCGCCGCCCTGGCAGTCATGTCTGTCCAGGGTCCTATGCTAACCACCGCCGAGGCTGCCCCCGCACCTCAGCAAGGCGCCGCCGAAGGACAACAAATGCGATACTACTTTCCTCGCCCTCTGAAAAGACAGAACGCTCTGCAAAACACGACCAGTTCTTCCACCACGTCTGCATCCTCGACCTCGGAACCCGAGCCTACCACCTCGGACCCATCTTGGTTCCAAGCATTATCTTCTCTCTTCTCCGAATCTCAGGATCCTTCTTCGACCTCTTCGTTCGATCCTGAAACCTTCTTCGCGACCACCTCATCCTCTACTGCGCTGGACGCAGCAGCGGCTGCGACCAGCGACTTGACCACCACCAACCCCGAGGATCCCGCGACTACTTCCAGCACCGCCGACAGCTTTGTAGCATCCACCGGCTCATCACCAAGTACCACGATTCTTCCCACCGCGTCTCCCGACCCGACCACATCTCAGCAGACTTCATCTCCGACCGAGAATGTTGCCAGTTCCGAGAACCAGCCCTCTACGGAGCCTCCGTCCGTGCCTACTACGACTCCTGCCACTTCTGTCGCATCCACTGGTAACGTCGCTAGTGAGACCGTGACACCGACCATCGCATCCCCTACTTCGGTCGCAACTTCTACACAGGCTGCCTCCTCAATTGCTTCTACTGGCGGCATTCCTTCGGAGATCGTTCAGCCCACACCCTCCCCATCATCCTCGACTGCAGCTCAGCAGACCTCATCGACTCCTACAGACGAGACTACTCGGAGTGTTCAATCATCCGAAGCTTCCTCTGTAGCCTCGACAGGAGAAGTTCCTTCCGAGATTGTTCAGCCGACTGCTCCTTCTTCCGAAGCCTCGGTCGCTTCAACTGGTGGTCTTCCTTCGGTGGTCGTTCAGCCCACTCCCTCGTCGGTTACCTCAACTGCACAGGCTACTGACGAGAGCGTCGAGTCTAGTGCAGCTTCGACCGTCGCCTCCACTGGAGATGTCCCTACTGAAATCGTACAGCCAACTGCACCCTCGACTCTTGAGCCTACACCTTCGACCTTTGCCTCGACTGGAGGCGTACCTACCGAGATCGTACAGCCAACTTCCAGAGAGTCATCGCTAGATGCTGTTCAGTTGACATCCAGAAGCGCATCGTCGTCTGTCGGTTCGACTGGCGTCAATGTCGTCGAGTCCGTCACGCCCACCGCTCAAAGCACACTAACCTCTCCTGGTTCGACCGGTGATGTGATCACCGAGTCAGTGACACCAACCCGTTCGGCCGATTCCACCGATACTCCTGTTATTGGCAGTACCGGTACAGCCGTCTTCGAATCCGTCGAGCCAACCGCAGCCGCGACTTCCTCTCGTATCGCTGCATCGGTGCAGCGACCTGCTTCCAGCGGCGGTGTGGTTTTCGAGTCAGTCACTCCTACTGCGTCGGCCTCTTCGGCCCAGTCAACCGACAGCGTCTTGACTGAGTCTAGCGATGAGTCCACTGGAGGTGTCAAGACGATGACTATCGTTCCCGTAGCCGCATCTACTGGTGGTACCATCCAGTCTTCTGATGAAGTGCAGCCCACTTTCTCGACAGATTCATCAGCCGCCTCTACTGGTGTTGTCGTTTCCTCTGCCGATGAGGTGCAGCCGACTCTCTCGTCGGACGTGAATCAGTCACCAGTCGCCTCTACTGGAGTTGCCATTTCTTCCGCCGATGAGGTGCAGCCTACCGCAACCACACAAGGAACCAGCAGTGCTGCATCTACTGGCGGCATCCCGGAAATTGTCATTCTTCCTACACCATCTTCGACCAGCGGTTTCCAATCATCAGACTCGAGCACTGATGGTAACATTATTGTTGGCCTTTCCACTTTCCTCAACGGAGGCTCTTCTACCACACCTACCGCAGCTCCGGCTTCTGCAACTGTCGGAAGCGAGTCGAGCACTGCTGCTACCCAGCCTGACCAGTCTGATGCCAACAACGCTACTGAAATCTCGACTGCCTCGACTGCCTCGACTAACCCCTTCCCTCTCTTCGCCACAACCACTGACGATTCTACCGAGGCATTGTCTACCGGTACCGCTTCGGCTGAGAGCTCCACTACACCCATCATTCCTCTGCCTGTCAGCGCTACCGCTACCGGTATTACCGATGTCTTGTCGAGCATCGTTTCCTCAGCCCAGGCAGCCCTTGAGACGGACATCTCTTCTCTGGCTTCTGCTGATTCGACTGGTGCCACCCAGACTTCATCTGATAGACCTACCACAACTGGACTCTTTACTGGCGCTCTGTCGAGCATCGCTTCTTCGCTGAACTCGGAACTTTCCAGCGTCGTGGGCATCGTTACCGATAGTGCCATCTCTTCGTCCTTGGCCTCGGACTTTTCGAGCCTCCTCTCAAGCGCTTCTGCTTCACTTGCATCCGGTATCAGTCCCTCGGCAACTTTGACGGATGCCACTGCAACCTCGACTGGCACGCCCGACAACACTACCGAAGCCATTCCTGGATCCATTACAGAGACGAGCTCCTTGCCCACTGCCACAGCTACCGATAGCACTGTATCTGGTACTAGTGCTTTGGCCTCGTCCCAGATCACTGCCTCCGTCACAGATAGTGCAAATGCCACCGAGATTGCTGCAACCACCCCGGCTACCACTGAAATTGTCCCTTCGCAGACAGAGAGCAACACCACTCCTATGGATATCACGGCCAGCGCCACGACAACATCGGCCATCTCGTCTGAAGCCACCAGCGATGTCTCCGCTACGTCCACTGACAGCAGCATCCCGAGCACTATTGCCACCAGCGATGCTTTGACAACCTCGACCCCTGGTACTCTTATTTCGGTCCCAGCAAACAGCACTCTGGTATCATCCGCTACCGACACCAGTCTGACCTCGGCGACCGCCATTGACAACACCACCTCTGAGCCTTCTCCAACTGCAAGTCCTGCTTCGTCTGCAGAAAGCGCCGTAGTAAGCAGTGAAACCACTCTCTCTGGAACTTCCGCCGCATCTGGTGTCGCACCTACGATAACCTCGTTCACCGCCTCCACTTCTGGTACACTCATAGTCCCTGTTCCGGTCACCACCCCTCCATCTTCTCTTCTGTCGTCCATTTCTTCTGCTCAGTCGTCAATCGCCTCTTCGGTCTCTGCATCGCTCTCCTCTGTCGAGTCGTCTCTTGCTGCATCCGCATCGCAAGCATCCAACACTCCTTCCTTCTTGCCCAACAACGCCACCATGACCACTTCTGCGGCGATCGGCATCACGACATCCGTTCCTTTGTCTAGTGGAACGACTATTGATCTGTCTTCAGGCACTGATGCCAGCAGCGCCACAGCCACTTCGGACATCAGCTCTACCGCAACTTCCGCAGTCTCAAGCGATGCCTCGATCACAGCCACTTCTTCAGAGGCTACTGCAGTATCGGCCACCGCCGAGAGCAGTGCATCTTCCACCCTCTCGAGTGCCACTTCGACCGATGATACCACCGTTCCTATCGGATTCGCTTCCAGCACCGAAGCATCGTCTCCTCCATTGACATCGGTCGTTTCGACTACTCCTGCATCGCCTGCCCCCACTGCCGCATCCACCTCTCTTGCATTTGAGCCATCGACCACCACTGCTCCTACCAGCATCGTGCCCATTGGAACCAACACTTACTCATCTATGCCCATAGATACTAGCATCTTGTACCAGCCTTCCGAAACAGCATCTACAGCTACTGCTTCCAAGGCATCCGGTATTCCCACGTCGATGCCTCGTGTCATTCAGCCTCCAGGTGGCATGCCTTCGGCTCCCGAAAACACTACTTTGATCCAAGTCGGTTTCACGTACGGCCTGAACTATCCATTTGTGGTCTCTACCGGTGGCTCTGCCAATCAAATCTTCCAATACCTTCCCGCCGGTCTCGCCTATGGACTCAACGTTGATGCAGCTGAGGTCAAGATGTACGCATTGCAGCCTTATGACACTACCGATTCATTACACTACATCACCACCTTGGCCCTGGTCTATGTTCCATCCGCAGCGGTCAACCAGTTGCAGCTTGATCTACACACTTCGGTCGCTACTATGTACAACAACCCTGACGCATCCACCAAGACCTTGATGAGTATGATCAACCCTGCCATTCCCATGATTCCTGGTACCAGTGGCAAGAACAACAACCAAGGATATGCAAGCAACAACCCATCCGGCTCAGGTACTACCTCTGATAGCAACGGCGCACCACTTGGTGGTGACTCGAGCAGTTCCTCGCCAGTCAATGGTACTTCTGTTGGTATTGGTGTTGGTGCTGTCGCCGGTGCTGCCGTGTATGCTGCAGCCATGGTCTACGTCGCTCGTCGCTACAAGAAGAAGCGTGCTTCGCATGCTCGCAGCAACAGCATGCCTTATACCGATGAACGTGGTGAGATGAGTCAGCGCAACAGTGCAGCAAACTACTTCATGTCTGGAGGTCGCGGTCGTGTGACTCCTACCAGCGGTAGAGGAAGTCGCCAGAGTGGAAGCAGTGCCAATGGACGTAGCGTTAGAGAACAAGGCATCAGTGCCCCTGTCCTGGCAGGAAACTCTCTCGGTTGGACCTAGATGATGATGCTGTTAGACCTTTGACGAATTCAAGGACAAAGAATCATGTGCGATTTACTTTTTCTCTTAAACAAACTTTCTGTTTTCTTTTCTTTTTCCCTTTTTCTTCGTTCCAGCTTTCGTCTCCAATAAAGCGTGTTTGTTGTTGTTGTTTGTTCAAAAAAGATTCGAAAATTCTTTCACTTCTTGTAGATTAGCTTTCGCACCGAACTCTGGTCAACCTCTTTTCAGTCAGAATAAATGCAATCCTTTGGATGCTATATCATAGAATTTCAATTTTCTAAAGTATGTCCGAGCAGACTGAGCAATGATTAAATGTTAAATGTTAGTATATGTACAAGAATCCGGAAACAGAAGAAATCAAGTCCTGGCGGGACAGCTCCGCCTGTCCAGCAGATGGTCAATCCGAGGTATGAGGTCGGCGATTCGGAAAGGCTTTGCTATCGTATCGTCCATACCAGCAACTATGGCGTCATTGGTTTGTTCGGGTCTGGCATTTGCGCTGATGGCGATGATGGGAAGCCTGCTGTAAAATGTGTTGCCGTCCTCGGTATTGCTTGAACTCCAGTTGCTCTTGCTGGAATTGCAGCTGCTTCCCCTTGTCCTCGATAGTTTTGGCCTAGGTCTGATGCTACCATCGACGTCGCTGCTGGCAGAGCCGCTTCGCCTTTCCCATTCTCTAATCTTTCTTGCCGCGGTCAGGCCATCCATGATGGGCATTTCCACGTCCATCAAGATGCAGTCGATCTGTACGGTTTGTGTTGGGTCTGTAAGGAGGTCGAGTGCCTCTTGGCCGTTGTTGGCCACTTGAACATCATATCCGTGCTTAATCAGCTGCTTCTTAAGCACTCTTTGATTCAGAGCGTTGTCTGTTCGTGATTAGTTTGTGTATCGAGTCAAAGTCAATTCTGACGCACCTTCGACTACAAGTAGTCTTGTCTTTCTGCATGGCTCCGGTGTTTCTGTCACCTGTATGTGTATAGCAGAGTCGGCCGTGGACTGTTGGCTCGAGATCGAGTCCACATCTGAGATTTGCTGAATGAGTGGTGCATTGACAAAGAATGCAAACGTGGCTCCCTCTCCAAGCTCAGATGAGACGCCAACTTGTCCGTTCATCAACTCGACAAGTTGTCTTGAAATGAACAATCCCAGGCCACTGCCCCCGTACTGGCTATAAGTCTTTCTAGAGCCTTGAGCAAACTGTGTAAATGTTAGCGTCCATATACATCTGATTGAGGAATGCGATCTGTAGATTTACCCGGGTGAAAATGCGTGCTTTTTCCTCGGCAGACAAGCCCCGACCCGAATCTTTGACTGTGAACCAAAGATAGAATTCGTCCTGGCTTCCAGACGTGTCATATATCGACTCTTGACTGTGGAACGAATCGACGGGCAAGTCCAATGGCCTAACATCGGAAGCACCCATAACGACTGTTATCCGACGAGGACCTGGCTCGTTCTTCGTGAATTTGATGGCATTTGAGACCAAATTTATAAGGACTTGTAGAATTCTCCCAGAGTCCAGATTGACCTGGCCCACATTGTGATCAGAGATTGAAGCATCAACAACAATCTCCAACGTGACACCGACTCTTTTGGCTTCAGTCTCAAACATTTTTCGAATGTTTTCGAGCAGACTCGTGGCGAGAACTGGCGAAGGGTTTATCTGAAGCAGCTGGGAATCGAGTTTTGATAGCGAAAGAATGTCCGAAATCAGGCGCCGTTGGTGATCGCTGCATGTCGATATGGTCTCGACAGACTCGTTGCTGCTTGATAGATGGTCAAGCAGGATGTCGATCCTTTCATCCATAACGAATGAGCCTTTTGTGTTGAATGAAGCGAGGCTCTTGACCAGTTTACGCATCTCGGTGAGATTTTCGTGGATCGAATCGGTACAATGGATGACACTAAATTTCGTTAGCTGCGTTCTCCCAGATATGCGATAGAACGACTCACGCTGATAGGGGATTCCGGATCTCGTGGCAGACTGTATCGTAGAACATCTCTTGGTTCTTTCGTGCTTCGAGCGCCTCTTCCATCCGCTCTCGCTGAATCCTGGCTTGATGCCGTAGATGAGAGACATCCATAGAGAAGCCAACAACCCTGATGACCCTGCCAGTGTCATCGCATTCGGGTAGTGCAGTGATCATTAGTTCGGCGGGCCCTCGGGCTTCACCATCGGCATCGTACCAAAGTCTTTTGAGTCGCAGATTGTAGACCACTTGTTCTCCACGCAGCATTGCCTGAGATTCGTTAGCAAGATGCCTTGGAATATGCACAGTCCTCGACTCACCTGCCAGCCTTCGTCTGCAACGTCTAGATCATCCTCATGTAGCACAGAGTTCCAGTCGATCTGGTCTAGCGGTACTCGAGCATGTTGTGAAAGCTGCCACCACGTCTCGTTGACATATTGTACTCCCTTTGTTACATCAGCTACCATACATCCGAAAGGCGCTGAAGGTACAATTAGCAGAGTTTGGTGAGAGAAGATGTGGTACAGATTCAGCGAGTGAGCCTGCAAGTTAAGCTCGACATCAACAGGATGGCGTCCTGGACGCCGTCTCATCGCTGTCACCCAAACATTGCGGACTGGCTCGCCGAAACTGTACCGTCAGCTTACTTACCAACCTCCATGCATCGCTTAAACCTCTCTTCACTGACCCTGGCTTGTTCCAATGCTTCAGCCCGATCGAGAGCAATCTTCTCGCTTCTCTTCTGAGTCGAGATGTCAGTCACGGCACCGATGATCGAGGTGACGTTCCCGTTGGCGTCCTTTACAGGCTGACAGGCCACAAGAGCCCATTGACCTTGTTCTGTGTCGTTGCGATACCTCAATTCGAATTTTTGCCAATGACCGTTGATCATCATGTGCCATGCATTCGCAACCATATCAACGTCTGCTGGATGAATGAGGTCGAGGAACTTGTGTTTGAAGTCGGTTGGACAGTCCCGAGGATATCCGCTCAAGCGATAATAACACTCATTCGCTCGCACTAACTCTCCCGTGCTCTTGTACTCGAAGAATCCTATGCTGCTCGACGTCAGTATGCGATCAAGAATACCTCTAGCGAGAACAAAAGGCGAGACTCACTCAACCTCGTCAATCACAGTAAGAACCTTTACGGCCAAGGTAGTCGCCATTTCCGCTTCCTGTTGACGAAGAGCAAGTTCCTTGGCCAGCAGGTCCTTTTCCAATTGGTTCTGCCGAGCACTCTCCTTTCTTCGATATTTTGCCTCAATGGTTGCCACCAACGTATTTACGACATGTGCAAACTCACTTTGCAACTGCGTAAGGTGTTGGTGATGAGGTTCATCGAGAAGTGCTCTGGTCGGTAGTCCAATGATGAGTAAGGCCTCCACATCTTGAAATCGTGAAAGACTACTCGGAAGGACGGCTGCTTCTGTGCAGATGTCGCCAGTGCCACGTTGTAGTGCACCCCTGGCCCATTCATCAGGCAAACAGTTGATGATGACTTTGTCTTTCGACAAGACGGCTTGTCGGAGAGGTTCCATGCTCGTGTCTGTCGTGGCCATATCAAATGTAGGCGGCAGAGTGCCGTCCTCAAAGTCGCCAATGGAACCTTCGAGATGATACACTCTCTTCTCGAAGCCTTCGTCTTGTTGACAACACGAGACTGGAGATGTCCTTGTAGAATAGATGGCCGCAATAGGAAAATCCTCAGGATTCTTAGAAAGACTTTGCAGAACGAGATGCCACAACGAGGGCAGGTCGGTCGCCGAACCCCAGGCTTTCGATAGGTCCCGCACGGTCGAACGTCTTCGCTCACGCAAATCGCAATCTGTAGTCTCTTCAAAGCACAGATGGAAGCCTTTCAAAGGCGGCGGTAGTGCTGCAATGTTGAGCTTCAGATGAACGTTTTCCATGCGTCCATGGTTCAGCATGGGTACGACAAAGGATGAATAGGCGTGAGTAGGCACTGAACCAGCAGCGCCTCGTCTGTGTGCAGCCATCTGGGCTCCGTAACTTTGCCATTCTCGTACACTGTCGAGAGGTTGGCCGAAGATTCTGGGGTGGAGATCTCGAACGGTTTTGCCATAAGCTTGGTTGTACAACAGTACGTTCTCTTGACCCACTACCAAGGTTTGTGGACTGGGTGCCACCATCAGAAGGTAGAGGATTGTTGACATTTCTCGAGGCCAGGATGACATGGGGCCGACCGAGTATTGTTTCCAATCGATGGCTCGTAGTAGGTTCAGATGTGTGTTCATCGAATCGTTTCCATTCTCGAGCAGTTGTAATGTTGATTCGACATGGTTGTGTTCCATGGCGAATTGACGATCGACAGGTGGAGTGTTGACAGAAGAAAAAGAGCGCTGAGGCAGTCCTTTGGTTATAATTTTGGATGGCGATGCAGTGTCCTCTCCAGAGATGTGGTTTGTAGATAGTTCTGTAGACAGAGGATTAGAAGTTTAAAGATCAGAGGCTCAAAGGTCAGAAGTGCCAGATGAGGGTGGAACAATGGGTGAATGGATGATTTTGTTTGGGGGACATGTTCTAGACGTCGGTTTCAGCGGCCGACTATACTTGGAACTGTTGCATAACGGATATTGGCTTCATCCTAGATCGGATTGGCCAAGACAGCATTGAGGCTCTAGACGTGAAAGATGAATGGCATTTGATTGCCAGCTCACATGGATATTGGCTACTGTTGGCAATACTCTTGGGCACGGAAGATAGTCAGTCGCTCTGGAGTCTTTGCACGGATGGAGGGAGTGTCCATGATGCATGTGATGACGGGCAATATGTAGAAGCTGACCACAGAATGCCGACTTGAAACATCGCAGAGTGCAATGGCGATGGCAGGTTTGTGGATGCATTTTACGAAGTACAGCGGTAGATTGTGGAGGCCATGTTTGGATGACAGGCGCGATGGAATGTTCGACGCATTGCAGAGCGGGCGGGGTCTTGGCAAGCAAGACGCGAAACGTCATAAGCAACGCGTTGGTACAGAAGTTGAAGCTTCGTTCAATCTTGACAGCTTCTACAACAAAAGTCGACCATCAACATCAATGGCTTACAGACGCTACGAACCGACCGTCGTCGCCTCGACGCCTCTCGTCGATGCAGACGCCTTTCGCGCGCCATCTGAGCGCACCGCCATGGTTGCCTCATCGCCATCTCCTCTGGACAACGCGCGTGAGAAGCATGCCTCGCGCCGTCTGCCCACCTGGTTCGCCTACCCTCTGTCCATCATCCTGAGCCCCGCTCTCAGCGCTCTGCTGTACAGCTTTGTACCAGACATCATGGGCGCTCCTCTCGCTGCCGTGAGCCGCAGCTTGAATGAGGAATGGCAGATTGGTGCTCTGCTTGCTTGGAGACTGCTGGAGATCACTCTTGCTTGGTCCACTGGCCTCGATCGTCAGTATACGCGTCGCTCAATTCTTATATTCCGATCACTGACTCAACTCTCCCAGACTTCGACTTTGTTCAACTCGCCGGCATGGCCAACGCGCCCTACTACACCCTGTTGTACCTCTTCTATGGCATTGGCTTCGAGCCTCTTGCTCTGGCCCTGGTCATTGACATGTTCTCGCTTTGGTTCCCCTTCTGGCTGTTGCGCCCCCTCAACTACCACAACAACCTGCGCACCTTGACTACTCCCGGCACTACAAAGGATCTGGCTGTCGACAAGACCGTCCAGATGTACATGACCGCTTTCGCTGCCTCCATCTATGCCACCATTGTCTATCTCAGTCTTGTCTCGTGGTTACCCGTCTTTTTGATCAACTCATTTGACGAGGTCCTCACCCTCGACTTTGCCCACAACGCCGTCTTCCCTGTCGTCTTCGCTGCATGCTTGCCCATCGGTTGGGCCGCCAAGGACTTCCTCTTCAGCACTTCCATCGTCTACGCTCGCGCATCGCCCGCCGAGTACAAGCGCTTCGACCCCAAGACCGCCTCTCTTGCCGACACTGTCATGTGGAACATGGGCGTTGATCAGTACTCTAGCAGAGAAAGCGTCCTTTTCAGACGTACCTTCTTGCTCGCTGCCTTCACTGCTGTCCACTCGTTCATCAGAGTCTTTGCTACTGTCGAAGGTGCCACAATCTACGGAGCCGCTGGCTGGTCTGCCCTGTGGAGTGTCGCTGCTCTTGCAGCTGGCACAGGCTTCCTCTACGTTGGAGACTCTTGAGCAAATGGGTCATGTCAACCAACCACGCTTCATCAATACATGTGCTACTGAGACTCCGTTCTGCGAGGAAATGCGCACCTTGCCTGTATTTGCTCGCTTTGATCTTAACCTTTGATCATGAGTTTCCAGTACAAACCCTGACTCGACTCTGCCAAGCGCCCGGCACCAGACAAGGCTTCTTGTCGGGTTTTCATTCAAGTTGATCAGAGACGGGATGGCGCTCCCTATGCTAGTCAATGTACAAGAATAATATAGCAACGAACAAGACCGAAGTCCAAACTCAGTTCACAACCCAAAGGCCTCGACATGCAACCAGATGTCTCGCTTGTCAACCCATCTACCACACTTCCTCCTAACCTCATCCGCCATTGATCTTGGTCCACAGACGATCACTGCAACCTTTGTGTCTTCCCGTGTCTGCTTGAACACCCCATCCACCATCTCGCCCAAATCAGGTCGACCGGGGTGTATTTGCCATTTTTGCACAAAGTCATCGATGCCTCCACTAGGAAGTAATCGTTCGAGTTCGATTCCCTCGTCCACGTTGTCTGCGTCTGGCTTCTCGCTATCCAGTCTGCCGCTCCTGGTGGCGTATACAGTCATACGCTCCTGCATGCCTTTGTATTCCTGTTCGTCTTCTGGCACTGCCCAGGTTGTTTCTGCTTCATCTCTGACTACCCAGACAAATGCAACGTTTTGCCTTCGGCGGCTTCCAGGGCTCGGTGAAAGATCTTGGAGCAGTGTTCTGTACATAGGCACTACGAAAGTAGCACCTACGCCACCAGCTATGAACAGGACACGGTTGTACTGAAGCAGTGTGTTTGCATATGTCGACAAGCCATATGGTCCTTCGAGGATAAGTGGGATGGAAGTAGCTTTCCCAGTCGCGCCTTCTGTTGCAGCTTTTGCGAGCGCGGCCGTGTTTCCATCCAAGATCCTGGCCACCAATTTGAGATTGCCATCTTCGGATGGAAGTGAGGCAATTGTGAACGGACTCCTGGATTTGAGTGAGCGCATGTAGACCGGGCCATGCGCCAAAGAAACATAGACATGTTGACCTGGTTGCCATTGCATGATTGATCTTTGCTTCGTAATCGGGATGTTAATCTCTAGGAGATTTGTTGTTCCAGGAACTAAGGTCAGTGAACCCTCCACTTTATATTCATTGAATACGCGTAGCGCTAGATGCACGGCATATACGATCAATGTCTCGATAATGTAGACCCGGATGTGGTGGACGTGGAAGTACAGAACAGGAAGCAAGACGCTAGCCAGAGTAACGTGAGTGGTGTAGAACACGCGGTAACTCAACTTTCGAATCCATGAAAGTGCAGTCGTGCCTACAGCTGTGAATGCAATGGTTCCAACAATACCGAGAATGACGTCCCAGTCCTTGATGCGTTTTGCCAAAACATGCGCTTGGATGAAAAAGTTCAAGTAGAAGCCTGCATGTAGATAGAACAAGATTGTCGAGACGCGGCCCAAGATCTGATGTGCTGCATTCAAAGTCTCCCAGGAACATTTGGTGAGTTGTTGGACAGGGCTGAATGGCGACTTGAAGGCAAGAAGATACTGTAACGGCAGCTGTGAAGCGCCTACAATGCCAAATCGCTTGGTCAAGTGTAAATAGTCTGTTCAATATTCAGCGACTGCAGGTGCTCTGAGACGTGGTCAAAACGTACCACCTTGTGTTTGTACACAACTCAAGAAGATCAACCATGCTGTCCACACCGATCCTGACAATATCTCTCCTTTGGTTATCCGAGACCCGAAAATGTCAACCGTATCACTCGTCCACCATAATGCCACTTGCCAAAGGCTCTGAAGCTTCGTTAGTGGTCCGTTGAATGCATCCGATCGCTGCTTCTTTAATTGAGGTGAGCTTGGTATGGCATCCGCCCCATGCTTCCTCAACCATCTTTGTCGGAACCAAGTGGCAACAAAGTAGATCTGGAGAAGAACGAGAGGGATCAAAGCAGAAACCTGAGCCAGTGAGCCATAGAGGTCTAATAGTCGGCGTCGTTCGAGCTTCTGTTCATGATTTAGATCAAGGAAGTGCCACATGTCGCGCAAGCTCTCCGATATGACTAGCGAAGCAGTGTATATGTCAAACGGGACTGAATTCAGACAATCAAGTTATCGCAGATACATGATGCGGGCATGTTCGCGATTCTGGGTCAGCAGCTGACGAAATCGGTGGCTGGCTAATTCGGACTTTCGGCTTTGGGAACTCGGCCGACTATTCGAACCCTGTTCGCTGCCTGTCCAGCTCTTCTCACCACCAACCACCATGGTATGGGCTCGTAGACGTGAATAGACGATACAGTTACGGTCAGGGAGCATCATCTCTGCTCATTAGCGTACTATGAATTGTCATCGTGAGAACACGCACCCTCAAGAACAACTTCGCAGCTTTTGCCAATGCTTCTGCACATTTTCACTTTGTATATCAAAGACGCCAAGCTTATCCTGCCTGTCAAGCACTTCAAGTACGGTATGCATGATAGACGAACGTTGTTGAAAGCGAGATAGTAATACAAGTTTGGGCAAGTGTATGTTAAGGCATGAGCGGCGATGTAAAGAACCCAAAAACAAAAGCTTTTCTTTTGTACAGACCCAACGCCAGAGAGGGTATGTATGACATGACATCCATGCTGAAAACAGAGAAACAAAAATTACAGGTGGCTCATGGCCGAATGTTTGAAAGAGCCTCCAATGATTATAGTGACTCTTGCAAACTATACATGTACGAAATTTACACCCGTTTAGGATCTTCCCTGTCTTCTCTTGGGGTTAGTCTGCTTCTTCTTTGGTGTAGTCTTGCTACCGTCACCGTTAATGTACTTCAACAGCTCATCAACGCTTCTGTTGTCGTTTGTGCCGTCGTCGGCTCTGGGAGCAGCGACCTCCTCAATGCTCTGACCAATCGAGGGCTGAGGTCTAGCACCTCTACCGACCATGGGAGCCTTGGGTCTCAACATGATCTTCTTGTCCTGGAGTACCTTGGCATGCTTTGCGAGCGAAACAGCACTCTGAGTAAGTTGCTCGAGCCATGTCTCGGCCTCCTTGGTGTTACGGTCATCGGGGCCCAACTCGTTCTTAAAGATGTTGAAGGCCTCGCGCATGCGGTTGACAGCGCTCTTGTAGTCGCGATCGAGAGCAAATGCCTGGGCGAGCTGGAAGAGCAAAGTAGCAGTGCTGACAGATGTCTTGCCAGAAACCTCCTCGGACATGGCAAGAGAAGATTCAAACCATAGACGAGACTCGTGGTACTGCTTCATGCTTTGCAACATGACGGCAGCATTGTTAATGGTGGTGATGGAGTCAGGGTGCTTGGTACCGTAGACGACCTTCCACAAGTCAAGAGCATGACGAATGTATGCGAGAGCATTCTTGGTGTTGCCACTTGCGTGCTCGAACAGACTCAAGTTGAGGTAGCTGAGGACAGTCTCGGAGTGGTCAACACCAAGAGTGCGCTCAGAGATAATGGCGGCCTTGCGGGCGAGCTCAACGGCGGCAGTCTTCTCATCCAGACCATAGTAGATGGTTGACAGGGCATAGTAAACACGTGCGACCTCTGGGTGCAAGATACCGTAGATCTGCTCGTGCAGAGACAGGGATTCAAGGAGCAGCTCCTGGCCGAGCTCCTTCTGGTCCTGCGAGAGCGAGATGCGGCCGGCCTCAAGTGCTTCCTCAGCCAAGACACTACGGGGTGCTGCATCCTTGATGATGGGAACGATGTTGAGTACATCATCAGGGTGGAAGGTCTGGGCAGGAGCAGAGGCAGCGGCGGCAGGGGCTGGCGAGCGCTCAACATTGTTCTTGTTCTTCTTACCCTTCTTTCCACCAGAAGTTCCGTTGGTCGCGGGTGCGGGTGTCTGGACGGGCGCCGGGGCAGGAGCATCATCCTTGGTGAAACCGTACTGCTTGGCCTGAAGCTGGAGACCTTGCTTGAGACAGACCTCACGGAGGAGTTGGACCTGCTTACCAGGCTGCACCCAAGCATCGCCAAGGTCGAATCTGTAGCGCTTTTGGATCTCGCTGATAACATCGGCCTTGATGGACTCGGGTGTGGCAGCCTCGAAGGAAAAGTCCTCCTCAGGGTACAGAGACTTGAGAGATGCGTCAGTCTCTGCTGTGGGCTTGGCATTCAGCTCAGCGCCCAACAGGCAGTTGAGCAAATGAGCAATGCAAGCCTGAACAAAGGGTGGCGACTGGTATCTGAGGTATTTGCTGGAAGTGTGCTTGAATGCTCTGGCAATCATCTCCTGAATTGCAAGCTGCTTGAGTGCCTGCAGGCGAGGTTGGTCGGGTTTATCGGCAAGACGAGCAATTTCGCCGAGGTATCTCATGTTGATACCACGCTTGTGAAGCAGGTTGGTGAGCGATTGACCGTCCATTGGGAAGCCGACATCGCCATCCTGCAAGTCAGAAATCATCTTGGGGATGATGTCTTCTGAAAGGTACTTGCAGGCTGTGCGAACCTCGACCTCATCCTTGGACCATTCCTCCTTTTCTTCCTCAGTCTGAGGACGCTGACCGCAGAAGACGTCGGGGTTGAGGCTGAACTGGAATCCAGAAACATCGACACGCTCTTGGTCAGGCTCCTTCTTCTCAGCGCCTTCGGTCTCACCTTCAGGAGCAGCCTCCTTCTTGGCCTCGCGACGCTTTTGAACTTCAGCTTGAACATACTCGCGCAGCTTGGTCCTCCAGTATGATTCAACCAGCTCGGGGCGGAGGACAGCCATTCTGTGAGGGTAGTTGTCTTCGTCGCTCGAGTTCTCCTTGCGATACTTTTCGAGCCAAGCAACATCCAGGGGAGTGATGCGGTACAAGTCGAGAATGTACTTTCTGCCGTCAGTTCCGAGCAAGCCCTTGGTCTCAACACTGGCTTCGAGATCATGTCTCTTGTTCTCCTTATCCCAAACGGGGTGGCTCTTGACGCGCAAGGCCTTGCTGAGCTCAGCGAATGGCTGCTTGAAGTCGTCATTCTCAGCAATAACATCTCTTCCCTCAACACCGCCGTAGTCAATCTGGTGCTCACCAGGCTCTCTCTGCTTGAAGATACCAGGTACGATACTCTGACCCACCAGACGCTTGCCAAGGTAGTCGACGACAACAGTTCCAGGGGTAAAGATGCCAGAAATGTCGAGCTGGTTAGTAGCCTTGACGCCCATGATATCCTTGCCAGTAGCGACGCGAGCAGCCTCGTCGCCACCATCGGCAGCAAAAGTACCTACGCCATCGGCACCGAAAGAATAGAAGACATTGTTGTACACAAAAATTTGGGCGTCGCGAGGCTCGGTGGGGTTGAGAGGAGCAACCTCACCGCGAGCAACGAGAACAGCGCCTCTAACAGCAGCCTCGTTGTACTCGGCAAAGAGCTTTGCGGTAAGTCTCTCTCTGAAGACACGATCTTGGACGTTTTCCTTGGGAAGCTCGCGAGTTGATTGAAATTCTTCGTTCCAGTCGCGGAGAGTCTCGGCATTCTCGGGACCAGCAAGGAGATAGCTTTCCTGAGTACGGGCAGCATCCGCAACATGGCTTGCTAGAGAAGCCGAGTGAGGAGAGACGAGCCACGGGCTAGCGGGAACAGCATTGGCGAGCTGGAAAGCGGCCAGGGGATCACGCTGGCCGTTGTATTCTTGCAGACTGCGGAAGGCATCGTTGAAGGAGGGCGAGACTTGGCCGAAGAGGGTGAGGAGCGAGTGCGCAGAGTGAGGCTTTGGGGCGGTGCGAGGGAAGGGATCGAACTTGTTGTTTGTCGACTTGTTGACGAAGAAACCGGAGACGTGCGAGGTGATGTGAAACTGCTCGCCCTCTAGGGTAGTAACGAGCAAGTACATGAGGTGGCCCTTTTGGCGGAGATGGTAAGGGGCAGGATTCCAGGCAGACAAGGACAAGGACTTGACCGTCTTGGGCGCGTTCGCAGGCGAGGGCGAGAGGAGGGTCTTGACAGAACCGCGGGCGTCGAGGTCGTAATCAACCATGGCGTGCTCGCTAGCAGGAGCCTCGGGCTGATCGGCAGGAGTAGGCTTGATGATGTGGTCGTGTAGCGAGAGACCAGCATCAATGCCGTGCAGGAGGTCGGTACGATCGCCCGAGGCACCGATCAGCTCGCGGATGCGCACAAAGTGCATGCGGGCCTGTGTCTCGGTGTAGGGATCCTCGACGAGATGGAGCTCTGGATCTTGCTGGATGTCGGGGACTTCGGAGAGCTCGACAAAGTCATTGATACGCTTGCCCTTGTGCTCGAGGTGGAAGCACGTGTACTGGAAGGTGAAAGGGAGGTCGATGATGGATTGGCGAATATCCTGGACTTGCTCGAGGTGGCTGACCATGATTTGGCATTGACCCTAGTGTCCCTTGTCAGATGTGTCGTGTGAGCAGAGTTGGCGACCGTCTTACAGGAGCGTGCGGTAGGTGAATGGTGAGCTGGAAGACATTCTCGACTGCTTGTTCCTGCTCTTGGTCGACCTGCTGGCCGTCCTGGGCCGCGGGCTGCTCTACTCCATTGGTCTGAGAGTCTGTGCCGTTGCCGTTGCTCTGCACATCTGTATGGCCAGCATCAGTCTCAAGCACACTTCGCAGTTGGATGTGGTCATGTTGCCTACCTTGAGCTTGCGGCTCGCTGTCTGCAGCCATGCTTCAGCCAAACTTTTGGGAAAGGGAAACGGAACAAGGGGGAACAAAGAGCAAACTTGCGCGCAATGTCCAAGGATAGAATGGAAGGGAAAAAACGAGTATAATACAAGAAGGTATATGCTACACGAGCTGTGGTCTAAAAGTGCAATGGCCAAATCTTTGTCCACCAAAGGCGAGGCCGCACAAAACTTCGGCAACTTCCTCGGTTGAAGTCGGAGCTTCCGTCAGTCCCTCGCACGTCCCGCATATATATGACACCCACTTGTGCGCCAGCAACGTCTCGCCGCCTTCGCTTCTAGTGATAGAGGACATACGCGAAGCAGGCAGAGTTGTCGTTCCGGGTCTCTGACTTGGCCAAGTAGCTAGCATTCAGATATCCTGTTAGCAGAGCAAAGCAATAGTAGACATATTCGAGGATTTTGCCAAGCAGAAGCCGTTGTGTGTCTTTACTCCAGGTGTTTCGTCTGTCTACTGACTCAAAACGCGTTCCTTCCACGCCGCTGTCGCTCTCTCGATTAAACTGGTCGTCTGACGTTAAACGACCATGTCGTCCTTGCGACCACTCGTTTTGCAGAATTTTACGAAAGCGTCGTCCGCTCTGCATCTACGAGTCCGTCCTCGGACAATTCCCCAGACACATCTGTTGCGTCGTGCTCGTGCATTTACTTCCATACCGGGCATACCAACGCCTGAAGAAGATGATGATGATGGCGCCAAAGGCAAGAAACCTGGAGATGACGAAAGCAGATGGAATCCCATTTTCTGGAAGTCTCTCGAGTCTACATTTACTACACTCGCATCGGTGACCGTTCTTGGGTATGCATACTTTATGTGCAATTGGTTGATCTTGTCTGACTCAATACCCACAGACTCATTGGATACTCGTATACGCGCTACTACAAGGCTTTGATTTTGAGAAAGATGGAACACGCCTTTGCGCCTGGTTTGATTCATGCATAGGCACTCAATCTGCTGCAGAGCTAATACGAATGTAGGTGACCCAGTCCTAGAACTTGCTGCCATGTCCAAGAGCGAAGATGGCCATCGCGAGCACTGGATTCTCCGTGATGAGCAAACCAAACTTGACGCCATCGTTCGTGGTGAGCTCAAAGGACAATACTATCTGATTGTGGGCGAAAAAGGGACCGGCAAGAGTTCCATGCTCATCGATGCCATGTCGAAGATTGACGGTGAAGGTGTTGCCATGTTTGATGCTCACTCTGATCTCGAAATCTTTCGCGTACGCCTGGGAAAAGCCCTCGATTTTGAGTATCACGAAGACAACATTGGGTCTCTCTTCTCCATTCGTGGACCGCGTGATGCTTCTGCATTGCTCGATATAGAGAGAGCATTCAACAAACTGGAAAAGGTAGCACTACGCCGAAGGGCAACTGTCGGACGACCACTTATTATGATCATCAACAACATGCATCTGTTGCGAGACGATGAAGATGGACGTGATCTCCTCGAATTGCTACAGCAGAGGGCTGGTTCGTCGTCACCAAAAACCTTGATGGATTCAATCACTGACCTTTTCTCAAGAACAATGGGCCGCCAGCAATCTGGCCACTATAATCTTCAACAGCGATGACTACTGGGTCTACGAACGACTAAAGCAGCTGGCGACCCGTATGGTTATTATGCCGGTTCCCGACTTGCCTCGGGACAAAGCCATGATGGCCTTGAGCAACTACCGAGCAAGATACCACAGTGACAAACCTCTAGACTCGGCAATTCTGGAACAGGTCTATCAGAAAGTTGGGGGTAGACTTGCTTTCCTCAATCGCGTCGCAAAGTCTCCTGACATGCTTCAGACGTGTGAAGATATCTGTCGGTCAGAAAAGACCTGGCTTCTGTCACAGACTTGGATCCTTGGCGAGGAGATGGATGATGATGTGATGGATCAACAAAAATATGCCGTAGGTCCCTAATCTTGCTTGATGCAAGCGTCGCTGACAGTGAACCAGTCAGCTGCAATGGTATTGGCAAAAGCACTGGTAGACAAGGAGAAAGAAGACAACTTGCAGTATGACTCCGAGAAGGGCCACGTGCTTCCTGAGATACCTTTGCACAAGGCGAGGCAGGTCATGACGCGAGCCGACTTTATTCAGAGTTACGATGCCATCAATATTTTCACGATTGACAGCAAGGCCATGGTAAGAGCCGATTCGGTCCCAATGATGAATGCTTTCCGGGAGATTTGTGCCGAAGAGTAAGCTGTCATTCTCTCAAAAGCACGACTTGTCTCGCTAATCAAGTTACAGGGGCTTCGATGAATACCTGGAGGCAACTCTGGACCGTATCTCTGCTATCGAGAGCTTGGGACGTACTCGCGAGCTTACAATCAAAGATTTATGGGTAAGCATTCTTCTACCTCCTCGTTCAGGACAAGACTGACGTGATCCAAACAGGATGGAGGAAAGTACCGTGTCACTACCCGTGATGCAAAGGGTGTCATCGAGAAGCTCATCAATTTTGAGGTCGAGGAAAAGGAAGAAGACAAGGACGATGAAGATGATTGAGTGGAACCGCCAAGACTGGCATTGGCGGGGTTGACGTCCGAGTGTTTGTTTGTTGATCTGGGCCCGCGTTGTCGCAAAGAAGTTTTGGAGCCTCTATATCCGAATCAACATAGATAATCATGAACTGACAAGCAGTAATAATAAGCATAGTTACAACATTATTCTTGGGCGTCTTTGTCTTGCCGGGATGGATCGCAAAAGAAAGCGACAAAGTGGCGTCGAATTCTGGACGGCCGCGAAGTGCCAACGACTTCTAAGGCCAATTGCTTCTAGGGTCGCGCCATTAAGAAGGAATCAGTATGCCTTAAACTCCGAATCATCCCAAAAAGTCCTGGAAGAAGAGTCACTGTCTGGATCCGCGCCACAGAATGTCTCCAAGAGGGAAGCTACACGGCACAATATCGATACCACATCATTAGACCCTACGTGGCTACCTTCGGATCAAAGCAACAAGACTCAGCTCAAGAGGTACTCGGCTCGTAATCGCATTTCTCAAACACTGCCTGGTCAGACCAACAGTCCTCAGGCATGTTTGGTGTTGTTACCGACTCCATTCAAGGCACGCGCGTCGCGGCGAGGGTCGCCGATGAAGAAGGGTGTGCTCGATCTGGACACATCGAATAGTCCATGTGCTCAGCGAGCTCTGCCTCTGGCAAGAAGAGACCGTCAGCGGAAGGACCCGTTCACTCGCGCGCCGATTGCAAAGCAGAGTATCGAACTTCAAGGCAGACAGAATTACGAGAGAACGTTCGAGCTACACCAAGGAGTGACAGACGGATTCTCCCTGCTTTTGCAGAGAACAACTTCCACAGAGTCCGGTGAGCCTGCCCGGAAAGGAGTTTCATCACTACTGAGCATGTGTCTACGACGAGTTCCAGACTATATTCGAGCGGAAGAAGACTGGCGCAAAAGTATTGATGAAGACGATGATACCGATGTCTGTGCTGAGGTCTACGAGGAACTAGAAGACCTCGGTTCGGTCCATGGACATGGATGGTCAGGCCTGCGTGAAGTAGTGATCGCTCATGGCATGAGTCTTGTCAACGAGATTATCAAGGACAAGCTTGTAGCAACGGAAACCAGGGCAGAGCTTGCGAAAATCCCTGCCAAGTATGGTCTACACAAAGCATCGGAAAACCTCCTGCTTGCTTACACCCAATCTTTGCCGCTCAAACGGCCTCTTGGTGTGGAATCTCGCCTGTTCAATGGATGTTTATCGAGCCTGACAACAATACAACCTGCAAGCGCCAACAACGAGGTGTTTGTTCGCCTGCTTGACGCGCTGTTTTCGTCTGGTCGCTTGAAAATGTCATGGCTGGCAAGTCGAGACATGGTAACTCTGTCAAGTGGCATGATAAGAGCGCTAGCTTCACAAACTGGGTATTTTGACCACGTCTTGCAATTCCTCCAAGGACGTATATCTCAAATCTCAGAAGCAGAGCTGGAACCTAAACATGTCAAGCGACAGGGACCAGAAGACAATCCGGGCATATGGATCAAACTCGACAAGTCACTGGGCAATACTACAGTAAGCATCATCACTGTGCTCACGGCTATTGTCCTGATAGGGCGTGATGCCCACAACTCCAACGATAGCTCGGACAGATGCACTGCTGCTGAATCACTCCTTGCGCGCCTCACAGTCATCTTACTTGCGAGATTGGAAACACAGCAGCACGAGTTCAGCACAAGTCGCAGTCATCAACCAAGGGCGGTCTGTTTCACCCTCCTTGCAAGCAGCCTGGTTCTAAGCATCAAACACGATAACAAGGGCAACAAACAGACGTCATTAGACAAGAAGGACATCTTGCAAGGAATGGCTGCTCTACATGGAAAAGGCCACCCACACCGGACCCAGACTATAGTCGAGCGTGCTGCATCGTTCCTGGTTGATCTGTCTCGATGCTGTGGACAAAGCCTACATTCGGACAGTCAATCCTACTTGGAGAACCTAGTCCGGTCAATTCTAGAAGACTCTGAGCACGGTTCTGACCATGAAACAACCTTCTTGAAGCAATGGGCCATGGAGAGCTCGTTGCTCACGGCGAAGATTTATGCAACACAACGGAGTCGAGTCTTCTTGAGTGATGTTGAGACGACTTTGACACAACACAAGCCACTGAATGTTCAGAGCACGAACTTTGCTTTGCATCGTGTAGATGCTCCTGCTGCAGAATTAGCTTTACGATGGGAAGAGGGGCTGTGCGAATGGATCGTTGCGTCTCCATTGCGAACCAGGGAGGTCAACAAGACCACTTCCGCAGCAAGAAGAGGACGATCTACATCTCTTTCTAGTCGAGACAGTGATCTGGACGACAGCGGCTATCTCAGTGAGACCAAGGAAACACCAAAGTTCGAACGAAAGAGTAACGCTATGTCGAACATGCTGGCATCACCAGATATGCTAGGCTTTGATCTAGAGATGCCATTCTGCCTCAACTTCGACGAACAACCAGCAGCGTACGAGACTGCGACTGAGACATGGAAGGTGTCTTCGACCATACGATCTCTGCAACCTTCTAAGTTCCAAAGCCGGGATTCAGACACAGTTCAAGCTTCTACTGAGATATCGAAAACTGAATCACATGCAGTCTTGCCTGACGGAAGATTCGATGTAACGGAACGACCAGCGAAGAAGAGAAAGAGTCGGGCCAAGGTGGTATCAAAGCCCAAATCACCGCTTCTGCTTCCGACAGCATCTCAGCTGTGTCTAGAGCTAGAGTCACAGGAATGCGCCAAAGAGCAAGAATTGGATTCCTCCGCCAGCGAAATGGACGAACTTGCTATGAGCTGCTCTAAACCACGCCGGGGAGCACCTGTTATCAAAAAAGCCGTGCCACGTCAGTCTTTTGTCAAGGCCGTACCTTCAAGCAAACGAAGCAGGGGTCAGGTGGTGGATATTAGCGATGATGAGCTGGGATTTTGATAGACGAATCCAGGGGTTGTTTTGTCTTCTAATTTTTGTTATGATACCCAATTATCGAGTGTAGAATCAATTGAGAACAAACCTTTCATATAGTGAGACTTGTCGTTCTGATCTATGTGTGAGGGCGTTGGCCCTGGATTGGTACGGGGTGGCGGTGTTGGCATCCGGGGACGGGTCGCGTTGACCGGAAGGATCAAGAGTCTGGCTTATCGCGCCATGCTATTGGATAAGTGCCAGAGCGGGGATAATTGCAATAGAATGGCTCATCACGAGGGTGGCTTGTCTGACAATCATGTATAGTGCAATCGGTGCGCGACTCATTCTTCGACATGTCGCATCGTCGCATTGAAAAGTTGCTCATCGCCCAAGATGCCAGTCTCGCCAGTCCACGACGACGACACGGACTACTCTGACCTCGATGAAGAAGCACCGCCAGCCGCGCCCGCCCCGCATGGCCGACCAACCCCCAAAACCCGTGAACGATTGAGCGAACGAACGCCGCTATTGAGCACTTCACCACCTCCCCCAGCCTATGCTGATGTCACACGACTCTACGGCACTCCTCCATACCTTGCTCGAAACGAACAGGATGGCGTCCAGCCAGAGCAAACGCGCCATGAACATGTCGTCGAATCGGCCATTGTGCGACCCGACGAGCCACAGAGCATGGGTGATCCAGGAAGAGATGCCGAAGATGGCTCAAAACCGAACAAAAGGCGTAGAGTCTTGACCATCAAGAAAGCGCTTGCATGTCTAGTGCTTATTCTTGCAATCTCTCTTGTTGGCCTGATGGCTATAACCACGACCAAGCATAGCAAAAGCGATGATAGCAGTGGTGGTGATCAAGTAGGCACTCCATCTCCGAATTCCCACATAGCTCGTCGCTAATTCACAGCAAAGAACAGTGGTGGTGGTGGTGATGATGACAACAGTCCCTCGCCAGTCGACGGTTTCCCTCACCTTTCGAGATGCGATTACCAAACCATAAGCGACCGACAGACCTTCTCGTTCCAAAACCCGCGCGTCTTTAGCTTCGTCGAGATTACAGAAGGAGCACACAACCCTTCGGGTGATATCAATGGCCAAGTCCGCATAATGGCTGGAGCGGACGACCAGAAAGATCCAATTCTAATGGAGATGCGGGTCGCAAAATCATCAGACGCCCAAAGATCACACTTCAGTGTTGATTACACAGCCGAGAGCCTGCGTATAAATACCCCCACGTCGTCATCGACCCACCAAAAGGCTTGCATGGAAATCGACATCGGCATCTGGTTCAGACCTGGAGCTCAGCTCGAGCATTTGGAGATTGCAACCGAGCATCTTGACATAAAGATTGAACCTGGTCTCTTCCCGCCATCTCACGATACTCTACCCCTCGGCCAAGACCAGGCATATTACATTAGCAACATGACCGATTTCATTGCAGTTTCCGGAGGCCTCTCCGCTGCATATTGGGAAAGTGGTCGCGAGACTCGTATAGATCTCATGTCAGGAAGTGTGAGTGGCCGTTTTGCTCTACGGGACCTTTTGTCAATCAAAACAACGTCGGGAGGTATCGACATAAATGTCGAACCGAAAGAAGAAAGCCCGACCGACCCTCGACCTGCTTCTTTTGTGGCAGAAACTGTATCGGGAAGCATCAAGGCCATCTTTCCTCTAACTGCTACTATTGCAGAGATCCCAGCACGATTGTATCACACCAAGGTCGAGACCAAGAGCGGATCCGTCAAAGGAAACTACATCCATGGCCTCAACACTGATATTCTCACAGTCAGTGGTTCCATCGATGTGAACGTTCTGCCTTATACGGCCCACAGCACAGGAAGTTGGCTCCGAACCGAGTCGACTGGAGGCAGGATTGGTGTCAACCTATTGCCGCCTTACGAAAACTCACAGAGCGTTATGGGCCATCTCAGAAGTGTTCATAAGACGAAATCCGGAAGTGTGCACATCAAATATCCTCAACAGTGGGAGGGAAAGATCGAGGCTGTAACAATGACAGGCAGTGTCCATCTTCATGGCAAAGACGTCGAAGTATTGAAACGATGGTCAGGACCTGTTGGAGCCCATGTCGTTGCTCAAAAGGGCAAAGCTAGCAGTGCTATGGACCTGGGGACCACTTCGGGCAGCGTGGATGCAACGATTGGTGATCTGTACTGAGTGGCATAAAGTGACGGTGTGGTCAGACACGAGGATGTCGTCTTGCTTTTGTAGGTCTTTTCTTTTCTTCTCTTTCTTTGGACCATGTGGTCGGCCAACTTCATTCTCAATCATAGGGTTTTGGGGAGTATGTCTTTTTGGGAGCGAGCCGGGTATTATTCTACTTCAGTATATTATTCGTGACAATGCCAAGAATAGGGCACGAGGGTCTTTGTCTGAGCGTCTTTCACATGCATCCACTCGGGCCGAAGCGAGCCGAGGCACGATGAGCGCCTTCCTGAGGGGTGTACTTGACAATACCATTCACAGGCATACAAGATGTGATTTCCGAATCTATACCTACTCATTGCTCGAGCCGGACGACGAGAACGAAAACTCAAAATGCCCTTCAATACCGCTCTCACCCGTAAGCTCGGGATCAAGGTCCCAGTGGTCCAAGGAGGTGTGTTGCGTGCTGCATTTTGAGAGACACGAGGTGAATATTGATGATGAATAGGTATGATGTGGGTGGGCTATGCAGAGCTCGCCAGTGCCGTCTCGAACGCAGGAGGCTTGGGCATCCTGACTGCACTCACCCAGCCTACACCTGAAGACTTGAGAAAGTATGTGCTCGATACAGGCCGTCCTGTCTGCATTGACTGACCCCATGCAGGGAGATTCGAAGATGTAGGAAGATGACATCGAAGCCTTTTGGCGTAAATTTGACTCTACTTCCCGCTCTCCAGCCCCCGGATTACCCAGCATATGCTCGTGTCATCATCGAGGAAGGCATCCGAATCGTCGAGACAGCAGGCAACAATCCGGCACCTGTGATTAAACAACTGAAGGCCGCAAATCCTCCCATCATCATTCTGCACAAGTGTACCACTGTACGCCATGCACTGTCTGCCATAAAGCTTGGAGTCGACTTCCTCAGTATCGACGGAATGGAATGTGCGGGTCATGTTGGCGAGACTGATATCACCAACTTTATCCTGCTCTCTAGAGCTCGTCAGGAACTCAATGTACCTTTCATCGCCTCGGGAGGATTCGCCGATGGTCAGGGTCTTGCTGCAGCTCTCTCCCTCGGTGCTGAGGGCATCAACATGGGCACAAGATTCATGTGTACGATCGAAGCCCCCATTCACCAAAACATCAAGGAGTCGATTGTCAAGGCACAAGAGACGGATACCGAGCTGGTACTCCGACGATGGAAAAACACCAGCAGAATGTTTTCGAACAAGGTTGCAAGAGATGCCATCAAGATCGAGAGGGAGAGTCCGACTGGCAAGTTTGAAGAAGTCGCTCCATATGTCAGTGGAAAGCGAGGTAGAGAGGTCTTTCTGAACGGAGACCCAGAGCATGGTGTAAGTGGCCTGTTCAATCGCTGTCCAGTATTATACTGACGCCGTAACAAATAGGTCTGGACTGCTGGCCAAGTCATCGGTTTGATTCACGACATCCCGACATGTGCAGACCTCATCAGACGTATCGAGCGTGAAGCTCTAGAAACCATCAACAAGGCAAAGTCGCTATATGTCGAGGAGCTGCCCGAGAGTGATCTGGAGGGAAAGCCCATTCAAGATCCTTCCGCCAACCCAAAGAGTGAGCACGGTTCTGTGAGATCGAACGAGAACAACCCCGAGGCTCAAGTCTGGGGGATTGGCAAGAGTAAGCTCTGAGTCAGAAGCTGAAACTGGACTGCGATATCGTTTGATGCCCTAGATATAGCCAGCTACATAGGCATCAAGTATGTATTTGCTAGCATCATCCTCTGAACAAACACATGATCGTTATTCGTGTACGCCTGAGGGCCAGTATGTATACATAGATGAGTAGGGAGTGGGTTTCTGAAGAACGTGTAGTAGATTACAGAGGATGTATAGCGTCCCGGCATCTCCAGGAAACAAAAACGCATGATACTTTTGATAAGGGAGAGGTGCGTATAGGTCAAGGTCATCTCATGGTGTTAGTGATGGTACTGTGCATTTGAACAAAATATACATCTGTGTCTACGCAGATCTCTCTTTTTGACAATGAGGAGCGAATGTAGTAAGATTGAGAGGAAGAAAATTATAAGAAGAATTGACGACAAGGAACGTTGTCGAGATCAAGATACAAGGAGGTAGCAAAAAGGGATGCAGTCTAAGGGCAACCTCTTCACTCCGTCCGTTCCTTTCTGCACAGCCCAACAGCTTGCTAGAACGAGATTAAACTATATAAGAACCAGCCACGTGAAAAACACAAGAGACCGTTTGTCAACAAACACAGAACAAGCAACTTCATGAAAGCTTCCAATGGTATTTCTCAATCAGTGGCAGTGGAGAAACAAAGGGTAAGAACTATGTTGCAGAATGCTCCTCGGGTTGCTCATGGACAGGCTCTCGAGCCATTTCTGCGACATTGCGCTGTGCGGCAACGCGTCTTGGATTGTTATCGAAAAGGAACGGACCAGCGTCGTTCATTGGCGTGTTTTGTCCATCGCCCATGGGCGCCACGCCAGCGGCCAGAGCAAAGGGTGTCGAAGAGGTGGGTGTGGCTGACCGTGCCATAATGGAGTCAGGCAAGTTCCTGTTTATTGGTGCATTGGTCGAAGCCATGATGGGTACAGGCTGCGAGATTGAGCCTCGAGAAAGCCCGGCCTCTCCTTCCGAGCCAAAGTCTGAACCCGAAGGGTTATGTGATGGTGAGGCCGATCCCATGGAAACACTGTGCATCATAGCTGTCAAATCTTCGTCCTCGAGACCACCAGTCTCTATAGCAGGAAGTGGTTCAGGCTCAGGGGATTTTGGCTGCGTACTTGTCGAAGCTTGAACCGCGTCCTCAATCTCCTCACTCTCATACTCTTCTTCCTCTGGAGGCTCCACGTCGGCTTCCAGATCGGCATAGGCACGACAATTTGGGCATTGAAAGCTAGGCCAGCTGGGATAGATGAGAGTGCGAACGCACTTGTAGTGCCAAACATGTGAGCAGGGCGCGACAAAGAGAGCTTGGCATGGAGCGACAGGGTTCAGGCAGATTGAGCACTCTGAGCTGTGGGTTGACTGAGCGTCGCTGTCTTTGGCGTTGTTGACCTTTGCTTGTTTTAGAATGTTCTTGTGGGTTGCAGTGCTGTGTCGGTTAGCGATCTTGCGGCACTACGATTCCTCCAAGTACGTCAAGACTTACTTGAATTGGTTCAAACTCTTTTGCCAGCCTCGGTTGCACTCAATGCGAATCTTGACGCAACGGAAGATGACTTCCTCTCCACCCTTGAAGTCGATACCCAGTTGGACGATATCGCCATCATTCAGGGGAAACGCACGGCTCTCCATTCCTGGACTGCTCAGACGAACATGGTTCAGGAAGGTACCAGAACTACTCTTGACGTCTTTGATGAACCACTGACCGTTGTCGCACCAGAGCTCGCAATGCCGGCGACTGACTACCTTGCTCTTGAAACCAACAGGAGCAGCCGTCTTTGCGCTTGCTTGCGAATCGGCGGCCTGATCTCTCTCCGAGTATCTGCCAACCTTGACGCGCTGGCCTGCAGCGGCGATTGTGCGAGTGACAATGGGGAAGGTAAGGGAAGGTCTCGAAGCGCGGGGCTCGTGGTGGGGGATAAAGCGAACGGTCGGGGCCTCCTTCTTGTCGGTCGATGTGGCTTGGACGGGCGGGGTAGTAACGGATTCGGAAGTTGCACTCTCGGTCGAAGATGTGATACGGCGAGTGGGTGTATCGTCGGCGGGAGGGGCAGAAGGGGCCTCGGAGCCGACGGTGGCCGCCCTTGGGCGGGTCATGTTTGGAGTGGGCGATTCGTCGTGAGTAGGTTGAGGTTGAGTAGCGAGCCTGGACAAGGCACTCTGGCCGGCGACAGAAGGGACCCAGCCGTTTGCCGTGGTGTCGGTACGAAGCGGGGGGCTCGGCGGCGTGTCGCGTGTGCTAGAGACGGGGGACGTGGTACTTCGGGTGAGAGTGGAGGGCCGAGTAGAGGGATGGGCAGGCGAGGAAGAGATTGATTGATTTGTTGGTGGTGTTGATGGAGTATTCGAGGAAGAGGAGTGAAGGTGATTGTGGGTATAGCTCCGTATGTAGGAAAGACCGCGAAGTCTCGATGGACGAGTGGGTGATGCGGGTGAGTTGTTAGCGGCTGAAGAAACGGTCGACAGCGATGCTGCAGCCGGGGATGTGTAATTGCCAAACATGGGTGATTTGACCAAGACAAGGAGGAGTGAGTGAGACTTGGAGAGGACCTCAAGCGGGCGCGTTGAATCTCAGATCAGAAAGAGGCGTCTAGACGGATTATGTCACTGCTATTGGCGATTACGCTTGTCGAGTGTAGAATGGTCCGAGAAACGGCAATCGAGGCCTTGAGTGCGGGGGATTGCTTGGAAAGCCGACAGAGACAGCGACGAAGGGCTTGGGGAGATGAGAAAAAAGAAGCAGGGAAAGAGAGAGTGAGTGAGAGAAGGACGCCGTGTGCGTGCCGCAGGCCGAACTCCAAGCATACAGTCAATGCAACAACGCTTTCAATGGCGCGTTGTGGCCCTTGGACGTACAGTTGATCCAAGAAACCGCTCTCTTCCTAGCCCAGCGGACCCTGACTCGAGACATTGGTTCGACAGTGCTTGCAAGCATGACTTCACTTCCACAGGGGCTCATGACATTTACATCTCAGCAGCCCACACATGTAGAACTTGCACTCGCAACGGATCATGTTCATCTGTGTTCCAGACCCCAGGGCTGTAAAGCATCCGAAGAGGCGTCCTGACGAGCCGTCCTTTCATGCCCCTCTCCGCGTGCTAAAGTTTGTAACGCGCACAACTGCAAAGATACACAGTAGCTTCGAGAAGCGAATGAGTTCCATCGAAAAGCGATATCACGTCAGATTTCTTTGATCAGTCTCAATACATGAGAGTAATGGGAGGAGGAAACAGGTGGGATGGAGTGGTCGCGTATTGTAGCCAATGTCGATACCATTGAACCTCTGCTCGGTGCGGGAACTACTGTAGAACAGCGAAACCCACTGCGACAGCGATGCAAAGCTGACGCCATCTTCAACCTGTCCACATTTGAAGTGCAGGCGGGAACCCATAGCGTCAGCCACTTGATTTGAAGATACATGCTGTCAGAATTGGTCCAGGCTACTAGAGCGCACGCTCAAGACGGGTGGTATGAAGCTTGAACAAGTATGGAGTTTCATCGACAAGAGATTACTCTCCGGACGGATATAACTCACAACCGGCAGCCGAGGTTTGCAATTTTGTCAAACAGGCCATGACAGAATAGGCCATGGATTCTGGATAGCCTTCTGTCAATCACATAACCCCAATCAACCATGCTGCGACTGTCCACAGGCATACCGCGCTTTACCGGTCGCTTTCTGTCTCGCCATGTCTCGCGTCGCACTTTTGCCTCGATAGATCAGGCCAACAAGGTAGGCTGCTAGACTCCTGTCCGCCTTGAGCGCATCGCATTCCAACCGTCGGCTTTTAGTAACGCCCGTATTCTTCAGCATCCCACCGACCTCGATCAAGTCACAACCCTTTCCAATGGCGTCCGAGTCGCCAGCGAAGCCGTCCCTGGTGCCTTTTCCGGTATTGGTGTCTACGTCGATGCTGGTTCCCGATACGAAAACGATGCTCTCCGCGGTGTCTCTCACATTATCGACCGACTGGCCTTCAAGTCTTCGTCACGGCGGAGCGCCGATAGTATGCTCGAGGAGATCGAGTCCCTGGGCGGCAACATCCAATGCGCCTCGTCTCGTGAATCCCTCATGTACCAGGCCGCCACCTTCAACAGCGCTGTCCCCACCGCTACTGCTCTCCTCGCCGAAACCATCCGCCATCCCTTGATCACTGATGAAGAGGTCGCACGCCAGATCGAAACGGCAGAGTATGAGATTGGTGAGATCTGGAGCAAGCCCGATCTCATCCTGCCCGAGTTGCTTCACATGGCTGCATACAAGGACAACACTCTCGGAAACCCTTTGCTATGTCCCGCCGATCGTTTGGCCAGCATCGACAAGCGCACCGTTGATGCCTACCGCCGTGCCTTCTTCCGTCCCGAGAGACTGGTCGTCGCCTTTGCTGGTGTCGAGCACAAACAAGCCATCGACCTGGCCGAGCAACACTTTGGTGATATGAAGGCTGAAGCGCTCCCTACGTCAGAGTCAACCTCCCAGAAGTCGCCGCAACCACAGCAAAAGTCGACTCTCAGCTCAAAGATCCCCTTCTTCAAAAACCTCTCCACCTCGGCCTCGCAGTCTGCTACTGTCTCACCACTAGACCCTTCTCAGATCATCCCCCACCCTCTCGATGTGCCCATTGACACTTCCTCGCCCGCCCGCTATACCGGTGGCTTCCTCACACTACCGAACCTGCCTATCCCCCCAAACCCCGCGCTTCCTCGCCTGTCATACATCCATCTTGCCTTCGAGTCACTTCCCATCAACTCCGACTCCATCTATGCTCTCGCAACTCTTCAAACCCTTCTTGGTGGAGGTGGATCATTCTCCGCCGGTGGTCCCGGCAAGGGCATGTACAGTCGTCTGTATACCAATGTCTTGAACCAGCACGGATGGGTCGAAAACTGCGTCGCCTTCAACCATGCCTACACCGACAGCGGCATCTTTGGTATCAGCGCTGCATGCGCCACTCCCTACGTCAACCACATGCTCCAGGTCATGTGCTTGCAACTAGCTAATTTGGGCAAGGAGACTGGTATTGGCCGCCTGACCGAAGGAGAAGTCAAGCGTGCAAAGAACCAGCTCAAGAGCAGTCTACTCATGAACCTCGAGAGCCGCATGGTCGAGCTCGAGGATCTGGGTCGTCAGGTCCAGGTCCACGGACGCAAGGTTCCTGTACAAGACATGATTGCTCGCATCGACAAAGTCTCGATTCCCGAGCTGCGTCACGTTGCTCGTCAAGTCTTTGGCGGCATGGTCAAGAACCCTGGCGGCGGCAGCGGTGCCCCTACCGTCGTAATCCAACAAGGCGAAGAGGAAGGTGTACAGATTCAAGAGCTCAAGTGGGACGCCATTCAAGGTACGATTCAAAAGTACGGTCTCGGTCGCCAGTAAAAAAAGTCTTGCCTCTCACAACGCATCTTATTCTTGTACTATATCCCTCCTCCTTGATTTTCAATGCACAGCATGTAGAACATACACACAAGCTCACCAGCCCCGTCTGAACATCAAAATGACCGCCTCGCAGTGATTCTGAGATACAACGGACTCAACTTAGAGACATAGGCGATGCTGTCCTCTCTCCAGAAGACCATTCGACTGATATAATAGAAATGAGGCGTGGTCTGACAGATATCGTACACCGGTCATACCTGCACGCTCAACCAAAGACCACAAATTTGTAGTGTGTTGGATTTTTTGTGTACATCAATCGGTCACGTCCTCTGATATTCGCTTCTCGCTGCCTTCCATGCTGCAAGAGCTCTTGCAAGCCACGTGCAAAGCGTCAGATGTGGCTAGTGAGACGCTGAACGCACGTGATATAATCCGAATCGATCTTGCTCTGACGTCCTTCCATCAAGGTTGGGAATCAGCTGGCAGAAACTCCTCTAGCAAAGCACTTCTCGATTTCTTCTTCGTTCCTGCTTGCGGTAATGGTTCAGATTGGGCCTTGCGTTTAGCACCGGGTCCAACAAAGCTTGACACCCAGTCGCGGACTCGCTCGAGCTTATTCTCGACCGCTCGAGGGAAGCTGGGTTGCTGAGCGCTGTCTGAAGGCAGACTGTGTGCTTTTTGTAGGACCGTGAATGTTGTGGCGTTCTTGGTGGCTCTCCGGTTAAGAGACTGGCCAAAGACAGCATTGCGGAAGGAGCTTAGTGCTACTCTTTCAATGAGGACAATGTCTTGTGAGCGCATTGATGAGAGGGTTGTGCGTGATTGATCCTCGGTCTTGTATGGCTGCTGAGAGTCTTGAGCTCGATGCCAGGAACTGATTGTGAAGCCGGCCTTGGTCTCGTCCCCAACGATAAGCTCAATGATATCCATGTCATGACCGCTTTTGCGTGTTGTCACCGTTCTAGCGGGGGCAATGCTGATGATACCCACCAGTAGATTCACGGTCATGGTTTGAGGCTGTATTCGTTGTATATAGTCAGCCGTGGGGACGGCCTTGATGCTCATAAGGGGTCCAACAGGTCTGTACGACGACACAGCAGATCGAGGACCAGAGTCTTCCTGTTTCCCGGAAGCGGCGGTAGACATGAAGGTCGTCTCGAAGTCGTCCATGTTGGTTGAGTAGACGGAGTCATCAGTCATGAAGGTTGCTTCCTCTGGATCGACGTCAAGACTTTGATAATGAGAAGCGATCTGAGAGGATTGTAGATTTGCTTCAAGTGCAAAGGAGTGGTCGAGGAAGTCATCGTGGTCCTCCTTGAGATTGTTGATCTGGCGTGGCACTGCGTTGATGTTCGCTCGTGGCAGCTCTCTGTGCAAGACGGGACTCTGATTGAAAGTCCTGTTGGTAGCTAGTGAGATGGACCTCCATTTGGTCACGGGTTGAGTGGGCGTCGGTGTAGGTGGAGGTGGAGGAGCCGAGGGTGCATGATTCAAATGTCTCTGCAGAGCAGAAGAGAAGGTGTTGAGCAGGCCCTCATCACTCCAGTCCAGCGCAGTCGAAACAGGTGCACCAGTAAGGAACTTGAGGTTTGTAGAGGTCATGTAGACGCGTAAGTTGGCTGAGTGATGGTTGAATCGATCAAAAAGTGATTGGTGTTGGGCTAAGCTAAAGCCTCGGGCTTCTCTCACGAAGACGTGAAAGCGATGTCCCCAATATAGAAAGGCACAATGGTATGCAAACTAGAGACCTATCCAAAGAGAGCTCGAGACTTGTTAAATCTCAATGGACACACACTATCATGTTTCTTAAGAGTATTATGCATTTTGATAGCTATCACTTGACACACTCCTGCTCGTGGGGAAAGACGAAGGAATCCTGATGCGAGCTCGGTCTCCGCAATGTCCGAGGTGAGGTTCAATTAGAGGCATGTACGCAGCAGGCAGCAGTTAAGATCAGTTGGGCATATCCTTGACTCAACAACTGGCCGCACCGAACTTCATTCACTTCTCGTCAAAAGCAGACACAGACATACGGGTCTTGGACAGTTCAAAGGTGCGTGGATCGTTAGCTCTGAGAAGGTCGATGACGTGCACGTGGGCCCGACCCGCGAGCCGACGATCTGATAAATACTGCTGGCCTTGCCCAGAAGATCACCATGCCAAACATGGCATCTTTGCTACGTGGACTCTCGTATCGCTTCACGCCCACGCCGTCAACCGATTTTAGCAAGGCAAAGAACGAAAACTTGCTCTTCACAAAGACGGATCCTGCTGTCGACGGCGACGATTGCTTGCACGACTGCGAGACATGTACTGTAAAGTACCCGAGGAAGTTTGAGACAGATCAGGATGACAAGCTCTATGGTAATATCGGTGGTTGGAACACGCACCTGATTGTTGCTACTGGAAAAACGGACTGGGTTCGTGATGTCGCCGACGAGAAGGGCAGCGTCATGGAGGCCGTAGCAAAGGCAGAGGAGCCTACGAATGGCGTAAGTGCATGCCCATCATACACCATATCAAGATACTAACCCCTCTCTAAAGAAGATGATGCTCTCGGCCTCCAATATGCCAGTACCGCACACCTCACACTCGGACCCTGATGGCCAGGTCCGTACCACGCTTCTGCTTCTTCCCGCCTTCAAGTTCATCGACCATGTCACTCCATCCGCCATACCCGACCTCATCAAACATTGTATCAATACCGCTCCAACGAATACAACACCCCTGGCCGACCCTACCTCTGACAGTGCCCTGACGACCACACCCTTGCCCTCGGGGTTAGAGATGAGATCATGTCCTCACAACTACTTGATCCTGTTGTGTTCGCATGCCACCAGAGATGCTAGATGTGGCCAGTCCGCTCCATTGCTCAAAAAGGAGTTCGAAAGACACTTGCGACCTTTGGGTCTGGCTCGCGACTTTGACGACGAGCGTCCAGGAGGTGTTGGCATCTACTTCATCAATCACGTTGGTGGCCATAAATACTCAGCAAACGTTTTGGTCTACAGAAGACGCCTGACCCCAGACGGCAAACCCATGGACGAGGCCGCGCAGTGCATATGGCTGGCCAGAATCAAGCCTCAGGACTGTGAGAACCTGGTTCGCTACACCATCCTCCAGGGCAAAGTAGTCAAGCCTGAACAGCAGCTCCGAGGAGGCTTTGATCGCTCCACTCAGTTGACCAGCTGGTAACGATATAGACACGGCGATAGAGGGGAGGGCTTAGATGTATAAAGTGCTTAATATGCTACCGAACTTATGTGCTCAGCACTGTGTACTCCCGAGACTCTCCTCCATGCCAAAAATGTACACCTATAGCGCCACTTTGAATCCCCGTCCGAGAACACCATTACAATGCCTTAGGAGAATGAAAGTAGCGAACATGAATCCAAAAAGCAATCATAAAACTCCCACGTCGTTACTTTTTCAAACCAACCATCCATCGTTACCGTTACTGGCGTTAAAGGCAGGCGTCGAGTTGGACCGATCCAATCCCAGCGTTAGCTTGGGCATCTGTATGATGGGAAAACCAATCTGCGGCGGTGCTTCCGTCTTTCTCGGACTCTTCTTTGGGCTCGACGCCGCCATTTCTTCTTTGCTCGGCCCATAGCGCACGTAGTCAATGTCCCATCCATCGGCTTGAGCGGCGGCTATCCAATTCTGCAAGCCAGAATGTACACCGCAGTAGAACTTCTCTTTGCATGTACGCATGGTGCCGCCCATCATCTTCTCCCACCCACTGGTCTTGAGTTCTGAACGCAATTGGTTGCGGTCTTCCCTGCTCGGTAGTGAAGCAATGAGTCCATTGACAAGATCTAGGTGCGACGTCATGTATGTAGTTGCATCCCATTCGACTCCACCAATGTAGGGCGCAGCTGGAACAGGTGGGCGGTCTCCAGGGAAGAATCTCTCAGCATAGGTTTGACCGGGCGTAATCACTCCACCGGCCCGTGTTTGTGTCGTGCCATCTCCACTCGTACTTTCTTTCTTTGGAAGCGGTATGACGTTAAGGTGGTGCAGGAAAATCCAGAACACTTCCTTGGTCACATTACTGACTTCTGTGCACCATACTTTGTACGGTCTGGATTGCCGCATGCTGAGTACAAAGGATACTGGCTGTGCGTCTTCGGGCTTTTGAGGATCTGCAAGATAGGCTAGAATCACACGAGCTCGTTGAGCAAGGTCGTATGGTCCGCCATTTCGTGCTGCGCCCAGGTATGCAACTAGGTTTTGTGATTAGAATCGAACAAAAGACAGGCTGACCATGATTTTGACTTACAAAGAATGTTGATAATTATACCCCTGGTAGTGAACTCGCTAGGTCCCTTTTTCTCTTCATCGAAAATCATGGCCAGGAGTTTGGGGAAGAGTGCGTCCGCCAACGCGGCCAAGTTCTTGAGAGCAACTTCTGTAGTGCAAAGTCCCTTCAAGCAGAGCAGAGCCTCGTGAAGTAGCTGATCTTCATGCTCTTCGCGCCATTCAATTTGCATGATGCGATGAAGTAGATCCACAACTTGAGCCATGCCACCAAGCGATATGAAGTTGTCAACCCAAGCAACGGTCTCATTCCGAAGCAAGAGACGCAACTTGTGTAGCCGACCAACTTCCATCTGGACAGGATCACGTACGTTGTCAAGGTAGGCTACGAATTCGTCGGGACAAGCAGCTTGTGGTCCCCGACCAGGTGAAGAAGGAACAAAGTGCTTGGGTAATGTGCCGGATGATCTTGGGATATGAATCGAGTTGGGTCGGCTGTCCGACTTTGATTTCTTGGAAGTGTCATCACTTCTGGTCAGCGTGAAAGTCTTACTTCTCGATCTTGACCGTTTTGATAAATCCTCCTTGACTTCCTCTTCGCCGGAATCGGCAGTCTGTTGTTGAACAGGCTCATCATGGAAGAACGGGAGTCTGGATTCTGGTTTAGTAGGACTAAGAGCACCCTTGTCTTGTTTGACAAAGTCAGCTTTGACCCGGAGTGTCAAGGTACGCATCTTTTGCCGCATGTTCTCTGGGATGTTGCGTGAGTCCTAGAAGGAGTATTAGCAAGCGCACAAAGATGCGGGAGAAGGGCACCGATTTACCAAGACAGCCTCAAAAGCAGCATCGACGGTTTTGGGATCCAATTTCTGGTCATCCTTTATTATGACACCCTCCCTGGCCTTTTCGTCGAACGCAGCTACGGCAGCCATGACCCTTGGGCCACGTTTGGGGATGTTCGCCAGAGACTTCGGCGCAGGACGTTCGTTGCTGCTGGAGCTCACTTTGCGACCAAAAGACTGTTTGCCGTCTTCGAAGCTCTCGCGACTGCCTCGTGAGTTATTCGTACGGCGCGAATCGAGCTGAGAACGCTCTCGATCATGGTCGCGACTGGCGGGACGGTTAAGCATATCGAGAAAGGAGGTCGAGCCCGGAATGACCATACTTTTGGGACGTCCAGAAGAGGAGGGTCTCGAGAGGGCGGGCTGGCCGTAGGCAGCAAAGTCGCGCTGCTTGGAGGGAGTGTAGTCTCTTGGAGTGTAGCGATCAATCTCTGCGTTAAGATGTTGAGCGACGGGCGGATTTTGAGGCCAATGCGAGGTTACGGTGGGATCGACAGCCGGGAGTGGTGGGCTTAGATTTTCCTTGTCGTGGACAGTGTCGCCGAGGTCCTTGGATGAGCGATTCATCTTGCCGAGTAAGCCTCGAAGGCTGGTTGACGACTTTGTCTTCTTCATGCGTGTTCGACCATCGCGGTTGTCGGGGTCGTTTGTGGCACGCTGACTCTGTTTTTCCTTTTCCCGTTCCTTGCGACTCTTTCTCTCCTTGTCCTTTTCCTTGTCTCTACCCAGTGATCGTAGTGACACAGTACTCTTGGAGCGTTTGTGTGGTGGTGCATTATCCTTGTTGGTTTGCCTGCTAGAGCGGTCGTCTTCAGTGGATTGCGTGGTTGAGTGAGGGTGGTCCGGAGGCAGCAGGGGGACCATCTGCGTCGTCGTGTTGGACGTGACTCGAGCGAGGTCCTTTGACTTTGATCGTCTGTGTTCTTTGGGCAAGATTGATCTTAGCATCTTGATGGTTGATGAGGCCGCTGAGGGAGCTTGTGCAGCAGGTGTCGAGGGAGCTTCTGCAGGGTTGTGGTCGATGCCAGCTTGCCCATTGACTCTCTCATCCATGTACTGTTTGCGTAGAGTTGGGCGCGTTGGGGGGTGGATGATTGAGAGCTTGGATCAAACGTGGTGAAGAATGTATTGTTATCCCCGCCGTCTTGGAGCGACTCGGCTTGTTGATGGTTTCTGGCGTTGCCAGGCAACCCGCCCTTATCGTCCCCACACTTACATCTGCTTGTCCCGGCACACTCTATCGCCATGCAGGCACGTTGACTCGACACAGATACTCCCTCCCTGTGTGCAAAGGTTTGTAACGCTGCTACCCGTTAAAATGCACAATGTTCTTAAGGACTGGATCGAAATCATCGAGATACAGTGTTATTTGATGCTCTCTCTGGATCCATCTTTGATCTAGAGATCACTGTGCCTTTTTATAGCGAGCATTGTGTTCTACACCTTCATAGGAGAGAGGAGCGTAGGGCACTAAACTCACTGGAGTCACAAAGTCTAGCACACAGGGAGGTCTGACTTGGGATACCCGGATATTCTTGGTCTCGCCTGGCTATCATCATCTGTCCGCTGCAGCTTGATACTTCTTTACTCTGCCCTTCACGCCGCCGCTTGTGCACTCTGTTCCTCGAATGCCTTGCGGTATTGTGCCGTCGCCGACGCCAGTGCTTTGATCGTCGGCTGAACCATTTCCTCCACCGCCTGCCTCCCTCCGCCTAGCCTGTCCAGATCCATCTCCATCCGTCGACGCTTTGTTGACCTGGCGTTTAGTGTCGAAATCTGCTTCTTCAGGCTCTCTGCTTCCTGTGCCTTTTCCTTTTCCGCCTGGTCTGACACCATCTTGATCCGGTCAACCGATCGATCCAGAGTCTCGACTAGCTTTGCAACCTCGTTACTCCTCGATCCATCTCCAGACAGAAACAGCGTCCAGAAATAGTGGAGGAACTCTACTGTCGTATTGTGCGTCAGACACAGAGTGTCGAATGTCGTCTGCGACAGCCCTCTTCGTGACGACACGTCTGCCGACGCTGCCAACCTGCGTCTGCTGATCGATGCCAGCATTTCTTGAGTAGACTGTGTAAGCGCGCCTTTGCTTCCTATCCGCACTCTCTTACTTGCTCGGCTTTCATCATCTGAGTCCTCACTGTCCGATTGCATGCCAACCATCTTGCTGAGGTTGATTCTAGCCGCAGAAGCCATCTCTGTATGCAACTGTTCTAGCACACCTGCAGGTGGTTGCTTAGCATAGAGCCGTGCTTCTAATGATAGCCCGTTCTGTTGTTTACCACCCAGTAAGCGTTGCTGATCCTTGATGTTCAAGACCACGCGATTGTCCCCAGCTTCAGTCTGGAGATCTCGAAGTCGAAGCTCATTGAATGCATCCTCGCTCATACCGATGGGTGCATGAGCGCCGCCGTCCGTCGGTGCCACTTGAGCCATCATTTTTTCTGACAAGTTGTTGAGGATTCTCAATATCGGCACCTTTTCGGGCCGCATCGTCTCGTCTGGCCTGTTTCCTTGACGTTGACTGTGATTTTGCTCGTTACCTTCGAGGTCAATGAAATGTGGAACATAGCCAATGTTTGATGGCCCCTTCTCTTGATAACTCAAGTACTTGTCAAACATCGGATCTGGTGCATCTGCGTCGGTGATCTTTTCACCTTTGAGCTTCTTTAGCAGTCTGCTCATGAAGAATCGTGACCAGAACGTGTTGCTATCGGTGGGAGGGACATTTTCGTTGTAGGCTTGTCTGACGATAGGATATTGCTTGAAGATCAATTTGATCTGAGGGCCTGCCAGACGAAGCGTCAAAGAGTCGGCTTCGCCTTCTTTTTCGGAAGCCACTCGCGTAAATTTGATCTCGGGCAAAACGTTGTAGTCGCCCTGGTTCTGTGCTTTCTCGATCGCATGAGCGCGTAGTAGATGTAGCCGCGTAGACCAGAACTGTGTAGAGAATTGTGTAATTGTGATAGTCTCTGGCCTGTCCCTTAAACTTTCGTTGAACCGTTGTCTCAATGCCGGATTCGCATCGAGAAGTGATCTCTGCAACTCAATGTCGGTAATGAGATAGGTATCGTCATACCAGCTCTCGTTCGTCTTGATAGCCGATGAGACAGCCTGAGCCATAGCCATGGCTGCTGAAGGGGCGGACGCATCTTGGGCCGGTCCGGGTGCTGGCGCAGGCTTGGGGGGTTCGGCGGTCTTGATTGCGGCGATTGCATTTCGTAGGATGTCGGTGATGGCTTCTTGTTCGGCTCGTGCTGCGGCAGAGGTAAAGGAAAAGACGTGGTTCTCTGGTCCGGTAGCGCCTGCTGGCGAAACAACCACTTTCAGGGCGACCTTGGGATTTCCCGCGGGGGTTTGCTGCAGGTCTAGTATGGTCAGCAATAATTCACAGAGGGCCAGGATACATGGACTGACTTGTGATGTCCTTGATGGCAATCGTGAGTGAAGGCGGAGAGGACGGAGGTTCGGAGGGAGTCCAGAATAACGATGTCCTGTCTGCGCCAACCGACAGAGTGCCGTTGCGCTTCTTGTAAGCAGTCGGGGCCGACGACATGGTGTTGCGCGAGCGCGCGTTCACGGCGAGATGGTAATTACGATGGTGGTTTGTCGCTGACTATTTGTCGAAACACAGCAACCTAGGCTGCTATTCACATGCAAGACAAAAGGTCGTCATCGCTTCGAACGGAAGGTCTGCCGATGCGCGCGCTAGTTACCTATCTGCTTGAATGTTTCAACAAGCAACGCAAAATACTGAGTCTTGTGTACACTCAACTTCGAATGACGGCAGCAGAAGCGACCGCCAACAAGTAGATTCACATGTATGCGGCGATGCCAATGCAAAATACTGGGCAATTGGCGGATATAGCGGAAGCAATGGAAGCATAGCCGGCTACTCATGCCTTGCTGAGGTTCCGGTGAATGCTAGGTAGGTAGCTATGCGATTTCACAGTTGCAGAAGTAGAACACAAATATCATGATGAACCAAACTCAATAGTCCATGGCCATACTGGACCAGATCTGTTGCAACCAGACAGTCATCGAGTGATTGCTACTTCGGAGAGTAGGTAGTATGCTTTATTTCCGGCATTGATTATATCCGTAGCGAGCAGCGAGGCCTGTCATTCAGCCCCCCACATGGGGAAAGGCTTTTGGCATCTTGAGGTTCGCGGCGCGTGGTCTACAGTCCAAGGACTGTAGTCATGCAGTCACCACTGATACATAAAGTTTATAAATGATCACCTGCTATCTTTCGTGCTCGCATCTCCCTGTCCGCCTTCAGATCATAGAAGTCGGCCGCTCGTCCCTGCCATCTCCTCCTTGATCCGACCCTCTTCGCCCTCACATTCGCCATGATGGATTCACACCGCTCTGCCACCCTGTTTGGCGTGTCCATTAAACACCTTGCCTTGCTCACTGTATGCTTTGGCCTAGACTCGTTGGCTCTCTGCGTCTTGAACTAATGACTATACGCAGCTGACGTTCCAGAATTCCGCCTTGATCTTGGTAACTATGTCTGAACGACCCATGGCTCTCAGATGAAACCATTGACGTCCAGCGCAGATTATGCACTACTCTCGAATCATGCCTACGGTTGACGGCCATCGCTACTATACCTCGACCGCCGTCTTTCTCAACGAAGTCATCAAGCTCTCAATCTCGCTCACCATGGCCCTCTACGATCTTTCACGAGACATTCCGTCTTCCTCCTCTGCAACCGCACTCTTCACCGAACTAGTACGGCACGTCTTCACCGGCGATAGCTGGCGGCTGGCCTTGCCGGCCATGCTCTATACTCTCCAAAACTCTTTGCAATATGTTGCCGTGAGCAACCTGGATGCTGCGACTTTCCAAGTCACATATCAATTGAAGATTTTGACTACCGCAATCTTCAGCGTCACTATGCTTGGGCACACTCTCGGCTTGCGCAAGTGGTCTTCCCTGCTGTTGCTCATGGCAGGCGTGGCTATTGTGCAGATTCCCGCTAGTTCCGGCCCGGCCATGCCTACTTTGAGGGATCTGAGAGAAGCCAACGCAGGCCTTCATTTTCCTCGCACGCTTCAAGAGATGCGAGATATGGGAAGCAGCGCTGCAGGACAGCTGGTCAAGAGATCTGCCACGTATGAAGGCATCGACAAAGACTTTGCGATCCAACACCCCCAGCTCAACGCTTCCATCGGTCTGGCCGCCGTATTGGCAGCATGCGTACTGTCTGGTCTCGCTGGCGTGTATTTCGAAAAAGTTCTAAAAGATGGTAACAGCAAGACTTCGCTCTGGGTCCGGAATGTGCAACTATCTTTCTACTCGCTGTTCCCATCCCTCTTCATAGGAGTCATCTTCAATGATGGTGCGGACATTGCGAAATATGGCTTCTTCTCGGGGTACAATTGGGTGGTCTGGAGCGCCGTCTTCCTACAGGCCGTCGGTGGTGTGCTCGTGGCTTTGGTTGTGAACTACTCCGACAATATCGCGAAGAATTTCGCTACGAGCATGAGCATCGTTATCAGCTTCCTAGCAAGTGTGTGGTTCTTTCATTTTAAGATTACCACCAGTGTAAGTTCAAAGATCTATCAGCCTGAGCAGTTGCTGACCATTGCGACGCAGTATCTACTTGGAACTGCAACCGTTCTCCTAGCCACATACCTGTGGACCAGCGATAATGGACCTCGTCCATTGAAGATTGTGGTTCACGATTACGAGAAGACCACTATTGGGCACCAACGCCCATATAGCGATAGCAGAGGCGCGCCAAACACAGGGTCAAGGTCAAGCTTTAAGGAGGCTCTGACCACTAGCAGGCCAAGCACGCCGGTCAACTTCGAACGTCGTGGGGTTGGGTTCAAGCGGGAAGAATGATGTGGGTAGTCTTCAAGTCACCTAATCTTTACAGACATCCAAAACATTGATGTGTTTCAATATATTATTGCTTACCGACGCACAATGGTCGTTCAAAAGTGCCAAGGTAGTCCTCTGGAAAGCACGGTTTGAGGGTTCTGCAGAGTTCTTTCTCCCTTGAGAACGCTATACGAAGCACTGATCATGTGAGTAGATGACGATATCAGGGAGACAATAAAAGGGGAAATTACAATCCGCTCGTGGATCACATCATCCTCTTTGGACTGAAAGATCAAAACACAAACCAGAATCCCTACCCCCAAGGATCGAACCCTCACTTTCAATACTCGTAAGCAAAACTTTTCGGGGCAATTGCCCCTCTACTCCCGACTTCGAAGAAGCAGGCGGTCTCCCACTCAGCCAAACTCACGTTTGGTCTTACAAGTGGGATATGATAGGGGCAGCTTCCATGGTATAAAAAGGTAGGTGAGTGCAGTGGTTAATTTCGCGTGGAAGAGTCTGAGTGTAATTACATATTCACTAGTGGGTTCTTGGGAGTTAAGTCATGCTGCATTGAGTGTGGACTACGGTGCCGAAGAGCCCTTCGTGCTTGACATTTGGAAGGAACATTGGTGACGTGATTGCCCTGACTGTATGAGGCACGTTCTTTCCCTCCAGCTAACTCCAGGTCAGCACTGTCAAACACCCTTCCATCGTTGTCTGCTTACAACTAACGATCCAGTGGTCACACACGATCCATCCGCTCACTATGTATGCCGATGGTTCATACAACCAATATGCGCCGTACGAGCAATGTGCAGAGGACATCGTAGATGACTACATTCGTGTTGCAAGCTACGAAACCGATCAAAGTAACTATGGTATTCCAAGATCTCAGACTGCAGAATAAATCCTGATCTAACCTTTCTGAACGCAGCACGCCCACATCGGCCAACCTCGACATCACGCCAGAGTCAGGCTGCCGTTGGCAGGGCTCGACTGTCCTTACCACCGTCCGCGACTGCGCCTATCGAGAGTCATGACTACCAGACGTACGAATATGTGCCCTCGATCCCTCAGGAACACCCAAGAGGCTACGTCGAAACTCAGGAAACGAGAATTTCAATCCGACCGACAGGTCTCTTCGCTCCTCCCGATCCACCATCATGTCATCACGTTTTCCAGCAACAGGCGAGTAGCTCATCGCCCATGATCGCTCTGCCGTCAACTCCAGCGTACCAAGCCAGCCAAAGGCAGCAAAATCCCGAGCCTATGATACCAACTCGGCCATACCCTACATCACAGCAAAAAAGGCCTATTACGACGGAAAGTCCTCCCATCGTCCAAGGAATCCGGCTCGTCCCGGTGCATACCCTTCCAGATCGCTTCCAGACCGTCTTTCCGTTTGCTATGTTCAATGCGGTCCAATCCGCCTGCTTCGAAAGCATATACGAGTCCCACGACAATTGTGTCTTCTCATCTCCTACAGGCAGTGGCAAGACTGTGCTCTTCGAGATTGCAATCTGTCGTATGCTTCGGGGTTGGCAGAATGGTACTTTCAAGATCGTCTATATGGCTCCGACAAAGTCTCTCTGCTCGGAAAGAGCTCATGACTGGAAGGCTAAGTTTGAGCCTTTGGGTCTGAAGTGCGAAGAGATGACTGGCGATTCGGACATAACCTCGCTTCAGCACGTTCAGCGAGCCGACATTATTGTGACCACACCAGAAAAATGGGACTCGATGACGAGAAAATGGAAGGACCACGAAAGATTGGTCCGCCTCATCAAACTGCTTTTGATCGATGAAGTCCACATTCTCAACAAGGACCGCGGCGCTACACTTGAGGTTGTTGTTTCGAGGATGAAATCTATCGGTTCTGGGACCAGATTCATTGCCCTCAGTGCAACAGTACCCAACTCACAAGATATAGCTACATGGCTTGGGCGCAACGACGATCTTCCTGACGTCCCAGCTACCCACAAGAAGTTTGGCCAAGAGTTCCGACCTGTCGAGCTCAAACGTTATGTATGTGGCTATCAATCGAGCCTAAACGCGTTCGCATTCGACGCTATGTTGAACAGAAAGTGAGTCAAATCTTGTCAAGCATCCCACCAACTCGTACTGATTGTGAACAGACTTCCGGAGATTATCACCAAGTACTCTCAGAGAAAGCCAATCATGATATTCTGCTTCACAAGAAAATCATGTTCAGAGACAGCGAAAGCTCTCGCCGAGTGGTGGAAGACCAGTACACCGAAAGACAGATATTGGGACGCGCCCACAAGCCATATTTCGGTGGAGGACAGGGGTTTGCAAAGTATGTCTTCTTTCATGGTCCATCCTCACAACACACTGACGCCTCCAGGCACTGTCACTGCTGGAGTCGCTGTCCATCATGCCGGTCTTGATCAACAAGACCGTTCTGCAGTAGAAAGAGCTTATCTTGTTGGTGATCTAAGCGTAATCTGCTGTACATCGACACTCGCAGTAGGTGTGAACCTTCCTTGTCACATGGTCATCATCAAAAATACCGTCAGCTATGAGGCTGGAGGCCTCAAAGAATACTCGGATCTCGAGATTATGCAAATGATTGGAAGGGCCGGTAGACCGCAGTTTGATACGTCAGCTCTTGCTACAATCATGACAAAGATGCAGCAGGTCAAGCACTACGAGCAGCTACTTGATGGACAAGAACGCTTGGAGAGCTGGTGAGGTTTTTCCTGCGGTATACTCTCGAGACTGAATGTTAACATACTCACAGCCTGCATCTTAATCTTGTCGAGCACCTCAATGCAGAGATCGGATTGGCCATGGTTCCGGATCTCTACGCAGCAAAGAAGTGGCTCGCTGGCACTTTCCTTAAAGTGCGACTCGAAGACAACCCGGCCCACTACCAGATCGACGGAGACACCCCAGGTCGAGATCTCGGAGCCAGACTGGAGCAGATTTGCGAAAAAGCTGTTTCTGAGCTCAGAAGACTCGGGTTAATCGAGCACGGCGCATTGTTCAAGTCTACGGAGTATGGAGACGCCATGGCACGCTACTATATGAATATCGCGACTATGGAGTCAATCTTGAATCTACCACGGAAGCCCAAGATGTCAGACATAGTATGTACTCGCATATACTCTTATGATCTCACCTACTAACCCGTGTTACAGCTGACTGTCATATCGCAAAGCCACGAGTTTAGAGAAATTCGCTTCCGTTCCGGCGAAAAACAAGTCTACAAGGAACTTAACGGGATGAACGACATTCGCTATTCCTTCAGGATCGATCTCTCTGCTGCCGCACACAAAGTGTCCCTGATTATACAAGCTGTGCTCGGTGGAGTCAACCATATTGCCGAACAAACAACTCATCGCTTTCAGTACAGCATCGACCAATCCTTGATCTTCCACCACGTTTATCGATTGATTCGATGCATAGTAGATTGCCAGAACATAAACAAAGATGCAGTCGGCATACGTAACTCTCTCATGTTATCACGCAGTCTGGCTGCGCGCGTATGGGATGATTCACCAATGGTACTGCAACAGATCGAGCAGATTGGCCCAGTGGCCGTGAGAAAGCTGATCAACGCCGGAATCACCAGCATAGACGAACTGTCAAGTACAGATCCGGGGAGAGTGGAACTGGTCCTCAACAAAGCTTCGCCCTATGGCATGACAATGCATCGTCGAGTTCAGACATTCCCCAGGTTGAGGGTCGGTTTGCAGATCGTTGGACAGCCTGTGAGCGAATTATATATGCCGTCTTTCTCTGACTTGTAGGCTAACCTCTGGTATCAGACGATCAAGCCTCAGGAGCATGTCGCTGTCAAAGTCAAGATTGACTTTGGCTTCTTGAATAACACGACTCCTGTTGAATATCGAAACAAGCGGGTCTTTGTGATCGTTCTGCTTGGCACATCAGACGGACGCAGAGTCAATTTCTTTCGCCTCAGGTACGCAAAGGATCTGCTAGTTTGTGACAGTGTGGTTAACAGAAGCAACAGTGCTGCAAAGCTTCAGTATATCAACCCGATAACTGAAACTACATACCTGACGAGCTCTAGTCAACTGATTGAGTGTTATGTCATGTGTGATGACCTAGGTCAGTAACACCGTGCCCTTGATTCAAACGCTAGTACCTAACACGCTCCAGCCGGAACCATGCAGGAAGCTGTACTCAAGCCCGATTTACCAGTGTCGGCATTTCAATCCATCAATGATATGACGGTTGATGCCGGCAGAAACAAATCGACTGCTCGACCCACAAGTGCTGTCAAGAACAACTGGATCGAGCCGCCGAAGAATGCTGACGCTGATGTTTGGGATGATGGAGGAGTAAACGACGATGACTTCTTCGTCGCTGAATCCAAAGAGGACGACTTCATGGATGTCGACGCACTCAAACAGCCGACCGTTGGTCTATCAAAGACCGGACAGTCAAGAAAGATCAGCGTTGCCGATACTGTCGAGACAGCAGGCGAACGGAGACTAGAAAACGGCAACTACGCGTGTCATCACCGTTGCAAGGATAAAAGTGCCTGCAAGCATCCATGCTGTAAGGGGGGAATGGAGAGGAAACCGAAACCAAGGTCAAAGAAGACCAAAGACAGCGAACCACCTGCTGCTAGCAAGAGTACGACGTCCTCCGCACTATGGACCAAGATCCAATCCAAATTGGAGCTCCCGATAAGAAGGAAAGCAGTTAGTGGGCCTGTGGAGCACCTTGATCTGTCCCAGGCAGCAAAACCCTTGAAAGACAGACTGCCTATGGCAGCCACACGACTTGCTAGTCTTCACGAAAGCACAAGCAAAGCTAGCGGGATTCCGACTATAAGAACGGCTTCCGTCACACCCGTGTCTCCAACCATCTCAGACAACTTCTCAAGACCAAGTTTCAAGCAGAGTCTGGAACCTTTGAGAAGCATCCGAGAAGAGATGTTTGACGATGCGACCCCGTCGGCGAAAACTATTCTCGAAACGTGGAGTCACGACAACGATGAGCTGCTACCAGACGATGGAGACTATCTGGATCCAGATGAAGACATGCTAGAAGCTGCTTTGGTGGGTCTTGAAGATTCGCAAAGCCTTCAACACTCAGACCAAGGATCACAGAGCCTCGACATGCTAGACTTTGACACGGTGCACCAGCAGGATGACGATGAGCCAGAACTTTTCGTGACGGCACATCCGTCACGGGTCGATGGCTTCGCAGAAGTATTTCAGGATGCAGTAGCAATGGTCGACCAGAACATTGATGACGTTTCGACAAGACTAGGGTTGATCAAACGCAAGCTGGACGATGGCACAGCATCAGACTACTTGTCGGCAAAGAAAGCCAGAACAGGCGACAAAGAGGCACTGCAGACGTACACAGAGCAGTCACAGGAACAAGAAACGAATGTGAGAGATGGAGAAAGCAAGGAAGAAAGGGAGGAGCGCGGTAGGGAGGAGCGCGAAAAGGAGGAGCTGCGAGCGTGGTTGGCGGCGGAGCTCGGAGACAGCGTCGAGATGATTTGACGCATACGCAGAGGGTATTGATCGGAGAGGGCCAAACGGAAGACAAAATTGCTTGATGTTGCTCGGGATAAGGTTAGCTATGGCATGGGTGGAAGTTGGTGGAAGCGGTATAAGATATTGCGAGGCGGAGGGCGACCGATGACGTGGGCTTGGCACATGTGCATATCGGTAACTATCTTTCACATGCTTCCCGTAGATTAATTAGTAGCTACACCGAACCCGTGGCATTACCTAAAGTGCTTCGCTGCAACACTTGATACACGCCGTCAACATGTCGGTCAAGTGAGTACTGCGCGACGTCGACTCGAGACGGGCAGAGGCTGACAAGAGCGAAGCTGGGTTATGGTGGAGCCCTCGTCGACGCAGCCATTTACTCCCCTACCGCACGAACAGACTCTCTACAAGTCGCCAGCCCGTACAAGCTTTTCTCTGCAATCACTCAACAAGTTCCCCGGCAAGGATCCCGTACACTGTTCAGCTTCTGCCGGTACCTTGTATCTCACCAACCGCCGCCTCGTCTACCTGCCCTCCACACCCACACCTCAGCTTCAGTCTTTCGCCGCCCCTCTTCTCAACACACACGATTCGCATGTCGTTGCCCCTTGGATAGGTCCCAATGTCTGGACCGCACTCGTGCAACCCGTCCAGGGCGGTGGCATCCCCGCCCACATTCCCGCCCTGGAACTTAAGTTTGCCTTCAAGGACGGAGGCGCATACGACTTCCACTCTGGGTACGAGCGCGTCAAGGAGAGACTGCAACAGCAGGTCGATGTCGCGAGGCAATCAGGCCATCTCCAAGGTGATGGCAGCGAAGCTGGTCGAGGAAGAGGAGCTGACACGCTAGCTGCTGTTGACGTTGCGAATGTGCATCTGGATGACTTGCCCGCTTACGAGGAGACTGGTGCTTCCGTGTCTATCCCTCAGCCTCAGGCACAGTCGGCGCCACCTCCTGTATCGAGGCAAGCTCCTGCCTCGTCCGAGTCGCACGCGCCAGAAGTCTTCACACCACCCGCTGAGCCACCACCGGGATACGAGCAGGTGCAGAGAGAGACTGTCGAAGATGAGTTGGAGAGAAGATTAAGCTCTGGTCGTATTCTCTGATCGCAGTCGCGACTCTTTGATGCAGTCATACGTATGATGAGATGATACCCCACGACAAGTTTCATGGTCGTCGACAGACCATGTCATAACGAGGAAACGACGGACTGGCGTGGCGTTTATGGCATTTCTTCTTGATCCTCCTTGTTTCTCTAGCAGGCACAGGAACGACTGGTTGTTTTGTTACTGTACCAGCATTTGAAATGAAAGCAGGAACGACACAAAGTTTCATTCACCTCCCCTACTGCGGTCATCCTTCCTGACTCTGACGACTAGATGATGCCGGGAACCCATCTCGCACCCACCACACTCTTATAACTCTCATACTTTCTTCTGACTCCCAGCTCTACGTTCTCGCCCTGGACAACATCCTCGTTGAGCATGAACTGCCTCTCCTCCAACTCGGCACCCTCTCTGTACAGGCCGATCAGTCCGATCACAACAACAGCCATGGCCACCATTCTGATGAATCCAAAGAACGCGTGGTTATGTCTCCACTCCTGCTGCATAGCGATCAAGCTCCCAACCCAACCGAGCATGTACGACACATACACCTGAAGACAAAGGTACAGTTAGCAGAGTTCTGTGTAAAAACGAATGCGGCACTATGCAACGAGCCAGCTTGCAGATTGATCTCGACATCAACGGAATGGCGTCCTGAACGCCGCCTCGTTCTTGTCGACCAGACATGCAAGATTGGCTCGCTGAATCTGTATCTTGAGCTTACTCACAGGATGCCTGCATAGCGCATAAGGACCAGTATTGATAACCTCTTTCGGCGTCACTCTTCCAAAGATGACCGACAGGTTTCCCTGGCCAGTGACTTCACAGCACCAAGTCCCCAGCATGAGACTTCCTGCTAGGAAGACCCAGGACAGCAGGTGCAAGAGTCCGGTGTTTGTCGAGTGGGCAATTGCAGAAGGTAGACTGGTAGTAAAGATTGAGGGAAAGGAGATTAGGATGGCGAGAATAGAGAGGCCTTTTACTTGGAGGACACGATTGTCATTGACGAGGCCGGTCGAGGGTTTGAAGAAGTGGAGGAAGATGCCGTAGGATTGGCCGCTGAGGAACATGAGGTAGAGGATTTGGACAAGGGATGGAAACCACATTGTGCCGGTTTGTTGTTTGATGCCTTTGAAACAATGCGATCGAGGATCAAAGAGGTTCGTGAGGAGTCGCTATGTCTGGTCTTATACTCTTGCGCATGTGATGATGGTGACATCAGAGGCTATATACCCGGAATGTCTCAGATCGACGCAGCAGGGTCGCCCACCTCAACCCCACGCGGAGACAGGAAACATTCGATGCCGAGGTCGCAAACAATGGGACTGTGACTTGATTATGCAAAAGGCTATCTTCAAACGTTCACCAAGATCATCATACCACATTCTACCGCGTCACGATAATACGGACCAAAAACAAGAGGAACTTCAATAGCCACTTCCCCACATCTCCTCCTCGTCAATGACTTGATCCATTGCAGCCGGAGCACGTCTCCCTTGATCCCTTTCACGTTGTCTTCTCTCTGCCCTGCTTGTCAAATGAGGCGTCACAGGTGTCACGGGCGTAAATGGCATATACGGGCTATACGGTGTAGCCATGCCTGTACGAGGCGCACTCAACATGTCGCGACGCCTCTCGAGATAAGTGGTTTTTGTAACCAGACCGGCTGATGCCAACGGCACGCCATCTGGCTGCGTCAAAACACGAAAAGGTAGCGTTCCGAATGTGGACACAGATTGGTTGTTGTTGTTGATGCTGCGGTCACCAGTCACTGCAGTGTTCAGCCTGAGTTCCGCCTGCCTGGTTGCAACGTTTGCGACTCTTGGGATTTCATATTGATAAATGCCGGCTCTTTGCGGTTCTGGCCGAGGCATGGCTCTGATCTCGTCAAAGGTTTCGGCATCCACAGGTGTTCCATAACCATCGTGTGTGCCCGGCGTAGTGGGCGCCTCGCTTCTGGGTGGCGAGCTTGGTGGGATCCCTGAATCGGTATAATAACGTGGAGTCAGTGGAGTGCGTACTTCTTCGTCAGACACTTCGCTGGAATGATGGCGGTGTTGGATGCGTAGGTTACGAAGTCCCTTTCGAGGCCGTTTGCCCTCCGCTTGGGAACCAAAGGAAGACGTCCGTGTACGTGTCGACGCTGCGCCTGGGGATATTGGCATTCGTGACTTCGGAGACGTAGTGAGGTGTCCGTAGTCTGGTCGCATAGGAGAGATAGGTGATGTCGCTTGATAACGGGGAGATCTTGGAGGGTAGATCGCCCGGACAGGACTCCTGGGAGACACAGGGCTGATTTGCGATTCTTGAAGATGTAGATGTGCAAGAGCAGGAGCCGAAGTCAAAAGCCTCGGAGGTTGTCTTCGAGATCTCGAGGGTGTAGCCTCAGGTAGCGGCATCTCATGTTCCGCAACAGTGGTTCGCGATTTGGCAGCTTCCTGTGCTAAAGCTGCCGCGTAAAGATGTTCCAGCTCTTGTTGTCTAGCCACTCTGTCCGCCTCGATAACGCTGGGGTCGAAGGATGCGATACTTTGCACTGCCGGACTGTTGGGGTTGCTGACCGTCCTGGTACTGCCTTGAATGCTGCGCTTTTTTCTTAACCTTCGAGGGCTGTACCAGGATCTTTGAGAATGAGGACTCATAGGCGAATCGTCGAACTGCGTCACGGTAGGTTTGACCATTTCCATCGAGGTTGTGAGATATGCTGACAAAGCCGCTCGTCGCATCCGTCGTCCGACTGTGAGGAGAAGGCTCCCAAAGATGAAGGCAGTTGCTAGATAAGCGCCTATGATTCCACAGATCTGACCAGCAAGCAAGTCGGAATCTCGAGAAGCGTGGAAAGAGAGGGGAGGTCCATCTTCAGGTGGCGGAGCTGGCTTGTTGTCAATATCGACCGTCCAAAGACTCGCTTGAACAAGAGATGCTAGACAGATGGTGTTAGTGACGTGCTGGAGTAGACGAGCTGGTCGGTTGACCATTCTTGAGTCGTTGGGGCTGGCTTTCCAGCGATGCGACGAATGCAGACATGTGAGGTGAAAGAAGATTCAACAGCAGGAGCCTGTTAGTCTACGTGAAAACCGTGCTGAGCGACTGCGATGGCAGGCAAAGTGATTGATCGGGCAGCTGCATTAGCGCGTGTGTGGCTTCGCGTTCGGCGCTTAAGTTTCAGAAAGACGTCCATACACCAGGGTAATTAACACGAGGGCGTCATAGTCAACTACTCGACAGGCTCAGAGACACTGGCAACGTGCGATGAGAAAGGTCTGGCAAAAATAGGAAATTTAGGGGTGTATCTTGTTGAAGGCGCCAGGACTGGCCAAAGAAGGGAAGAAGTATCGCCAAGAAGGAAATGGTCAGAACCAGACCAGAATGCCATGTGTTTCGAGGGTATCTTGTCGCTCGCTTTTGAATATGTAGGGTATGAAATGAAGAACCGAAGTAGGTGTGTCAGTTTTTAACAGGCTTTAAGGGGTCGTGAGGAGCGTGAGAAGGCTTGAGCGTCATTGAGTTTGCGTTGTTTCCACTGCCATTCGACCAGGACTGGCAAGAACTGCCAGATGTCAAACTCGGGCCAGAGGCATTCTAAGAAAACAATGCTGGTGTGCTCATGGCACTGCCACATCATGAAATCGCTCAGTCTTTGAACGCCCGAGGTCCGGACCAGAAGGTCGCAAGGAGGGGCATCATGAGTAAATGTGTGGGCATTGATCGTGTCTGCAGTGATGGTCTCGGGATCTGGAAACACAGTCTGCGGCCTTGTAGGTTTGAAGGCAGGAGAATTGGCCGAGGTGGACGTGCGAGAAGACGGAGGGTGTTCATCAGTGGATGCGGCACTGTTGTTCGATTCGTCCGTCTCTTCAGTGTTTTCGTCGTCGGCCGAGACTTCCTCTTGCACTTGAGTCAACTGGGTAGTACGCAGGTGGCGTGCAATATGTGATTCAGAGAAGGGACGCTTGTTGACAGAGCGCAAAGGGGTCGAGTATTCGCGGACAGTTTCACGAATGGCGTGAGTCATCTCGTGGCGGGACGTGTAGGGAAAGCAGACATTCAGGACGGCGTTGGTGTTGTTGCTGGTCAGGCGAACGGCTTCGTCTATGGATTCCAGGACGTCAGGGCGTATGAGATCTCTCTGTCCCAGGATCTGGATACGAGCGCCGTAGCGATGAAGCAGCTCGCCATGCTGCGCCAATTGATTGAGCTTGAACTTGGCCATGTCCATGAGGGCATCGACTTCGTACTTGGAGCGCTTGAAGTTTTCGATGCTAAAGGCGTATATGGTGACAACCTTGACTCCTGACTTGTAGCACACTTCGAGTATCTGCCCTCGAATTAGCACACGTCAATTCTCCAAGTATCTTGGGTGTGAACAAACACGAGCAAGGGCTTCGAAGCCTAGGTGGTGGCCTTCGACCGTCTCAATGTGATTGGTGCGAGCGTAACGTCGGTTGCCATCCATGACAAAGGCAACATGTCGTGGTATAGGCCCCTGTCGCAATGCTCCAATCAGCAGTTCTCTAACCCGCTGGACACCCCATTCAGCCGGGGGAGAAGATAGCAACCATCTACGGAGGCGTGTCAGGTGGGCAGAGGACATGTCGACGTTGCTTGTGAACGAAGAAACGTGGACCTCTGGTGAATGGGAGCCATGGTGCAACAAATGCCATGGCTTAGCTTGCCATGCGCTCCTGCGTCAGCTCTCGGCACCGCCTGCCGCGTGTCAATTGTCTGAGCAGCGCGACTCGCGAGACCGTCGGCCCACCGCGGCTTCGCAACTCCGCTGCCAAGCCCCTCCATATCCGTGCGCGCCTCTCCTCGAATTCTCTTTGTTGCTTCCGCATTCGACGCCTCTACCACCTTGTTTCCACTACACGCTCTGTAGCTTGCTTCTCCCATATTGTCTCATCATGGCGTCCATCGCCGAAAAGCAGCTGCAGAGCTTGCTGGACGGCTTCGACGCCTTGCGACTGGAGTATCAGCGTGTCTACTCGCGATGTGCTGTTCTCGAGGCTCAGCTGGCTACAGCAAAATCACAGGTCAGTCCATTCCACACTCTGCTCCGACACCACGCCCCTCCTCCTGTGTGATGAACAACCTTTAGCTCTAGACCTGCAGCTGTTCGCAGCTTTGACAGATAACACACCATAGCATGTTACTGATCCTTCTTATCCACCTTGCTCTCAACACTCAACAAACCTCTCGCCGGCACATTCGCTGACTTGACCAATTAGTATTCGCGCCTTGCCGCCCTCAGTCCTGAAAAGGCCAAGCCCTTCGATCTCTCGGCCTCTGCAGCTTTTCCTTTGGCTGTTGATTTCGAGAGCTTGATAAATAGTTCTAAGATAGTTGACGCCAGCCGTCGTGAAAAAATCACTGCCGCTTCACGTACTTCAAATTCGCTGCATTCGACTGGCGTAGCCATCCACACTGGGCCTTCGGCCGACAAACCTTCCGCTCCCACCTCATCTGCTGCCATGCCCTCCATATCAGAATCCCCTCTCGAACAAGACTTTACTGTTCCGGGCACTCCGAGCAGACTTGATTGCCCTTTTGCTTCCATGGAAAGGCGCAAATTGAGCTCGCACGCCGCTTCAGTCGTATCTCGTTACAAACCCGAATCCATTCGACAGCCGCGCACATCAGGCTCGCGTATCAATGGAAGACGCAATTCTTCCAGCGCACGAAATTCAGTCGTTGATCCCATAAAAGAGGTTTGTGGCATGGAATCACACAAGAAAAACACCGACGCTGCGCCATCGGTCCAAGGTTCGTCTACCGACAAAGTGTGCCCCATACGTTTCCTCGATCAACACAGCCCAGAGGAGGTTGCTGCCTATTTCGAGCTACACAAGCATGAGCTTCCAAGAAGTCACGAAATATGCGTAAAGCGATACCAAAGCAATGAGGAACAGATCCGGGAGCTCGATGCAAAATACGGTAATATTGTTAGCATGATACAAGGGCTGGGTCAGAAGCACGTATCCCTGTTGCCGGAAAATCTGGGCGATGAGCATCTTGAAGCAGAGCAGGACTTGGACGAGGGCGAGCGTGCTAGCCATGAAAAGATACGGCAGTGGGCCAGCACCGTTTACACTGGACCAGATGCCCCAGCCGAGGAGAAAGAGGGAGGAGAGACAGAAGATGAGCGACTGCCCCGTTTTGATCGGCCACTCAGAGATGTTCGTCTAGGCGAGAGTCCGAGTCGACCATGGGGTATACAGGTGCCAATTGAAGCACAAGATCGTCGCGGAAGTGTGTCTTCGAGCGTAGCAGCTGCTGCGAAACCTGAAGTATCACAGGCGCCTGTCGAAGCACCCCTTGAAAAGTCCAAGGGGAAATGTCCATTCGGTTTCGACCAACAACAACCATCTGGACAAGACAAGGAGGATCAAATCGCCGTTGAACCAATCGCCAAACCGACCCTGGAAAGAGTGGCTGTCAACGATACGAAGGCCGAGACAAAACCTACTTTCATTCAGACCGCGCAGCTCGAAACGTCGACTGAGAAGAAGTTCGGGGACCAGCCAGTTTTCATCAAGACAGAATCTGGCGAGCAGAAGAATGAGGCGGCACAGATGGTATTTACCGGACCAGTCTTCATTGGCTATTCGGTACAAGAAGCCATGACTGTGTTACAATCAATGCAACGGAACTAGAGTAATGAGTAATGCCACGAGACGAATCACGACTGTTCGTAACAACCGATTTTCCCAGAGAAGGGTGCAGTAGCGTAAAGTGATCCCAGATGTAGATGGCCCTTGAGTTGAGCCTGTGAGTGAGGTGTTGGAACGACTGCTTTCCTATGTTTGTTCGCTATTGCGATTGGTGTCGGGTTACATGTGCAAAGTCTGTCGGCAAGGACGAGATGTTGAAGAATGCTAGCAAGAAGAAAGAGAAGAGGGAAAAGGACTTGGAGTGATTTGGACCATCGGGCCGGCTGTCATTGGTTGGATTTAGTGGCCCGTGCATGGGGAAACGTCGAAAGGTTCGCAGTGCCGCCTCTTCGACAGCACGACAGTCAACACATACAGAGTCGCCTCACAACCGCTACCATGGGTATCTTCGACTACGTCTCCGATCTTTACTCGTCTCTGTCCGTTCAGTCATGCGAGGCTGAAGTTCAGGACGACCTCAAGTACGCCTCGGGCGACTTCAACTCGTCCAAGGACCAACAGAACGGCATGGGCACGGCTGAGCAGACCCGTGGCGCCACCACCAGAGGCGGCGTCAGCACCTCCGTCCCTGCCGCCGGCACCAACGAGGAGAGCGACTCCGAGGCCGAGGTCAACAAGCAGGACATCAAGAAGCCCGAGCCCTCGAACGAGAAGGGTCACACTCCCGGCGAGGGTGGTGCTGCTTCTGGCCAGGTTGGCCGCGACAACGCCGGTCCCCACGGCGGTCCCGTCGGCAAGCAGGACGACGATGAGGACGAAGAAGAAGAGGATGAGGACGAGGAGGAGGAAGATGAGCCTGAAGACATCAAGCCCAAGATCGAGGAAGGTACGTCAAGGAGCCGTTCAAGATGCAGACTCGACAAGAAAGACGTCTGACAAGACGACAGAGTGCGCCAAGTCAGCCGAGTGCGCTCCCTACAAGCACCACTACGACCACTGCGTCGAGCGCGTCACCAAGCAGCAGGAGGAGAACGGCAAGGCCGACGAGGATTGCGTCGAGGAATGTGAGTATTGTCTCGTATCAGGCAAGCAATCGTGACGGCGATATTGATGCAAACCGTCTAGTCTTCCACCTTGCCCACTGCGCAACCGCATGCGCCGCCCCCAAGCTCTTCAAGCAGCTCCGATAAACGACACGCGCGCCCATAGGCCCCATTCAAGCAAGTCGACTTTCCTTGTGGTGGAAGCGATGACACTAGCCTCTTGTACAAAGCATCTTCTCTACACCACGAATTGTACTATTTTTCCTTTTTGTTTCCTAAAATCCTAGATGAGTCGTTTCAAGAGAGGTCAAAAGCATGTAGCACAGCGCCTGTATGCCCAATTCCGTTCAACCATCCTCGACGTTACCAATGTCTCTCACTGACCCGACATGGCACATGATTGTGATGCAGGCTTCATGGAATTGGTTATGTGAATGGTCATGGCGAATATAATTGGCTCGGGGGAGACGGCAATGACGCAGCACTTAGCTAAGCTTCATAAGTTGAAGCAGTGCTCCCGACACTCTTGACAATTGATTCTTGATTTCGATCTCCTGGACGAACACAATCGCATCCATCAATCATGTCTTCCGCCGCCGTCTTCCGCAACTCTGCCGTGCGCTCTGCCCTCAGAGCCAGCGCTCCCTGTGCCGCCAAGCGCGCAGCCTTCGCCAGCACCACCTTCACCCGCGGCAAGGCCACTCTTCCCGACCTGCCCTGTATGGATTGCATCCTCGACACCATCTACACGGCAACATAGGACTGACCACGCTACACAGATGACTATGGTGCCCTCGAGCCCGCCATCAGCGGCCAGATCATGGAGCTCCACCACTCCAAGCACCACAACACCTACGTTACCTCGTTCAACGCTGCTTCCGAGAAGATGGACGAGGCCCGCTCGAAGAACGACATTCAGACCCAGATCGCTACCCAACCCTTGATCAATTTCCACGGCGGTGAGACGATTCATCCCACTTCAGTTGCTGCGCCCAACCCACTGACACAATCAACACAGGCGGTCACGTCAACCACTCTCTCTTCTGGGAGAACCTCGCTCCCAAGTCTCAGGGTGGCGGTGAGCCCCCATCAGGCGCCCTCTCCAAGGCCATCGACTCGCACTACGGCAGTCTCGACGAGATGAAGCAAAAGTTCAACGCCGCTCTGGCCGGTATCCAGGGCTCAGGCTGGGCTTGGCTGGTCCAAGACACCCAGACTGGTGCCATCCAGATCAGAACCTATGCAAACCAGGACCCCGTTGTTGGTCAATTCAGACCAATCCTCGGTGTTGACGCTTGGGAGCACGCCTACTACCTCCAGTACCAGAACAAGAAGGCCGAGTACTTCAACGCCATCTGGGATGTCATCAACTGGAAGGCTGCCGAGAAGCGCTTCCAGTAGACGGCTGCTTCATGCATTAATGACACTCTTAATCCCTCATCGTACTGTATATAGTCGTATCCGAGAGGCTTCCTGATAATCACTTGACACCTGAAATTACCACGCATGATAGAGGATGATTCTTGACAGGCCATGCATGACGACAGCGAGGATGTGACATGGAAATGATGGTGACTGACGACCATGCAAATGCTTTTCAATTCATGATATTCTAAACGCTCCCAATACCATTATATAAGAGAAACAGAGAAACTCTACAGCAGAGGCTTCTCCATAGGTGCAATGATGCCCTGTTTGACAACAACTCTGGGTCTCGTGTTGCGCTGGAAAGTCTCCTTTGTCGTCCACTCGGGACCAACAGGCACACGCAAACTTCTCTCATACTGCTCCCTCTTCTCGAATTGATGAGGTAGTGTACTAGCCAAATACTTCTTACCCTTCCTTTGCTGAGCTTCTGAAATGATGACATTATTGAGTTTGGCATCTTTGCGGTTGGCGGCCTTGACACCTTCTGTGACCTTCTTGTGCAAAGGATTGTGGGCCATGCGCTTGTTTTGCTTTCTCGCTGCTTTTGAGAGACCGGTGCCGGTCCACGAGCCCCAGCCGGGGAGGAAGGTTGATTCGACCTTGTCACCTTCGTCTTCGACTTGTGCTTCCTTTTCGGCTTCGAACTCGACGGCAACATCGTCGCCGGCAAAGGCACGTTGGTGGAAGAGGGCTTGCTTATCCTTGGAGGCGAGCATGGGGTTTACTCTGTTGTCCTCTTCGGCATCAGCTTCTTCTTGGTCATTGTCGTACTTGACGGTTTCCCAACCTTCGGTCGAGGGAGCTGCGGTTTCATTGGCTGCGGGCTTTTGCGTCTTTGCTTGAGGCTTCTTTCTATCAGTGACAGGTTTTACTGCAGGTGCAGGTGCAGCCTTGGAAAGATCCAGAATCTCCTCGTCGGCGGCCTTCTTGTTCTTCTTCTTGCTCTTGGATGCGCCAGTCAACCATGCATTCTCTTCCGTCTCCTTGGGCTCATCGACATCGGCCACGACTTTCTGGGCGTTCTGGAGGAAGGATCGTGACTTTTTGGACTGAGGAGCGGGCTTGGTGTCTGCCTGAGCACCGACATTGATCTCAGCTTCAGCTTTGTCTGGACGGTTGTCCTGCTCGTCCAAGTCCTTGTTCTCTTCAAGCTCACCACGAGGAGCAGCCTTGAAAGGATTGGCAGTGCCTTGCTTAGGCTTAGGTCCGAAGATTGCACGACCAACAGTAGCATCTGCCTCTTCTTCGCTCTCATCATCCTCGTCGGCCAACTCCCTACGCAAGCTCTCAATGTCCTCGTCGTTCTGAGCCTTTCGTGAGGCTTCGGCTCGGAGCATGAAAGCCATGTTACCAATCTTGGACTTTTCTCCATCTTTGGCACCGAGCTTGTCGATCTTCTTGGCCAGACGTGCCTTTTCGAGTTCGTCGTCGTCGAGCTCCTCGTCTTCGTCATCGCTGACACTGAGGTCGGAATCGTCGCTGTCACGATCGTAAACGTCCTTGCCCTCGATTCTCCTCCTGAGTTCCTCGTTACGTCTGGCCATGTCGATCAGACCCTCTCTGGCGTCCTCGTCCCAGACTGAACGATTTGACTTCTTCATGGCCTTTGACCACTTGCTGTCTTTGTGCTTGGTGCCCATTCTCTCCTCGGCACGTCTTCTGTCATTCTTTTCCTTTTCATCCTCATCTTCAATGCCCTCGGCCACAAGGTAGTCGCGCTCGGCGGCCTCGGCACGCTCACGCTCCTTACGATGCACACGGCGGTAGGCTTTGGACTTGATCTTCTTGACACGCTTGGCCTTGACTTCCTCTCTGAAGAGCAACTCTCTTGCCTTGCGGAGTTCGGCACGTCTGGCCATGACTTCTTCGATAGGAATCTTGTTCATCTGCAGCTCTTCAAATTGTTGAAGTTGGTCCTCCTCTTTTCCTTGCTTTTGCTTGTTGCTGAGACCACTCTCCTCGAGGATGTTTTGAATGGCGCTTTCGAGTTCGTTGGCGGGCTTGTCTTGCTGAATGGGCAGCATCTTTTGGGTTCCAACGGCCTCGATGGCATTGGGATCTGCGAGGGGGAACTGCAAAAACTCGGCTCTGCGGTTCTGGATGACGGTATCGCGCCATCGGTCAAGAGTCTTCTTGGTTTCTTGGGTGGCAGCTGCTCTGTCCAGTTTGTCCTGTTGTCTCTTGGGTAGAGGAGCATCCAGCTTTCCAGGGATGCCTGAGCGCTTTGTGGATTTTTCGTCGGTGAGCAATTTGAGCGACTTGCGAAGAGCGGGATCGGTAACAGTAGGCAGCAAATCGGAAATCTTGAGCTTCTGCGAGGCAGACAGGCCATATGCCGAGGGTTCTTGCGACTCGTGAGCGTCTTGAGTACGTCCACCGATGCGCTTTTCCGGGTTGTCCTTGTTCAGCGATGCGACCAAATCCTGCAGTTTGGACAACTTGGTAGCGTCGTCCTCGTCGTCGTCCTCTTCAGATTCGTCGTCCTCTGATTCCTCCTCTTCTTCTTCTTCTTCTTCATCATCATCAGACTCTTCTTCAGACGAGTCGTCGCCGTGCTTCTCCTCTGTTTGCATGAGGTCGTCCTCGTTGTCCTCGTCGAGCATGGTGGCTAGATCGACACCCTCGTCGCCAAAGTCGCTGGCCGAGTCTTGTTCGTCGCTGTCGCCGCCTTCGTCCAGATCCATTTGCGGAGTAGGCTGAGGTCTCTTCTTCTTCTTCTTTGAAGGACCACTGGTAGAGCTTCCTCTAAATGTGAAGCCTTCGAAACGTTCTTCATCGCTCTCACCAAAAGCTTCGTCACTGTCGAGGTCGCTGTCGCTTTCGTCGCCGATGTGGCCACCCATACGCCACTCGTTTCCTTCGCTATCACTTCCTTGGTCCGTCTCTTCATCCAGACCTCCTCTCTTTCCAGTGCCGGTTCTCTTGGTCACGGTCTTTTGTTGCAGTCGGCGGGCGTTGCTGGCGTGCTCCTCGTCGTCGTCGTCGTCTTGGTCGTCGTCTTGGAGTCTCCTGCGCTTCTGACGGGGTTCTCCAACAGAATCGCCCAAACGGTGCTGGCGGACTTTGTAAGTGTCTGGGGCCGAGTGCGAGGCGATCGAGTAGGCGTCGAGAGTGCGTTTCTGAGACTTTTTGCGAGCGTTTGTGGGTTTGGCCATGGCCACGCTCGAACGAGCGACGCGAGCAGGCATGATTGTGGTGATATGTTGCGTCAAAAAAACGGCAGGCTTGAAAAGTTCCGAAAGTCTTTCATAGAGAGTTGGAGTTAGCGGCAAAATTGTCGCCAAGAGTGCGGGTAGCAACTGCCAAAGTTCGCCGCAAACCACCTCCGAGTCGCAACTTGCTGCGCTACTGAGAATCAAATCAGCACCACCAGCAGCATCGTCAATCTCGTCTCGGCTCGTCGCCGTCATGTTCACTCCCACTCCTTCTCTCGCACGCGCTCTCCGTCGTCTCGCCCTCACCACCAAGCAGGCCGGCAAGGACTACTACAAGGGTACCGGCACAGGCTCCATGGGTCGTCACACAAAGTTTGGTGGTTACACTATCGACTGGTCAAAGGTCCGCACCTATGTCGTCCCTGACCTCGCCGACTTCCACGTATGTCCTTGTGTCGTTCCGCTGCCATTCACTCTTCTGACATCTTGACAGCTGAAGCCCTTCGTCGCCGAAAACATCGACAAGCCCGCAAAGGACCACGAATTCGCTGGAAGCCTCACTGGAAAAATGTACCTCGATGCATGGAAGAGACAGGGCGACGCCATCTAGACTCCTTCTCTCTCTGCTCCGCCAATCTTCGCCTTTTCCGTTACATCTACCAGGCTTTTCTTACGATACCCATGGACTGCATCCTTCGTCTTCCTGTACATTACTCTTTTACTTTCTCCAAGAAACCATACAACTCCGTTATTCTTCTTAGCCAAGTTCAATATTACTAGTTCTTTTTTCAAACAAGCACCCTTTATGAACTACGTTTGAATAGAATATAATGAAGACATATGTTATTGTTATCACACCCTCTTTAAAGAACAGTTTCTTGATCGTCCAGATTGTCGACCTGATTGCATAAATTCTTCTAAACAGCAGACAAGTCCATGGAGAGCCGATGAATAGACCAATCTCAGTGGAACACTTGGATCCGTTGAAGGGCCCGTGCCTTTCTATGGCTACCGTGTGATTATTCATTCGACAGAAGGAGGTACCATTGCAATTGGGATAAGAAGATGAGGGCCTAGATAATACTTTCAACTATGCTTCAGTGATGGATCATTCGCTTTAGCCTTCACATACATATGCACATGTCTTACACGCTACACTGGATAGATGGATGATGGGAAACGAAGTTTGATTCTTGATGCTCGGCCGTAAAAGACAATCATGTCATGCTCATAAAGAAAATCGCAACGGCTGTGTAAGAATGAGTGTGTACCTCAATGGAGAGTAATGCATGATGATGATCATGTTACCCAGTAGGGCAAGGGCTGCTTAGACATAGAAAGTCTTCTCGGTCAATCTGGTGTGAACTCCCTGGGTCCACTCAGCGGTTTGTGCGTTGTAGGCAGAACCACTTGCACTCTGGTTCTCGTTCAAGGTCGAGTAGAGATACATGCGTCCCCTCTCGCAAATGAGGTCAGCATAGTATGCTGGAGGACAGATCGAGACTGCCTTAGTGGCTCGATTAAAGGAATAAGTCGGACGAAAGATTCCAATGCATCCTGGCTGAAGTTCAACTCATCTTTCAGGACGATATAGTGAGCAGGTCTGGCGGTTCCTTGCAGACCCTTGTGCGCCTGGAGGAAGAAGTCCCAGAGGTAGTGAGAGGTCACACCTCGATCGAAAACTGTTCCTGGCATTGGGTTACCAGTTCTTTGGTCCATGGACTTGTTATCAGTAGGATAGAACCTGGTGTTATGACGTTTCCCGACCACAAACGGTTCTTGATCTGGACGAGGCTCGTTCAAGGAGTCGCACAGCATAGGCGTATACCCGACCGATCATCAAGCTACAGCACATGCAAACCATGCCTGTGTTACCTGCCTGCAACTTGAAAGGCCTGCATGTGTCGTATCACAGTGAACCAAGAGCTGCGTGTGACACGAGCAGGTGGCTGTGTGATCAAATCTCGTGAATCCATCACCGAAACGTACATTACAGCATGTTTTACCTTGAGCCTGACCCAAATCTATCAGATGGGCAAGGTGCTTTGTGAGCGCCGTCTTGCCTTTGATCAGCGACGTCAATGGCGCTGCTCATAGACCGGTCCTCTGCAGATACTTACCAAGGATATGTTTGTCGCAAAGACACGGAACTCAACTCTTCGTCTATGAACTGTTTAGCGTCGACTGCAAGCTGTCAGAGGCCATGATATTCTTCAGAGATTAGTGAGAGCGTATCAAGCTGTCGTTTTGCTGTTCAAAACGTATCCTCTGAATGGTAGTAGGAAATATCGCCTTGGAAAGTGGCAGGCACAGTGGAGCGCGTTCGCTTCTTCCCACAGCTTTCCCCAGCCGTTCTTTCTCAGAACCTTGTTTTCATTTAGAGGACCTACATCTTACTCCTCCATCGCGCTCAAACATCTTCTGCCCGAATTGCTCTCACACCGTCAGAAGTCGATTGTGTCAAACAGGGTAACCGGTATCCGACCTTTCTGGTACAACATCCTCTGAGACAACTGAGGGGCAAGCGGCTCTCAAATTCTCATCGACTTCGCTTCCAGCCCCTTGATACCACTTCTTCAAGGGATGCTTGACATTCCTTGGAAGCCACCTCAGACGCTGCGCTCTGTCTAGATTTTTGGCCCATGTAAGACTATGCGCTAAAGCGATCACACTTACCGTTCACGCTCATCCTGTGCTCTTGCACTCGTGTCGTGAATTGCTAGGCTCTTCCGCCTAGGAACATTCTTTCTAAGCCTCTTTGGGATGCAAGGCAAGTCACGTTTGCATGATCACTATACCCCCCTTGACTCGAATCTCTCGATACTCAGTAGGTTGCAGGGGAAAAAAGTACCTTTTAATCACAGGACGTCTGTAGAATCTCACTCCTCGACGCCTATTGCGCCCTCGGACCCACCCCCTTAAAACGGCCGTAAGCTAAGCTATTGTTCTCTTGACTACTACTAGGCGTTGGAATATTTATCTAACCTTGATTCCTCTGGTGACTCTGCGAGACGCTCAGCCAACACGTTCATTATGGGTGGTTCCTTCCTTTGTTTGATGTTCTTCCTGAACACACTTCTAGCACATCTGACCACGGCCGCACCTCTCGCCAACGACAATGACTGGGAATATTATTACGACTGTGGGACAGATACCAGTAGTTTGCCTACACAGTCGACTGCATACCCGGGGTCTACGACCTCTTCTGCTAGCAGCTTTACGCCTGTGCTGTCCACCAGGCGATCAGATACCTCATCCTACTCGCTCTCGACCACCAATCGCTTGTCGTCTTTAAGTCAATCTGCGGTTCAGACCGCCTCTTCGAAAGTCGAGCCTCAAACTTCAGGTGTCGTTATTACTTCCTTGGAAACTTCTGGCAAGAGCTCTGTCCAGCCGTTTCCTACATCGGTGGCTTCTGCTTCTACTACTCTGTCCCTGATCAACACGGCTAGTACATCTTTACCCCACCCGAATGCCACTCCTCTGGCTGCAACGATGTCTGTGGACAATGTTTTCGTGGCATTCGCAAGTGGTCCACCTCCGTCACAGATATCCTCAAGAACCGATCATCCAGTTGCTCATTCCATGATCGCACCACAAAAAAAGAAATTGGAGACGAACAAGTTCTACGCCAACTTCCTCTTAGGCTCTCAGTCATCCTCTACCTTCACACATCCCTACTCGGTGAGTTGGGGAAAAGGGGCAGGTGTGCTCAAAAGTTACGGGCTGGCAGTTAGCCACATTGAAAGATCGCAGCTGGCATTCGGCCCTGGAGATCCGGCTCGATACTTCATCAACCCTATCGGCATACAATCGCTCACACTTTCTGCTTCGGAACTGAACACTACAACTCAGCTCACGGTGGATTCTCTGGATGCCTTCTCGGCCAATGTCAACCTCCTGGCACGTCCTGGTGCTGCTCCGACTATCACCTTCCCATTGATCCAGGGAATGGGATTTGTGACAGGTGTTTACAGCAATGGAACGCCACGTATCGAGAGCGCGATTTCTTTTATCAGTGTCACGTATGTTGGACGTATGCCTTCCGGATCGACCTTCAAGCATCAAGCAAAACTTGCTGATGGTACATCTTGGAACATCTATGTCACAACCTCGCAGCCAGGATACCCTGTCAACTCCTTCACCCTGACCAATGTTCGCGTACTGCAAGGAGCCCCTAAATTCCAGGGGTTTATTCAAGTCGCGAAAGTGCCCTCTGCTGGTGCAGAAGCGATCTATGACGAAGCAGCAGGTGCATATCCGGTCTTTGCAACGGTATCTGGATCTGTAACAGGAGCTGCTGGAACGTACAAGTTGACCTGGACGAAACAAGGCGTCGCAAATCGAACTTTACTACAGTGGGGCCTCCCTCACCACGTTCAAAGTCTTACCTCTGGTGGAGTGACAAATGTGAAGCTCCAGACGACCACTAAAGGGATGGCTACGGGTATTGTTGGCGACTCATGGACATTACTCGAGCAGAACTTGCCAGTAGACATGGGATTCGCTCCTTGGTCACCATCACTCCGAGGAGTCAGCAAGGTCTCCGCCGCAGCTATGAAGTTAATTAACAAAGCCGGAGAAAGTGAACTCAGCCAGGACATGAAGAAGCAATCAAATCTTGATTCGATGTACTACTCTGGCAAAGCACTCGCCAAATTTGCCGCCATTACCTATGCAGTTCACGATGTCGGCAAGAATGCAACACTCGCTATAAGTGGACTTCAAAAGCTAAAAACTGCATTTGACACATTCGTTCGCAACAAGCAGATTCTTCCTCTTGTCTACGAGTCGTCATGGGGTGGAGTTGTCTCCAGCGGCACATACCAAACTGGAGACTCTGGTCTAGATTTCGGCAATACTTATTACAACGACCATCATTTCCATTATGGATACTTTGTTTATGCGGCTGCTGTGATCGGATATCTGGATCCGAGCTGGTTGAGCCAGGGGACGAACAAGGCATGGGTCAACACATTGGTCCGCGATTATGCCAACTCTGTTACCACTGATGCTTACTTCCCCTTCTCTCGATCCTATGACTGGTATCACGGCCACAGTTGGGCGAAGGGCTTGTTCGAGAGTGGTGATGGAAAAGATGAAGAGAGTTCTTCCGAGGACAACTTGTCCATCTATGCAATCAAGATGTGGGGACGAACCATCGGCGACAAGGCAATGGAAGCCAGAGGCAACCTCATGCTGGCTATCCAAGCAAGATCTATGCAGAATTACTTCTTGTACTCCTCGGATAACAAAGTGCAACCTGCCAGCTTCATCGGTAACAAAGTCAGCGGAATCGTAAGTGTGGAATTGCACCTACCGTAGAGAAGGTCACTCATATTCAACAGCTGTTCGAGAACAAAATAGACTACACGGCATGTTATCGAGTTCTGTCTTCTTAGGGACTTCGCTAACTCCCTACCTCAGACCTATTTCGGCAGCAATCCAGAGTTCGTACACGGCATCCACATGATCCCGGCTGGCTTCCCATTTAGCGCATACGTGCGCACACAAAAGTTCGTCACGGAGGAGTGGAACACCTTCTTCTCCAACGGACGGGCCAATGTAGACGGCGGTTGGAGAGGTATATTGTACGCAAATTTGGCAACCATCCAGCCAGCTACTAGTTATGCTTTCTTTTCAGATCCCAAGTTCAACCCTGCTTACCTTGATGGTGGAGCTAGTTTGGCTTGGTACTTGACTTATTCTGCAGCTATGGGCGGGTCGCCTAGTGCGGCTAAGCGGTCAGATGCTGGAGGGAATGTGACAGAAGGAGAGTCGATAGAGAGACTGAAGGTGGAGGGAGAGCAAGTAACTAGTGCTGTCCATGGGCATAGAAGTCACGGCCATTCGCGGGTCTAGAGTAGAGAGTCGAATTTTGATCCATGAGCCGCTGGACGGATACGGGATGCTGGTCATTCTTTCGGAGTACTGGGACGAGTATACATAACCAGCATAGCACATAGCAACGAACATATTCGTTCTTTCTTAATGTTGTTACTTCGTGCTTATCTCTCTCTGTTCTAAGGCATGTGACAAAGTAGCCATGGAAAGGCACAGTCCCTTCGAGGGATCCAAGGGTTCCACTGAGAGTGGTCTATTCATCGGCTCTCCATGGACTCGTCTACCATCTTGAGAAAACTATGCAGTCAGATAGTTACTATCATTGTCAGAGGAGAACAGGAGATACTGGCTTTCGACTTCCGCTCTGTGCTTTCAATCTCACCTTACCCTCTTTCCGACTCTGCGCTCAGACCGAGCGAGCCAAGTTTTACCACCACCAAAACAGAAATTTGTCAACTGTCCCACCAAAACGACATAGTGCAAGAAACATCAAAAAGAAACGTCAGCAGCGAGGTGAAGGAATAGCCGAAGGTGGGATATCTAAGAAGATAAGAGCCACACGCTCTACCGATTGAGCTACCCCGGCAGGTCTGATGATCAAGTTCATTGTCTGAACTGGCTGTTGACGATGGACGGCAGTGCTAGACCTGGGTAAATGAAGTCTCGGTACTGCAGTGCCTATCTTCACGCAGTGGTTCTCGCTTGATGAGGCTGGATTTGTGCAGCGCTTCTTCCAGGTGACCTGCGTATGGTAGGCAAAACAAGATGCCGTAAGCACAGATCTAGCGACCGTGCGGTTGTTGAAGGAGGATAGAAGGTGATGCGTTGTTATGAAGAAATTGAAGCTCCTGGCCACCTTGCCCGCTATCGGGTCGACTCGCCTATCGTTCGGCTAAAGTCGCTCATGACTTTACCTCTCATGCATGACAATCATCAAGCTAAGGGCGTGTGTTCTTGTATATAAATCGAAACTACAGTATCTTGCCTAGTAACACTCTGATCTCCATCCAAGACATCACACCATGGCCAAACTCACCGACTTCAAGCTTCTCTCCTTTGACGTCTACGGTACATTGATTGACTGGGAGACCGGTGTCCTGACAGCGCTCCAACCTCTGCTCAGCGAAAACAACAAATCCGACACCTACACCCGCAGGGAACTCCTAGAGATCTACCACAAGCACGAGGCTTCTCAACAGCAAAAGACTCCGGACTTATCCTACTGCGACCTGCTCGCCACAATCCACCCTGACCTAGCCAAAGACTTGAACTGCAACCCGCCATCCGAAGAAGAAAATACAGCATTCGGAAACTCGGTGGGAAAGTGGCCTGCCTTCCCAGATACAGTCGACGCACTCCATCGATTGGCAAAGCATTATAAACTCGTGGTACTCTCAAATGTAGACCGCAACTCTTTCTCCACCACAAATTCTGGACCTTTGCAAGGAGTTTCGTTCGATGCCATAATCACAGCTCAAGACATCGGCAGCTACAAACCCTCGCTCAAGAACTTTGACTTTATGCTGGAGAGAGTAAAGGAAAAGTTTGGAGTCGAGAAGGCTCAGGTGCTGCAGACGGCGCAGAGTCAGTTCCATGATCATCATCCGGCCAAGAAGATGGGTATCACGAGTTGTTGGATTGTAAGACCGGGAGCGGAGATGGGCAACAGAGATGAAGAGATTTTCGATTGGAAGTTTGATACACTGGGAGAAATGGCTGATGCGGTTGAGAAAGATGCAGCAAAGTAGGAATGGATTCAGCGATATGATCCTGGTAGAGCTGATCACTTACGCGTGGCTATCAGCATGCATAGTACTTTGCAGAAACATGGTACCATTCACCCGTAGACCTGTTAGTTCTTCCCACGTGCAAAGGTTCATGACGCATATAGCTATGGAAACGCACAATACTTTCGAGAATTGGATCGTATCCACCAAGACACAACTCAATCCAGGCTCTCTCTGGACACATCCCCCGTCTAGAGATCACTGTGTCTTTCCACAGCGAGCATACTGCATACTGCATTGGTGGGATGAAGAGTCAAGTCATTGCCGACCGCAAGAAAACGGCCGCACAAGCTGCTCTTGGAAAGGAGCTCAAAGAAAGAACTCCTACCATCATTTCTGAGCTAAAAGAGCTCAGACGCAAGATCAATGACCTGGAGAAGCAAAAAGATGCGCTTCGGAAAGAGTTGGATGACAACAAGGCTGCCAACAAACTCATTCCAATGAGCGATGTTGACGATGTTGAGATGTAAAGAGGTTTTTCTGCTGGAAACCCAAAGAAAACTTGCTAGAGACACTGCGTATTAGGGGAATGCTTCTATCATTCACCGATTTGATGTAGATATCTCTTTGACACATATTGGTGGACAAAATGAAAGAGACACAGAAGTCTCATCTATACGGCAGGTTTCTACATACAAAACTAAAACAAGAGATGCGATGCGATGAACAATACACTAAGCTGACGTCAAACAGCAGTAACTAGCTACTTCAAATCAGCCATTTCTTCTTCGAGCATGGTCTCGAAGCTGAAGGGCTCGAACGGAACACCGTCACCAAGGAAATGTTTGCTCATGGCTTCGACCCAGTGCAATCTCAGACTGTGCAACATAGCCGATGTACCCTCCATGACGACCAAGACGGCAACGGTGAGGAAGAACCAGACGACAAAGAAGAAGAAGATGACAAAGGCACCAGCAGCACCAGTGAAGGCAAAAGCGTTAGCCAAGGTCATAGACCACAGCACGATAGACAGCTGTTGATGGGCAAGCGACAGAGCCCAGAGACGAAGGTAAGAGGCAGTGTGGGAAACACAGTTGAGACAGAATTCGATGGTGTGGATGACCTGGTGGATCATGACCTCTGAGAATTCAAACTCCTCGTGCTCCTCGCTGTGGATGTCCTGGGTGATAATAGCAGCGCCGCCGTCTTCGCTGGCGAAGCTCTGTCTACCGTTCATGCCGTGGTGCTCGTCGTCATCATCATCGTCAAGAGCACTAACTCTCTGGCTTTCACCGACAGCGCTGTAACCCATAGCTCTAGCGCGGTTGTGCTCCCAGCGGAGGTAGAAAGGCTTCAGGAAAAGCATGATGGGTACACAGCATACTGCAGCAAGAAGCAAAATGACTTGGACAACAGCCTGACCAGAGTAAAGTTCTTCCTCAACAGTACCAGGTTGCAAGAACATGTAGATAAGCATGTTGAGCAGACCAGGGGGGTTGGCGCCGATGGCGTACCAGTCGATAGACCACTTGTAGATGATGCAGAAGACGAGGTAGCCGAAAATGGACTGGAAGAAGATCATACCAGGAATAAAGTTACCCCAGATGTCGATGGGAGTCTTGAAGTGTCTGGCGTTGATGTAAGAGAGACAGAGAGAGTAGGTCATGTGAGCCCAACCAAGAAGAATACTGAGCTTCATCTTGTAACTGTTGGAGAAGAGAAGATCGTTGTCGGTATCGTGCCAGCGCCAGTCCATACCGAAGGGGTAGGTGTAGCCCTCCTTGCGGACCATGGTGACGGACTGCCCTTCCTTGAAGTCGGGAACTTCCCACATGGAAGGGAAGATAGCAAGCTCCTTGGAGAAAGCGTCACAGTAGATGAGACCAGTGTACATGGAGAAGATACCCATCATGAGCATGATGTAGCGACCGAAGAAGGCCATGGAGAAGAGCTCGTCCTGCTTGGAGCGCAAGAGAGGCTTCTCCCAGTAAATCATGGCGCAGGCAGCAGCGGTCATGATGAACCCGTGACCAAAATCACCAAACATGACGGCGAAGAGGAAGGGGAAGGTGACAATGGTAGGCAGACCAGGGTTGACTTCGGTGTACTTGGCAGTACCGTAAGCGTCGATGATGGTCTGGAAACCCAGAGAGAATCTGTTGGTCTTGTTGTAGGTCGGGGGAGTCTTGGAGGTCTTGATGGTGTTGACGATGGTGGGAACAGAAAGACCAGCGCGGTCGTTTACGTCCTGCAGAGTCGACTTGACAAGAGCAAGCGAGTTTGTAGGGCACCAGGCCTCTGCAATCAAAGTCTTGCGCTGCTGGTCGTAAGAGAAACGGTTAAGAGTCTGGTAGACGGCCTTTTCCTTGGAAACAATGATCATCCAGGCAGCAAGACTGCGGCCGATCATGGTCAGCTCGGCGTCCAGGGTGCGCTTGGTGTTGGAGAGGACATTTGCCAGGTCCTGGAGACGAGTGTTGACCTCGTGCATCTGATCGCGGCGCAGTTCGCTGTTCTCGTCGACGTTGTAGATGTCGGCGCCGAGCGACTCGGAGATCTTGCGGATCTTGTTGATAATCTCCTTTCCGTGAGCGAAGATGACGAAGACGCTCTTGTGCATCTCCTCGTTGGTCTCGGGGTTGGTGATAGGCTCCTCAATCTCGCTCTGGTTCATGTAAAGGTTACCGCGAAGGGTACGCCACAGAATGCGCTCGAACGCGGCCATGCGGTCACGAGGGATGACACCGGCGACGAAACCAATGTTCATAACAGAGAAAGAGCGCTCGCCCGAGGCATCGCCGTTGTGGGCCTGCTCCATATCGGCGAGCAGTGGTGCATCGTCGTTGTGGTTCTCGTCGAGCGATTGACGGATCTCATCTGTCTGTCCGCGGGCCTGTTGTATATGTTAGTGCTCATGCCCAGATTCCATAGTAGTGTTCCAAGCTCACGCGGTCGAAAAAGCCGCCGGCCTCGCGGAGGACCCAGCGCCACTCGGTCAGTTCCATTTCACGCTTCTTGAGTGTTTCGTAACTGTCGTTCAGCGACTGGATTCTCTGTTCCAAGGTCTGGCTGCGGTCGACCAGTTCGTCGATCTCGGATGCCGAGGGGGCGGCCAGGCGGTCGCCGAATTCATACATAGATCGCATCGAAACGTCGGCCTTGTCCATCTGTGCCTTGAAGTAGCCTGTCCGTGATTGTCTCAGTCTCTTGTTCTATGCGTATGTTTAAGGGGGCGATTGGCCTTACGCAGCTGGCGTTCGACATTGTCGAGTCTTCGAATCTCCTGGGTAAAGGTGCGCTGGAAGGCGGTGGTCTCCGAGTTGAGCTGCAAGCGACTGTCAGTCCGGAGTGGTACAGACGAGTTGATCGGGGCGACTGACGTCTCTGAAGTCCATGATGCCGAGTTCGCCCAAGGCGCTCACGACTTCGCGTCCAATCTCGTTGGCCATGTACAGCTGCGTCAGCGACATGTCCGCCGAACGAAACAGTGAGTCCTGTTGTGCCGCCATCTTGACGGTAGTTGGTCACTGAGACTGTCGGTCGGGGGATGTTGTGAATTGGTGCTATCTGAGAAGGCAACAAGCTTCGATGTCGTTGGCCAGCCCAAACCTGGAACATGACGATGTACCCGGATTTATCCGCCTCGACAGGGTGCTACCATCAACATTCGCTTCCAACATCATATGCTTGTATGTTCCATCACCAAAAGAAAGGGTCGTTGATAACAGCATGTATGTACTCTGTGTAGATATGTTGAGATACTCGATGAGTCTCGGAGTGTCAGAACATTGTATGGTGGAAATATGCGGTAATTACTTATATTCTTTCTCATCTCCTCGAAGCTCAGTGCAGACCACATCAAACTCGTGACAGCTTGAAACCTCGGAGCATCGATGATTCGAGTACACATGTCATTGGATTGTACTTAATCATCAATCAGTCGTATGAAGTGCAGGGTGTAGAGACCCCAGTAAGAGCACGCCAGTTTCCTGCATCAGATCCTGCTTCTCAAGGGCGTAAGGTCGAAGGTTTTCCAAAAGTCGCGACTGTCGTAGCATCTGCCCAGTGTCTCGCTGTCTCTTGGGAGTGCCTTCACACCCTCTTCCTCCATCAATTCATACACCCAACGACTCTGCTTACTGGGCTCCTCATCCACATGGTTTCCTTCCTTTGCCCAGCCTGCCATAAGCGACCACCAACAATACACCTGGCCATCCGTCAACATCCAGCGTGAGCCTGATGCATGACCCTGCTCCCACTTCTCGAAGATTGCAAGAATTGCCCGTGCCACATCCTCTCCGTGAACCAGATGCAAGCTTTTCTTGCTCTTTACTTGGTCCTTGGTGGTCGCGACTCTGCTGACCCAGTTCTTTGGCTGTCTCTCTCCACCCCACAAGCCTGCAAGGTTGAGCACACAGCCGTTCATAGACAGCAGCTCGTCCTCTGCTATTGCTCGTGCATTCTCCTTGTTGTAAGGCGAGTGTCGGTCGACCCACGTCGTCTTTTGGTCAATTTGCCAGATGCCGGTAGATCCGAGTTGAAGGTATCGGACATTGTTTGACACACGCTGGTGCGTAAAGTTGTACGACCACACCAGCCTATGAGCCTGACCCTTTTCGTTGAGCGGGAAGGTGATTAGGATATTACGAGCAGCAGGCAGAGTATTGAAGTAGGTAGGGTCCGTCTCCGAAGGGTCGAACTTGAACTTGATGGTTCCCTCACGCCCTGTGGTCGATGTCGCCGCGTATGTCAAGTTGCGGGCCTTTAGCAACGGGATCAGGAATGTCGATGTCCAGCCCGCTCCGAGAATGAGAATGTCCATCTCTTGCATGTCTGCTGTCGGTATGAGATTATGCTGTTGTAGAATGTCCCTGAGAGAGTGTGTTGTAGAGCTGGAGCCTGGAGTGATCAAGCTTCGGTCCACGCGGGGTACCGTATTAAATGACGCCTCACCACCAGCGTATGCATTTTAATAGGTATACGCGTAACAAACCTTTACATACGGGGAGGCTATATTACTGCCTGCCAGCACCTCAGCTCTTGGATCTAGGACATAGTGAAGGACATCATAGGCAATAAAAATGCTCGCATGAGGTCACAGATTTCGCTGGTAAAAAGTCACAACATCTTGAGCAGTGACGAAGATGAGATGCAGCAACACGGTCAACCGACCCCACCCCCATTATTCATACCTAGAGGGGTTGTCTTTATAAGCTAGTAAATGACCACGATCGCACTGACCAGGCGCCTTGAACGTCTCGGAAAGGCGGAATATGGCCGTATCACATGATCATACTCGAGCTCACTTACTCCTTTGGGCTAGAGAGCCCCCCAGAGGCACATAGGCATCATTGCGTTCTCGAGCTCGATGTTGCCAGGCATGTGGAAGCGTTTGTCTTCGGCTCTCACGATGAACCATTGAGTCTTCATAAGCAGAAACACATAGTAGAGTAGAATGGACATGGACAGTGGAGTGTTTATATGTACAAAGTTACAGATTTGCCAACAATCAGATTTTCTCACCTTTGCTCTGTTTCCATTTCGCAACCGCATCCTCAAACAGCTTCTTCGCTGGCACATTAGCGCCTAGTCTCGCACAGAGCAAGAATGCACCGCTGAGCTTTCTGTGCAGCGAATATGTTTCCTCAGGCGGCGGTGCCAGTCTCTCTCTAACCATCAACCCAATCTTCTCCCTTACTCGGTCGGTGATGGTCTGGTCCTTGAAGTCATAAAAGTCGCTTGTTCGGCCAGAATCAAAAGGCTCAGCAAGAGTGAGGATAGAGTCGACGTGGGCGGTAAGCATAGCCTGGCTTTCTGCTCCAGTGAGGTAGCCTAGTTTGATAGAGAGGTCGCGGCAGGCATTGCGGTCGTGAGTCGAAGCCGCGATCAGCAGCTGAACGTACGGCGTCACAAAGCTTTCTGGGAACTCTCTTGAGGCACCAAAGTCTAGCAACTCCAATCTGCGTGCGGATGGAGCACTGCCTCTGTTGTAGAGGAAGTTGGTCCAATTAGGATCGGTCTGCATGAATCTCCACTCCATCAGTTCGCGGAGGCAAAGACGCAGCACTTGTGTGCCGATCCAATCCCGCTCGTCCTGTGAGAGATCGGGAATCTTGGTGACACCTTTACCGTGCATAAGCTCAGCAGTCAGTACTTCAGGGCCACATGCCTCGAGGAAGACTTGCGGGACACGGAAAGTGGCAGTTTCATCCTCGAGGAGGGTTGCGAAACGAGAGCCACACTCCGCCTCACGTGTGTAGTCGCACTCCCATCCTAGCTCTGTGCGAGCGTTGGCGATGGTCTTATCCAGGAAGAGTCCAGGCGGCAAAAGTCGTGATGCTGTAAGGAGCAGAGAGAGATTGTTGAGGTCAGAGTCGATGCTACCACGAACGCCAGGATACTGAATCTTGACGGCAACTTCACGGCCATTGGAAGCCAATGTAGCGCGGTGGACCTGGCCAATCGATGCAGCAGCCATGGGCACATCCTCGAAACTCGAGAACAGGTCTTTCCAGTCAGCGCCTAGGTTGGCAGCAAGTTGCTTGTTGCGTTGCCATGGAGGCATATAGTCAGCGCTGTCTTGGACACGCTGGAGCACGGCATTGATGGCAGGAGGCAACATCTTGGAGTCCTGGAAACTCATCATCTGGCCGAGCTTGAGAGCTGCACCACGCATACGAGAGAGTTTGGCAACCAGTCTTTCCATGTTGGCAGGACTGAGTAGGAGAGAACCACTTGCGGCAGCAGCAGCACCTCCAGTCACTCGTCGTAGACTCTCGCCGACGGCACCGAAGGCCATACTCGTGGCCAAACCTCCGTACTGCCACAGCCTACCGAAGCGAGAAGAAGGTACAGCGGATTCGCGCAGCTGATAAGGAGTGTTGGGCGTATCAGGCTCAAGAGTGGAAGAAGATGCGGCGGCAGTGGCATCTGCAGCCATGGCATCGGCCAGCTCTTGCGTCTCCTTATCGCTGATCTGTGTCTTCGTTTCAACCACAGGAGCGATTGGCTCAACGGCGGGTGCAGGCGAAGCAGTAGCATCAGGTATTGATGCACCTGGTCTCGCGCTGAACGTATCAGCATTCTTCTCTTCGGCTTTGATGCTCTCCTGAATTGGTTGGGTTGAGCCCTTTCTGGCGGCCTTCATCTTGAGTTCGTAAGCTTTCCTCCTGTCCTCTCTAGCCCCGCCACCGAGTAACGAAGCGACCCTAGGGCTGTGGAAGATGTCAGTGTTGATGCCTTCGGGCATTTCATCCTGTGCTGGAATAGCTTCTTGTTGTGGAATTGGAGGCTGAGCAGGATGACCTTTAGATGAGTAGTAGACGTCCTGGTTAATCTGACCATCCTTGACGTGTTCGTCACCACCTTGAGTGTCTTCTGTAGACTTGGGAATCTTGGTGCGAGGTAGAGATGACAATTCGACAGATGAGTCTGTTGGTCTAGCATTGAATGTGTCTTGTCCTGGTGTGGACATTGATTGGGAGTGACCGGAGACGGACGGAATCTGAAATTCAGCCTTACGCTGCATCTTGACCGTGTCGTCGGCATGACTGTCTTGGGCATTTGGGCTGGGAATCGTGGATGCGCTAGACTCGGTAGGGTGCAAGTCTTTGATGACAGACTGCTGTTCAAAGGGGTCTTTGGGAGCATCCGTCACTGGTCGCTGGCTAAAGGTATCTGTGCCCTGGCGACTCGGCGATGGATCTAGATTTGCGCCTTCGGGAGGAATAGTACCATCCGGTAGAGGGTGACGACGAGCCTTTTCTTGAGTGACGTGCAAGTCGTCTGTCGGTGGTGCTTCTGCAGCAGCGTTTTGTTCCGATCTATCCCAGTGATGATCCTGACTCAGTCCCTCGTCATGTATATCGGTTGCGTCTGCGCCTTGGACTGTTTCTCGACTCGGTATAGGCTCCTCATGTCGACTCGTCTGTGTGTAGGCTGGTCCGGTTTCGTTGACCCTCCGTGACAAGGCATAGGCGGCTCGTGCGGTGAGAGTGACGCGATCTGTCTGGTTCTTGACAGCCTTTGCTAGACTCGACGTCTGTGTAAAGAGTTCCCATTGCTGAGAACGAATGTTGAAATGTTGCTTCGCTATCGATCCCGAGGCGCTGAAGAGCCTGGCTGCATCCAACAGCCGTCTGCCCGCCATGATGTCGTCTTAATTGTCGGATGTACGCTTCAGGTGCTCATTCTCGGATGCTCTCGTCCCTCGCCTGCGCGTGTTTCTGTAGAGAATCAAAATCGCTGACGTCGGTACCGTCGAAAATGCGGGCAGCTGTCAAAGCTTCATTCCGTCCACGCCTGCAACTGTTCCTCAGACCATGACCCGCATGTAGTCTTGATTGATAAGTAGGTCGCCAAACAACAGAAATCTGCCGAGGTGCTTCGTGACATTGGACAGATCAAACAAACTGTTGTTGGTCGCTGACAAGATTGTCTTGATCGGTCAAATACTCATCATCCAGATTTCCGTCTTTTGCTTTCACCCTATCCACCCTCTTGTCACACATCCACTACATCTTCATTACACCTTGTAGTCGTAGACATCAGCAAGACCGTCCGACATGAGAGTTGGATGTCTTCAATTCGCACCCAAGCTGGGCGAGGTGCATGGGAATATCCGCAAGGCAGACTCTCTGCTGCAGGATACCTTGTCTTCTGACCTCGATCTTCTAGTCTTGCCAGAGATGGCATTTTCGGGTGAGCAATGCCTAGCTGTATCTTCGTGGTAAAATTGAATGTCTTATTCATTCTGACAAACAGGTTACAACTTTCCCAATCTAGAAGCCATCCAACCGTTTCTGGAGCCTACAAACAATGGCCCTTCAGCAGAGTGGGCAAAACGTACAGCTGCAAGGTTGAACTGTGTAGTTGCCGTCGGATATCCAGAAATCACACCGGAGGGTAAACGTTACAACACGGTAGTCAGCATTTCACCAGACGGCAAAGTAGCAGCCAGCTATAGGAAAACCTTCCTCTACTACACAGACGAGACATGGGCATCCGAAGGCGACACTGGCTTCTACAACGGCACACTCGGTTCACTCGGTCAAGCCTGCATGGGCATTTGTATGGACATCAACCCTCGACGCTTCGAAGCTCCTTGGTCAGCATATGAGTTCGCAAACCACTGTGTGGATTCGGGTACGCCTTTGGTCGTCTTGTCCATGGCTTGGTTGACCAGACTGCTGCCTCAGCAATTGCTAGAAACTAGCTTGCAACCGGACCTCGAGACTCTGAGTTACTGGTTGGAAAGATTCGTGCCAGTGGTGCAGAGCGAGAGAGAAGGAGGGATTGTGGTAGTGATGGCCAACAGATGTGGCACTGAGCCTGGCATGGTAGCAGGTGTCAGTCAGGGTGTTGATGACGAGGGTCACGAAGTTGTGGGGTATGCTGGAACGAGCTGTGTGATGGTGGTCGAACAAGGAGAAGTCAGAATCTTTGACATCTTAGGCAAGGCAGAGGAAAGATTGCTCAAGATTGATACTACCGAGGTGAGTTTATCGGTGCCTGGAGACACATGTCAGTGATGCTAATCGGAAGTAGCCTCCTCAATTCGCACTGCGCGCCAAAGTGTCGTGATCGAGTATGTTATCCACAGAGGGTCAGGCGCAGTTGATGTTTGCGTATCCAGAGTTGTGACAGCGGAATGTCGAAAACAAAACAAATGCGCGTCGAGCATCTCAGAAACATCACGAACACGCAGAGAGTAGACTCGAAAAGGTGTCAAGGCATTTCATCATGTAATTTCCATCAACCAGAAGTTTTTTGTTTTGTGATACGCATCCCCTAGCAAACAACTAGCGCCATATTTTGATTCTTGATTGTCATTCCCTGCGTGATTCACAAGCCCCACGATGATGGAAAAAAGGGGACCCTTTTCCTCCTTCCGTTGAGAAAGGGAACACGGGCCCAAAAGCGAAACAGTCGGCTTCTTTCAGAAGCAGGTCGGCAGTGACGAAGTCGACATCGAGGGAATATGTTGGCTGCTTGATATCGTGGGCGAGTCGCTTAGATACCGATGCGGGTCTTGCGCCAGTGACGTCTCTTGGCGTTGTATCTGAAGGAGCTCCGTTAGTCTACGGGTTCTGTGTGTTCGTGTGCGCTTGCGTGGCTGGCCCTCGGTGTGTTTTGGATGGGTGGAAGGTGTTCGCGGTGTTTCTTCAGAGAGTTCGGTCGCGTTTTCCCGTCGCGTTGTGTCGACATTCCAAGCTCTTTTCTTGCCATTCTTTCGGAAGCGGGACCTGAGTTCAATCGTACCTGATGGTGTTGTTGGTGCGCAGACGGATCCACTGAGGGATGGGACGGTTCTGCTTCTGGGCCTTGGCCAGCTTCTGCTTGGTGCGGAAAGACTTGTGGGACTGTGTGGTTACATGGTGTCAGAGGGAGAGTGTTCCTGTATCTGCAGCGCTGACGGGACTCCTTACAGGCATCTTGACGGTCTTTGTCGCTGGTCGTGGAGAGGGAGAAGACGCCGGCTGTGAAATTCTACGAATTCGATGTGGCAGGTGCGTGCGTCACCTTGGCGCTTGCCGAACTTGGCGGAAAATCCCGTGACAGCCAGCAGTTACGACCACCCGAGGCGAACGCCAGCTTCGACTGGGAGCGGTCTCTTCACTTGTTATTGTCGACTTGTCTATGATATGATCCGAACCAATCTAACTTTTTGCAAAACAGCATTCGTGAATGCCATCATTATCAACATGTATGCATTTTAAGCGTGGCGTATCGCAAAAGAGTCATCTGGCATGGCTTTCGACTGCACCAATCGGTAGTCGTTGAGAAAAACAAGTCTTGTACGAAACAGGTCTCAGAAATCCGAGTCCTCCTCGTGAATGGTTTGAGCCAGCAGACCATATCTGCCTGCACCCGGTGTATCGAGTACACTGGTCACAGACAAGGCGGGTGAAAACATAGGGTCTGAATGATACATGTCTTTGCGCCTTGGAGAAGCACGATATTGCTTTGATGTAGGACCCCTCACGACAGGCTCAGAAGCGAGGTGCAAGTTGGAGTGCAAAAAGGAATAGACAAAATGCAACAGCAAGCCACACGAGATGCCTGTGATAGAGGCGACACCCAGATAGATGTAGAGTGTCTTGGCAATAGTCAGCATATTAATAGAGGAGCATGTGGGGTAGCGAGCAAAGAGCTGGGGTAGAATGACCTCGAATTTCTGCAAGAGTCGAAGAGGAACAAGAGCGCAAGTCACAAGCAGGTGAGCGAAGAGGACCAGTGGCTGTAGCAGGAAAAGCAGCAGGGCTGTGATTGGCGAGAGAAGAGCCTTTGCGGTCAGGGCGATGAAGCAAAGTAGAAAGTAGAGGGGATATATGAGGTAGTAGAGGGCAGTGAGTGACGACGCGACGTATTGATTCATGCTGGCGGCCGACGTCTCGGATAATGGCTGTAGATGACACAATGCAAGCCCTTGATGTCAGCGTGGGAAAAGCAGCCTGAAGCACAGCAGAAGACGAGATGTGCTCATGAAGGATCGGCGACAGAGGACCAAGGTGGTGAGTTGCGCAGGGGAGCTTGTCACTGCTGTCTTGGTTGCGGAGAAAGCACGAAGGAGCGGGAGCGGCTTCCTCAGCGTCAGTTCTCCAGAGCATCGCTCGTCCAGACGATCATCCTCGCCATCCACAGCACTTTTCCATGGGCAACACTCCGTCGTCTGCCAAAGCGGACAAGGGCAGCCAGCCCGCATCGCCCGCCCATGCTCTGCACCACCAACACCATGACCCGAGACGCGAGCCCCGACGCCGCGAGTCCATCGCCGCTCTGACCAACAAGACGTCGGCCGCATCGCCCTCGCTCGACACGACATCGGCCAGTGGCCAGGCCATCTTCCCCTCGGTCTACTCTCCCGCGGCCTACTCGCCCTCGCAACCACGCTCCACTCCCGCCTCGTCCCACCAGCGCAATCGCTCCAGCACCACAAACACCCCCAAGCAGCAGTCGCCCTCGGTACCCCGCCGTCACAAGAGCCTCAAGTCGCCCAGTCCCCCTCCAGAGCCACGCCTGTCGCCTGCATCACAGCCTGTTGATGTCCCTCAATCACAACGCACTCCTCGCCCTGCCTCTCCTGCCACCGAACCTGCCTACCACCTCCCCCCGGCAAGCTTCTCGCGACCCCCGCGTCTGCCCCTCCCAATTGAGCAAGAAGACCACACTCCTGGCTCTCCTATCATCTCGGCCGTATTGCCAGATGACGATCCCGAACCCGCCGACCTTCCCCGACGCTCGAGTGTTGTGAGCAGCACCGTCGACGACGATGACGAAGAGCCAGATGGCTTCGAGGGCTATGAAACAGATGCTGGCGGCCCAAAGGTCCCCACCCTGATAGAATGGCGCAATGCCCAACCCGGCGACCGCGTCTATGTGACAGGCACTTTCACAAACTGGGAGCGCAAGTTCCGTCTGCACAAGGAGTAAGTCGACGAAGCCGTGGCGTGACCGACGCATCCCAATCTGAGAGCATCCAAGAACTGACCGAACACCACAGTGGTCCTAGCAAACACAAGAACGCCTTGTCGGCCACACTACAACTGCCACCCGGTACTCACCACATCAAATTCATCGCCAATGGTGACATGATGACTTCCAATGACCTGCCCACTACCGTCGACTACACCAACATCCTCGTCAATTACATCGAAGTCTCATTGGATCAGCTGCCTCTTGTTCAACCTGGTAAACCTGTACTTCCTGGACCTCCTCCAGTCAAGCCGCAAGAGCCTTCACGACCAATGGATATCCGACCCAAACCAGCTGCTCAGGCGGATAAGCATGTCCTGGCCTCGAATCAACCACAAAACACTCCTCCCAAGTCAAGTCACGAACCTCTTGCGCCCAAGTCGACTACAGGAACACCCGCTCAGGCCCCAGCAGACGAGCCAAAACCTCGACAACAACCACCCTTGGTTCGCCAACCGAGCAGAGAATGGACACAAACGATACCGGCTTATCTTACAGATCTCGACTCTTGGTATCCGCCGCCCTCGGCAAAAGATGACGCTCAGTCTCCTTCTGGATCGGCTGCGCGTTATAGATTCGAGCGTGCCAATGCAGCTGCCGAATCTCAACCAGCACCTCCGTCACTTCCCATGTTCCTCAGCAAAAGCATTCTGAACGGAACCACACCAACAAAGGACGACAGCAGTGTTTTGATCATGCCAAACCACACGGTATTGAACCATCTAGCGACGACAAACATCAAGCAAGGCGTGCTGGCCACGAGTGCGACTACGAGATACAAGAGAAAGGTATGTACTATGTCTTCTGTTGCGCTCTTCCAGAGGTTGTCGATACTAACTATGGCACCACAGTTCCTGACGACCATCATGTACAAGCCGCGAAGCGATGGTGAAGAATAAACAAAATGACCGGTCAAAGAACATTTAGATCCACATGCATTGTACATAATTTAATCTTCTCGCTTCTCCTTTTTCATGATAGAATTTGTGGGATACGGGCATTTTCTCTTCTCCATCTATGTAATGCAAAGAGAGCACAGGATTAAGGAACAACACGCACTACCATATTCTCCTAGAACATCCTGACTTTTGATACTTTGCTGCATGCGGCTTGCTGGTTGTAGGACTGCGAGTGTTGAGTTTTTCTTGAGTTCTTGTTGAGTGATAGATGGCGGCTTTCCTGGAGCCCTCCTCACGCACAAGACGGCAAAATTCTCGCTTTGCGCCTTAGAAACAGAGAGGTAATTGATGCAGTGGCCCGCTTCATGTTAAAACGAGTTCTAAGAGGCATGTTCCCGATAGACGGAAGGAAGATTGGTAGTGCTTGCAGATTCTGTGGTTGTTGGTTACTTTGATATTCCTCTCTACATGTGTACAATAAGACTTTTGTTCGCATGCTGCATGATCTTATGCACCCATTCCCATAGCCCAGAATCCACACTCCATCTGCATCATCAAGAGTTAGCCAAACGGACATCGAGATGAGTGGTTTACTTGCCTTGGTTGCATGAATGAAGATTTTTACCAACTCCTCGATCCTGGAGGGAGATTGCTTGGAAATGTGTCCCTCGACCAATTCTGCAATTACATTAGCACTTTTTCCATTCATCCAGCCGCCTCAAGAACACGCTTACCCATTCCCTTCCCAACAGCTTGGGTGTAGTCGTCAGCAATGTAATTGTCTATCCATTGGCGGTAACGATTGGCATCCTTGGGAGCAGCAGGGTCTTGCAGAGCGGAGAGACGCTGAGCAATGTGGTGGTAGCCGAGAAGGCAGGGGAACATTGCTATTTGGAGGGCGAGCCAGTCTTCTGATGCGCCGATGTCGAGGATGTAGCGGCTGTATGCTGTGCAGGCTGCAAGCCATGTTAGGTTGAAGATTCTGGAGCGAAAGGTTTTGATAGTCGATGTACCTTGGTGCTCTTCTGAGTTGCGAAGTTCATCCATTGTGACACCTAGTTCTAGACACTCGGAGACATGCAGCTTGGTCTCGGTATGAATGTGCGTGACGATACCGGCGGACTATGGTCGTGGTTAGTCTAGCCGGAGTAGTGCTTCAGGACAACCTACTGCTGCTACGCCTTCAAGAGTTTTAGCCTTGTAGCCGGCAAGTGCGTTGGCTCTGGCAAAATGGGTCTATGTCATTAGTGAGTATTGTCTCCATTCCCTCGACCGTGGGGCTTACCAAGTAGAGATAATCTTGGACCATGTAGAATTTGAATCTCTCGACAGGCAGAGTGCCGTCACCCATCTTCTCAACAAACTCGTGCTGTGTGAATTCCTTCCAGACTTGTTGCACATCCTCACGCTCTAGCAACCAGTCCACAAAGCCGCCACTGCGATCGATGTCAGTCGGGCCAGAAGATACTGTGACCTAGTCGACTTACGGTGGGAAGGGCATGATATTGAGGGAGTGGAAATGGTTGATCGGACCAGAGCCTTTACCAAGATCGACGCTGGTCTTGATTCCAGCTTCAACATAGCGACCAGCTGCACGTACTGCTCGTTCCATACTGAGACCATTGGCGACATTGCAAGCGATTGCAGCTGTGGAGAAATTAGTTTCTGCTCAATTTGTACGAATATGTGACGCATACAAGCAAGCGAGCATCCCGTGCCGTGAGTGTTCCTCGCGATCTGGTATTTCGACTCGAAGACACAAAAGTCACCGTCCGTGTAGAGTACGTTGACCAGGACTTCTTTCTCTGCATCAGTGGTAGCAACCTCATAGTTCTTCTTCAACGGAATATGTCCGCCTTTTATCAACACGCTCTTGGGGCCCAACTCGGCGACTGCCTTAGCCAGCTGCTTCATGCCATCCAAATCCTTGATGTCGTCGATTTTGTTACCCGATTCTTCCAGTAGCAAGAGTGCTTCAGGGATGTTGGGTGTGATGAGACCTACGACAGGCAAGAGCTCTGTGCAGAGTGTCTTAATGGCCTCCTCTTTGAGCAGTCTTGCTCCACTCGTTGCGACCATCACCTTGGCTGCGTCAGCCGTGTGGCATAGTGATTTAAACATGGAGGCCTACCGGATCAACAATGCTGCATGCGGGTTTATATTTTCTCAATGCGTCTGCAACAACCTTAATAGTGCCAGCAGAAGCCAACATGCCTTTGCTCAATCAGCTCGAGTCGTGGATGTATCGGCATATAATTCTCAAGAATGGCAGTGCGTTGAACCAAGAACAAAGAGATGAATTTACCAGTTTTGACTACATCAATACCAACATCCTCGGCGCAGGCGTCGATACATTTCTTCACAAAGTCTGATGGTGTTTCGTGAATACCAGTAACACCCTGTGTATTTTGCGCGGTCAAAGCAGTCGTTGCAGTCATCGCATAACAACCATGAGCGGCGATAACCTTCTGGTCGGCCTCGAGGCCTCTGTCAATGACAAGAATTAGCCATTCGCAACATATACTTGGACACTTGATCTCTTACGCGCCACCAGAACTATCAGACCCTGCGACTACAAGAATACGTCTTGTATTTGCCATCTTTGTGATGTGTCCGATGATAAATGTGGAAAAGGTGCGTTGGTTGAATGTCAAGGTCGCGGCTGCCGTCATCGGGGTGTTTTCACCGAGCCGCTTCCGGCCCGCTCTGTTATTTAGCCTCCTCCACCACAGCCTCTTGGAAATCATAATAGATGGGTATTTATATGCTAATCAGTTTCTCAGTCCGAATCTGACTCTTCGAACTCAGAAACATCAGGGTCTACTTCATTGTCAGTTTGTTTTTGTCGAGTTTTATGGATGATGCAGTCGGCTCACCTCTGACGAGCTGGTACTCAAAGCGACCTTGTACCTTGGTGGCTAGGGTATCACGAACCAAGTCCTGCTCCTCACTGCTGAGAGCACCATCCAGTGAAGCCATGTCAATCGAGATGGCAAGACCGCGGTTGCCGGGTCCTAGTCTATCGATGAAATCAAGCAGACCATTCGCTGTGAAGACTGATAGGCCATTGAAAGTGATACTCCTCAAGTTTTCCAAGTATGACAGTGTATTTAGCGTGCTGTCAGACAGCAGCCAACCACCAATGAAAAGATCCTCCAGTTTAAGCAAGTTTTCTCCGAGAAGCTGAAGCTGATCGTCTTGGAAGTAGTCAGATGTTCTCATGAGGTGTAGATGCCGCAGGTCTGTCAACTCGCATACAGCGTCGCAAAGCTGATTACGAGCGGTAGGCTCTAGAGGGTCAGGATCGGCCTTGAGAAACAGGCTCTGAAGCTTTGTCTGCAGCCCGATGGCTGCATGAAATGCTTGGTGCTCCCTGAGCACATACATGTAATCGTCTTTTGCAGTGACTTGCAAGTCCTCCAGATCGATGCCCTCCTCGCTCAGTACGGGTGCTAAGATGTCTGGGGCCGAAACAAAGTCGATAAGATTGACTTCACGCAGGTTTGTGCACTGCCTCAGCCAATCAATCATGCCGTCTAGAGTATCTTTTTGCATCTCCTTGAGATCGTGCGATGGTTGTGTTTCGGTCAACTTCAGCGTCTCAATCATCGTGCAGTTCTGCATCATTCCTAGTCCCTCAATTCCTTTCGCCGGAAGTGCGAGTCCTAGATATTTTAGGGATGCTCCATGCGTATTCAGCGCCTGGCATGTTTCAATGCCAATGCCGCACTCTCCATTATTCTCAAAATACTGTAATGTGTTCTTGGGCATACGATTCAGGAAGCGTGCAAGCTGACTATCAGAATCGTCGTCGATCCTGTGGTATGACATTAGCACAATACTCACAGTTAGTAAAGTTTACTCACCACTGGTAGATGTTGATTCTGTCAAGATGTGGACAGTGCTTGTGTAAGAGCTCCTGGATGGTTTCATCGCCGAGCGTCTTACCATCCCATAGCTCAAGCGATCGCAGCCTACCCAAATCGGGCGCCCAACGTGGCAACGTACCGGAAAGGACTGCGTAGCAATGTCAGTCTTGCCTTTCTGATTTCACTGAGATACATACTGTTGTGTTCGTTGAGAATAGGTTCGGTGAGTCCCTCGAGCATGGGCGCAGCCTTCACGATTGCTGAGTTGTTGTCAGTCAGGCGCAATGCATTGGTTGTGTAAGTGTGGCATGCCATCTCCAATCGCAGCAACTGTCTGGCGCATATTACTGGATTTCAAGGCACGAGCCTTTCCCCTAGTCTGACTAGTAATGTTGAACCTCGCAAGAGAGCCGGAGAAGAAGTTTCTACACCAGTGTTAGAGGAGGAACATCTTGAAGCGACGACTTTACACTTACTGATATATCCTACCTCTGAATTTGTCGTCGTCCAGTAGGTTGTAGACATCACGTAGGTCAAGCACTCTCAGGTAATGGCAATACGGAAATAGTGTCTCCCCAGTGCACGAGAGCAAGATGGATCGCCACAGGATTGACCACCTCTGGACAGCCTGTTCTTGATCTTGCAATGGCAATGCCTCATTGCCTCCACTCTTGACTGGTGCATTGTGACTCGCACTGAGATGTGATTCAGTCTTCCTTACTTGAAAGATGAAACAAAAGGAACTCTTACCGGTAGAGGTTCGCCAGAGCTCCTGAGCCAGCTAAATATTTGCTGGTCACAGCACACGAGTACAAGCTCGAAAAGTCACCCCTGATCGATAGGTCAGCGTTGGCCAATACATTATAGCGGCATACAGTGGTAACGAAAACAAGAAAAGAGCAGTAGAGTAGATAGGTAGTCATACCTTGAAGCCAATTCATCGAAGAGAAGTTGCCACACATCAGGTGGCAACCTTACATCTGTCGTGACGGTTTCAGCTTCGACGGACATCTTCTTAGCTGGTGTTGACACAAGGATAGAAATATAGGATAAAGTAGGACAGGTTAGATTGGTATAATGCTTGGTTGCTCGGCACTGAAACAGGAAGGCACGCACGTCATCAAACGCGTCGGATCGCGTCCTCCTCCAGAGGCATCAGCTCTTGGCAACCCATACTCAGCCCATTTTCTTTTGCCTTTCGAACGAAACTCATCTCAGAACTAAGAATATCCACAATGTCTGCTCTGAGCTTTGCGTTTTCACCGGAGGCTACGGCCAAGGTGCATGATGCTTTGATATGTTTGGCCAAATTTAGTGAGACAGTTTGCTTGGAAGCTCGTGGCGATATGGTAAATTTCGAGTTACCTATTCTCGAATCCTTCTTCGGCGTGCTGATATCTTGTTGATAGCTCACTCTGACTGCACTGAACTCATCAAGAACCTCATATGCTTCATTTGCTCTGGATGCGAAAACCTTTTTCTTATCCTATGATTTCGGCCTAGGACAAGGTGCTAGATTTACATGCCAACTCTATAATAAGGTCGGTCTTGAGATAGTATGGTATCGGAACAGCGGCTTACGTATACCAAGGCTCTTCTTGCTGTGTTCAAAAGTCGCATGTCAGATCCTCGTGGTGGTGACACGTCAATAGACCGGTGTGAAGTCAGTGTGGAAGACAAGCCGAACAAGGTGCAGTGCCGTCTAGTTGTGAAGATGGTGTGTAGACACGGTAGGTTAGCTCAATCGACCGTTCAGGATATACCCATGAGCTGACCGAGTCCAAGGTGTTACCAAGACCTACCGTTTGACATATGAATCCGTGGAAATCTCCCATGCACTCTTCGATAAGCACAACGCTCCGAATGGCTGGAAGATCTCCTCTCGCATACTCCGCGAGTACATCGAATTTTTCGGAACCAAGACAGAACAACTTGATCTACTAGTCAAAGAGGAGAAGGCCGTCTTCACCAGCTTCACAGAAAAGATCATGGATGGCAAAGGTAAGGAAGTCTTGCAATATTGCGAGACATGTCACTGATTCATGGTATAGAAATCCTCAAGCAACCACTAGAAACAGCCATCTCTCTACACATCCAAGACTTTGATGACTTCCACGCCGAAGAAGACGTCCACATAGTCATCAATGTCAAAGACTTCAAGGCCATAGTAACGCACGCCGAGAGCCTGAAAGCGCCCATGTCTGCTCAATTCTCACGTCCTGGCAGGCCGTTGCTGTTCAGATATACCGATAGGGGATTGACCTCTGAGTTCATACTCATGACAACCGGTATCTCGCAAGCGCTTCCTCCAGCAACAGCACCAAAACTTGCATCCACCCGCCTAGGAGGTCCAGCTTCGAGGCAGTCTTCAGCTGTACCACTTCGCCCGTCGAGACAGTCAACAGTGGATCTGGACGCATCCACGAGACAGCCATCTGTAGCATCAGGTATGCCTTCGAGGCAGTCTTCTCATGCCGTGTCACAGACTGTTGGAAATAGAAACACAGAAATGGCACCTCCGCCAAAACCTGGTCCTGCTGGTGGTCTGCGCGATCGACGAGTCTTGGGTAGTCTTGGGCGGCAAACTTCTCAAGCTACAACGACCTCAGATGCGGATCCCGACCCCGAAAGCCTGTTTATGCCGCAAGGCGACGCAGACGATAGGAGATATGATCCAACGAATTTTGATGAAGAGCCAGAAGAGGAAATGCTGGGCTGGGACGTCAATGCAGATATTGTAAGTGAAGGCTCGATCGAGTTTGGCTGAACAATGCTGACTTTTTAAAGACTGGCGGTTTCCATCCAACCTTCCGCGATGCCGTTACTCATGAGCCACCGCCTCTTAGCCAAAGTCTCAATAGGGACACACAGGGTCTACCGCCTACACAAAGACTTTCCCAAGTAAGTTCGCCGTTGTTGTGTCTGGTGATGTAGCTGACTGGTTTTGCAGATGAATGGGTTGTTCGACTGAACACTGAACATTGTTTTCGGACTTTTCAAGTCCGCCTCATGTGGTAATGATCCAGCTCGTTGCGCAACCGGCACCGATGTGTTGGACGATTTTTCCTGCTTCGAGAGAATTCCAGCGACCTTTGACATCGCGTTGCTCATCGGTAGGCAAGCCGCAATTACCATGCTCTCCCCAGCCCCAGGCTAGGACCTTTCCAGTAGTTGTCAGAACGAGCATGTGCTCACTACCAGCTGCCATAGCAGTCACCGGCATATCTGTAGGCGGGAGCTGTCCATGATCATTCCTGCCCCAAGCAACAAGTTTATTGTCACGTAGCAGAACGTAGACACCGCCCCATGTGGCTTGTACATCAATCCAATTTGAAAGTGTCTGAGGAGTGCTTGACTTTATGTTGAATCTGTCGCGCTTTGCCACACCAAGTAGTTGTAGCTTCCCATCGGCAGGTTCGCCGAAAACACAGGTAAAGTCTTTTCCACAGACAGCGCGGAAGACTGGGAAAAGTATGTCATCAAGTCTACGAGGGCTCCAGACTACACCAAGAGGATTTCCCAACTGGCCGTGGAGACCATTGCCCCAGCCATAAACCTGACCATTTGACAAGACTACTACAACATGGCCCATGCAAGCCGCAAGGTCAATGATCTGAGTACCTGTAGGTGGGAAGTCTGGAATCTGCTGTGGAGAGGGTGCTTTCACTACACTCTGTCCAAGACCCAATTCGCCTTTCATACCGCTTCCACAAACATAGATGGCGTGAGCAGATGCAAAGACGGAAGCGTCCCAAGTAGCTGCAATGAGATTCATCTTCTGCAAATTAGATTGAACGAAAGATGAGACGGAGTTTTTTTCTGCGGAAAGCGCGCATCTTCCATCAGTATTTTCGCCAGTAGCATAAATGGTGCCAGATTCAGTGAGGATCAAAGTGTGGTTTCCTCCGGCTTTGATGGAAGTTATGGAGGCGTCAAGGTCCTGGAATGCAACAAGTGATGGCGCAGAGAGATCGCCATCGTGGCCAACCCCTAGTTGACCGGACCCGTTTGAGCCCAGAGCATAGACAGGCATGAGTGTAGTAATATATTGAAGGTGATGGCTGGAGCAGAGATCAATAAACGTCGTCGCCAAGACACGAGTGAGGGAAAGAGGGCACGGCTAAATCGCGGCATAAGCCGCAAGCCGAGCCACTCGCACCTGCCAGAATTTCGCAAAGCCCAGCGCTCCCGCCTTCTGAAGACGAGAGAGACCTTTTCCGCGCCGACCGACCAGAACGACTTTTCGACAACCTCCACACAACATCACACGCCAACATGTCGTCCTCCCAGAGCGTCCAGTGCTTCGGCAAGAAGAAGACCGCCACCGCTGTCGCCCACTGCAAGCAGGGCCAGGGCCTCATCAAGGTCAACGGCCAGCCCATCTCGCTCGTTCAGCCCGAGATCCTCAGATTCAAGGTCTACGAGCCTGTCCTCATCCTCGGCCTCGACAAGTTCGGTATGCGATTACCTATTCTCCCCGGAAAAACAGAAAGAGCAATGGAAGCAAGAAAGAGCTTGGTACACTAGGATGGCAAGGATGGATATGGAGACATTGCACACGCACGCCGCTTTGGGACCATTTGTTAGGACATATTGCTGACAGGTTCTTCTTTTACAGCCGGTGTTGACATCAGAGTCCGCGTCACCGGTGGTGGTCACACTTCCCAGGTTTACGCCATCCGCCAGGCCATTGCCAAGTCCATCGTACGTTACATCTCAGCCGAACACCCATCACGATCCGATCGCACATCAGAATGAGAAGGAACTTGAGGAATGCATCAAACACAAATGGGCCTTTCCGACACATGATACGCGCAACCACATTCAAATCACACAAAGCACGCTACAGGACGATAGACTAACGCGCATTCAAGATCGCCTACTACCAGAAGTTCGTCGATGAGCACTCCAAGAACCAGCTCAAGCAGGCTCTTGTTGCCTACGACCGCACACTCCTCGTCGCCGACAACAGAAGATGCGAGCCCAAGAAGTTCGGTGGTAAGGGTGCCCGTTCGCGCTTCCAGAAGTCCTACCGTTAAACAATGCTTTTCTCTGCTGGAGGAAAGTCGGTTGTTTACGGTGTGTGGCATTTCGCATTTGGCGGCCTCTCGACTTGTGGATTGCTGGAGGGTGATCCTCTCTCATTCCATTGCGGCGCGTGTGTGAACTGGGGGAAAGGGGAAAATGTTAAAAGGGATTCCAAAAACTTTTTCATGATGGCATAGGCAAGATACTCCAAAAGCGATACTTTTGCTGTTGTCCAGCTTCAACAACAACCCTCGTCATCCCTGCGCACGATGCAGCTTTCCACGTCGTAGCAAGGCCAGCAAACAAGAAAACGAAAAATCGCTGTTGTGTTGTCGAAAAGCAAGCAAACCAAAAACGAGACAAAGACCTTTTACTTTTACCATGCCGTGTGTCGCATTGCGCGTGTGTAGCCCTTCATTGATCTGATGCTACAGCTGCCTAATGTGTGAATCTAACCGACAGTACTCCGTAAGGAGGCGGCCGGCATTAGCTCTCCCCAGACTCTATATGGCGCCGTTGTCTGGCACAGCCATCAATGTATGTTTGTGGCTACTCCACTTTCTGACCCTTGTTTTACTTGATAGAAACATCTGCGTCGATGTGCCCTCTGATCAGAGACAATTGTATGCCTCTACTCACATCCTACAGTGATCTGATGCAAGTAGTGAGTGTGTTGTAAAACCTCGTCATCGCTACTCCTTTCGCAAAAGAGACTAAGCATGTTTGCTCCCGGACGATGGCGAGAAGTCCTTCTGAGACCGAGGGTGTGATGCGCGACCTCGGAATGTGAGACAGTAGTCTAAGCAACTCTCATGCTCAATCTTCGTCGGCTGTCGAGTCGTCGAGTGAATCGTCTGCGCCGTCGGTCTGGGCTGTGGTATAAGGTCGTCCCGAGGCACCAGTGCCATTTGTACTTCTTCTGTTCTGAATTGCTGCTTTTTCGCCTACTGGCGGTGCGTCCTCCCAATCTTTCTTGCACACGGGACAGCGCTCGTTGTTGTTCTGTGCCCTGAAAGCCATGCGTTTGCAATGTTGATGTAGTCTACCCGAGCAGTCAAGATCGGGACATCTCTCTCCCTACCTTGGGTGTTAGCACTTGTGCATCAGTCGCGCCGAAGGAAAGACAATACCATTGTGATTATTGCCTTGCAAGCAGAGCAGTTTTTGATTCTCTCGTCTTCCTCATCATTGTAGGTTTCGACCAGCCAGCCTCGCAGCTCCATCAGAGCACGTGGGGTCAAGGTGTAGAAGTCTTTCTTGCTGACCTCAAACCAGCCTTCGTCAACCATGGCCTGTAACGTCTTCTGAGCCTGCATCATAGTCAGACTCTGAGATTGAGCACCTTGGGAGGCTTCAGGGTCTTGAGTCTGGTTGGGTGGGGCCTTAGCCAGTCTTAGGGCGTCGGTGGATTTGACAGCAAGCACCTCGCTGCGATGCGTGTTGTTGGTCTCAAACATGGCATCGAGACAGCGCTTCACAAAGGCGATCACGTCTGGGCTATGTGTGGTTGCGAGTTGAGTGATGGAATCGGAGGAGACGTTCACGAGAGCGTAGATACGGGTCCGGTCGTGCTGTGAGAGGGTGTCGCGGATCTCGAGATCGAAGGGGGAGATGGCGGCATTGGTCACGTCGATGTAGGTCGAGACATGTTGCTCAGTAATGTCGGCAGGCCGGATATCGCGGCCGTCTTGGGCTTGGATGTGTAAGTTTGTGTACCTGTCGAGCGGTTTCATGGATGGGCAGCTAGCTACCTTGAGCTTTCTCAATGGCTGCGACAATGGGTCTGGCTTGTTCGAATGTGAGGGTTGCACGGGACAAGAAGGACTGTAAGAAGGCGCGGTGACTGTTGTTGTAAACTTGGTCGGCTTCGCCGTTGTCGGACATTTTGGGCGTGTGATATGTGATATGGTGTCGGGGAAAAGCAGCAGACGAGTTTCCGGCGGAAGACGCGTTTCAATCTTGGCCGCGTCGCCCTCGTCATCACACTTCCCATTCGGGCCTGCGGGCTGCCGCTTCCTCAAACCCATCTCTTTGGAATCCTCCCGACGACTTGTTCATCTAAAGTAAGTGTTTGATCAGTAGCACCTTCCCGTCTTGTTCACATCAGAGCCACGTCACTTCAATTCGATTGCTCCCTCATCATCCTCAACCCGCATCTTAACATGCAGTCGTCTTTTGCACATCCTCTGTTCTTCAAACATCGCAATCATGACAAAGAAAAGCAACCACGAGTGCCCAGACTCTTCAGCGGAGTTGATATAGCCCGCGACACCCATAGACTGTTGAATCCAAGGCGCACATCAAGACCCTCTAGAACAATTGCTGCTCCCTCCTTCACTCTTCCTTATCGCAACATCACTATGAATCATTCTAGTGACAATCTTTCTAACCCTAAGCGAAAGAGAAGCAACAAGAGCAAGAAGAAGCGCTTCGAAAACATCAAGTCTTTCCAGAACACCAACCAACCTCTCTCTCTCCACTTATCATCTGCCCTCCCATCGCGAACCATGGCCGAGTCACAGCGAAATGAACCCGCTATCTCTGAAAGAAGAGGCATCCGATGGGTGCGTATCACAATCCTTCCTACACAAGACACGCGCTCACCCACCCCTTCAGCTTCCTGACGACCCCAAACTCGAAGAGCCAACTTCTACCTTGGTTCTGACAAGCTCCAGAGGACAATTCGTCGACATTCGCATATCTTGCACGCCAGGAGAAACATTACCCAACCAAGGTGAGTTGAACATCGTAAGATCCCAACCTTCTCACCACTGACTGACCATTTCGACAGGCGGCCCATCAAGCCTCCTCGATTGGGGAATCGCTGGAAAGTCTACAAGTACCGTCATTGACGGACCCTCGCTAGATCACCCTTCGAACCCACCACCACCTACAGATGGCTCATCAAGATCTGTTCGCCACTCTACCTTCTCTCATTGGATTGATAGTCGCACCGATACCCCCGGACCTGACCAAGGTGACATGTACCCCCAACCCAACCACACAACCCTCGAACTCGGCGCAATGTACAACCCTCTCACCAATTCAGAGCAAGCGTACGAGGAGGTCTGGGTCGACTACTCCGCCTCTGTTGTGCAAGGGTTGCGCTGGAGTGTTGTTATTGATCTCGAAGACCTTGAGCACAAAGCTAAGGGGAGGGTTATCCGTGTGGGCGAGCACTGTCAAGCCATACTGAAGGTTGGTGATCAAGCCACCGTCGAGCGTTGGAAGTTCGAATCGCCAGAAAAGGACAGCACAGGTGGTTGGAAACGCCTTGCCAGGTTGGGCGATCTGTTCTTGCCTGTCTCTTTGGCATTCAAACCCGAGAGCCTGATCGAGGGCAACACTCTGGCCTTTGGAGATTACAAGTGGGTGGTCAAAGAGGTATATTCCTGGTGATCATCAGGCAGATCTACGAGAATTCACATGTCTGTACTGCTAGAAAGGAGCAAGGATTAGTTCGATAGATTCTCTACATCGCTGCATCGCAGGACCACATCAAGTAGTTCCAAGTCTGCAACATCCAGCGCGTACAGGATCGACAAGCAAACATATAATCCTCATCGTTTCAAAGCAGAATAGATCTTGCGAGAGCAAAAGATATTCATCGACCTGAATAATGTAGTCTCGACCCTAACCCTGTCCGAATTAACAACCATGACCACGAACAACGCGACTGCTATACCCACCAGTTCTATGCAATACCATTTATGCTGTTTTTCTGCTATTAATCAGGGTCCGACGATATGGGTGCCTGAACCCCTATTCTATCGTCCTTATTTCTTCTTGATCTTCTTGTCCATTCTCCTCTTTCCACCCAGCCTTTCTCCTCTTGTCTCTCGAATTACAACATCCCATTCTCACGAGCTACTCAAGCGACCTTCTTACCAATCTTCTCAGCATCCTGCCTCAACTTGGCAGGAATGGGCAACCCTTTCCTCTTCCTCTCCTGAATCTCAGCCACAATCTCCTCAACCATCTCATCCCAAGCCCTGCCCGGATCATCAGGCAACCCCAACGTCGGATTTCTGTGCTCCCTCTCCAAGTCCGCTTTGATCTGTTCCTCGCTAGGTTTGGAGTGCTGCTTGACTTTTTGCTGCAGGAATTGTTTTCCGGGGGAGAGCAGGAAGAGGGAGGATGCGGTGACGCCGATGATGGTGTAGAAGTAGACGCGCTGCCAGATTAGCAGCGACGAACTGAAGCCGAGGAAGATGAAGGGGGCGACGGTGAAGGAAAAGGCGAGTTGAGTGCAGAGCCAGGTGAAGATGTCGTAGTAGCGCTTGGAGGGCAGGGCTTTTGTGCCGTCTGCACTCATGAAGAAGGGACGAATCAGGCGTCGTGAGTCTGTTGTCGAGCAAATCAGTATCATGCGTTCTTGAATATCAAAGGCAAGTAACACTCACTCTTAGCAGAGTTCTGGATGAAGCTCGCGAGCACAAAGGCAAGGTAATAACCAGGATAGAAACCATGCCAGAAGGCACTGGTGACAAAGGTAGCCATACTGGCTCTGAAACCAGGTTTCTTGCCCTTGGGTGTAACACGCAGGTACACATAGTTTCTCAACCACATGTTGGTATTGATATTCCAATTGCCAAGGTAGGCATGACTGTTCTGAGCCAGTTCTATAGCCAGAGGCTTCACGTTCTGCAGTCTGTTCCAATCGGCCTTGCCAGTCTTGGGATCGACGCCCTTGAAGCCAATACCAGAGAGGATACAGGCGCCTTCAGTGAGAGACCAGACACCGTAGTACTTCATGCGGGTGGTAACACCCAGCATATGCAGGACCCAGACACGATGGAAAAGCCCGTACTGCTTGTAGCTGTCGGAGAGCAGGAAGTCGGTGTAGTAGTAGCCAGAGAATTGGAGGAAAGCGAAGATCCAGAGAAGACCGAAGGCTGCTTTCCAGGCTGCTGGTGTTCCACTGCGAGGGATCTTGCGTTGCTTGCGAGTCGGTGGGGCCTTCGAGGGATCAACACCAGCAGGAAGCTCAAACATGGTGGTCTCGATCCATCTTCTGTAATCCACAAAGTCAAAGGCAGGGCCTGCGAACAGCGACGGGAAGAAGAGTACAAAGCCAGCATAATCAAGCAGGGTCGGCAACTTCTTGAGAGCGCGGTCTTTTTGGTGATCGGTCAGGGTGGCTTCGGGAAGTGTGCCATCATAGACATTCCAGCAGAAAGCTGTAAGCTTCATGACCAAGACCATCTGGGCACCAGTGATGTCGACAGAGCTAGGGTCGTTGATGATTTGACGATAGATGTGGTTGACAGACATGTGACCCATGAGGAACACGAAGCCAATCCATGGCATATAAGGTCCTTGGATGTACGCTGCAATCGAGTATGCACCTACAGAGCTGATTAAGATGGTACGTAGACCGGCCCACAGGTCGAAGAGGCCGACCAGGTAGAACATGGACACCCTGTCAGAGTCAGTTAGTGTAAAGGGGAGAGAAATGAATAGCAACACATACGCAATGATAAAAGCATTCTTCTGCGCAGGTTTGGAATCGGGGATACGTTTGAGTACTCCAGCCAGAGGATACGACAATAAGAACGAGAAGATGAGTTTTACTGCACACCATCAGCTGGCCTGGCATCAACCTGATTCTAAAGACACATACACTCATCTGGTGCTGCGCCCAGTTTGCCAGCCACGTAGACAAACGCTACAAGCTCATGTCAGTGAAGCTATTCTCCGTTCCTCTGGAGCTCGGATTCGCATATTACTCACGGGCGTTGATGTAGGGTAACATCGTGAAGCTTGCTCAGCGAGATCAGTATGGACGGACCCCAGTAACTCGAGACAGGGTGCTCAAGAAGTATATCTGAAAAGGTTGCTTTAAGAAAACCAAAGAAGTCTGGCTTCTCGCACACGTGTATACATAGGTTGTTGTTTGCTATGACGTAGCACAAGATTTTATGACCAACTTGTGCATATCATGTGCACTCTTTATATGTAAATCATGAACAGGAAATCGAATCAAAGCACTTCAGTGGGGATATCAGAAGTCATTGAACGTGCAAAAGTAGAGAATGGTAGAAGGAAAACATGCTCATATGTGACTATACATGCTGGCCGAGTTGGCCACTACAATGCATGAAGCAGTGCTTTCATAAGTGTTTCTATAGGACGCCTCGATCAACATGGGCTGTGGCTGATGGCAGCACTACTCGTCGTTCTCCAATGTCTTCTGTATGCGCTTCTTGCTTTGTAAAAGAGAGCTGCTCCATGCGTCGAGCAAAGAAACACTGATGCTCTATTGTCGGAGGAAGCAGAGATTAGGGAATATGGAGGGGTGAGACGTTTAGCGGCCCTTGGCGACTCTGGAGACGATGCTCTCGTACTCGATGTCATCAGGGTCGTTGGCCTGGATATCGGCGGCGAGGCCGTTGAGTGCGCGCTTGATGGCTTCCTTGGAGGACGAGTACATCATGCGGGGCTGGAAACGAGGTAATTAGTATTTGCGACTGTACATGGTTGCGGGCCAGATTTGCTCACGTATTGCGATGCATCATCAGGGACCCAGGCGATGAAGGTAATCTTGCTTCTGCGATGAACGTCAGTTATGCGGCCGACAAGACGGAAGTCGAGATTGACAGACCTCTTGCCCTCGCCAGCAGTGTCGTACTCGACATCGTAGACGGCGTATCTGCCACCGATGCCCTCGTTGCCTCTTCGGTCCTTGCTCTTTGCGTTGAGGAGCTTCTCGCGGAAGACGGAGTAGTTGGCCTCGGTCGACGAGTCTTCGACGACAATCTCCTTCCAATCGTCCGAGATCTTGTAGATGATCCACTTGGTCGACTTGCCGAGCTTGAGATCGTTGAATGCAGTGATGCACTCGGGTGCAACGGAAACACTGTCGTGGGGTTAACAGCGCTTTGGACATGGGGCCGCTCTCAAGGCGGGAGTTGTAGATTAAGGCGAACGTACCCAGATTGGGCCTAGAAAAAGGCATGTCAGTATTCCGGCAGGGACGATAGCTGGAGGGAAAGATACCATGTTGATTATCTGTCTAGCAGGTCTAAGACACGATGGTGGCTGTTGGAGCGGTGTCAGCCGTCAGTGTTAAGTAGGGCCAGGTCGAGGCAGCAGCATTTGTAACAAGAGCACATTGGCAGGGCAGACTACCAGTGTACGCGTGTACTGAACAGACGGCAACATACCGGGTGAGAGACGGGGTTGCAAAAGTCAGGATTGGTGTTGTGAGATGGACAACAACGTGGTGCTGCTATGTACGAGCTTCCTTGGCCCCTCCTGCGCCCGCGCCCAGCTCTCCGCGACTTCCTTTCCTGCTTCACATCCGACACGTGACCGTTTGACCATGACGACGCCAATTCAGCCTCATTTCAATCATGATTCAACCCACCCGACACTTTCACATGCTTCTTGACTCTGCCTGCCTACTCTCCAACAGGATATAATTCAAAACACAACATGGTTAACCAAGCACGGTCGAGCAGTAGCTGATGGAGAACTGTTTGAATTCGTACAAATACATATCGCTAACCCCATCCTCTGCTATGCAATCTATGAGAGGAGAAATGTTTGTACATTAATGACACGGCAGAAATGCCACAAGGCTTTTAGCTACAATACATGATAACGTGAACGCCCGTCAGGGGCTAAAGAAAATTTGGGGTATCATCGACTCTTCGAGGTGTGGTTGGCTTAGAACATACCACCGCCCATGCCGCCCATGCCGCCGCCCATGCCGCCCATAGGAGGCATGCCACCAGGGCCCTTCTCCTCGGGTGCCTCGACAATGGCGACCTCAGTGGTACCGAGGAGCGATGCGACACCTGAGGCGTCTCTGAGACCAGTGCGGACGACCTTGAAGGGGTCGAGGATACCGGCAGCGATCATGTCGACGTACTCGCCCTTGGCGCTGTCGAAACCCTTGTTGAAGTCTTGACCGAACTCATCCATAATCTTGCCAACGATGACGCTGCCCTCGGCACCGGCGTTCTCGACAATGGCGCGAGCAGGGCGGGTGATGGCGTTCTTGACGATGCTGATACCGAGCTGCTGGTCGAAGTTGGCGGGCTTGAGGTCGTTCAAGGCGTTGGCGGCGGCCTTGATCATGGCGGTACCGCCACCGGGAAGAATACCCTCCTCAACGGCAGCACGGGTGGCGTTAAGAGCGTCGACGAGACGGTCCTTCTTCTCACCAACCTCAACCTCAGACGAGCCACCGACCTTGATGACGGCGACACCACCAGAAAGCTTGGCGAGACGCTCCTGGAGCTTCTCCTTCTCGTAATCGGAAGTGGTGGGGTCGGCAATAACACCACGGATCTGCTCGCAGCGCTGAGCAACCTGGTCCTTGCTGCCCTCACCGTTGAGGATGACAGTGTCCTCCTTGGTGATGGTGATGGAACCGGTGGAACCGAGCATCTCGGGGGTGGCCTTGTCGAGCTTGATGTCGAGCTCGTCAGTGAAGACGGTACCGTTAGTCAGAACAGCAAGGTCACCGAGGATGGACTTGCGGTTGTCACCGAAACCAGGGGCCTTGACGGCGGCAACCTGGAGCTGGCCGCGGAGCTTGTTGAGGATACAGACAGCAAGAGCCTCACCGTCAATGTCCTCGGCGATGATGATAAGAGGACGGCGGAGCTGCTGGGAGGCCTCGAGAGCGGGGACGATGTCCTGAACAGCCGAGATCTTCTTCTCGGAAAGGAGGATGAGAGGCTTCTCGAACTCGACCTTTTGCGACTTGGTGTCGGTGATGAAGTAAGGCGAGATGAAACCGCGGTCGAACTTCATACCCTCGGTGATCTCGAGCTCGTCTTCAATGGTCTTGCCCTCCTTGACGGTGATGACACCCTCCTTGCCGACCTTCTCCATGGCGCTGGAGAGGAGAGCACCGATGTGGGTGTCGCCGTTGGCGGAAATGGTAGCGACCTGAGCAATCTCAGTGCTGGTGGTGACATCGCGCTTGTGGGCCTGGAGGTACTGGATGACGGCCTCGGTAGCGGACTGAATACCGCGTCTCAGATCCATGGGGTTGCATCCGGCGGCGACGTTCTTGACGGTCTCGGAGAAGATGGCGCGGGCGAGGACAGTAGCGGTGGTGGTACCGTCACCAGCAACCTCGTTGGTCTTGCTGGCGACATCCTGGAGGAGGCGGGCACCGAGGTTCTCAAACTTGTCCTTGAGGACAATGGCCTTGGCGACGGTGACACCATCTGGGACACGTATTAGCCATCAATTGGTCGCGCGAAGGGGGTTTCGAGGAAGAGGGGCGCATACCCTTTGTGATCTTGGGCGAGCCGTAGCTGGACTCGATCAGAACGTTGCGACCCTTGGGACCCAGAGTAGTGGCGACGGCTCTGGCAAGAGTGTCGATACCGTTGAGCAGAGCCTGTCTGCCCTCGACACCGAACTTGAGTTCCTAGAGGCCACGATTAGCTGGTGGTAGAGGCAAGTCTGCGGCGAGGCGGTACCTTGTGTGCGAAGCGCTGCTGTTGCAGGGAAACGGAACGCAGCTTGGAGGCCGAAAGGGCAGAAGCCCTGGCACGGGAGGTGAAAGCGCGCTGCATGTTGAGGCGAATGGACAAAGATGCAAATGAAATGATATGACCCGTTTGCTCCTGTTACTCCACAAAGCAAATGGCAGACGAGATGAGAAGGGGAAGACGGCGACGGAGAGGGTGGATCGTGGAGCGTCAGGTTGAAAAATATACGACACGGCGCTCTCCAGAGCTCGTCCGAGGTTACTCGTTCCAGGGCACATTCTGGATGCTTCGGTTGGTCCAAGCGCCATTCTGTCGTTCCGCTGACTGTCCGATGCCGCGAGCAGGTCCGACGTCTGTCGACCGACCTACTCGCACCTATTGTATCATACAATTCTCATACCCATCTTCCAGGTGTCAACCAGCAGCCTTTTGGCCGGTAGGGATGTGCACAATTGTGATGTGATGTTGATCCCACCCAATAGCCATGCGTCTGAGATCACAAACAGAGACATAGCCATTGTGCTTGGTGTCAGATGTCACAAACGGCATACAACCGATTGAATGCTTCAGGTGATGCATTCCTGTGTTCCCAAAGGCCGTTTGAGGTCTTGCCGACAGCTGCGCCATGTCTGTAGTTTTTCTATGGTAGAGCTGTCGTTTGCATCTCTTTGACCATCGCTTAAATCCGTTCTTTGTCTTGTTCATTCGCCTTTCCGGCCACAGTCGTCACTTTTCCTCTTTCGTTACAGCGCGCGGGTACCTCACTCCCCATACTCAGCTTTCTTCGCCCAACATTAGTCTGCGATACCTCTCTCAAGAAGGAATCCTGACCTTCAAGACATCTTATCTCCCAATCCAACACAATGCAACCGAGGGATCTTCAACACCGCCAAAGCTGTCCAGGAGGCGCATATTACGTGTGCCAAAATGGTTTCAAAGGTTGCTGTTCCATCGACCCTTGCAACCCGGGAGCCTCTTGCCCAGATATCAGCAGCACCACGTCTAGCACAAGAAAGCCAAGCTCGATCTCTACATCAACAGCTGCTGCGACTCCGTCCACAGTCCTCACATCTTCTCCAGTGACGACATCCTCCTCTTCGACCACGACTAGCTCGACTACCATACTACCCACAGCGACTAGCCTGACGTGCCCGGCCGCCAACATGACAACGTACATCGACCCCAACAGAGTCAAATATTCTATCAGATGCAACGCCGACAATACTTACGATTCCTTCAACTCTACGACTGTTAGCACAGGAGGATTTGGCGAATGCTTTTCGGCATGTGATGACTTTGCCGCATGCGCAGGTTTCACATTTGTGGGAACTGATTCGGGAACTTGCTACTTGAAATCAAATCTTCCAGAAGACGGCTATTCAACCACGGCAGGATCCAACTATGTGACGGTCGCTTTGCTGAACCGAGATGCTCAAGTCGACCCACCAGCGGATGCCTTGCCAACAAACTCCCCCGGCTCCTCGAAAGATTCTAGGGGTGCGCCTATCGGGGCCATCGTTGGAGGTGTGGTTGGTGGTCTAGCTCTCCTTATCCTTCTTGCTCTGCTCATAATCTTTTGCCTGTGCAGAAGACGCAGAAGACGAGAGGAAATCAAGTCGGCTACCCAGAGCTTTCCGCAAGCACCGCTTGATGAATCTCAGCTTGCCAGAGAAGATTCTGCAAACGCATTCCTGGCAACTAAATACGACAAGCCTGCACCAACACCAGCTGCCTACCCTCCGACCGGTCCAGCAGAAGTGGAAGGCAGGCCAGTATATCCTTTGGCAAACGTCGGTCCTCCGGCACCAGTTGAGATGGATGCGAGTCCTATGATGGCTCCAAAAACACCAATGTCGGCACAACCCAACGAGTCGCCTGTCCTAGGAAGATATACTTCTAACGCCTACGCCAACTATGGGCAGAGCAGTCTTGCAGGAGATGTGCGCAGGAGACAGCACAGCCGACACATCATGAGCTGGAACAACTATGATCAGACAAGTGTGGTATCGCCCCCTTCATCTACGACCATGTCTCCAAGGATCGGCTCTCCTGACGTAAGTCCTGTGACAAACAGCTCAAGAGATTCTACTACAAGTAAATCACCACCTGAGCGATACGGAGGTAATTTCATATAGAGCCCACAATTCGTGTTTCTGCACGCAATTATCAATTCCGTCCCCGATAAGGATAATCCCGAGATAGCCACTGCAACTGCTACATATTACTAGAGACCAAAACGCGTGTTCGTGATATTAGTCTTCTGATTAAGTGTTCCTCGCCTATTTGTTCTACCTCGAATCACACATATCAACCTGCAGGTTTGACAGACGAGCTTTCCCCATTTGAGTCTGGACTCTGATGAGGCAATTGCTTATCGTCCCATGGTTACCGAGACAATTTTCAGGACAAGCCTTCGGCAATAAAAGCTTGACGGAAGGGCCATCACACGGATAAGCATCTTGGTCAAGTGTCAAGCCTACCAGCTCCCGCATTTACTGTATCTATATGCAGCAGATAGGGTCGGTGATAATTGCGCCCCCACCCCTCGACGCCACTCACAGCATATCGTGCATTGCATACATGCAATATCCTCAGATTGCAACCACTTCAACTATACCCACGCTGTACACCAGATGGATTTCACTTCTCTCAAGCTGAGAAGATGGGTGCACGGCCAGATAAGCTTTATATTGACGATCAAATCCAAGTTCAGCACGAACAATCAGAGCCAGATGAGGGTGGATCTACCAGATGGCACCCCGAAGCGGGGTGAAGTCCTCTCCGACCGCGGCACGGTCTGCTCGCGTGCTTGCGGCCGTGAACACCTTCTTTCCACACATGCTATCGACCTTCTCAACCCGTGCACCTCAAGTGACCGCTTCTTTGTTTGCACGAGCACGAAGAAAGCTCGACACGGGAGCTCATCTAGGTACCTTCAAGGTGCCGCTGACTAGTCGTTCGATGGCGTCTATGATGATTCTATCCTCCTTCCCAACAGGGAACTAGCTGCTCTGGCCCTTTGCACTTGCCCTGTATCGCCTCTATCTCCGCCTCAGTATGAGCTGCACGGGGTCCACATCATCCGGACACAACATGCTTCCGGGACGATATGGCGGGAAGATCATATACGATTTCTCAAGTGGTTTATGGCGAGGACCCCTGAACTTTACTATCTCTAAGAGGAAGGAGGAGTTGGGAGTGGTCTATAAAGACCGCCCTTGATCACCATGGAAGGAGGCTATATCTCATCTCTTCATTGTCTTTCGTTCTTCATCACATAGAAGGCATACCGAGCCCTCTCGTTCCCTTCGCTACCATGCATCTCTCTTTGCTCAGTTTGAGTGTGTTGGTCTCCTATGTCCTTGCCTCGCCTACTGGAAACTTCATCATCCACGAGAAGCGTGATGCTACTCCCATGGGCTGGAGCAAGGGCGATCGCCTTGATCGCCGCGCTCTGATCCCCATGAAGATTGCCTTGACACAGCGCAACATCGACATGGGTGCAGACTATCTGCATGAAGTCAGTCATCCTGCATCTGCCAAGTATGGTCAGCATTGGACTGCGCAAGAAGTTGCAGACCACTTCGCTCCCAGTGAGGAGACCATCTCCTCCGTGATGGATTGGCTCATCGCTTCCGGAATCTCTTCCGACAGCGTCAAGTTGAGCAAGGGAAAGAACTGGATCAACTACGAAGCCTCGGTCGATCAGGCAGAGTCTCTGCTCAATACCAAGTACCATCTTTACGAGCACGATGCTACGGGTCATCCTCACATCGGCTGTGACGAATACAGTCTTCCCAAGCATCTCAAGGATCACATTGACTTCGTCACTCCTTCTCTGCATTTCGACGCCAGAGTCACCGAGCGCTCCGAGAACCTCGAGAAGCGTGATGTGACCCCTGACACCGGCAAGGAGATTGGTCAGCCTGGCAGCTGGAGCACACCTCATCTGGGTGCATTGATCAACAAGTCCCAATTCATCAAGGAGCTTGAGCAGTGTGATGAGCAGATCACTCCCGACTGTCTCAAGGCCCTGTACAAGATTCCCAAGAGCACCGGCAAGAGTGTCAAGAACTCCTATGGTATCGTAGAGTACACTCCTCAGGCCTACGTTCCATCCGATCTCGATCTCTTCTTCGCCAACTTCTCGACAAAGCAAGTCGGAGACCGTCCCATCACCGATCTGATCGACGGTGCCGTTGTTCAGCAGACCAACAGGAGCTTCAGCTTCAACGGCGAGAGTAACCTTGACCTGGAGTACGCCATGACCTTGATCTACCCTGAGAAAGTGACACTTTTGCAAGTTGGTGACCTCGTCGAAGGTGCATCTTTTAACAACTTGCTCGATGCCATTGATGCTTCCTACTGCTCATATGAGGGTGGCGATGACCCGTCTCAAGATGGTATCTACCCTGATGTCTACGCTGGAGGCTACAAGGGCAAGGAGGACTGTGGAACTTTTGCTCCTCCCAAGGTCATCAGTACATCCTACGGCTACAACGAGGCCGATCTTACTCCCTACTACGAGCAGCGCCAGTGTAACGAGTACATGAAGCTCGGACTCATGGGCACCTCCGTGCTCTACAGTTCAGGTGATTACGGTGTTGCTGGCAACGGCGGCCAGTGTCTCAACGCCAACGGTACTTACAACTCTGGAAAGTCTGGTCGCTTCAACCCTTCATTCCCTGCCACCTGCCCCTACGTTACTGCTGTAGGAGCTACCCAAGTCATTCCCGGTACCAACATCATCACTTCGCTTGCCACCGGCACCCAGCCCGAAGAAGCCTGTGAGACCGTCATCTACTCTGGCGGTGGTTTCAGCAACGTCTTCCCTCTCCCTAGCTACCAGTCCTCAGCCGTCAAGAGCTGGTTCAAGAACTACCCCCCACCATACGGCGCCGATCGCTTCAACAACACCCAACAAACTCGCGGTTTCCCCGATGTCAGTGCAAACGGTGCCAACTACATCGTTGCCATTGATGGATCCTTTGGTCTGGTCTACGGAACTTCGGCTTCTTCACCTACCTTTGGTTCTATCCTGACCATCATCAACGAGAGACGTCTCCAAGCTGGCAAGAGCAGTATCGGTTTCATCAACCCTACTCTGTATGCTCACCCCGAGGTCTTAAACGATGTCACTCAGGGAGGCAACCAAGGATGCGGTACTGCTGGGTTCAGCGCCAGCAAGGGTTGGGATCCGGTCACCGGTCTCGGTACCCCTGACAGTCTCAAGATGCTTGCTTTGTTCTTGAGCTTGCCTTAAGTCGAAGCAGATGATTATATCGATAGCATATAATCGAGATTTAGAAATGACCTATTTGGACAAATAGTGAATGAATTATGTTTGGTTTTCGTACTGCCTGATTGTGTCTTCTCTCGTCCCGAGCATTCTCGTTTTTGTGTACTGTGCTGTGTCACAATTGACCCAGCGCTCGCGTTCTGCTATCTCGGGGGAGGCATTAGAAACAGCATTTCAAGGACCTGATGATTTGCTTGTTCTTCGTTCTCGTTCTCGTGCTCTCTCTTGTCTGTCTTGTCAGTTTCTGCCTCGCGTGTTGAGAGCGTCCCGATGGATAAGAGTGTCGACGTCATCATATGCTGCATTGCAACAGTGTTGAAAGCTAGCAGCCTTGCTCTAGAGATGACACGGGCAGTAACAGAGAGGCATATATCAGACGTAGGTCACTGCATATCCACACATAAAGTCAAGGCACAAAACATCTTTTCCAACAGATTACTCGATTTCCAAATTCAACACTATGCTGAACGCGTAAAGTACTGTAACTGCCAAGTACTTCCAACAAATCGTGAATTCATGAACCCCAATATTTCTATCGCAGTGTACTCTTGCCTCGTTAAAAACCCATCTAGGAATTGGATGTCATCCAGTTTGGGAAAAGAGATACAAGAGTCACGCATGTCCTGCAGACCAAAGTATCTTTGAAGATAACAAAAGGTCAATATTCCCATTCTTCATTTCTGACATGTGTCTTTCTACCGCATGAGGGGCGGCGGTGTGTCGTATTCTGCATAAATGCATTCTCAAGACGACGGAGAGTGTAGTCTTCGTAACGTACGAAAAGCTCTTCTCTGCTCAAGTACCCTGTTTGTGGAGTAGTGGGTGTTGGTGGGAGAGGTGGTGTGGCTGTGGTGGAAGAGGCAGGGGTAGAGAGCTCGCTCATCTCGTCCCAGGCGTCGCTTGTCCAGCCGAAGACTTCGTTGTGGATGCGGCGTTGTTGTATGCTTTTGTTGTTGCTGATCCTCGAGGGAGAGCAGGATCTTTTGTTGTTGGCGGCGGTGGTTGTATTGGTGGTGCTGGACCTGTTGATGATGGTACGCAGCTTGTTTTGTGTGGAAAGGAGCCATTTTGTAAAGCGGCAGACCTTTTTGGCCTTGAGACCTTCGCCTGCGATGGCAGCGCGTGCTTGGAGGAGGAGAGGGTTTTCCATTTTTTGTTTGTGGAGTAGGAAGAGGATGGTATTTGAGAGGGAAGGTACGAGGTAAGTGGACCTAGCTTCAATATACAGATCACTCTTGGTTATGCTTTGATAGGTTCGTGTGTGCTTTGATTTGTAGCAGTCACGGATATTTGGTTTTGGATGAAGAAAGGAAGGATGAAGAGGGGGGGAAACACTTTTTTATTTCTGACTCTACTCACAAGGGACGGAAAGATCACTCGCCTATTGTGCGAGAAATCTCGTCCATACGAGATGTCGGTCCCATACAATGACCGGGTCACTATAGGCAACCAGCTGTCTCCTGAGTGGCTTTGAGGTCGATGAATTTTTGCTCCTAGGCAGCCAGCAATTTACGACCAGAATTCGATTCCAGAAGACAACATGAAAGAAATCGCGACGGTGACGAGCCATGATAGGACGTGTCTTACAGCCAGGAGAGGTGATCCGGCTCTCATTCATGGGCTATATCTCGAACACTCGATGGTATTCTTCGACTTACTCCGTGAAATTGTTCAGGTAGAGATCTTATTGAAGTGCCGCAAATTACCTCAAAGTCTTCTCGAGCGCATGGGAGATATCTGTCTTCTTCGTCATTTCAATGGCCAGGAGCGACCTTCGAGAAGGATGTCTCACACAGCCTCGCACGTGTGAAAGATTATGACTGTCATCAGAATATCAGCGTAGAAAAGAAAAAGACTACAAGAGCATGAGATTCCGCTACTCGTGCCTTTTTGTCAGCCTGGTCACAGTCACCCAAGATGGAAGCAGCATCGAGAGTCAACGAGCCGAGCTTCAGGCGCATCCCAGGTCAAGGCACAGCAGAATCGAGTCCGACGTCGACAAACTCAAGCCTGGATTATGAAGTGGATGCTGCATACGAATCATCGGCGGACGAGAGTCCGTTTCGATGCGGCTTCGACACACCACAATCAAGCGTGGTGGACATTGTCTTGAGACCAGGAGCACCACGACCGAGACGAGTGGCTAGATTCGTAGAGTGTTTCTGTGTGAGCGGAGGACCTCGGGTTGGAAGGGGAGGTCAAGCGACATGCAACTGCGGTGCGTCCCCTGAGGTAGGCGAGCCACCAAGGGGGACAGAGAAGAGGTCCATCAAGAAGTTTGCGAAGGGTATCGCCAGAGGGCTGCAACAGGCGTGGGGAAGATCAATACAGAGGGTCAAGGACAAAGCAACGCGAGCGATGAGAAAAGGGCTAGACGGCCGAGGAGGTGGTGACTTGTGATGGTCCTTAATCGTTTGCGAAGCCTTTCAGCGACAACTGTCTCAATGGGTTGTCGACTCTGGTGGGTTCCCTCATGAGTTGACACAAGTCTTTGATGGAGACAAGATGCAGGTCGAGATGTCCAAGGACGCGGACGAGTCGTCGGTGACATCAAAGCCTCGGCGTCGTCACTGTTGATCGACAGCTCCGATACAGAAAGCTCTCTCCGTTACTCTCAATCTGACCAATTGTCATACCGACACATCACATATAAACCATGTCGTTCCGCCTGAGCACACGCAGCACAAGCCTGCGAACATCCTTCGCCCGTCCGGCACCAACACCCATCACACGCCGTCATCTTAGCGCATACGGCTACGAGCAAACAAAAGTACTAGCCTTTAACAACTACGGCGAACCCAAAGACGTCCTCCGTCTCCATGGCCACAGCATCTCTCCAGCACACAAGGATCTCGTAACCTTACGCTTCCTCGCCTCTCCCATCAATCCAGCAGACATCAACCAAATCCAAGGTGTCTATCCCACAAAACCCACCTTCAGCACCACCCTTGGAGCCCCCGAGCCCACAGCCGTAGGAGGCAATGAAGGTGTCGCCGAGATCATCTCAGCAGGCGGCAGCGTCAAGGACTTCGAGAGAGGCGACTGGGTCATCATGCGCAGCCCTGGCTTCGGAACCTGGCGCACCCACGCCCAAACCACCACAGAAAACCTCCTCAAGATCCAAGACAAGACGAACCTCACACCCCTCCAAGTCGGTACCGTCAGCGTGAACCCCTGTACAGCTTACCGCATGCTCAAAGACTTTGTTCCTCTCAAAGAAGGCGACTGGTTCATCCAGAACGGTGCCAACTCAGGCGTGGGCAGAGCAGCGATCCAACTCGGAAAACTCTGGGGCTACCGCAGCATAAACATCATTCGCGAACGCTCTGACGCCTCAGCAACAGAAGCAATGAAGCAAGAGTTGAAAGAGCTGGGTGCAGATATCGTCCTTACAGACAAAGAAGCAATGGACAAATCCTTCCGCAATGTCATCAAGGAAGCCACAAACGGTGGTCGCGAACAAATCTCCCTTGCTCTGAATTGCGTAGGCGGCAAGCTCGTCAACAGCATGGCCAAGATCCTCGCCGACAACTCGCACATCGTAACCTATGGCGCCATGTCCCGTGAACCCGTCACCGTGCCCGCCGGCCTCCAGATTTTCAAGAACATTTCGTACGATGGCTTCTGGGTAAGCAGATGGTCGGACGCAAACCCAGAGGACAAGAAAAAGACCGTCGAGCATGTGCTAGACCTGGTACGAGAGGGAAAGTTCAAGGACACACCTTTTGATCAAGTAAAGTGGGAATGGGAGACCAAGGGTGACGAGCTGATCAAGGCCGTTCAAGGCACATTGGAGGGCTTTAGATCTGGCAAGGGTGTCTTTGTGTTTGGCAAGACTTGAAGCAGACGATTATTATGACTGTAAAAATATTTTGTACATATATTTTGTTAAGCTGAGTAAATTTGTGTAAAACTAAAAGAACACTTTCTAGACAACAAGGGCTTCCAATGATGACTACTGCGCCACGGGCATCTAGCCACAAACGCGGCTATGAAGGAAACAAGAAAAAAATCATTGCAATCATGATCGGACAAAGAAGAAGAGACATCCTAAGCAGGCAGACCAGCAGCAATGGCGTCCTCCTTCTTGGGACGAGGACGACCACTCAACGTGTCCACAATACTGACAAGGTCCATCCAGAACTCGTTCTTGGGGCGGCGGTCCTTCCAGTCAGTCTCTTCCTTCTCAACCTTCTCCATGGCCGAGAACTGTACTTGAGCGCCAGTGATTCCTATCACCGAGCACGACAGAGGGTCCTTGGCGATTTCGTCCTTGGACTTGCCGGCAAAGGATTCAATGTGCTGCATACTCTTGACTCCGAAACGGACGGCGCGGACACGGTCCATAGGTGAGGGAATACCACCCTGTTGAACGTGACCAGGCACGGCGAAACGGGAGTCGAATTTGCCGCCGCTCTCCTCGCGGATGATGTTGGCGATGATTTCGGTGGTGTAGGTCTTGGATGCCTTTTCGTTGCGGAGGATGATCTTACCGCTGCGGTTCTGGCCCTTGTCCTTGGCAAATTGCTCTTTCAAGTGCTCGATGTCTGAGGCGATCATCTTGAGGTGGATACCCTCTTCGGGCGTGTAGACAGCGACGGCACCGATGGAGAGACCGGCAATGGTGGCAATGTAACCGGAAGCACCACCCTGTGTCTCGACGACGAAGACACGACGGCGCGAGGCAGCGGCAGATTGCTTGATGGCATCACAGTAGTCGATCAGGGCGTTCAAGCAGGTGTCGCTACCAATGGAGTATTCGGTACCAGGGACGTTGTTGGAAACAGTTGCGGGAAGAATGACGATGGGAATCTTGAAGGCATCGTAATCGCGTCTGGCCTTGCGAAGCTCGGAGACGGCAGTGAAAGCCTCGAATCCACCGACAACGAAGAGAGCATCAATCTTGTGGTATGTGAGGGCGTCCGAGACACCGTCGTAGTCTTCAGAGGGAGTCGCACGGTTGGTACCGATTTCAGAACCACCCTTGCTGGCCCAGTTCTCGGCATCGAGCCACTTGATCTCACGGACGGAGCTCTCCTCATCCTTGTAGTGGCGGGCCAGGCCAGGGAAACCGTTGTGGAGGGCGATAGGCGTGTGGCCGCGGGTGAGACAGTAGGCGGTGGCGGCACGAGTGGCAGCGTTCATACCACCGGCGGGGGCTCCAACGTGGATGATACCAACACGGAGACGCTGTGGTTGTGTCAGTTGGGCTCCTCACAGGATATAGGGACTATGCTCTTACCTTCTCCTCGGGAAGAAGCAGCTCCTTCTTATCGGTGGAGACAGTGGTGCTGTATGCAGTCCAGTACTCGTCGAACTCGGCACCTCTGAGCTTCATGGCGGACTGGAAGTCCTTGCGCTCGATGGCCTCAGCGACGGACTGGGTCAACTTGACAGCCTCCATCAACGACTTGCGAACAATCTTGTTTTCGACAATGCAAATGACAGGACTAGGGGTCTCAGGGGTCGAGTCAAGGACAGCCTTGACAGCCTCAACACCCTGCAGGGTGGACAACATACGGTCGTATGCAACGGCAGTACCACCGCGCTGGACGTGACCAAGGGTGGTGACTCTGGTGTCGAGGCCGAGCTTGCCAGCAAGCAGGTCCTTCACCTTGTCGGGCGAGATGGCGTTGAGCTGACGGTCGTGGGCTCCCTCAGCAACAATGACAATGGTCTTTCTCTTTCCGAGCTTGCGATGACGCTTCACAACGTCGCACATCTCAGTCTCCCAGTTCTCCGACGGAGGGTTCTCGGGAAGGAAGACGAAGTCGGCACCGGTCGAAACACCGGCCATCAGGGCGAGCCAACCACAGTGTCTGCCCATGACCTCGATAACGAAGGCACGCTGGTGAGAGAAGGCAGTAGCATCGATGTAGTCTACAGCTTGGCAGATACGCTGCAGCGATGAGTAGCATCCAATGGTGGCATCGGTGCCGGCCAAGTCGTTGTCGATGGAACCGACCAGACCGACAATGTTGAGGTGCTTGAAAGGCTCGACGGCCTCCTGCTTGAAGGTGCCGTTGGAAACAAGCTCCTCGACCAGACTGGGCCACTCGCCTCTGAATCTGTCTGCACCAGTCAAACTGCCGTCACCACCACAGACAACCAGAGCGTCGATGCCCTTGTCAATCATGTTCTTGGCCGCTTGCAGTCTGCCGGGACGTTCCTTGAACGACATGCATCTGGCTGTTCCGATAAGAGTACCGCCTTCTGAGAGCCATCCGCGGACGTCTTCCCACTTCATTTGCTTGATCATGTCTCCGCCCTGGACGAGACCTTCGTAGCCTTCGTATACGGCAAATGCATCGCAGCCCGAGGCGATTGTCTGGCGGACGACAGCACGCACAGCACCAGACATTCCCTGAGAGTCACCTCCGGAAGTCATGACGGCAATGCGCTTCTTGCCCTCGGGCATGGCGGCGGGAGCGAGGTTGACCTGGGCCATGGCGGGGACCAGCTGAGTTGTGTGTTCGGTGCGGATGTGAGGAGTGTTGCGTTATTCCGAGGGCCCGAGAAGCTGTACCAGACAGAGAGCTAGGTCAGTTGTAGTCAAAGGGTCGTCGAGACACGTGGTGGGCAGATGGTTGTGAATGCGAGAAAAAGAGGCCTCAGCGAAAGCGCGAGGTGAAATCTTGAGATCTGATGTCACTCTCAACAAGGTTGGCCCATGCCAGTCAACATCACGGTCCGACTGCGGTCTTACAGGCCAAGAATCTCACCACTTGTTTGTGACACCGCCCAGAGGGCACTCTACAGCAGCTCACTGATCAACTCGTGATTCTTCCGCTGCTATGCTGTTCTATCTCACCAGCCATCACTTCAGGTGCCTACCCCTCCATGCGCGCATCGAGGAAAAGACGCTGGACCCTGAAAGTCGCGGCAGCTAAATTTATTCTCGCGTCTCGGCATTATGCTCCGTTCCAAACGCTCTGATTGACCGTCTCCCAAAACCCCTTTTGTTTCATCTCGTCGTCCTCGACTTTCCACTCAAATACCTGTCCGGGCGTTCGCAGTACTAGACCGTCCTGCGCGGCGTCTTTGGCTCCGCGGACCTCAATGCTGATCTTATCATTACTGTTGGCCTTTCCGAGAATGCCGCATCTATCGTTGAGGCTCCAGTCGGACAGTTTGTCCACGATTCCATGCCCCAAAGCGTTCGCGATTGCCGTGTTCAAGTAATCTTTAAGTTCCTCCATGTCTGGTATCTCGACTCGCGACAGTCCTATTGGTGAAGTCACCAACATGGCACTTCCGAAGGCTGGGGGCGAGATGGATGTTCGTACTTCAATACCAAAGTCAAGCGCCTCGGGTAGATGTGCTGTTTTCACTGATATCCTCATTCGCGAGTGCAGAGGTGCGAGACCTCTCTGCATGAGTGTATCGATCGTTTCTGCAGATCTCAAGAGTGCTGGATCAAATGCAGCTGTCTCGATTGAGGTGTCGACGGATGCGGTATCAAGAAGCTTCTTGATACGCTCGAGGTAGGCATCGATATCAGTGAGCACGGAGCGGTGTTGCAGCAAGGTCAAGACGGGCCTCATGATACTTGCGACAGGTGTTTCCTTCCTGGCGCTTGACATTGGTGGAGGTAGCTCGGATCGGTGTATTAGTCTTTCGCGGTGTGTATACGAAAGGAACAGGCGAAGGGCCAGTGCGATGGCCTGAGCCCAGGCATCATCCGGCTGCTTTTTCTGAGCCTTTGTTTCGATGTCGGTCAGCGGTAGCAAGTCAATCAAAACTTCATGTGCTTCTGAGACAGCTGATGACTCGACCGAAGATAATCTTGTTGGAAGACGGATGGTCGACTCACGCATGTCAACACCGTATGATGACAGACTTCGGGACTCTCGGATGATTTCATGGAATAGTTCTTCCTCATACAGCGAGTCTCTAGCGTGACGAATGCGAGCTTCGAGGGCAGACTCCGACTCAGCTGACACGTTTGGCATCTGCGAGACACCAACAATATCATCACCTTTTCGAATGCGCACGCGTATAACTTTGCTGTTGTTTCCAACGCCCTTGTCGAGTAGAACGTTGCCATCCTCGTCTGATCTCAGGGCGGCGAGTCCACGGTCTCGGAACTCTCCAAGAGCTTCTAAGAAGCCAAATCGGACGCCCAGGTTGTGTTTCTCGCGAGGCAGACGAGATACTGACCAGCCCTTGTCGCTGACAGACAGGACCTGCTCCCAGTAGTGTGTTTCCTTTCTGACATTCTTCTCCAGGCGAGTCGCAGCGCCCAGCAATGAATCGGCTGATGCTTGCAGCGACTGCATCCTCCAGCCACGAGCGATTGTATCATCCACCTTCTCTTGGTCCTTGTTGGGCGGCACGTTGTGCCACACATCCATGGCAAGTGTTCCAGGCTTGATGAACTGCTTCAAATGGGGCGACATTGTGAGATCGGCTTGTTTGGGAGCGTCTTTGGAGATGAGAAGGGAGACGAAATCGAGGGCGATAAGTGCTTCATTGCGTGCGGAACTGAATGGGGTCAGTAAATAGACCTCGAATCGCACTTATATGAACATACTCGACGTGTTGTCTCATCTCAGCTCTGGCTACCCATAGTTGTTCTCGCCGGTCTTTTTCCTCTGCTGTATCTGCCTCTGCGCCATCGTCTTCGTCGTCTGTCTCGGAGCTTTCCTCGTCGTTCTCGTTGGCAGCTATCTCGGCCTGCAAGCTCTGCTCGGTGATGTGTCGAAAGTGGCCCCGCTCGTCATGAATACGTCCGAGGATGGAAAGAATCGAATCTGCATCATTGTCGTCGCGCGGTTGCAGCAAGGACGAGGGCAGGGTCATGTCGGCCATGATGAGGATTGGACTCAAGGAAAGCTTTCGGCGTCGGCACAAGCGCCAGCGCTTCCTGAGTGAGCGATCGGCGCCACCGCTCCTACCCGCTGTTTAGCGCTATGGGGTGCAGCATCACATGCCTATCACCAATCAACAAACCCGGTAGTCCTGTCGGCCAGCTCCGACTCTGCGACTTGTCATACCTCGCTGCCACCTTTACTTCTCTCTGACTTGGCCTCTGTGACCTCCTGACTCTCACAAACAACAATTGCCACCATAATTTCTTGCTAGAATGACTACTAGATACCGTGTTGAGTGTATGTTGAACATTGCCTATCACATGCCAGGACTCGACACTGACTATATCTAGATGCTCTCAAGGTTCGTATACCCCGACACCAGCATCATGATTCTTGCTAACACGTTCTTCAAGACTCATCGTCGAGATCAATTGGTAGGTCCTTTGTATTGACCAGATCAGTTCACACCGTTCTTGCTAACACTGGTCCAGATCGAATGGATCAAGGGACTCCTTGCGGTACCATTTGTACTTTTGTCTCAACCAACCGCATTATTCGGGCAAGATGGAATCCATGGCACTGATGAAATGGCACGCAATGCTCATGTATGCCTATTGTTATCTATCACATGCTTGATACTCGGCACTGACTGTATCCAGGAACGTTATGCCCAGATCATGAGTGACGTTGAAGGACTGATCAACGACCACATATCCCGCCAAAAAGAAGGTACACACACTCACTCCAAGCTTAAGTTGCTAGTCCCGACAGTCGGTGTCTTCTTCACTCCCCTACTACTGCGAGATGCTTTCGAATGGCAGGACCAGAGACGATACATAAGCTCGAGGAGATTTGTAGCTCCTAGTTTCAACGACATTCGCTTGATCTTGAACACCGCTCAAGTCATGTCTTTGGTCAAACACAGTCGTCTGGACCTCGTCACTTTCGATGGTGATGTCACGCTCTATGATGATGGCCAGTCGCTCACGGATGACAATCCAGCCATCCCTCGTATTCTGGAGTTGATGAGGAATGGCACTCGTATTGGCATCGTGACTGCAGCTGGCTACACTGAAGCATCCAAGTACTATAGCAGGCTGCACGGCCTGCTTGATGCCGTCGCTACCTCTGATCTTCCGGATGATGTCAAGAGAAATCTTATTGTTCTTGGAGGAGAGGCAAGTTACCTCTTCCAGTTTGCCAGCGAAAGTCCGGATAGACTTGTATCGATTCCGCGCGAGCAGTGGAGTCTAAACGAGATGCGATCGTGGACTCAAGATGATGTTACAGAATTGCTTGACATTGCAGAGAAATCCCTCCGCAGTTGTGTCGACGCAATGAGGCTCAAGGCCGACATCCTTCGGAAAGAACGAGCAGTTGGTATAATTCCGGCTGAAGGGTTCAAACTCTCAAGAGAACAGCTGGAAGAGACTGTTCTTGTCTGTCAGAAGACATTGGTATGTCGTAAGGTGACATAACTAGGAAGTCTTGCTTACGTGTACTAGGAGATGACGCCTGTTGGCAAAAGGCTGCCGTTCTGCGCTTTCAATGGTAAGAATTGAGTCGCTCGTATCCTAGTCCACTTACTGATACACAGACAGGCGGAAGCGACGTCTTTATTGATATTGGTGACAAGTCTTGGGGTGTGTTGAGTTGTCAAAGATACTTTGGCGGAATAGAGAAGAAAAAGTCTCTACACGTGGGTGACCAGTTTTTGTCGGTGGGAGCAAATGACTTCAAGGTTTGTGCTATACAGGCGCAGATGTGTTTCATATACTAACAACTACCTACCAGGCTCGCTTGAGCTCCACGACTTGCTGGATTGCCTCACCAGCGGAGACGGTCGCACTTCTGGATGAGATATCTCAGCTCTCCACAGCTCCTGGATCGCTCCCTAGAGATGCAAATTTCGAGGATCAAGGAAAGTTGGAATGATCGATAAGCGTGTTTCGATACTGGTCAGCTGGATGATGTCCGGATGGTGGGCGAAGTTCCTTTCAGATGTTTCTATAATGTAGGTATGTCTATGTGCGGAATAACATGACTGTGAATGTCATGCAACTTCATGGTCGGTTCAAGTATCAATAGAAATAATAGAGTGGTGTTTGAAGAAGTGTAGAGCTTGAGAGCTGACCAAGGTGACGACTTTTGGCACATGAAAGAAGTGGAAGTCGAGACCCTTGAACTGGTGGTCTGTGCATCAAAAGTTCGAGCGGAAGAGACAGCATCGTCGACAAGTCGCCTCGTCTTGCAAACTTCAGCAACCTTACACAACTCCATGTCAGAGTGTAGAACCAGCTTGCTTCGATGCATTCGTGCAGTCGCCGCCGAGGCTAGCACAGGCCCTCGGCCATATCTTCAAAGTCGCATAGCGCCACATGCCCGATCATCCCAAGCCGTCCGAGCATACACGACAGAGTCTAGAAGAGAGGGCGGGTCGCGAGACAATAGCACACGTGCCAATGAAGCCAACGATGCTGCATCTCGTGGTCAGAGCAGTGGACGAGCGAGTCTGCCTGATCAGCCACCACAAAAGACATACGACCCGAAAGCAACATGGATTAAGAACAACCAACACCGCAAAGTCCGCACACCCACCGCCAACAACAAAGACCAACAAGAAGATGAGGGTAAAATGCCCACCATGAATCTAGCTTTAGAGAAGAAGGTTAGGAAAGAGTTGCAATACCTACCGGATCCGCTCAAGCTCGCCGACCATGTTCGTGGCGTGCTCAAGAAGGGCGACGTCGAAAAGGCTCTTGGCCTCACTCGCATCGCCAGTAAGGACATGGAGTGCATCGTCAGTTGGAACCACATCATCGGCCATTTGCTGGCCGAAAAACAGGTCAATGCCGCTCTGAAGATATACAACGAGGTACTGCTTGTGTCAAGACTCCAACCATGGCCATGAACTGACACTCGCTAGATGAAAAAGCGCGCACAATTTCCCGACTCGCATACCTATGTTATCCTTCTCCGTGGCTTGTCTGAGCCCCCAATCGCTGCAGACACTCTCGGCAAAGCCCTCGCCATCTACCATTCCCTGGGCGCTGAAAATTCTAGAGTAAAGCCGACCACTATACACACCAATGCAGCGCTTCGAGTGTGTGCACGAGCAAATGACATGGACTCTCTATGGGGTATAGCCTCAAAAATCCCCGAGAAAGGATCCGGTGCTGCAGATGCTTATACATATACTACAATCCTGAATGCCATCAGAGAGCATGCACTGCTGGAAGGCGGCAACAGGGCAGATGACAGTGAGGTTACTGCGTTGAGGACGACAGCCATCGAGCAGGGCCGAAGAATCTGGGGAGACATTGTCGGAAGATGGCGGTCAGGAGATCTTGCTGTCAACGAAGAGATGGTTGCTGCCATGGGCCGCCTTCTGCTGATTGGCCTGCAGCCAAGATACTGGGACGATGTCTTTTCTCTGATCGAGCAGACCATGGGCGTCCCTCGCTTGACTCCTACATTGGGTAGCAAGATGAGAAAGGGTCAGCATCTGCCTATTCATGTACCTTCCCACGATCTGCCCGTGAAGAAAGACATCACGAACGTCATTGAAGGCGAGGAACCTGAAAGTGCATTTGACCAAGCACTCCTACTCGACAATCGAGGTAAAAGATCGGTCACCGTCGTCAAGCCAGGAAATAACTCTCTTTCACTCCTCCTCGAAGCTTGCAACTTGACTTACGCTTTCCGAGAGTCATACGAATATTGGGATCTGCTCACCAACCAATCTACCTACGCGCTCAAGCCCGACATGGACAACATCCACACCTTTATGCGTGTTCTGAGAAGATCCCGCGCGTCTGGTCGTGCTCTAGAGCTGGTGAGAGACACGATTCCGAAATACGGCTGGACACCCCACCGCAAGACTTTCCGTATCGCCATGAGTACTTGCAATCGCGACAAGAAGAATCATAACGTGATGGCTCATGCTAACAAACTCGTGGACTTGAGCGAACACTATCAGGTGGGGCCTGATCCCAAGACGCTGCTTCAATACATCGAATTGGCCATCTCCACTCAAGACGGCCAAGTTATTGCCCAGGCGATCAACCGGCTGTCGGACGCTGTTACCAATTTGAAATCTATGATATCCTTTGGCAAGTTGAGTTCAGGCAAGACGCAGGCTATGGAGAAGGAGGACGTTACGGCCTTGCTGAGGACGATCATTAGTGGTATTGATCAGTTGCTGCTCAAGCAGATGGTTCCTGAGGACCAGATACAGAGCTGGACTCAGAGACGAGCGACATTGAATGCGTTCATCACAAGGCTCATGGACAGAATGGGGGGAAAGAACATCATCCCTCAAGAGAAGCTCGTAGAGTTGAGAAGGGATAGCAGACAGTTGAGACATCTTCGCAAGAAGGTGTTGATGAAGGAAAAGAAGGGCAACGGTACCTGGGTCCCGGACAAGCAGAAGCTTGAGCAATCACGTCCTCTGCAGGACTTGCCGTTCGAAGGGTGAAGATTTACTTCAGAGCCTGCCATATATAAATAAATTCAATTGTATAACATTCACCTCACATAATATACATGCATGCTGCGTTGAGAAGCTTGAAGATGCAAGGGTCCAACGTCCGGGTAGCAGTCTCATCGAGAGGCGAACGAAAATCGCTTGGCAATCAAAGTTCTTCTAGCGTTTGCTAGCGCGGCAGAAACTCGCCGCCCTGTCGCAAAAACGCAGCAGGAGCGGTTGTTTTATCAAGCCCGGCGCGCGCCTTCCTCACTTTTCTCTTTCGTCCTCCACACTCTCTCTTTCCATCAACACCCTCCCTTCTACATCCCTTTTTACCTGAACTTGCATCACACGAACGCAAAGTTCACTCTACAACACTCCGACAACCCACACCCCACACACCAATCCACATCATGTCTTACGGCGGTGGTGGCTACGGCGGCTCGCGCGGCGGCGGCGGCGGCGGCTACTCTGGCGGGTACGATAACTCGAGATCCTACGGACAAAGCTCCTACGGCGACTATTCAACCAGTCGCTCTTATGACGGGTACGATTCTTAATAAGTCTCTGCTCAGCTCTGCTTGCTCCTATCCTTATCTCTTCCCACGTATCACCTCTTGAACATTCACTGACATCCAGCAGCGGCAGATCCGGTGGCTACGGCGGCGGCAGCCAAGGCGGTTACTCTGGCGGTGGTCAGGGTGGTTACGGCGGTGGCAGCCAGGGCGGCTACGGTGGTGGCAGCTACGGCGGTGGCCAAGGCGGCGACAGAATGGGCCAGCTTGGTGCCGGCCTCAAGAGCCAGCAGTGGGGTACGTCCAGTGTATCTCGTTCGACTAATCTCTTATACTAACCATCTTGCAGACATGTCCTCCCTCCCCAAGTTCGAGAAGTCCTTCTACAAGGAGGCACCCACCGTTTCCGAGCGCTCCCAGGAAGAAGTCGACGCATTCCGCAAGACTCACCAGATTGCCGTCCAGGGCAAGAACGTCCCCAAGCCCGTTGAGACCTTCGACGAGGCTGGTTTCCCTGGCTACGTGATCAACGAGGTCAAGGCCCAAGGCTTTGCCAACCCTACCCCCATTCAGTGCCAGGGCTGGCCCATGGCTCTCTCTGGTCGCGACGTCACTGGTATTGCCGAGACCGGCTCCGGAAAGACCCTCACCTACTGTCTTCCCTCGATCGTCCACATCAACGCTCAGCCTCTCCTCTCTCCCGGTGACGGTCCTATCGTCCTTATTCTCGCCCCCACTCGTGAACTCGCTGTCCAGATTCAGGCCGAAGTCAACAAGTTCGGCAAATCGTCGCGCATTCGCAACACCTGTGTCTACGGTGGTGTCCCCAAGGGTCAGCAGATCAGAGATCTCGCTCGCGGTGTCGAGGTGTGTATTGCCACTCCCGGTCGTCTGATCGACATGCTCGAGTCTGGAAAGACCAACCTTCGCCGCGTTACCTACCTCGTTCTCGACGAGGCTGATCGTATGCTCGACATGGGTTTCGAGCCTCAAATCCGCAAGATCATCGGCCAGATTCGCCCTGACCGTCAGACTTGCATGTGGTCCGCTACCTGGCCCAAGGAGGTCCGCGCTCTCGCTCAGGACTTCCAGCACGATTTCATCCAGGTCAACGTCGGTTCCATGGACCTTTCCGCCAACCACCGCATCACCCAGGTCGTCGAGGTCGTTTCCGAATTCGAGAAGCGCGACAAGATGATCAAGCACCTCGAGAAGATCATGGAGGACAAGGACAACAAGTGCCTTATCTTCACTGGCACCAAGCGTGTCGCCGACGAGATTACTCGCTTCCTCAGACAAGACGGCTGGCCAGCCCTCTCCATCCACGGTGACAAGCAACAGCAGGAGCGTGACTGGGTTCTCAACGAATTCAAGCAGGGCAAGAGCCCCATCATGGTTGCCACTGACGTGGCTTCGCGTGGTATCGGTATGATTGAACTCCCCCCTCTCCACCACTCACAACACCACTCCTTTCCCTTTCCTCCACTACACTGCCAATTCTCTCCTCCCCCATTGCTCGCACTTGCGTGATCTGAAAGTGGTGCTCTACGCCGAGCACTCGTGCGCCTTTTGCATACGTAACCATGTTCTTTATAGGCCGTCCAGTTTACTGGTTCCTTACTCCGGATCCTTGGGAGAAACTTGCTCGATTCGAGGCCTTTGTCTTTTCATTTTGGCTTCGCATCGTACCTCTCGCCCTCTACTTTGCGCTTCATGCGCCTTTTTGCCCAGTAGAGAGTGAGATGCAGGTATTTTCGCCGCGCAGCGCTGCATTGTAGTTTTGTTACGCGCTTCCAAGGCATCCGAGACGGTAGGACCTCGAAGATATCCTGCATGATATCTTCTACGGCCTGTGACATGTGATTGCTATGATTGCTCTATGCTTTTTTCCACAAAGCTTCGACTCCTATGGAGCGCACAGAGTGTTGTCAATATCCATATTGCACACCTCTTCATCAGATTACGCGACCGACAAAGGCTCGCTTTGATACACACTGTTCACCCAACAGACATGCTAACCCTTACTTTTAAAGATGTTCGCAATATTACCCACGTTCTCAACTACGACTACCCCAACAACTCTGAGGACTACATCCACAGAATCGGCCGTACTGGTCGTGCTGGTGCCATGGGTACTGCCATCACCTTCTTCACCACTGAGAGTGAGTCTCCACACATCTTTGATCATACCACAACACATACTGACTTCTGTCTTCAGACTCCAAGCAGGCTCGCGACCTTGTTAACGTCTTGGCCGAGGCCAAGCAGAACATCGACCCCCGTCTCGCTGAGATGGTCCGCTACGGTGGTGGCGGCGGTGGCCATGGTCGCTGGGGCGGTGGTCGCGGACGCGGTGGCGGTGGTCGTGGTGGCGGTCGTGGTGGCGGCTTCACCAGCTCCAACAACGCTCCCCTTGGTCGTGACTCTCGCTGGTAGATGATATACCCCCTCGTGCATTCTGTTCTCATGCCTCTTTTCTGGGCTTTACGGCGTTTCAAAGGCATCCTGGTATGGAGCCGTCCCAAAAGATTCTGTTTTATTGGTCTTAAGGAGTTTTTCATGACGAGTTCGGCGGGTTTCAAGCATAGGTTTAGATTGCGTTGCTAATCATTATGTCTCAAAAGAATAGAAGTTTATTTGAACAATTCTTGTCTCATGCTGTGCCTGACGTTCCTCTTGCACGAAAATGCGGATAAGAGCATCGCTTTGTCGCCAGTCAGTCGGCTCTGGGCTTATGAGCATCAATCCTGTTGCTCTTCTGAAGCCCCACCGTCCTCAATCAACGTCAGCGAGAGCCTCTATGGCTTGCTTTTTTCCTTCCATCTCTGTATATCTACTTGCATGCATTTTTCATCCCATTGTTTTGTACTCTTGAACTGGTGTTTACAGGCCTGTAGTTTGAATCATAAGACAGACACCCTGATGAAGTTGATACGACTACTTGGTCATTTTTCTCGAGGGTATGTGGGTAACTCATCATGTTTCATGGTCCTGATATGTGCTTCAGCGTTTGGGCTTCTGATGTTTGGATGGTCGATATGGATTTTGTAACGTATGTCAGCCACGGTGGACTGTATTGCTCTAATATCTCGTAAGTCAACGGAGACCATCTTCAATACCACAATAGAGCAGATCCCCATAACTTCAAGATCGTGGTTGCCCTAATATGTGTCATGAATGTTTTCGAGAACTTGTTGAGCACAGCACCCTGACCTTGTAGTCAACTTTCTCAGAGAATTAGTGGTCAGGTATCCAAGTTTTTTTTCATGCGAAGTCATTGCCGAAGACTTGACAAGCCATCAAAGCTGACTCGCTATCTCAGGCCTGATGTCAGAGGCAAGAATAGTAGTCATGTCTAAGCTGCTCGTCAATGCGAACACGTGGGCAAGAGATGGTCTTCTTTGGCCTATCGCTCGCGCACGCACACAGCCTTCATGCTATCAATCGGTACCAAAGATCAGGGATCAGGTATTGTGGATAGAGAGTTGACATGCTAGAAAGAAGGAAAAGATATGCACGTGGCCGGATGCCACTCCACCTCTCTCCAAGCTGTTGAAATGAGATGTAGTATACCCCACTAGTTCCTACAGGGGTCGTTTCCGTGAAGAGTCCAACGGATGTAGCGGAGTAGACTGATTGTTGATCATGATAACAGGATATGATAGAGATACAGCGATAGACAGCATATATAGGAAATCGCAGTTCGGATCCACGAGCAGCGCATGAACCAGCTGAATGATACTCCACCCATCTTCACAATACAGCACGACATCAGAGTATTGGCCAATGGATACAGTATTCTCCACTCGAGACTCCATTCATGTACAGACTCTTTTCACGTCCGACGGTTAGCGTGGTGTAGCTTGGGAGTCCACCTTCTTGCATAACATGGGTATGCAACCAATCACAATGCTTACCAAGATAGTTATAAACGATGTTCAAAGCTCACACTAACCGTCGGACGTGGGAACAGTCTGTATAGGCCCGATCGCCTACATACAACGAAACATGGACGGCGAAAGATCATAGGTCAATCGCGATAAGAAGGATTCTATGCACCTGCAAGACGCAAAGACTCCATCGTTTGCCTATCACTTACTCCGAGTAGGAGGCCTAAACGGATATGCTGAGCAAATGCGATGTAAGTGGGAGTGGAGGATAGAGTTTCTATGCAGTGCAATCACATCGCTGCATCATCCAATGGCATCCTCCCGAGCCCATCCGTCATCCACATCACCTTTTTCCTTTTGCGTCTGTAAAAGTTGAAGATTCCACAAAGCAAGACCACGAAAAAACCATGGT